TTAACTATTTTAGGGTTTAGGGATGCAAAGTAGTAGTCTATATAGATCTAAGGTCCTAGCCTTAAGGTCTAAGAAGAGACAAATTAATAAATAGGGGGAAAGAGGTTGTCTTTGTAGGTTATATAGATAGAACTATAAAGTAATAGTTGTTTTGGGAGCCTAATATAAAGGCTATTAAAGCTCACTCCTAGGTGGATTTCTTTAAAGAAGAAAAGGGAGGGGATATGGATTTAGGCATTTTAACTTCAAACTAATCTAGCAAAGCCCCCTAGAGGAATCTAGTTAGGAGACCAAAACAACTAGCACCTCCTACCTTGTTATTAGGGCCAATAGATTAGCTACTACCTAGAAAATTGTTTATGTAGCTCCCTCCACCCCTATTAGACAGTAGGGAGTACTAGAAGATAGATCTAGAGGGGACTTAAGAAAATTTAGAGAAGGAACCTAAGGCCATACCTTAGGAGTTATCTAAAATTCCACCTTAGGGAGAATCTATAGGATTAGCTAACCTAGATGCTAGCTATTAGGGACCTACCCTAAGGAGCTAAGCTTAGAAAAGGAGAAGGGATCTAGATAATAAAGGAGACTAGAGTGTAAAGTACTATAGGTTATTTATCTCTATAATGTTCTATCTAGATCTAAGTATAAGCTAGGCTAAGGAATTTTTGAATAATGTAGAGGAGCATACATTTGCTATAGTAGGCCTAACTATTGCTATATAGTAGTAAGTGCTAATCCTAAAAACATATAGGGAAGCTATATCTAACCCTACCTAGGGTTATATATAGAGAGAAGCAATCTAAAAGGAGCTTTAGGCTTTAGAGATAAATAACACTTAGGAGCTAGCTGTGCTACTACAGGGTGCCAACCTAGTCACTTCTAAGTAGGTCTTTAATGTGAAAAGAATAATTAGTAGAGCTATTGAAAAGTTTAAGGTAAGACTAGTTGTAAGAGGGTTTTTATAGAAGTTTAGTATTAACTTTATAGACACCTTTGTACCTACAGTCAGGTATAACACACTAAGAGTATTTATAGTAGCTGTGTGTAAGAAGGATCTAGAACTGTACTAGATTGATATAAACAATACATTTACTAAAAGCACCCTCTTAGAAGACATCTATATAATCCTACCCCTAGGTGTTAAGATTCCTCTAAACATAGTCCTAAAGATTCTAAGGAGCCTATATAGACTAAAGTAGGCAGCTAGAGATTGGAACAAACTCTGTGTTACTAAGCTAGAGTAGATTGGGTTTATATAGTCAGAAGTGGACCTATGCCTTCTTATCTATAGGGGGAGGAACATAATGGTCCTTACCTATATAGATAACATCCCTATTATAGCTCTAAAGCTGTTAGATGTTCTCTAGTTTAAGGGAGAGTTTGGAAAGGTCTTTAGAATCAAAGACCTTAGGGAACCTAAAAAGATCCTTAGTATGAAAATCACAAGGGACAGAGTGTAGGGCACTCTGAAACTTAACTAAGGACATTTTATCTAAACAAACCTTACTAAGATAAGCATAACTAAAGACAAGGCCTATATTATACACTTACCTCTAGACAGCTATAAGAGCCTGAAACCTTTAGGCCTCTAGGATAAGAGGTGTAACAAACAGGAGTACTAGAGTTATACTAGTACCTAGATGTAGCTAATAACAATAATAAGGCTAGACATTACTTTCCCACTTAGGAGACTAAGCTCATATATTGTAGACCTATTAAAGCAATATATGAAGGTACTAAAGAAGCTTATAAGGTACCTAAGATCATACCTAGATCTTAGCCTTTACTATAGGAGAGGAGGAGGTTGCCTTTAAGGCTACTCTAACTTAGACTATGTAATAGACAAGGTGGACAGAGTGTCTGTCCTTAGGTATATCTAGTTCCTTTGTGGCTTACTAGTCTCCTAGATAAGTAGAAAGCAAAAGTCTGTTGCAACATTAACTATAGAAGCTAAGTATATAGCAATAAACTCGTATATAAAGTAGTTATAGTTCCTAGCTATATTGCTTCGTAAGATAAGCTGTCCTAAGCTTGTTAGAGAGTGCCTATTTCAGCTAAAGATTAAGGCTAACAATAATACTACCTAATTACTTAGACCTGTCCTTATTAAAGGGGACAATCAATTAGCTCTAACCCTTGTTAAAGATGCTTATATCTATAAGAGATCAAAACATATTAATGTTATATATAACTTTGTTAGAAATCTTTAGTAGTAGAGGAAGGTTGTAGTAGAGTATTACCTAACAAAAGAGATAGTAGCTAATAGACTGACCAAACCCCTAAATGGTCCATAGTTCCAGAATTTTGTAAAGCAACTCTAGCTAGCCTAGCAAAAGGAATGGCTAAACTAGGAATTAAACCTAGGTCTTTAGAACCCTATCGTACACTCCAATTATTAGACAGAGCCTAAGAGCGCGGGGACGCTTCGCGGATGTCTATTTAGGAATGACTTCATAGGCCTAATGTTCTAACCCCTAAACTATTTGGCTAGAACTAAGAAGTATACTAATTAGGTAATAGAAGACCTAGAGTTTGTTCTTATATTGCTTTAGTTAAAGGGTTTCAATTCTTTCCTCCGGACCTAAGTAGGAGTGTTATGAAATAGCAGCTTAGGAGGAAAGTAGGAGTAGGCCTAGTAGTAAGCTAAGTGGTTACGTAACTAGGTCACGTAACACGCTAAGCTTAGTAATAGTAGCTAGAAGGGGGAGAGCGGGCTTCTCTCTCTCTTACTACCTACTACCTTTATACTAGACTATCTTAGATACCTCTATATAAATTAGGTCCTTCTTCTTCGATTATTAAGTCCTTACTTCCGCTACAAACTACATAACTATATCCTATTCTTAATATAGGAGGAGAATAGAGTAGAGAAGTAGTTAATAAGAAGAAGGAGATAAGAGTAGAGAAGAAGCTCTTATACCCCTACCTATATAAGCTTCTAGAAGCTTACTTATTTACCTTCTAATAACTAGGTCTCGTACCCTTATTACTAGGTTATATAGGCTAGTTATAAATAGTAAAAGTTCACTATTATCTAGTAAGTAGGAGCAAATATCCTTCCTAATTAGGAAAGATAAAGCCTATATACTAGTAAATACTACTACCTAAGGCTTATAACCTTTTTATAAGGCTAAGGCTTATAGGGACAACTATATACTAGTATATAGAGGGAGGCTACGAATCTATAGACAATTAAGGCTCTACTAAGGCTTTAGTAGGTACTAAAGTCTAAGTAGGGGAGGATATAAGATCCTTAGCCTATATACTAAGGAATTACACTACACTTACTAAAGTAGTGTTATGCCTAAGTGTGAAAAACTCTGGTCTTGGCAGCCAAGCAGAGGGGATATAAAAACACCTCAAAACCTTATATAGATAGCCGGGGGATGAACCTTCTTTGTTAGTCAAAGCTCTCACACCACCTGCCACTAGGGTTTTGATGACAGTCTCAGGAACGATTGGCGGGTGTTTGAGGCCTGCTTCCGGTGAGTGTTGAAGGATTGCAGAAATGCAGCGTGAGGCTGAGGAACAGGAACAGGAACAGGTGGCCTTCTCGCGAACGTGTTTCTAAATCCAGGAGAAGGGATGCAGTCATCAGCTCTGTGGCTGTTCTGTAACCCTTCGACTCCTTCGCAATGCGATGGGCAGGCATCCGCATCCTACCATGGTAGCAAGCACAGCGAGGTAAAAGTGAGGGTTGTATCTCTCGTGGCTCGCCGGACGTAGCGCGGGATGGCATTCAAGAAGGTGTGACTCTTGCGTTGGATGCCGTCAGCTTGTCAGCCAGGGGCAAGCCGTCAGTCACCGGTGTTGTGGTGGTGTAAGAGAGTCGCCGCCTTTTGGATGAGGTCGCAACCCGGCAATAAGCCTGATATCTGCCGCGCCGCCTTCGCAGCGTCATCGAATGTACAGGCTCCGGCAGTAGGCGGTAGGATTTGGTGGTAGATAAGGTAGATTAAGCTGCAGAAGTACCTTGACGTTCCAAGGTTGTGGAAACATTGCTGGTCGGGTAGGATAGGATCGGATAGAGAGGATGGAGCAGGAAAGCAGAAACATGGAGGTACTTTCCGATGTGCCAAGAAGATCAACGAGAGCGGTTCGAAAGCATAACGGTGTGTGGTGTGCGTCGCCTACGGCGGTAGAGGGACTGCTACGAGTACTACCTAGTAGTCGTGTGTGCGTTGCAGTGTGCATCGCAGTGCCGCCGAGAGGCCGCCGATGGTGTCATATCAAGCAATACAGTCGTAGAAAGTCGTAGACAGTCGTCGACAGTACATGTATCCGAGTGGAAGAAGGTGATGATAATATATGCTCTGATTCCTTCCATCATTCTTGCTCGCTGGCCTGAAACCCGTCTTTGAGTGGCGGGGAACATAGATAGCCACACTTCCGGTTGCAGCGAGAAGTCTAGAGATATCGCCGTCAGTCAGCTAGAAGGACTAATAGAAGGACTAGACACGGGTGTAGCTTCGGTCTGCGTGTGCTGCGGTCGTCTGATCCTCCAACAAATCACCCGCCCACGCCCACGCCGCACGCCGCACGCCGCACGCCGCACGCTCTCCCCGTCGCATCATATCACAGATATCATCATCATCATCACCTTCGACTGTGCGACGGCGAGCATCTCCAGCGCGCGACACGAACGAACAACCACAAGCGGTAACAATCATCGCGTCCCCGGAACGTGCTTATCGCATTCCATCCCCTGGCGCCGATCAGTCGTGAGCTCATCACTACTCCGCCGCCGTATACGCCCGGAGGTACGCCCGCTGCGACAAGACTACCTACCGCCCTCGTACCACTCTCTGCCCTCCTCCCTCCCAGCTATCACCTCTCGCATGCGCAACACCTCCGGATGAGCGGCGTCTGATCGCGGAGCTGTCCCATCGTCGACTCCTCTCTCCCACGACCTCTGTTGCAGCGCTGCAGTCAATCAATCAATCAAGCACCTGCACACGTCGCTCCCTACCCACCACTTCACCTCAGCTTCATCGCCCACCATGGCTTTCCAGCAGCCTCAACACCGACCGCAGCCCTTACGACAGACCACCCTCCCACAGCATCACCTCGAACCCGCTCCCTTATCGCCGGCCAAGAAGCGAAGCATCGAAGAGTCGCAGGAATGGATCCTCTTCTCGCCTCAGAACGATGGCCAATCCCTCTCCAACACCTCTCAGACACCCCGCACCGCTACCCACCTCTCCGACTTCGGTTCGCTGGAAACGCATGTCAAGTCGCAGCTGTTGGGCAATAGCCAGGAAGAAGACGAAGATCTCACATGTCAGGGCACGGATGATGACGGCGATGCTGAGCTGGACAGCCTGGACGATGGCCTCCATGCCTTTCACCATCCCTTTGCGCCGTCATCAGATCACTTGGATCACAGTGGCGGAACAGTTCTGCCGACACATGATGGCTTTGGAACATTCCCCTCGTCCTCGGCGGCCTTGCAGGAGCAGCTGTGGCAGTTCGAAAGACACAACCCACACAGAAAGAACAAGCATGCAAGGAGACGGAGCAGTGTGCAGAAGCGACTAGACGCATTGGAAGAAGAAGAGCACTTGGATGCCGAAGACGAACGGACGGCGCGCATTGAGAGGTGGCGCCTGGACCAGAGCCGAGCTGTCCTGGAGGAGATCGAGCGTGAGACAAGGCGACGGAGGAGACGAATGAGCCGCATGAGCATCGCAACCAGCGGCCTTGACAGGAGTCAATCCGTACATGATGCGCTGGCTTCGCGGGTACTAACACGACAGGATTCCGTCATTCGCGAGACGACCGACTCGATCAAGAGTGACGAGCAAGCACCAGGCGAGTCCTTCTGGCGACGCATTACTCGCAAGGTCATTCAGGACCTGATCGGTCTGGACGAGAACACCCTGTCAGTCATCTTTGGCGAGCAGTTGGTCGATGATGCCTCTCCCACTCCAACCCAACCTTCACCAATCGCCGCTGCCGCCGCACGGCAGGAGTCCAGGATGTCTTTCCACGATTCACAGCCAAGCTGGGAGATGAAGCTTCTCGACCGCATCGCGCGAGAGCTTGGTATACTTGTTCACCAACTTTCCGGATTCGAAGGATCCGCCTTCAACAGCTACAAGAACGCACAAGAGCAGCAGCTCGAGTATGCCGGTCTGCCTCGCAGCATTCCCCGTCCACCGTCGCTTCGCCAGCGCAGACGCGCTGAGAAAGCTCGTGCTGAGAACAAAGACCCGGATCAGCTGTTCTCACCTACCCTGCCTCAGTCACCCCTGCCAACCACGGAGCCCGACACATCGTTGTGGGGCATCGAAGAGGAGCCAGACCGGTCGGCCGGCGATGACGAAGTGAGACTACAGCAAGAGCGAGAGTACTGGGAGAAGGACGTCGATGTGAAGATGATCTTCCAATATCTAAAGTCTCGTTTCTCGCGAACAGCCGAAGAGACACCTGCTGCCGAGTCCGGTGATTCCGGCCCTCTCCCAGCTTCTTGGGCAACCGCTGGCCCCTCTGCCTCCGCGCTCAGCACTTCGCCCGAAGGGCTGCGTCGAGCGGAGATCATCAAGCGCCAACATCCTCTCGTGTCGAGAGCAGCCGAGCGAGCCGCAGAGCGAGCAAGGGCCAATGCTGCGCAAGCAAGACGGCGGGACTCGCTGCTGAGACGACATCAGATGCAGACGCTGATGCAGAAGCGGGCTGGGAGCAGCAGCTGCGCCAGCCAGAGTACGAAGCGCAGTCGACATACCCGAAGCGGCAGCTCACGCCACTACTGGGATCTCGGTGGTAGCGTGGGAAGTGTTGGCAGCGGGCCTGCCATGTCTTCTGGACTCGGGGGATGGGGAGAAGTGTAGGAGATGACCTACTACGGGACGAAACACGAGGAAGAGAGAATAGAGGAGCTACGACAGCGCTACAACCATCGGATCTAGAATGAGACTGGGACAGGTCTCCACTTTTCGGCACCTTTCTTTCATCTGAAAGGTTGCTTGCTATTTTTATTTGATATGATACCAATTGAGTTTACGAACGAGAACATCATCGCTCTTGTCAGGTAGTTGAACATCAGGCCTTGACAGGCAATATCTACACTCGTTCGATCCGCATTTCCGTTGCATCAAAGCATTCCAGGCCACCCCGGGAGGCCCCTCGCTAGGTATAGCGCAGAGATGTGTGTCCTCTGAGAGATCTACTTCTTCTGAGCGAGATAAGCCTCCGCACCCAGATCCCACAGCTTCTGGTCCTTCTCCCTCACTTCCCTCTCACTCTTCGCCATGAAAGCCTCGTACGTCGCCCTGATGCCCGTATCCGCAGCCCCGAGAATGCGAGCCGCCAGCAGAGCCGCATTCGTACTGTTGTTCACACTCACCGTAGCGACGGGAACGCCCTTTGGCATGTTCAGAATCGAAAGCACGCTGTCCATTCCGTCGCCGATGGTGGGTTTCACGGGCACGCCGATGACGGGGAGGGGCGTATGCGCTGCTGCCATGCCGGGGAGGTGTGCGGCTCCTCCGGCGGCGGCGATGATGACTTGGATCGAGGTGGACGCGGCGTGGGAGGCGTATTCGGCCATCCAGGCGGGGGTGCGGTGGGCGGAGGTGATGCGGGTGGTGTAGGGGATGTCGAAGGATTTGAGGATTTCCAGGCCGGGCAGCAGGACCGGGAGGTCGGAGTCGGAGCCCATGACGACGGCGACGAGTGGTTCGGACGGGGGGGATGCGGGCGTGGCTTTGGCTTTGGTTTGGGGCTTCCCTTGGTCTACGAAGTCGATCATGGGTTGCATGAGGCGCTGGGCCTTGGACATGGTCGGCGCGCAGACGGTGAGATGGCCCATCTTCCGGCCTTTGCGTGCCTGGCCTTTGCCGTACAGGTGGATCTTGGTACGACGCTGTTTCAGTGCTTCTCGCGCGACTTGGAGGTGTGAGTCCGGAGCGTCGCCTCCGAGGATGTTCAGCATGATGCTGGGCTCCCGCAGCTCGAGATCTTGCTGGTCAATCGGGAGGTCCAGAATGGCACGGAGATGCGCCTCGTACTGGGAGATCGGGCATGCTTCGATGGTGTAGTGTCCCGAATTATGCGGCCGCGGCGCGATTTCGTTGATGAGGACCTCGTCGTTCGGAAGCAAGAACATCTCCACGCCGAACACCCCCTTGCCCCAGAAGCAATCCACCGCCTTTCTTGCCAGTGCTTGGGCCTTCTCGTTGATCTGCCTACTCACGCCTCGTGCAGGCGCGTACGTGAGCTTGCAGATCGAATTCTCGTGGATCGTTTCGACGGTGGGAAAGCTCAGCACCTGGTCTTTTGTCTTCACAACCATGACCGCCAGCTCCATCTTGAAATTCGACCACTTTTCTGCATAGAGCAGCTTGTTGCCCCCGAGAGCTTCCAATGCAGGCTTGAAGTCCGCCTTCGTCTGTACGGGAAAGTTGCCTCGACCGTCGTACGCTTCTCGTCGTGATTTGAGCATAAGCGGCAGACCAAGTCGGCTCGCCACACGCTCCAACTCCTCTGTCGTCGGTTCCTCGAGCGCTATGCTTTCCGTGCTCGCGACCCCATATTTCTGAAGATGGCCTTTTTGAAGAAATTTGTCCTGGATCGTCCGAATCGTCTTCCACGAGGGCTGCACATCCACTCTGTCGGATATCTCCTCCAGGATCTGGGTGTCGACGTGCTCTATCTCGACCGTAACGACGTCGGATCGCTCCGCCAGTTGCTGGATGGCAGCTCGGTCTTTGAACGAGCCGTCAAGATGTCCATCGTGGTTGGAAACCTGTTTTGCAGAGGAGCCTGGCGCGTCGAGGAAATTCACCTTGATTTCTAGGAGGTTCGCTGCTTCCACAAGCATGCGGCCCAGCTGACCACCTCCCAGGACACCGACAGACTTTTCTGAGGCCATGTTGAGAAAAGCAAGTCTGAATATCTGCACTCGATGTCCTGATTAGCCCCGAGAGAATTGATGCTCGACTTGGACGTCGATTTTGGCGGAGACATGGTCTGACGTGAATGAAGTAGCCCAGAAGAGCACTTACCTTTCAATACTTTACTTTCTTTGCACGCGCACCTTACTCTTTACTCGTGCTTTTGAGTGATTATGGTTTGCACATAGGAATAGAAAATTTCGAGCTAGGAGCTTCACAACTTGGAGATCACGACTTCCCGTTGGAATTTGCCTTTGGCGCACGTGCCATCGCATACATTAGAGGTGTACAACAATTACATCGTGCTCTTGACTGCCCATTCACTGAGACGACAAGAGAAATGGATATTTCATCTGGTATGAGGAAAATTGTGGTAGTGTTGCTGAGAGCACAACGTCGTAGAGCAGGACCAACTATCATTGAACAACTGGAGCAACTGTTGGGCAGGGATGTCGATTGAGACAGCCAACAGGTCCTATACGATGAGCACTAGTTGCAGTTGAGGAGTCCAGAAGCAATTGAGAAGTCCAGAAGTTCATTTGGCGCTGATGTTCTGACGTTTCTCATTCCTTGATCTGCATGACCCTAACGCAACGCCATGTGCCTATCCATGCCATAGCAGAGCCCACGGTCCGGCGCTTCCAGACGTCCATGCTCTTGCGAAAGTAGCGCTCCAAACTCGAGTACGCTTTTGCCATTTCTCCAGCCATTCTGCGCCAAGTGCTACGTGCACATTTAGACCTTGAAACCACGAGATCGGCGACGACCACGGGCCTTCTCGAACTTGCGGCCCTTGCTCTCGATGTATGGCTTCTGGACGGTAGTCAGTATGCTGCTCTTTACGAGGACTTTGTGGGTGGACTTGCCTTGTGCTTGTGAGGACCGAAGCCGAAGTGCTTGACAGCCTCGCGAGCGTTCTTTGGACCACGGAGAAGGATGACGTTGGAGCCAGTTGGGGCGCGCTGGGCGAGCTGGTCGAAGGTGATGCACTCGCCGCCAGCCTTCTCGATGCGAGCGCGGGCAGTGGCGGTGAAGCGGAGGGCGCAGACGCTCAACTTCGGGACTTCGAGGAGACGGTTGTCGTCGGTGACGGTTCCGACCACGGCACGGATCTTGCCCTCGTAGGCCTCGGCGCTGTGCTTGTTGGCAGAGACAGCGACGATCTTGGAGAGGGAGATTGGTGGGGTGTTGATGCGCGACATGCGCAGTCTATCTCGAGTTAGCGCTCTAACTCGGAGTATCCATGTGCTTACATCGTCTCTTCACGCACCTCCTCAGAACGGTAGCGTTGAAGTTGCTGTCCGTTCGGCGGTCCAAGAAGGTGTACAGCTTGTGCAACAGCTTCCTGTACGGGTTGGTGCTGTGTGGCGCCTGGACCTCTGTTAGAGACCTAGACTCGCAGAGAATCACTCAATCTGCTCAAATCTAACCTTGCGGTGCCCGGAGTTCACGTGGTGCTTATCGAGATCGATCTATTCCACGCGTTAGAGTGTCTTTATAACGTTGCGGCATGTGCATGGGAGTTTGCAGAGCATTTTGGGATACGTCTGGAGGAGTTTTGCGATCCGGTGCCGCAGGCGGTCTCCAGAGCCGGCGCAAATCCAGGGACGTCTCCGGCCGTATCTCAAATGCTTCGGCGAGATGTACTTACACCCATCTTGTCGGTGTTGTCGGCGAGTGTGGTTCTGCGACCTTGAAGCAGAAGACGAGGTTGGCTCTGGCTGAGGTTTCGAGTGTGGAATTTCGCAGATGGTCCGTGCTAAGTCTTGGCAGGATATCCGCGCCGAACCTTAACCGATCGAGGGGGTTCCATCTCGCCAACTTCACCGCGTCCTGCTTTCACACGCACATCCTACGACAAGAGCAGTTCCTTGAAAGCCTCTCATTCTCTGGCCCCGTTGTCGTCTTCTGTTTCACAATACTATCATTTGGACTATCAGAGTGCAATTCGGACCTGTTTTCTGGACAGGAACGAGCGATGACCAATGGCACTGAGTGGTGTTGAAGAGCGCGGAACCCGCTGATTCGAAGAACATCATTCATTTTCAAAACTGATCAAGCGTTGACCCCTAAATCTGGCCCCGTTGGTCTGCGTCAAAGCCCTGAAACGGACATGGTATTAAGCCAAAATGGCTAGCTTCTCGACACGGCGTAGCAGCTCAAGGCAGCTCATGGCTCTCCACTTCTGCTTGGCAAACGATTTCTTCGAAAGCCCTTTAAGGTCTCGTCTTGTCTGGGCGTCCCATCTACTCCCGTAAACATCACATAGCAGATACGCCTGCTTCACCGGGTATTCCACCCGTGGCGATTAGCTGATTCACCGGACGCTTTGCAACACCAGGAGGATTACCTCCGCCTGCCACAGCCCAGTCAGACGTTGGAACTACGCGTCGCGATATTGACATGCTCGCCTGTGTTCCGCCAATGGTGCTTGCAGACCGGTGTGCTTCACGGGAAAAGTGTTGTTGGGCGTTGAAGATGGCTTGGAAGAAGCAAAGCCCATACTGCAACGATGGCCTTGTGGCAGATGCGAGACCTGTTTCGTGGGCTTGCAGGTTGTTCAGATGTGCTAGCCTGTCCGTTGGCTCGATAATTGCAAGATGAAGTACTGAGGTCGTGCGACTGTGCCGCACGGGGCTGAGCAGCAAAGCGAGAGACTCGCCTCGTCCTTGGGCTTCACCAAAAGTCAAGCGCCGCTCGTCTCCCATTGAGGACAGCTTTCTGCTCTGGCAAACCTGATTAATCGACGAGTCCTACATTCGAAGCGCTTGTTTGAAGAGCCACTAGACATGGTCAACATTGGTGGAAACCAAGGGCTGAAATCTTGCGGAAAGACCATTTGTGTGATGTTCGCGCAATCTGCAAACGCGGTAGGCCATTCAGCGAGCAGACCGGGACTTTCCAATGGTGCTGTCCATGCGAAGAGCGAGCCATCGTCATGTTTCTTCATGATTCCCAGTTGGAGGCGCATGAATGCTTTTCGACCTTCGCCGTGGATTAATGGCATGTTCACTATGCAGCAAAGTATCAGCTAACATTGTCGCCGATGAGCGTAATTCATCCACCAACCGTCAAACAACCCAAACATGCAGTAAGCCACATCTTCTGCACGGGTGGTCTGGCGCCGAGAGACCCAGCTCATCTTCATCGCAATGCTACAATTCTTCACATCAGTAGGCGAGTAGCTGCCGTTGAGAAAGGTCAGAGGTCTCCTAGTGATTTCCGAGATCTCTTGGGCGTTTTCTGATTTTGTAGCAACGATGTCCCAATCGCCATCACAGAAGACGACATCCTCTGGAGCCAGCAGCTCATGTAAAGTCCAGCCACGAGTAACCACCTGGCATCGCCGAAGTCCTGTATTGACGAGACCTCCGAGAGGTAAACAAAACAATCAGCAGCATCGCTATACCATCTCCACATGCTATCGATTGCCTCCGAGAACACCGTGCTGCTGCTCTTGTCAATGCAGACAGAATCAATCCAGATCCATTCGAAGCCTCCCACTTGCGCAAATTTGCAAGCCGCTCCGACCTTTTTGAAGCCATGACTGTCTTTTCTTGGGGCACGCAGAAGCATTCGGACTACTCCAGTGGAGGTGGTGGGTACATTGGTCGTAAGCAGAAGGAAGTCGAGATAGGATATCTCATCGTTCGTCCAAGTATGGGACAAAATGGAGTATGTGGGACGTTGATCGTCAAAGAACTCTTAGATTTCGCCAGTGCCGGTGTTGATGAGACGCATGTTGACGGTTGGAGGTCATTGGAATAGATGAAAGGATTGAGATGTGCTCGTACACTTGATGCGGACGTTTCGAGACTGTACGATCAGGCGCTCGGAGATGACAAGCCTCTTTTTGTCACACGGCAAGTGCAGTAGATGTTTTTCGCGCGGGTGGCTATTCCCTACTTCAGGGAAAAGACAAATTTTCGCCATCAACCCAACAACCTACCAACTTGATTCCTTCGGCAGTGCTCCAACTATGCTTCGAAACGTGCTATGCATGTCGCATTGATGATCATCAGAGCAGTGTCCGGACAATGTGGGGAGGTGCACTCCGGCTACCAACTTTGATCTATTGGGGCAGCCGAACTCGTGGTCTGCCGATAGCAGAGTTGAAAGAAGTCCTGCTGTGTCGGGCCAGGCTTCCGTTCCGCGCCAATATCGTTCTGTGTGGTCCAGGCAACCAGTGTGCAGGATGAAGTCGTCCTGAACCGCTTTTAGGTTCGGCCCTGACGATCCACGCGATGCCAAGCCTTTTCACCGGGACACAGGGACCTCGTCAGGACCTTTTCCAGGTTCTTTCCGTTTGTCTTGTTGTTCTCTTATCCCAGTACTGCCAGCTGACGTTGCGTAGACCACTCCATCACGTCAATCATATAGGCCTGACTCTCTGTGTACTTATGTTCAACATGACCCCTTCCACAAACGAAGCGGGCTGCTCCAGATGACGACGACTTTGCCAAGCTTTCCGTCGCCAGGGGTTGGGTAACAGCACTCGGAACTGGTTTGACTTCCACAACATCCATGAGCGACATCAACATTCTGCAATCTGATAATGGGCGATGACTATGATGACTGGGGCCATCCGATCGAGCCTCGCTTCAAAGCGCGAGACCAAACATTTCTCGGGGCCTTGAAAACATACTATATTCTCGTCACCCGGAGGTACAGGACACTCTTCGCCACCATATTATTCGCAATATGTCTTTTGCTATACTGGAATACCACGGATAGTAGCTCGAGAGCTCCTCCGGTAGATTGGAAGAGCTTTGCCTACGTGCAGTAAGTCCAACAACCCCAAGACTTGCGAAATTGTGACCTTGGTCCGTTAACCAACACGCTCCATCTAGATATGTAACGGACAACCACAACCTCTGCAACGCCTACATGGTCTTCGAAGCCCTCCACCGCCACGGAAGCAAAGCCGACCGCGTCCTCCTCTACCCGGACACCTGGGACCTCGAAGACGACACCCCGACCGACCGCAACTCGCAACTCCTCATCCGCGCCCAGAAACTCTACTCCGTAAAACTAAAACCCGTCTCCCTCCTCTCCATCGAAGGCCCCAACGCATCCCCGGGAACGCTCAACGCCCCCTCCTCCTGGAGCACCTCCATCACCAAACTGCGCGCCTTCGAACTCGTCGAATACGACCGCGTCCTGCACCTCGACTCGGACATCACCCTCCTGCAGAACCTCGACGACCTCTTCCTCCTCCCCCCCACCCCCATCGCCATGCCCCGCGCCTACTGGAGCGAAGAGAAACCCCAACCCCTAACCTCCCTCCTCATGCTCCTCGAACCCAACCCCCTCGAACTGAAAAACTTCCTCGACATCCTGCAATCCTGGAAACTCGCCCCCAACTTCCAAGCCGGCAGGAACTACGACATGGACCTCCTGAACCACCGCTTCGCACACTCCGCCCTCGTCCTGCCCCATCGCCCCTACGCCATGCTCTCCGCCGAATTCCGCTCCCACGACCATAAACCCTACATGGGCTCCCTCAACGCGCCCCGCGACACCTATTCCAAGTACGACTGGGATGCCCAGCGGCAGTACGCGGAAGCCAAACTGGTGCACTTCTCCGACTGGCCGCTGCCGAAACCCTGGGTCATGTGGCCGCACGAGGGCGTGGCGGAGATGCAGCCCGACTGCGGCGGCGAGGCGACGCATTGCATGGAGCGGGAGATCTGGAAGGGCCTCTATGACGATTTTCGACACAGGAGGAAGGATCTGTGTCGGATTCTGAGCGTGCCGGCGCCCAAGTGGGATGATATCAAGAATGGGACCAAGGCGTGAAATATGTGTGTGTATAAATATATGTAGATCGAATGTTGTCTGTTGTTGTGTATAGAAAAACTTCTTTGGATGAAAAACGGATTTTTGTCGATCGTCATCGTGAGTATTTCATTCCTGGTGAGGGTTCATTCTTGATCTCTCTTCCCTTCTCGCATCCCTACACACACACGCACATGGTATCTATTAAAGACTAGGTGGCTCAACAGGAGCTCACCTGCAACCTCAAGAATCACCAAAGCTTTCCTCGCCTCTCGCTAAGAGTCCCAGAGGCAGGTCCCATTCCCTTTGAATCCGCACTTTTGTCTGTTCCTTTTCCCAAAAATACCCATCGCTTAGTCCAATCGTATCCGAAGTTGTAAAGAATAGTCTCGAAGCTTTCCCGTCTCGCCCTGTCGCCGTCGGGACTCCATTTGGGCCAAGGGGAAAAATAAGCCAGCCAAATACTTCCACTACTCAAGTCCATCATCTCCATCGTCGGGAGAAGCTTGCTTTGCTTCCCTCAAACAACAATCATCTTGGTGGTGTCCACCGTCGTCTTCTCCATCACGACCCTGATAAGCCTTCTAAGCGCCAGAGGTTAGAGCCTGGCCGTGTATGTTGGATCCGCTTTCGGGCGCCCTAGTCAGGCCGTTAGCATTGCCAGGCCGGCCCGCCGTAATCGTGCTTCGTCGCGAACCATTCGTAGCAGCAGGGCTGGCTGCATCAGAACCATTGGTAGTCATCGCTCGGAGATGTCCGGCCAAATCTTTCACTTCGTCATCGATCTTGGTGTGCTCTGTGAAAGGGTCGTACATTCGCTGACGGATGTACTCGTCGAGTTCCTCGTCACTGATGTTACGCAGCGCGAGTTCCCGATCCATGTTGTCCTTCTGAGCGGCGCGAATCACGCCACGGGTGACGGTGACAGAGACCTCGCGAATGCGGCTGATGTCGGGGTAGAGCCAGTTCGCTTCGACCTCCTCGGGGAGAAGCGAGGTGCTCAGAGCCTCAGCTGAGGCGTAGATCATGTTCTGTGTGACATTGACGGCCTTGGAGAGGATAGCTCCAAGTCCAATGCCTGGGAAGACATACATGTTGTTTCCTGAATGTTGAGAATGAAATATCAGCAGAATGTTCGAGAGTCACTTCGCTCTGGTGACAACTCACCTTGTCCGGGCTCGAGCTTCTTGCCTTCCCACTCGAGCTCAGGGAAGGGCGATCCAGAAGCAAACAAGCAACGACCCTTTGTATACTTGATAGCCTCCTCGAATGTGCATTCCGACTTGCTGGACGGGTTGGACAGCGGGAAGATGACAGGCTTGTCATTCAGCTCAGCCATACGCTCCAGAATCTTGGGAGTGAAAGCGCCACCAATAGTGGAGAGACCCATGAGGATAGTGGGCTTGACATATTCCACAACGTCTTCCAAAGTCTGGAACTGTTGACCCTCGTTGTCGTCACGGGCAAAGTACACCTTGTGCTCTGCCAGGGCGCGTCCGGGGCGATCCAGAGTGACCAAACCTTGGGAGTCGACAAGCCAGAAGCGCTTCTTGGCTTCTTCCTCGGAGAGGCCCTCCTTGATGAAGAACTCGGTAAGCTGCTTGGCGACACCGACACCAGCAGAACCAGCGCCCAGGAAGACAGCACGCTGGTCCTGCGGAGCAACGCCAGACTGCTTGACGGCATTGATAAAGCCACCGAGGATAACGGCGCCAGTGCCCTGAATGTCGTCGTTGAACATGGTGTAGGTGTCCTGGTATCGCTCAAGCGAAGGGAATGGGTTCTTGAAGTCCTCGTACTGGATGACAATGCTTGGCCATCTCTCGGTCAAGGCAGCCATCATCTCGTCGAGGAACTCCTTCTCCTCCTCGGGTGAGACCTTGGGTCTTCTGCTTCCCAGATAAAGCGGATCATTCCTGAACTCCTCGTTGCTGGTACCAAGATCCAGGCACAACGGAAGAGTCCTCATGGGATGGATACCAGCACATGCAGTGTACAGGGAGAGCTTGCCAACGGGGATGCCCATACCGTTGATGCCGAGGTCTCCGAGACCGAGAATGCGAGAGCCATCGGTGACGACGGTGATTTCGACATCGTGTGGCCAGTTCTGGATGACGGTGTGGAGGTGACCCTTGTCCTCGAAGGAGAGGTAGAGACCTACAGGTCCGTTAGCGAGCTAAGTCTCTAAGCTTGGTTCCTGCAGCTTACCCTCTGGCTGCGTGTACAGCTCCGACCAACGCTGGCAAGCTTCACCGACAGTGGGGGTGTAGATCAACGGAGTGAGCTCCTGTGTAATTGTCAGAATCTCAACTCAGATCCATGCTCTTGTGTTCATTGGAATATGCCGACCTTGATGTTGTCCGCGAGCAGGCGGTAGAAGAGGTGGTTGTTGCTGTTGCGGAGGACCGACAAATACTGGTACTTCTCGATCGGCGTCTTCTTGGCATTGAGAATGGCCATTGCTGAAGTAAGTCAGCGCATGCTCGTCCTCGTCCATCGCACACTCCTCGATGGTAGATCTCACCCCTCTGGCTCTGGGTCTCGAAGGTGTCGACACCCGGTGGGGTGAGACCGTAGGTTCTGAGGTACTTCCTCGTCTCGACGGGATGGGTGGTGTCATAGTCGGCACTGCGAGGCCAAGGCCGAAACTCAGTATATGGAGATTGAAAGGAATTCATTATGAGAGCTATGGCTCGGCACATACGGAGCTGGGTGAACATGACGCTCCGGCATATGGTGGGGAGCAGCGGAGTGCTTGATGTTCGCAGCCGGCAAGTTGCCGTTCTTGGAGGTGTTTCTGCTGTGTGCCATTGCTGTCCGAGGTGTTGTGGTAATGTGCCGACCAGGCGTTCGGGGTGCTCTTGCAGAGGTGGGTGTGGGAATGGGCTTCGGGATTTGCGGTGTTGGATGTGGCGGGTGAGGACGTCGGTCGTGTGACTGGAGCGGTTGGAGCGGAGAGTGGTGGGAGCGTGGGGTGGTGGTGGTGTTGGAATAGGATCGCAGAGGAGCGGTGGCAGGTCGGGAGAGGGAGATGGAGGCGGAGGGGGGATGGGCGAGCGTTATAAGGGGAGTCGGGCGAGTCGTCCAACGCATGAGGTGTGGTGGGATGTGCAGTGCAGTGTGGGATGGAAGAAGTCGGGTCGGCAAGTCGATCAGCTCTCCGGCGGCGGTGTTCCAGAGCTCTCTCAGGCGCCGTTTCGCTTCGTAGACACGGGCGACGGGCACAGGTACAGGTACAGGTACAGGTACAGGTAGCAGGTACAGGTCTGTAACAGGTACAGGCGCAGCGTGCGAGAAGGAGATGGCCAATCTATTCGTCGGCTGCAGTCAGAGGGAGGGCGGGATGGCAAAGCCGGGCAGCAAGCCCACTCCTTTTCTTAAGATAGAAAGTTGCAATCTAGGATGTGGATGGGACTCCGGAGACGCTCGCTTGTGTGCTTGGGAGGTGGATTGATTGATAGGTGATCGGTGATAGGGGGAATAATGTGATTATTGAGGGAGGATGCAGCTCACCATCCGCATTGCATCGGCATCGGCATTGGGAAGCTACGCTGGAGACCCGGTGCGGTGCGGTGCGATGCGAGAATCAGCCGTGACACTCACTGGCCATTCTCTCCCGATGCCGCCCGTTCCCTGCAGCCTACAACAACATGTCCAGTACCAGCTCTCCAGCACAGAGGGGGGGTTTGAGAGCCAGCCATGTCTGTGCGCGCGGCGTGGTACCTTTTTCTGCTCCAGCGAGGAGACAGCTACCACAGCTACCACAGCTACCACAGCTACACCATCTCGGAGCAGATCGTAAGCCACAGGCAGGCTAGGCCGTCTTGAGTAAACAGCTGCATCCACCCGGACAACAACGGACAGCGGACAGCGGACAGCGGACAGCGGACAACGGACAGCGGACAACGGATAACGGGGAACGAGGCAGACATTTCCGACCGCTAATAACAGAATAGAATACCGCGATCCAAGCAATACCAAGCCCCCAATAACAGTGTCGGTCCACGCGACACACGTCTTGGCACACATTCGTCTCGAGGCATGGACTGCTCTTGATCCTTGCATCCAACCCGCCGGAACGATAACGACGCATCCGATCGTTCTACTCCGATGCGATGCGATGCGATGCGATGCGTAATGTGAGATTCGGGACCTGCAGCCGCAGTCCTGTGCACAGTCAGCAAGAACACGCCTCACCTCGTCGGCCTTGTGTGTTGGAGCCCGATGCAATGTACACGTTGAGCCAACAAACTGCCTCGACCGCCGAAGTTGCCTATCGCGTACTTTATCGCGCAACGACCGCAGGAGATTTGGGAGAAGAGAGAAAGGTCATGAGGAGGCACAGTACGCGGGAGAAATTGGGCGACAAAAGGAAGATATTGGAGCAAGAGCAATAGATAAGGAAGAAGCCACGGCCGTGCTACGGATAGACCTAGCGACATGCCTTCGATATTGCCTTGTCCTCCCGCGCTCTGCAGTATATCTCCATGCAATTAGGCAGCAGTAGGAACTATTGGGGGAAAAAGCAAGTAGGCAACACTTAACGCCGCCGCAGCCGCATCCCACTTAGGCTCCTACGATCTCTATTCCGCTTTCACCCGTGCTTGGTAAATGTACATGTATGACTTCAAACGATACAAGCGCAAATATGAAGCAATCTCTAACTACAAATTCGAATGCTTCAACTCATGCTTCTTCTCCTACTTCTTCTCCGGACCAGGGATATCGAACCATCGGGGACGACCGTGAACTCCCATGGGCTGGGTCGCTGTATCTCTACGCGCTCCGAGAATGAGCATGTCATGTCGAAATCCTTCAACATGTGAAAGTCGGAAGTTGGGAAGTCTCCCCGCAGATAGGTGATATCTGCCTGAGGCACCAAAGACTCCAAGGGCTGGAGCTTGTGAAAGCGACGTCATCAACGCGTTGTCTGCGCGAAAGCTAGGTAACCCCTCAAATCAATTGTAAAACTTGGTCAATGACGAGAAAATAAACATTCCCATCTTGTTCGACCGTCCGATTGGCTTACAAGTACATGATGAGCACGCGAGCTCTTTCTCCTTTCGAGCTGAATGCGGCAAGGTGAGGTCGCGGCTTCCTCATCGCCTCCATCATCGTGACATACGCGCGCCACTCGTGTCTCTTCAGTCCACCGACCTCTTCCTTACGTTGCTGTTTCAACAACCACAACAGTATTCAACATGTCGTCCTGTTTCGGATTTCGAAAGAAGGCGTCGACAGGCGACCGAGAGCCTCTTCTGCCACAATATGAGGACGACACAGAGCTGCAGCGGAAGCTGCACCAAAAGCTCCACACCTACCAGATGTTCCGCGCATTGACCCAAGGACACATGCCCAGTACTGAACAGGCCATCATCAATCTTCGGACCCTTCTTGCGAGTGATGTCCTCAATGCAGACAACCCCGATCTGTCGCAAAGTGGACGAAGACTGGTCAAAAACACGAGACAGTGGATCCAACAGCTTATGGATCTGATACTGCACAAGAACGACAGAGATCAGATTCAGGATATCATTTGGTTTTTGAGCAAGAGCAGAGTATCGGTCGACCTCGACGATATCGCGGAAACAGCGAGGAGAAGCAAAGCCAAGGCAGACACAGCCGCTGCCTACCAGAGCTTGCGGACGGTTGGCTCGCTACTTCTCACGAATTCTGACTTTCGAATATTCTTGAGTGATCTTAATGTCATCGGCAGAGAGGTCTTCAAGGACTCAGCGTTTGCTCTTTCAAATGCCGCTGAAGAAGCTGGAAAGAAGTTGGAGCCATCTACGGAAGAGCAGCAGCAGGTTGCAAAGCCTGGAGCGGATGCAAACAAAGAGGCACCATCTACGCAGGAGCTTGAGGGAGATGTTGCGGAAGTCAGCAAGATCGTAGCAAACGGTTCCGCCGAGGTCGCCCAGACAGCTGCCGAGAGCACGGCAGACAGACTGTCTGGTGACGAGGGCAAGACTTTGGTCAATCGTCTGAAACAAGTCGTGACCAACCTGAGAAAGCGCGACGACTACTCCGAATCGGTATCAACTCTGTCGCTTCTTCTGCAGCGCTATGCCAAAGCATATTCGCGAGTAGCAGAAGACGTCGGCGAAGTGGCACAGCGCGATGTGCACGAGAACGAGGCTATGGATCGCGCCTTGCACAACATATGGATCTTCGTGACGAGCTTTGGTGACAAGAAGGAATGGGAGAAGACTGAGGAGCTCTACAACCAAGTCATGAGCCATCGGGAAAAGGATCCGCAATTTGAAGAGATGATGGTAGATACGGGTAACTCGCTGCAAAAGTTGTTGACAGATCCTGAATTCTTTGAGAACGCTCAAGAAAAGTTCAAAGAGCTTAGAAACAAGAATCAGGAGACTGGATCAGACAGCAATCTTGGCAAGGACGTTCAGGCGTTACTGCATCAGATCGAGAACACCTTCCAGAGCGTTCTACAAGACGAGGACATCCACAATCTGATCACGACCACGCTACGCATCTTCAGCATCCTCTCGCCGGTGAACAGAGCCACCAACCCTGAGCTGCTCCAGGACTCAATCAATGTCTTTGTACCGCTGCTCATCAACGCCATTCAGTACCTGCCAATACCGAGACTGGAAGTCAGCACACCGGAGGCAGACGTCTTACTCGAGAATCTCATCATTGAGCCAGGCCAGACCGTCAACCAGACCTCTTTCCTTCCATACCGCCTCAAGGTCGAAACCTACAATGATCTCGAAATTCGCAAAGCCAAGTTCCGAACCACGACCGCTACCACCAACCTGATGACCATCAAAATCGACGGCCTTTCAGCGAAGGCGGAAGAGGTCGGTTTCTGGCTCCGGGCCCACAAAGGTGTCTTCCGTCTTGCAGATGAAGGCATCGCGAATTTTGCCCTCGACGAGAAGGGCATCGATATTCATATCGACGTCGAGATCGGCCGCGAACGACTGGAGCAGATCCTTACCCTCAAGGCCGTTCGCGTGCATATTCATAAGCTCGACTACCAGTTCCGCAAGAGCAAGTTCAGCTGGTTAGGCTGGCTCTTCAAGCCTCTCCTTCGACCCATCCTCCGCAAAGTCCTCGAGAAACAGCTCGCTGCAGGACTGGCGGATTTCTTCCACGCTGCGAACCGCGAATTGGTCTACGCAAGGGAACGATTGAGAGCGACCCGAATCGCCGATCCAAAGGATCTGCTTACGTTTTTCAAGGCTGTTGCGGCGAGATTGCAGCCTGCCGAAGATCCCGATCTCTACACGCGGGTGGGTGTTGCGCAGCCTGGAAAGGGTGTTTTCAAGGGAGTGTATGCTCCGGGAAGCATTGTTAAGGTTTGGAATGAGGAAGGTGCTAGGTAAGTCGTCACTGATCTGGCTCTCAAAGACATGGAAAGTATGTATGCTGACTGATTTCGCAGGGCGACCGAGAGGATTGAAGACTACGAAGCGGGTGGTTGGAGGAATGAGATTTTTGATACGCATGTGAGGAGTCTGACGTGATGATGAACCAGAAAAGTTGCTACGAGGATTACGGCACAAGTTGTATAGTGAATGCGTATTGATATGTGTATGAAATTGATGACCGGACTGCATGCTGCTTTTCTCCTTTCAAAAGAAACTTGTTGTAGTGAGGGCAATGGAGAAAATTGGGAATTGAAATTGGCTATGACTCTCATTGCTACGACTATGGAGGAGCTCGTCCGGAGTGTTGGGTCACGAACGGAGTTGAGTAAGTTCAAAGCGGCGATGCTGATTCTGGATTGGTGGTTGCTGGCTGCTGGATTCCCCGCGCTGGATTTCCAGGGCTGTGGTAGTGTGGTGGTGACAACCGTGGTGCGGCGTGATCTCATACTAGCATACAAAAGGGAGAGTCCCGCGGGCGTTGGTATGTCGACATCTGCGGCTCGAAACCACAGCAGTGTTTGGTGGGTGTCCTTACAATCCGACACGGGGGAGGCGTACAAATCGAACCGCTCTCAAAGGTCTTGAACAGGGACAGGGCCAGCAACAGGACAGAACAGACTAGACGATTCCAAACGCATCGATGCCCTCGATCGCAGCCTTTGCAGACTTTCCCCCAACGCTGTCATCCTCCTCCGCCGCCGCCGCCGCCGCCATCTGCCAAAACGCCCGAACAGTCCCCTCACTCACGCCATACAACTGCACCGCACAATTCCTCTTCGGCAACCCAGCGAGCGGCGCGAGCGACTTGATCAGACCAACGTTCACACCCCCTTTCCAGGCACGGGTCGTCTGATCGCTGAAATGGATCCTCAACAGCCGCAGATTTCTCAGAACATCCGTCAGCCCGTCCAGGAAATGGTACAGGCTCCGCCACGCGCACGTCGGACGAGGGAAGGTGGTGGGGGAGTCCAGAAGGCGAATGGCGAGGGAGATCTTCCGGATCGCGCGCACGGGCTGCAGAGAAGAGCGGACGTCTTCGATTTCCTCGTGCGGAAGGCGGGATTCGTGGTTGTCGACGTTGCGCCAAGTGAAGTATCCGTACGTGAAGATCTCCTCGGCGCGGGGTTCCCGACCAGGAGGGAGGAAGCCGCGGCGGCGGCGGAGGCAACGGAGGATATCGTAGGAGTTAAAGAAGGTGGATTCGATTTGAAGAACGCTTTCGGCGTAGAGAATGCCCTTCCCTTCCGCGTAGATTTGTTTGCAGGTGCGGAGGAGGGCGGGGTGGGCGGTTGCGTCTTCGTCTTCATCGTCGGGGTCGCGGACGAGGAGGAACTCGTAGATGGAATTGCGGAGCTCCGGGGCGAGGTCGAGGAATCGGAAGGGGGTGGTGCAGTCGAGCAGCGTGAGTTTGTGGATGTAGGAGGCTTTTGTTTCGGTGACCTGGACTGTTTCTCCTGTGCGTCGTCGGATCAAGTTGCGCAGTTGCTGACAGGAGCGCTTGTTGTAGTCGGGCAAGCGGTGGGGCGGCGCCATTGTGCCCCAAGATGGAAGTGTTGCTGTTGTTTGTTGATTGTTGCCCTGATGTGGCTAGATTTTGAAATAAGCATTCTGAGAGCTGATGTTTCATGGCTGCCTTCGCGAGTGAACAGCCCGTGCGTTTTCACTTGGACAGCCTCAGGCAAGATATGGGACAACTCAGAGCCGCGGAAGAAAACAACGGTGAATAATGACGTGGCTCCGTTCGATGTTGGCATTTTACCTCCAGCGCAGTGTCCGGAAGTCCCTAGGCTGTGCGAGTGTCTTCATGCGAATGACCAAGACCGGCTACCGATTGGCATTCTCCACTACCGCTCTAACTGTTCTTTCTCCATAATCGAGACCAGTAGCCAAGATGCCTGCTCCATCATGATGTCGAGACCTCGTAGGTCGAGCTCGCAATCGCTCGACAACCATGTCAGCGGCGCCATCAAACCCACCAGCGGAAACTTCTTTCCAGAGATTCCCTCCGATAGTCAGTAATCCTTGAACATTTTGAAGGCGTTGCACGCAGCAAGCAAGATCCAGAGAATCGAGCATCCGAGGAAGACTGTCGACTCAACGTACCTCATGGACTGTACTCAGGTTATTCAGTAAAGGCTATAATTATTACTCACCAGCACCATCTGTCACCCATGCCCTGGTCTCGCCATTGCCAGAGGGTATTATCGCATGCGATCTCGCTAGAGAAGCCTCGGTCCTGAGTTCTTGACCACCATCAACTCCTTGTGTTCCAAATCAAATCTCTGACTTAGCAATCATAATCCCGTACGGATCGCGGTCGACTTCGCTGACGTGAACTTCGACGGCTTGATCGTTCAGCGCCTCCATGAATTCGTCACTGATACCGCTCTGGCTCTTTTCGGCATTGCGAAGCTTCTCCCACTGCGGCGTTAAGTTAGTTGTGGGGAAACCGATGAATTGGGTAAAGGTTGGCTCACCTCCTGCTTTACAGTTCTCTCCAGCTGCCCCTTCAATATACTGTGGAGGAATCCTCTCTCGGTGTTGCTGTGGAACAGACAAACGATCGCCTTTCCCTTCTCAATCGCGGCTAGGGCCTCATGATGCGACAGCTCTCCGGTGAAATACAGGTCGACGTCCTCGCCATTCTTCTCGGCTTCAGCGAAGAGACTGCCACCTGAGCCCGCACAGAGCGCGATACTGCTGATCATCATGTCGCTTGCTTGCTTGCCTTGAGGAACAGCAATAGGGAAGCCTTTCGGATTTCCTAGTCCAAGACCGATCCGATCGATGATGTCAATCAGGGGCACTGGCTCCGCAAGACGAATGATTCTGCCCATTCCTGCTCCCGGGTATCCCTCTACTGACACGCTCTTGATTGGGTATCGCCTGTGTTGGTGGTTACCCAGATTCAGCGCTCGTTCGTTCAGGGAGAGCTGCGACGGGTGGTGCTGAAGCATATACACCGGGCGCTTCGGATCTTTGAGCGAGTTCGTTTCCGAATTAGCTTGTGAGATTTCTGCTTTGTTGGGAGCAGCGCCCTCCGCGCTTTCGAGATCCTCTTCAAGTTCTTCGGGATTGGTGGGGACGCCGGTCACGATGTCTGCAAGCCAGTCGCCAAGCCCACCGCGAGCACAGTCGACGGCTGTGTGAGGGCTGTACACCTGGTGACTTCATTAGTCGACAGTATTTTCTTATGCATGTTCTCCTCCCTACACTGATGCCTTCAGCAGCCAATCGCAACAGACTCTGTTGTTGTGTATCCTTCAGCGTCAAGCTCTTGAGACCTCTGAAGATGATGGGATCTACGCTTCACATCGTGTCAGGTCCAACAGAAGCACATCATTCGCCAGGTACTAACGATATGCAATGACAATCGAATCTTGCCGTTCGATAGCTTCGTCCGCAACGGCTTTGGTGAGGTCAACGGTGAGGAGGACGGAATTCATCTGTCGACGGACAGGATCGAATGGAGCTTCCAGCAGCACTATTCAACGCGTTAGAAAATATTCCCTGTGACATATGGCTCTTCTTGTCTTACATCCAGTATTATCAAAGCTCTTATCCGCCAGTACCTCAGGATACCTTCAACCCAGCAATCAGCCCTTCTTCCTTCCCACTTATATCGTGACATATCACCCACAGCTTGCGCATCGCATTCACGACGGCCCTCGTGTAGGGTGCCGAAATCGCCGACGAGCTCATCGTGCTGTATGCTCTCCTTGCCGTGGCCCTGAACATAAAGAAGTAGACCACTGCCAATGTTGGCGAAGGGAGTGTCGTCGTTTCTGGGACTGGACAAGGATCTTCTCTTGCCGACCCGAGATCCGAAACCGAAAGTGAGACGTCATCCACCACTCCGCGGGACACTTCCATCAATCTCATGCAAAGCACAAGCTCACATACTTGCTGTGAGCCGCTACGAATTTCTAAGCCAAAATGTCCGCTCGAACAGACGCAGAAGCAGAGCAGAATCAGCTCTCCAGTGGGATCACGCCCGATACCCTCGAAACGACACTACGCGACAAATTGGAAGCGAGCCACGTCGACATCGCAGATCTGTCAGGTACGATCTGATAAAGCTACCACCTCCCGTCGATTCCATGCACTGACATATCTTGTCTGTTCTTTCAGGGGGTTGCGGCCAAATGTTCGAAGCCATCATCGTGTCTCCACAATTCGCGAAAAAGACGACGCTGGCAAGACATCGGTTGGTGAATAATACTTTGAAAGAGGAGATCGCCGCGATACATGCTTGGACACCCAAGTGCTTTACGCCTGAAGAGTGGGAGAAGAAGAAAGGCGGTAGTTGAGAGGATGTCCATTATCAAAAATTAGGAGACTCTTTAGGGCGAAGATGTATTGAGGAAGAAAAGAGAACGAAGATACCCAGGATATTGAAGATTCGAAGATTGAGCGACGCCTACGTGGCATTTGGGAGTCGAGGTCGTTGCTGTTGAGACCTCTCCCTCGACAACACTACAGCGTCGGGTCTGATTGTCTCCCTTGAGATCTTCGACGCGTAATTGAGAACTGGTACCGTCAAGCTCCGCAACAACTTTCGTTCTCTTTGCATTACTACATATCTACAACAGACGTACTGTATCTTCCAAACCCCTGTCGCGCCTGTGGAGGAAGCCAACAAGACAACTCCGAGTGTACGTGGACATTTTCACGCATAGACAGTAATGGTTTCCTTTGCGACAGTCCGAGTAATAGTCATGCCTGGGTCGGTGATAGTCACGGTCACGGTAACGGTATCCTTTTCGGCGGTGCTGCTGCTCACATCCATAACGTTGACACTGCTGGGATTGATTGGCACGATCGTGATACCGGGTTTATCACTGAAAGTCGAGCTCGATGTTGTTGTTGGCGGCGAGTAAGCTGGAGCCGAGTTCGATGCGTACGGAGATGGAGATGGCCCGTACGTGAGGATTACTGGCAGGCTCACAGTACTCGAGTAGCTCGGAGCATAAGAGTACGAAACAGAGCCATACGCTGGCGCTGTTGCAGAGGATGGGTTGTCGAATGTCGAGGCCTCACTGCTTGCCTGAGGATTTTGCGAGCTTGGGTACGGATAGGCTTGTCCTGAAGATGATGGCTCAGCATCCGGAGTAGACTGGGAGGAGTACACAGGAGCTGAGGATGCTGTCGAGGGCTGTTGAGTGTGTGTTGCCTCGCTGGAAGCAGGACCACTCGAAGGGATGGCATATGAAGTGGCCTGCGCGACGCTACTCTCAGCAGTAGGTTTCTCCGAATGCAAAGTGGATGTTGTGTCAGAAGTGGCTGCTATCGTGCTAGACTCCGGTGAAGAGGCCGTTTCGGAAGACTGAGATACTGAAGATCCTCCGTACCCAGCAGCCGAGCTGTTGAGGTGCGAAGGGCTAGCTGGCATTTCGGACGATGGGGCGACAGTAGTATAGAGCGTGAGCGTGGTACTGCTTTGTGCATCTCCGCTATGGCTTGGAGCATAGCCTGCCGGTGAGGACGAATGTGCTTGTACGCTCGACGCACTTTGATGTGAGCTTGGAGTGGCGTAGGCGCCTGGCCCTTGTGACGAGCTTGTACTGTCCGCATCTGGATTGACTGTCGTAAACATCGTAAAGGTCGTAGTACTTGAAGCATTTTGGGATGACATGCCTCTCGAAGGAGCGATGGTGGCATTGGCATAACCCTTTGAAGAGCTCGTACCTTCGGACGAGATGGGTGCATAGCTGTAGTGAGGCAAGGATGCGCTCGACGAAGTCGACTCAGGATTGAGTTGAGACGAGCTCGAAGTTATTGCCGCCACAGCTTCTGTGGGAAGTATGCCAGCTCCATAAGCTGAAGGAGATAATGCAGCAACGAATGCCCCAGTCGAGGCAATGATCGTAGTCATTTGATGTGTCATGGATGGAGGATCGATCGAAGAGGGCGTTGCGACCGATATCGAGCTCGATGAGTACAAAGACGGCTTCACGACTGATACGAGTCCGGTCTGGGGCTGTGCAGAAGTTGTCGTCGAAGATGAACTTTCGACCGAGGAGAGCTCTGTGCCTGGTGCATCTCCTGTCTGATACTGCGGCGCAGACGCCAGCGAAGCGGTCGATTGTTCACCCGAAGAAAGTTGAATAGCTGACACATGGCCGGTTTGCAATTGCAGTGACGAAATGGTCGAGGGTGTCGTAATAGCGATCGTGGTGTTGGCATATCTTGCGGCCAGTGGGGTTGCGGACGCCGCAGACGCGCAGAGAACCAACAGAAGAATGTCGAAGGGTGAAAACATAGTGCCTGTGGGTCGTAAATGCAATGGGATATTAATAATTACGACTTGAAGACCAGCTTCAGCGGCAACAGAGACGCAAGGAGATCAAAGAATGAGTGATTGATGCAAGTAGAAGGAAAGACGTAGATCTGAAGATGTACAGAGGAGAGCGGGCAGGGGAGAAGGTAGATATTCAAGTCGCACATGGTGTCTGGTCGGGACCAAGACAGAACCATCTCGACCTCAGACGCGTCGTCTCTAGCCTGGCGCCAGATGGGGAAGATTGATTAGGCGTCCGTTGATGTCCTATGCGTGAGCTGTACGAGGAACAGAAATATCCAGCGCTTCTACAGGTTCTCTTTGACGCTGTACAAGACGTGAAGTCGGGCGTCTCCAGTCACAGAGTCGTATTGCATGGACCGCATGGCGCGTGTTCATTGGACGGCGCTTCTCGCCCATCAAAAGCTTGGACAATGCCTGTTTCAACCAATTAACCATTATCGACGGCTCTGCCTCGCAAGCAGCCAGACTGCCGATGTCGTTCAAGAAGCCAAGCAACAAATGTAGAGTGAGATTGCATGTGAAGATGGAGTGGTGAGGAGCAGATGAAGTGGAAGAAGGTTGAAGGGAGTGCCAAGACTAGCCGTTTCCCCAGCGACAACCCTGTTTGCTGACGGCGAAACTCCGGAACTCAGCTGCCTCGCGACTCGTGCACCGCAAGCGAGACCGTGCATTGAGATTGTCAACTCCACCACTTTCACTCCCTTGCACACGGCATCGCGTCGACTACACCGCATCCTTCGCGAGCATACTAGGTCGCCATGAGTGTGCGAGTGGTGGCCCGTATCCGGCCGCTGCTCAAGAACGAGATCGAGAAGGATGCCATCGTCAGCGCATCCAGCGAACGCGCCAATCCCAACACCAAAACCCTTGTGAGCATACCGAATCCCAGAAACGAGGCCGAGCTGTACTCCTTCCAGTTCAGCAGCGTCTACGATCAAGCGGCTACGCAATCAGACATATTTGACAGTGAAGGTGAGAGATCAATGGCACGAAAGCACGATAGGCGGCGCTGATGTGTTTGCAGTTGCTCCAACAGTGAAACACCTCTTCAAGGGCTACGATATCACTTTATTCGCATATGGTGTCACCGGCACTGGGAAGACGCACACCATGCGAGGAGGAAAGAGCTTGGCAGATCGAGGCGTCATTCCTCGTCTTTTGTCCAGCATCTATCGGCGAGCGCGCAAAATCGAGAAAGACACAGCAGGCGAGACACAGGTGGAGGTCGTCATGAGCTACTACGAGATCTACAACGACCGCGTGTTTGACCTGTTCGAGCCACCGGAGAAGCGCACCCCCGCCGGCCTACCCATCCGCGACAACCACAATGGGAAAGCGACGGTTGTCGGCTTGACAGAACGACCCTGCACGACCTTGAAAGAGTTTGAGCTGTTATACGACCAGGCCAACATGAATCGATCAACGTCTGCCACGAAGCTGAACGCACATTCATCTCGTTCGCATGCTGTTCTGTGCGTGAAGGTTACGCAATCGACCGGAGATCAAGTACGCGTGAGTACGGCTTCGGCCATTGACCTTGCTGGCTCGGAAGACAACAGGAGAACGGACAATAACAAGGACCGGCTTGTTGAAAGTGCCAGCATCAACAAGTCGCTATTTGTTCTTGCATCTTGTGTGGAAGCCATCTCGAAGAAGCATGTTCGAATACCCTACAGGGAGTCCAAGATGACGCGCATCTTGGCGTTAGGTCAGAACAATGGCCTCACGGTCATGATCTTGAACTTGGCACCCGTCCGAAGCTACCATCTCGATACACTCAGCAGTCTGAACTTTGCCAATCGGACGAAGAAGATCGAGGTCAACGAGATCGAAAATCAACCCTTCTTCCGAGAGCCTCCGGCCGGCAAGAGCAAGCTCGATCCTCAAGGTCCCACTGCAGCGCCTGCAATGAATCGTCAACCGTTGCGACCAAAGCTGTCGACTGTCAACAGCCAAAGTCAGTTGAAAGAAGTTACGACGAACGTACCGAAGCCAGTGAAGCAATTCTCGGTCTATTCAGACAGACCAAAAACGACCACGAGACCTTCAAACCTGGCCAACACTACACAATCACGTGCTACAGCATTGCCGATAAAGTCACCTAAGAGGATAGCAAGTACGGAGGGATTAGGAAGACCAGCCAAGGCGTCTAAAACGAATGTGGAGGCTGGGATGTCCAAAGATGCTATCGAGGCTCTGATTGAGCGTAAGGTCACAGAAGCTCTTGCTGGTCGCGTGGATTCGACTACGCTTTCCAGCCAAGATCCAATCTCGGATGAGGTTCAAAAGAGGTTGGATGCATTGGAGAAGCGTGTCGAAGGCCAGGAGACCGAGAGGGCAGAAGGACTACAGTACCTTCTTATGGCCAAGCAGCATCAGGTACGCGGAGAGGACGTTAGTGCCCTGAAGATGTACCAGCTGGCACTGCCTCACTTTCCAGGCAATGAGAAGTTGATTCGAAAAATGTCCGCGTTGCAGGACAAAATCGAAACGAAGAAGCAGGAGAAGCGTAACTCGGCAGCTGCTGCTCGCGACTCCGTGCAAGAGCCGAATCACAAGCCTGTTGGTCGGCGGAGAGCCAATTTCGACGAAGATGAGAGCTACCACGAGCTCCAAAATGAACAGGACGAAGAAGAGGATGACTTTATATATCGACCTCGCACCAAGTTTCGCAGGCCACAGCTTCCCCAGCCGAGCGCGAAGCACTCGCCGCCGATGGACGAGGATTCTGAAGATGAGCTCGGCGCAGCTCTTGTTGCGCAGACGCCGAGGACGAAGCAGCTGTTGGATATCATAAACACCAAAGACGTCAGTCAAATCAAGCTATTGAAGGGCGTCGGTGCAAAGAAAGCCGAAGCTATCGTAAACTGTCTCTGTGATTTGGACGATAGTGTTACCACTCTCGGGCAATTGGGAAAGCTAAAGGGCGTTGGAATCAAGACGGTGGAGAACATGAGGACGGGTCTGTTGCATGCTTAAATTGATGCATTTTCGGAAGTTGAGGATCAGTGAGCTAATGGCTTCTGTTACTCTACATGTGATTATTTCAGCGAAGCGAGCGAGGCGTTGGGGATATGCAAGCCAGCACGAGACGGCTTTGGGAATCGACAGGGCTTGGTTATAGGCCGTCGCATAGAGGTATAATTATTTTTTACCTGCAGCCCTTGTGGCAGCTTCGCGGACTTCTCTGGTAGCCGCTCATTCCGCGCTGAATGCACCGCGCAAGGGGCAGCACACGTGAGAGAGCTTCCAACGGAAAATCGGAGTCCGTGTACCTGGGAAGTGCAAGCAAAGCATCATTTCTCTAGGAGCAGACTGGCTGACAACAGACGCAAGCTAATGGATGTCCAAAATCTTCTGCACGGTCCCGATGTGTTGGCCGCTGGATCCAGGTGACTGGGATACGGCAAACATTGATGAAGGAAGACGACACTCTCCAAGCACGGACCATGCCCAATACCAACCTCACGTCTTGCTTCGCTTCGCTCTAGACTATGAGTACGGAAATAGACCACGATCCTCCCACTGGAGAGCATGGATGGGCGGAAACGAGGTCGGGGTATTGTAGGAGAAGTGCTCCGCCATCGTTCCGGTCTGTAGCTCAATCAGGTCCCGGACGAGGTATCAGGTTTGCCGTTCTGAAGGCTCTGCAATAGCCGAATCGACGCCCAGCATTTCTTGCCTCTCGCCGATCAAATTGAAATGTAAGTGAATGGGTTGCTGAAGGGCTGACTGATAGGCTCCTTCACGGCATCGCAGGGTACACAGCCGAGTTTCGTGCAGTCTTCGTAGTGCATTAGCCGAGGAGTACGACAGCCGGCCGGCCCTCCGGGCTAGTAAGAGACCCAGTAAACGTTGTCGGTCTTCAGTAAGTCGGAGCTTGGATTGCCGCAATGGCTGTCAGTCCGGAAGAACCTGCCTCGTAATCGATCATTGTCAAGATATGCTGGCGAGCAGGTGCGGCGGAAGTATCGGCTTGCAAGACACACGGAATCCGGGGCACATGCTTAACTTCCCTGCACTACTGCTCTCTACAAAAGACCTTCGATGCCTCACCTCAGCGTTCACTCCCCTAGTTAGTCTGTTGAGATTTATGTTGCGGGATTCGGACTCAGCTTCGCGATCAACCTCGCGATCTCGCATTGTGAAAGCTAAACACTCGAAGCCGTATCTTCTGGAGGCCTGGACATAAGGAGACTTAATTGCCTGTCAGAAGAACTGTAAAATGCTTGGGAAGGTCGCTCTCGAGGAAGCATTTGCGCTCCCGCGCAATGCCGAGACCACCGAATGGTGGGCAGGCATGTTCGCCGTGGACCCAGCGAAGCACACTCGCGAAATCAACGACATCAACAAATTGCGAATCGAGAAGATGGACAAGTTTGGCGTCGGCTACAAGATCCTTTCGTATACCGCTCCTGGTGTTCAAGATGTCTGGGAGCAGAGCAAAGCAGATGCTCTTGCTCGTGAAGTGAACGATCACGTTGCCAAAGAGATCAAGGGGTTTGAGACCAGATTAGGGGCTTTTGCGTAAGTTGGGAAGAAGTATGCAAATTGGGTTGCAAAGAAGTCGCTAATATCTTGATAAGCACCCTCTCGATGCACGACCCAAAAGTAGCATCCGAAGAACTGAAACGCTGCGTCGTCCAATACGGCTTCAAAGGCGCTCTCGTGAACGACACTCAACGAGACGACGAATCCGGCAGCTCTATGATCTTCTACGATGGTCCAGAGTGGGACGTCTTCTGGTCCACTGTCCAAGAATTGGACGTACCATTCTACCTCCACCCTCGCAATCCCACCGGAGTCTTCCACGAGAAACTCTGGGCACCTCGCAGATGGCTCATCGGCCCACCCCTGAGCTTCGCCCAGGGCATCAGTCTGCACCTCCTAGGAATGGTAACCAACGGAGTCTTCGACCGTTTCCCGAAATTACAAGTCGTCATCGGCCATCTAGGAGAACACCTCCCCTTCGACCTCTGGCGGATAAACCACTGGTTCGAAGACGTCAAGAAGCCCCTGGGTCTCGACTGCAAGAAGACGATCCGGGAGTATTTTGCGCAGAATATCTGGATTACGACGAGTGGGCATTTCTCTACCCCGACGCTGGAGTACTGCATCAAGGAGATTGGGTGGGAGAGGATTCTGTTTTCGATTGATTATCCGTTTGAATCCTTTGAGGATGCTTGCGTTTGGTACGATGGAGTGGAGTTGGATAAGGAAGAGACTGTGAAGGCTATTGGGAGGGATAATGCCAAGAAGCTTTTCAAGCTTGGAGAGTTTAAGGATGATAGTGCTTAGGCAGTCAGAAAACATCTGTGGATTTCACCCCGGCTGCTTACTCTCAGCTCAGTGCAGTCTACCATCGTGAATGACGGTAGCATCGTCGGACATTATGCAAGTAGTTCAACTTCTTGGCATGCGGCTAGGGTCACTCGTGTCAGAATATCCAGACCTGAGCAGACGGCGCATGCTCGCTCACAAGCACCCTTTTGGGTCACATCGGCACTGGCTAGGAGATAGAGGGTAATGAGATAGGATGCATGGAAAATGACCTGAAGAATAAACATTGCAATTTCATGATATCAAACTTCCCCCCTCTCATCATCCTTCAGCCCTCAAAGCTGAGCCGGAATAGCAGAAGAATGATTCGACACTCCCTTTTCACTCTCCGCAGCCAAAGCAATATCATACTGCAATTCCCACTCAGCCTGCGCATCGCCCTCGCGAGGCTCAAACTTGACCACCAGATCATCCTTGACGGCGAAAACGGAATCGTCTTCGAGGTACTTCGACTGCGAGTCGAAGATTTGGGTGGTGATGGGTTTGTGGCCCTCCTTGCTGACGATGAAGTGAATGTGGGCGGGTCGGTACGGGTGTCGATCCATCAGATCGAGAAGTTTCCCGGCTGGGCCGTCGCTGGGGACGGGATACGGCGTGGGTCGCAGGCAGTAGAAGGCGTATTCGCCTTGAGGGTTGGTGAGGAATTTGCCGCGGAGGTTGTGGTCCACCTGCTTGTCGTCTTGTTGCTCGTAGAGGCCTGTGACCTTTGTCAGAGAAAAGGACCCACTGCGCAGTCCATGTACTTATAGTGACTTTTGCACTCACCATTTGTAGAAGCCTGCCAGACATCCACAACGGCATCACTCAATGGTTTCCCAGTCGTGGCGTCGGTGACAGTCCCATGAACATACGCAACCTGCCCATCGGAAGGCGTGTCGAAAGTGATGGTGCTCCCAAACTCCCGCATCGGTGTATCCTGTCTCCAGAAGGGACCGAGAATCGCCGAAGCCGTAGCAGAATCCGTTGCCTCTGCCGCTTTTCGATAAGTAATGTCGTCCACAAGACTTGTCGATCGAAAGTCAGCGAAATTTCCAAAATCCCTTTCATTCCGTTCCCATATATGAATTAAGCCGACTTACGATTCCAATCCAATCACATCGCAAAGCAACTGTCCTTCGTTCCGCTTGTGATCGCTCATCTGACCAGCCCAGTTGATCATCCTATTTTCCCAATCCGTGAGCTTCGCCACACCGCTGGTGGATGGATAAAACTCACTGCACACCAGCCATCCACTCATCAACCGTGAGATCCACCTCCCTCGCGAAATCATGCACATGTCGAATCAACGAGGCCATGACCGTTCTCAACCTCTCATCCGTCTTGGGACCCATAGACCTGATGACATTCTCGGTATACTCCTTCCCCAAACCCTTGTTGGAAGGAGGAGGGGGGGGAGCATCATGATGGCCGTTTGGCTGAATTCCGTTCATTGTTTTTCCTCTAGGTATCTAGATGCAGCACATGGAGAGGAACGAAACGAAACAAGAAGGGTAAGAGCAAATTACAAACCCCATCTGGAATCCCTTCCGCTCCTCATCATCAGCAGATGAGATGAGATGAGAAAACGAGCCGCGCGCGCGTGCCCCGCACAAGTTCCAGACCTTCCGTACCGAACATCCGATCCGATACCGAAATCCATCGGATCGGGACACGGACGGGCCGCCACTATCACAAGCCAACCGCGCCCAAAACGGAAGGTGCTCGGACCGCGCACTTTTCCCTCACGCGGTCGGCTAGGATCCGGACCACACCACACCACCACGAGACGCTAGCGATTGATAGCATGCGATAGGCAGGGAATAGATTTCCTGCGTTAGCCACACGAGCACGGGAAGGCTTTGATAGTGAGAAGAGAAGAGAAGAGATATTTAGAAGTGAATCACCAACTCTCAAAAAAAAGAAGGAGAAGAAGAAGAAGAAACAATCAACAACAGTTCCCATAAACTCTCTCAAGAACTCTTTTCCATCATCAATCACCACGAACCATGCAGCCCGGAACGGCGTGGAAACCCCTCTCCATCGCCATCGCAGGCGGCGGCATCGGTGGTCTGGCAGCCTCCATCGCGCTGCGCAGAGCAGGCCACAGAGTCACCATCTACGAGCGAGCAGACTTCGCCGGCGAAGTCGGGGCTTCGATTTCCTGCGCGGCAAACGGCGTCAAATGGCTGCGGGAATGGGACGTCGACGTGGAAAAGGGTGATGGCGTGTACCTTCGTCAGCTCATCAACCGCGACTGGGAGACCGGCGAGCCCGTCAGCGTGTATGACTTGAACGACTATGAGGAGAAATGGGGGCATCCGTGAGTAATTCACCAACGAGAAAAACCTCAACGGGGGGTGGGGAGGAAGAGTTCTCGCTAACTAACGTACCTGTTTGTTTGGGGTCGTAGATACTACATGTTCCACCGACAGGACATGCACAAAATGCTCATGGACTGTGCCCTGCAAACCGAAGGCGCCGGCCACCCCGTCAAGCTCGTCGTGAACCACAAACTCGTAAACCTCGACTTGGAAACCGGCCTCATCACCTTCCACGACGGCTCCACGGCCCAACACGAAGTCATCATCGGCGCCGACGGGATAGGTTCCACCGTCCGCAAACTCATCGGCATCAACGTCCAAAAACGCCCCGCGGATTCTTCCTGTCTACACGCAAACGTCACGACCGAAGAAGCCGTAAGACTCGGCTTCCCGGATTATTCCAAAGACTCCGCGATCGAGTACTGGGGCGGGCATAATTCGTGGAACAAAATCGTCTTGTCGCCTTGTAATTCCGGGAGCTTGCTTTCGTATTATTGCTTCTTCCCGCGAGAAAAGGGGGATTACTCCGATCAGAAATGGGACGCCTCTTCCACGACCGAGGAACTACTATCGCCCTATCCGGATCTAGACAAGGGCGTCTACAACCACCTCGCCATCGGAAAAGAGATCCGACCGTGGAGACTCTGGGTCCACGAGCCGTATTCCCACTGGCAGAAAGGCGCGGCCTGCATCATGGGAGACGCCGCACATCCCATGATGCCCGACCAGAGTCAGGGAGCATGCATGGCACTCGAAGACAGCGCGGCCCTAGGTCTCGTCTTCAGCAAGGATTTCTATCCCGGTAGTGTCCAAGAAGCCCTCAAGCTGTACGAGAAAGTCCGACATCCAAGAGCGACAAAGGTGCAGGCTGCGTCGGCGAGAGCCAGAGAGAATATCCATGAGCGCATCGGATTTTCGGACAACACGAATAACCCGAGGTATAAGGTGAAGAGCGAGGAGGGTAAGCTGACAATCACAGAGATGAACAGCTATGATATGCGGGAGGATATCCGGAGCAAGTGGCCCGAGGGATGGGCGCAGAAGACCAATGGCGAGGCTGAGAATGGTGTTCATGTTGTCAACGGACACTAAAGTTAGCAGTTGCTGGGAATGATGTTGGGTAGAACAATGAGCATTTGGGTTGGCGTTTTGGTTGAAGGGTTTAGAGCCTTCGACACAGCATTAAATGGTCGTTTCACCATCTCGAATATCAATATCTTACATCGAATAGACCTTTTCTCCAGCAAGTGGTCGCAAATTTGGTATAACCACGTAACATATTGGTCGTGTGGCTGGGCTTAGGTATCCAAGGCTGGCAAGATGGACTCCCAGTCGATGTACAGATTATCGGATAGCAAAGGCATATCTGACCACTCGTCGGCTGCTTGAAACGTGGAAAGACCGTAACTCTGGGTATCAAAATCGAAGCCCGTAGCAGTGCTGTTGAAATCCCCACCAAGTGCCGGGTCGATATTTGATGTTCCAGAAGAAAGAGTGATGTTTGCAGGCGGTGGAGGCATAGCGTTACCATCGTGAAAGTCTGCGGTAAAAATCTGACTGACGAAGCGATCGCTCTTCTTCCGTCTTTCTCTTCCGCGCTGCTCGCGTTGAGTATGTATGGCATCCGAGAGTGTACTGAGGATCTCAAAGTAGTGTCTCGCCTGCGGGCTGACCTGAGCAAGGCGTTCTAGAACCGCTATTGCATTTTGAAAAGCTTCATCGACCTCAGGAGCGGGCTCGGGCTGGGCGAACATGACAAAGCCCAGGAGAAGCCCAGCAGCAAACATCCAGGCCCTAAGCAGAGTCAGCATTGATCTCATCAGTAGCTACACTCACGATGCTTACTTTAGCAAGCACATGTTGTTAGACAGGATACTTGAATTGATCGCGACATAGCCTGTTTTCGCCATGAACATAGCACTGTCAAGGCATGCCTGGGCCAGGTCGGAGACATGCGATGGCTCGGGTCGATCGGTACTTGGTGTCCGTCGGCGGAGCTGAGATATCAAATGCGAGATGAGGAAAGGTCTTGTCACCAGGATGATGGTGAAGTAATACGTGCAGGCGACGTGTGTAGCCCCTATGAAGAGTTCTCGATCCGCGGGGCCCAAAGTAGCGGTCTTCATGCTCGCAAAATGTCGAAGCTCGGCAGGCAACGTCTCGTTCCATTCACGAAGTCGTTGAAGGAAGGTCTCTGCTGTATTGGAGTCCATGTTATTTCCGTTGCCAAGATGTTGTTCCAGTTCTATGATGTGAGAGCAGATGGTGAAAACGGCACGTGAGGCCAGCCATCTAGGTCGATCGAAATCGCCAATTACTTCATCGCCGTCATAGGCACTATCATCTTGTGGTCGCATGGAGGGCAAGCCACCAGGTCTGCCGAGAATGGAGGAAACGATTGTGTCCAGAATAAGAAGACTCTTCCAGGTCCGCCATCGAACCAGGCATTCCTTGGATGAAAGTCCTTTGTACTGCTCTTTGCGATGCAGACCCAATGCACAAGCTGCTTTGGAGGCTATTCCCAAATACATGAAGGCTGCATTCCGGTGACACGCACCCAGCATGTAGAAGGCCATGAGCAGAAAGACCCGGACCATGTCCAGGCTTGGATCGCAAAGAAAGCCTTCGAACGCCGTCTTCTGCGCGCACGTGAAAGATCTGGCAGCATTGTAGGTGTCGAAGGGGGTTTGCCCTCGGCATTGGCTTCCGATCGCCAACATCATATTCAATGCGGCTTGTTCGGCGCGTGCGTGTTTGTCTTGTTCATCGATGAAGGTGCTGGGACTGAGGGCATCGTGACGATCGAGAAAGGCTCGAATCTCCTCGACCGTAAAGAGATCGATAATGCCTGAAGACTATGGAGACCATTAATAAGAGCTGCGTGATGAGCGATGGGAGCACTTACAGCTTCGCGGTACGCTTGAACAAGAGCATATTTCTCACCACGGGTTTGATCGAAGACCAACGGATTCTCGTCGCGTGTCATCTCGACTTCTAACATATTGTCCTTGAACTGGTTTTCGGTGAAGGCAGAAGGGCCCATGTACTTCTTCAGGATCTGGCGAAGGAACTGGAGGAATGATAGTGAGGCATTCTCGCCCACGTAGACTAGAGAGGGTCAGGGTGGATGCTCAGGGATATATCGTGGAATAGCATACGTTTCTCGCCCTTGGAACTCAGCAGCATACGACTCTGTGTCAAGCGGGAAGCCGACTGGGCAGGCTCGGGAGTGGGAGTAGGAGTGGGCGTGGGCGCGGCCGTGGGCGTGGCATTCTCGGTGACGGAGGCTGCAGTCGATGCAGCGGACGGGAAGTCAGGCGGGAAAGTAGGCGGAGGCATACGATGGCCATGGACGGGGCTGCTCTCGACGTGCGGCGAGGTGTGCGCCAGACTGGGCGTAGGAAAGGGCGATACCTTCTGTCTCTTCCGCGAGGGCTCGAGATAGAGGCATGCTGAGGTGCGCTCACGTTTGGAGCAGGGCCCACAAGGCGAGGCCGCATCGCAACGAATCTTGGAGGCCTTGCAAGGGAGGCAAGCACGTGCACTTCGCTGTCGGTCTTGCGGTTTCACCTGTACGAACGGGTGAGCGGACGGGACAGGACAGGACAGGACAGGACAGGACAGGAGAGGAGTCTCGGGCATTGGGCTTCACCTACCTTGGGGCGTGGCATGCTGCCAACTCGGCTATGGGCGTCGAGATGGTCGTGTGCTACCGTCAGGGGCGACTAACTCAATAATCATCACCTACTCTCACCTGGAGATTGGTACGGATACGGGGAAGCTCCAGTCTGGAGGGCAGCGCCAGCTTTTGTGAGGGCCAATGCGCACAGCGAGGCGACTTCCAAGTTCTGCTATCTCGCGCTCGATAAGGCGCTCGATAAGGAATGCAGCGCTGAGAGGCCTCGATGTCGTGCAGGTGCATTGTGGGTGTGTGGGTGTGGGTGTGGGTGTGCTCACATGGGAGACTAGCACACATAGAGGTGTTCGGCCCGAGACCCGACCCACTGTCCCGCTCGGGCGTACAGTCAGCAGCAGGCCGGGGCCTTTCATCCGAACTTCCTCTAGCGACTTCATCCTTCGTCTGCCCTTCACAATGTGTTATCTAACCCAAAGTGACCAACTCAAAATCTCCACTAACTCCTCGACCCCGCCACAGAATAGCTATGCCGGGCGTCATGGGTCCAGTGCGGCTCGCGGTCCGGCAGACCATCGCGGCGCATCGGATTCGCAGACTATAAAGACGTCGCAACCTACAAGACCTCGCGGACGATGAATGCAGGAATTCCCCCCAAACGGCAGGATCGCAGGGCCAGAAAGAAGTCCTGTCGGAGGGCGGACGGATAGACATGGCTCAAGCCAATGGATCCACCAGCTTCAAGGGCAGCCCGGACTGGACTGTGCCTCTCTGGCGAAACGGCGAGCAAGTGGAGACGACCGACACCTTCGACATCATCTCCCCCTTGACGGAAAAAGCGCTCTATAAATCTTCATCGGCGTCCGTGGAAGATGTAGATGCCGCCATTGGTGCTGCAGAGCAAGCGTTCCCGTCTTGGAGCAAGACAAAGCCCGGCTTTAGAAGAGACCTCTTCCTGCGAGCGGCTGAAGAACTGGTCAGGCGCAGGGATGACCTCTGGCACTTCTGCTCCACCGAAGTCGCCTCGACTCCGCCATACTTCGAGTTTGACTTTGCCGATGCTCTGGAGTCGCTGAAGAGCTGCGCCGGCCTGATTGCTTCATCCAGCATGCAGGGTCACGTCCCGGCGATGCTGGATGAGGAACGAAGTGCCATGGTGATCAAGGAGCCATACGGCGTGGTAGTGGCCATCGCGCCGTGGAACTGCCCATGCATTCTCGGCCTGAGATCCTTCTTGGGCCCGCTCGCAAGTGAGTGGATTTCACTGAACAACGTACTAAGTTAGTAACTCACGCCGACTGACCGAATCAGTGGGAAACACGGTCGTTGTGAAAGGCGCCGAGAGATCTCCCGCCTGCTACTGGACTCTCATGGACATCTTCCACAAAGTCGGCCTACCAGCCGGCTGCCTGAACACCATCATCCACCGACCCGACGACGGCCCACGAATCGTCCAACACCTCGTTTCCCACCCCACGGTCCGCAAGATCAACTTCACCGGCTCCACCGCCGTCGGCTCCGTAGTCGCAGGTCTCGCAGGAAAGCACCTCAAACCCCTCCTCATGGAACTCGGAGGCAAAGCTCCCTCCATCGTCTGCGAAGACGCCGATCTCCAAGTCGCCGCCCTCCAATGCACCCTCGGAGCCTTCCTCTACTCCGGCCAAATCTGCATGTCCACCGAGCGCATCCTCGTCAACGCCAAGGTAGCAGACCAATTCCGCCAAGTCCTCGCCGCCACCATCGACCAAGTCTTCCCGGACAAGAACGGCCTCGTGCTCATCGACAAAGCACCCGTCCTCCAGAACTCCAGACTCCTCCAAGATGCCGTCCGCAAAGGCGCCAAGGCTTCTTATGGCGACATCGACGACAAACGCGACCTCGGGACCGCCATGCGGCCCGTCATCCTCGAAGGCGTCCAGAACGGCATGGATCTCTACTACACCGAATCTTTCGGCCCTACCGTTTCCCTCTTCGTGGTGCAAGATGACGAAGAAGCCATCAAGATCGCAAACGATACGGATTATGGCTTGGCGAGCGCCGTCTTCACCGAGAACTTGCAGCGGGGTTTGAGGATCGCGAGGCAGATTGAAACGGGTGCTGTGCATATTAATTCCATGAGCGTGCATGACGAGGCGAGTCTGCCGCATGGAGGGGCGAAGAAGAGTGGGTTTGGGAAATTCAACGGCGAGGTGAGTCTTGTTCGCCTCGCGGAGGCTTTGGTTGTGAATGGTGCTGACGAATGTGTAGGAGGGCCTGCGGGAGTGGGTCAGGTTGAAGACCATCACCTGGAGGAATTAATACTGCGAAGTCATCGCTGCCTAGGTATACATTCCTTCTTCGTATCATATATTCTTCACATAATCGTACAGTCCAGCAGTTCCGTATTCCTCAGGATGTTCTGTCCACCTTTGCGGGATTTCACTCATCTCCAAGCTCACTCCCCTCCGACTCACTCTCGACCTTCTTCCCCTTCTTCCCCTTCCCAGCACCTTTCTTCTTCTCCTCCTTCTCCTTCTTCCTCTCAATCTGCTCCATCAACCTCTCCCTCTCCGGCTCCCCCTGCCTCGCCAATTTCCTCTCCAATGCCCGAAACTCCTCCCCTTCAACATCCATCCCCACCAACCCCTCCAACATTTTAATCTCCCGCGCCCAGATCCCCTTATCTTCCTTCTCCTTGCCCTTTTCATCCTTCACCAAATTCCCATTCTCATCTCGCACTTCAATCGGAGTTTCCAGTATGAGCGGTAATCCCTCGAACCGGGGGTCATTTACGATATTATGAAAAGCTCGCAGGCCGAGGAAGCCGGTTCCGATGTTCGCGTGTAGATCGCGGTGGGAAGCAAAGGGGGCTTTGCTGTCGTTGAGGTGCACAGCGCGGAGGTATTGGAGACCCACCAATGCATCGAAAGTTTGCATGGTTTTGTGGAAAGTCTCCGGAGTCCGGAGGTCGTAGCCTCCCGCGAAGGCGTGGCAAGTATCGATACAGACCCCTATGCGTTCCTTATTCTCCACCAGCGCAATGATGTCCCGTAAGTCTTCAAACGTGCTGCCGAGAACGTTTCCGCCTGCCGCCATATTTTCGAGGAGAGTGATTACCGAGGACGTCTCTCGGTGGGCTGCGTTGAGGTTTGATGCCAGGTGTGTGATGGCTTTCTGGCGGTCGTTGGAGACTGTGTTTCCGGGGTGGATGTTGTAGAGGTTGATTCCGAGACTTTCGCAGCGTTTGAGGTCGTCGAGGTAGGAGGTGTAGGCTTGGTCTGTTCGGGCTTGGTCTGTGTGTGCGAGGTTCACGAGGTATGAACCGTGCGGGACGACGTGGCGCATTTGGTTGTATGTGTGGGTTTTGCAATTGTTGTGGAAGGATAGACGATGGTCGTCTTGGAGTGGTGGGTTTGCCCATTTTCGTTGGGATTTGAGGAAGAGTGCGAAGGCGTTGGCGCCGATGTGGACGCTGTTGACGACTGCATTGTGGACGCCTGTATAGTTGTCAGCATAATTCCTGGATTCTATGGGCGGATATCGTATACCTCCCGCAGCGCTCACATGCGCTCCAATGTACAGTTTGTGCCCAGCTGTGCGTGCTGCCAAGGGCATTGCCTCTGCCTCCTTTTCGGCCTTGGTCTTTCGCTTCTTCTTTCCTTTCTTCTCTACGATCTCGTCGTTCTCATCAGCTTCTTCCTCCTCTTCCTTGACTTCCTCGGTCTTGGTCTTGATCTTTCGCTTTCGCTTGGGTTTGGAAGACAAGTCTTTGGCTCCTTGTTGCACGTCGTCTTCCAACTCAGCCTCCTCTTCCTCTGCCTCTATTTTCACTTTGCGCGCTCCTCTTGGCTTGTTGCTCGCCTTTTTCGGCTGGACCAGGGCGGTTTCTGCTTCTACAGCTTCCTTTTTGACCTTTCGTCTCTTGACGCTCGGCTCTGCTTGTCCATTCAATTGGGCATCGGTTTGGTCAACGATGCTCTCGGGCGGCGACGAGAGACCAGAGTCCGATTCGAGGGCTGTCTTTCGCTTGGGCATGTTGCGTCAAGGCGGTGGTCGTGTTCTGTGGAGGATGACGCGCTTGAGATGCAGACAACGCGGAGCGAAGATGGAATGCCTCAGGCATTCAAAGTAGAATGACTAGACCCTGTATATCATCCTTCTCCTGACCACATGACCATCATCGACCACCACACAACGCGCCGCTGATGTGACATATTGATCCGAGTTGGTGAAGTCGCGACGGCTGTGGAGGGGTGGGCAAGCGCGTGCGCACGTGTGAGACGCGTGAACTGGAGGCGGTGCCTAAAGGTTTACCCAGAGAATCGCGCTTTACCGCGTCCGGTAGACTGTTTCGCTTCCTTTCAACGACAACAACACTTGATCGTCAACGGCGACGACGTCGCATCTCGGCGCAACATGGCGCGCCTCAACCAGCCTCAATTCGACATTATCACTGGCGCCGAGCTCGCAGATGCGCCTGTTCAGTCACAGCGACAGCCTCTCAGAGAAACAATGAATCAATCTACGGCCATCCGGCCAGATGCCGGTAATGAGGAACTTCGAGCTCAACTGCGAAGCGCACAATACGAGCTGGATGCTATCAAGCAAGAGAGAGAGCTGAGCGACTTGCGACACGAGCAAGAACTACGCGACGTGCAAAATAGAGCAGAGGCCGACTTTAAACGAGCGCAAGCAGCAGAGAACGCGAGCACCGCGGCAACTAAGAAGGCGGAATCTTTGGCTCGAGAATATCAAGAATCGCAAGATCGAGCGACAAATGAGAGGTCGGAACTGGAGAAGCAAATTCGCAAACTGAAAAACGAGAGTGGCACGTTGCGAGGGGAGCTCGAGGATGCAAAGCAAGATCTGGCCTCCCAAGAGCGCGAGGGGAAATATGCTTTCCACGAGCTGGAGCAGAAGCATGCGACATTGCAGGCGTCTGTTGAAGATATACAGCAAGATCTGAGTAGCAAAGTCGCGGCGATGCAGACTGCACAGCAGAAGCTGGCTCGGAAAGAGACTGAAGTCGGCGAACTGGAGAACGAAGTACTGCGTCTGAAGGCGCAAACTGGCGATTCCGATACCCTTGCTGTCATCAAGAAAGAGCTGTCAGAACAGGTCGCGTATATCAAGCAGCTGGAGACTACCAACCGAGGGCAGCTCGCGGAGCTTAAGCAGTTCCGGAAAGTCACGAAGAGCGTGGAAGTTGTAGAGGAAGAGAAGCGTGCTCTGGAAGCGAAAGTACGTATCATGGATGATCTCAGGAGAGAGCTGGCCGAAGCACATCTCCAGAAGCAGATCTTAGAGGACGAGAAGAAGAGCTGGACTAGTTACCTGGAGTCTGAAGCTACAGGCGAAGAGGACTTGCGATACGAGACACCAGAGCAAATGGCCAAGGCGTTCCTGCAGGAGCGACTGGAACGTTTAGCCTTGTTGGATAAAGTCGGCACTATACAACCAGAGCTGTCTGTGAAGGAGGAGAACATCCGTGTGCTGGAAGACGAAAAGGCTCGTCTGAAGGAGGAACTGGAGAAGGCACGCACGTCTACTATGAACGGGACCTCTGCGTCTGCGGGCGATAGCAAGGTCAGAGCGCGCTTAGAACGTCAGAAGAACCTAGTAATGAAGGAGGTGGAGTACCTACGCGCACAAATGAAGACCTTCGAGGCCGAAGAAGCGGAGTTCACACCCGACCACATCAACGAGCAACATGCGAAACGCATCCATGAGCTGGAGGATATGGTCGAGCAATACCGCACCGAGCTGCAAACCCTGCAAGCCGACCTCTCCAAACTTGAATCACAACAACCAACCCCCTCGTCGCCCAAGAAGCGAGCCCGAGAGGACGATGAGGCCTCAGACGAACGTCTGGGCGAACTACGCCGCAAGTCACGCACCCTCCAAGACGACCTCTCCAAACTCCAATCCCAAAACCAACTCCTCGAAGCCGAGCTCAAAGCAAGCATCTCCCAACTCTCCTCCCTCAAAGAGTCCTCCCGCACTCGCGTGCTCGAATTCCGCAACAACCCCACGGCCGAAACGGAAGCGATCAAAATGTCCACCCTCCGCACTCTGCGCGACGAAAACGCCGCCCTCCTCTCCCAACTCCAAGGCACCCCCCACGGCAAAGTCGTCCCCATCTCGACACTGGAAAACCTCCGCCTCCAACTCCAAGCCTCGCACTCCCAAACCACAAAACTCGAAAAGAAAGAACTCCGCCTCAAACAGATCTGGACCTCGAAATCGCTCGAATTCCGCGAGGCCGTCTGCTCCATCCTCGGCTGGAAACTCGATTTCCTGCCCAACGGCCGCGTCAAGGCCACGTCCATCCTCTACCCCACGGCGTACCACGACAACGGCGAAGAAGAGGCGAATTCCATCATTTTCGACGGCGAGAATGGGACCATGAAGGTCAGCGGCGGGCCGCAGAGTCTCTTCGCGGGCGAGATCCGGCACATGATTGAGTTTTGGGTCGAGGGCCGGAAGGAGATTCCTTGCTTTTTGGCCGCTTGTACGTTGGAGTTTTATGAGCGGACCACGAGGGCGCAGAATCTTTGATGATTTCTTCCTCCTCTCCTCTCCCTTCCCCTCCTCGAAATGAGGGGATGACTGGATGACTGGATCCCCTTGCCGGGTTCCTTTCGTATATCATATCAGTGTCTCGTAGCTTGTTGGAAGTGAAACTGTCTTCTTTCACGCCAGGGAAGAGCATCATGTTAGGAATGCGTTTCAACATGATTCAACGTGAGACGTGAAAAGTACATCGTAAGTGGGAGATATCAGTGCATGGGGCATAATTCGTACATTTGAAGCTAAACAGACTACTACCTGGGTATCACACCGAGATCTCGTAAAAGGGGAAAAAAAGCAGACGCATTATCAATCTTTCCTGCCGTGACCAGTCATATCCGTCTTCCACCGTTCCGCTTTCGCTTCCTCTCTACATGTTCTCTACAACCCTAGCGTTCACGGCGCTCTGGAAGCCGTGCGAGTTACCAGAGAACTCATTGCTGCTCTGGCCGCCTGTAGAAGAATGGCCGTTCAGCGTGCCATAATCCTGGTATCGGCTCGGGCCTTCTCCCGCGCTCTCCGCGGTGGCCAGCTGCTGCTGCACCGTCTGGTTCTGCGCCGGCAAGAAGATGACCTTGCTGTTCGCCGTCTTGGCCATGGCCTGCATGGCTTCCAAGTATCGGATCTGCATGGCGGGTGCGCTCGAGAGAATGTCGGCAGCCTGGCGCATGAGCTTGGCGGATTCGACCTCAGCACGGGCGCTGATGACCTTGGCCTCTCCCGTTCGCTTGGACTGTGCGGCCATGGACAGGGAGTCCTGCAGTTCCTGAGAGAAGATGATGTCCTTGATCAGCATGCTCTCAACCTGCGCACCCCAGCCCGCGGCGGTCTCTTCTATGATCTCGCGAATCGACTGCGCAATCTCTTCTCTCCTCTCAATAACATCTTGGAGGACACGTGCGCCGATGACGTGACGGAGGGTGGTCTGGGTACGTTCGACGAGAGCAGTGCGAAGGTCGGAGATTCCGAAGGCGGCCTTGTGCGGCGAGGTGATGTGGTAGTAGATGACGGAGGTCAGCGTGAGGTTGACGTTGTCCTTGGTCATACAGATCTGGCGCGGCACTTCGACAATCTGGATCTTGACATCGACTTGGATCAAGTTCTCGGACAGCGGGTTGATCTTGACGAGGCCTGGATCGACGGCGCGTGCGAATCGACCGAATTTGGTGACGAGACCGACGTTACCCTGGGCGACAGGCCTGTATGGGTTGGGGCAGACTATGCAGCATGGAATGGCACCGAGAGTTCCAATGCAAGTGCCCAATCCGTTGATCATGGAACCGTACCAGCCATGCTGGGCCGCATCTTCGGTGTCGGGCTTGATGACTTGCCTGTGATGTGGACATTAGCAGCTGCCTTGAAGGGTATAAGATGATTGTCGTACGCATATGATGGCTGCAGGTCCTCGCGCCTGGGTGGCTCGACCTTGACGATAGGGTCGCCTGGGCCGCGCGAAGGCCCGTTGGTCTTGCCAATGTCGTCGAGGGGCGCCTTTCCGTTCAGGTCGTTGCCGTTCATCGTGGCTGCGTCGATGGATTGCGACTTTGGTTGATGTTGTTGTGACGGAGGCGAAGTGGTTGTCAGCCCGAGTCGAAGCTAGGAGTCAAGGCTGTGGTAAATGCGGGGTGGAATCGGATGATCGACGTCGGCAAGTGAAGACTGTTATCGAATGAATCTGGTGTATATATATGTGCAGGTGGAGGTGGCAATCACGAGCTTCGATGTGATGGGAGGCGGACAGAGCTGCATTATATTATATGGAGGACGTCACGATGGCCTTCACACATCCATCTGGCAGGAGCGAACAGCATTCCACTCGCCTGTGGAAGGAGTTGCAGTGCCACCGCGCTAATTCCCTATCCAGATCCAGACAACAAAGGGCCAAGCTTCTCGGGAATGCGGCTCGCCGAACTCTCCACTGTGCCACACTCTGCCTATCATACCTTAAGGTATCAATTGAACGGTGAGGCCCCTTCGAGTTGATACTCCGGCCACGAGCTCAGTACTGGAGCCTGAAATTCTTTAAGAGCCTACCTCTAAGATCAGATGAGTACTTCTCAGGCACTATTGAGAATCATCGGAGCAACCAATGAAGTCCGGTCGCAACAAAGATCTGTCAGGTTGTCATGAGATCTCATGTTCCCTTCGGTTCGGCACGCGGCATCCGCCATCGCAATCCACAGACCGGCTCTTAGCGCCGACACACCGCCGCGCACGCACTTCTTTCCAGCCCTGCGGGAGGATGGATGTCCGATGACAACTACTCAATTCTCGTCACTGCTCGACTATCTTTCGTCTGGTGCGGCAGGGAGGCGCAGTATCTCATATGATGAGATCTCCGGCAAGGCACAGTCCAGTGCGAGTTTGCTGGTTCGCATTCGCGAATTTGTAGCCTATCAAAATCATGTCACCTTGCTGCTATTTCCATCTTACATCTTCAGCGCTGTACGTACTGAGGCATTATTGTCCACTTTGCATTTGACCTCCTACGCTCCGGCTGCTGTGCCGTTTGCGAAACGCGCGCGATTGAAGAGGTCGAATGCAGCGGGCCGAACGGCATGGTATTCCTTGATCATGTGTGAGGTGCCGACAGTTGCGAAGCTCACCTCGATATCATTGTGGCGCGGCTCCGACTCAGGCCTCATCAACGCGCAAAGCGAGCCCGCGGACTCGCGATAGTGCTGCGCCGAGCTCGAGTGGTCGAATCGCTACCAGGTCACCGCCCACGAGCGAGGTTGGTAGACCTCCTTCGATCCCGACAACGTCCTCAAGTCCCTCAAGCATTTCTTGGAGTGTGAGGGCCTGCGCTCCAGTCAAGCGGGAAGCGCGTTGGAGGAGCGTGGCGATCATTTGGGACTGTCCCTTCTCTACAATCTGATCGATGCTGCCGACGTCAATGCCGCTTTCAGCCCGCGATGGATCATCGACGGCATCCCTTTGCTCGGGCTTCAACGTGATGAACTTTTTGCGAGAAGCGTAGGGAGTCCTCAAGCCCTCAAAATCAACACGAAAGCGCCGCTTGGGGATGGAGCCGTAAGCCCTGTCTTGGTTGACGCTGCTTGGAAATTGATTCGAGATCTCCTTGGCCTGCTGTGTGATGTCGCGAGGGACGTACGAGTCCATGGCGATGATACAGTCGGCGACAGACAGCCAGTCTCCCAAACCGCCGATTACTATCACAGTACTGGCGCCTCTCTCATTGAATAGCGCGCGAGCCTTGCTGATCAGGGGAGTGATTGGCTCATTTTGGATCAATGCCTGCATGCGAGCGTCTCGGACGAGCAAGTTGGTAGCGGACGAGTCTTCGTCAATCAGTAGTGTCCTGCAGCCTGCCTCAAGCGCCTCTTGGATGTTCGCAGACATGGAAGTAGAACCACTCGCGTCTTCGGTCGAGAAGTCGGTAGTGCCTTTGCCCCCAGGTAGCTTCGAGATGAATGGGCTGATGTCGGTCTTCGATACGTTGCGTCCATCTTCTGCTCTGATCTTGAACGCGGTCGGATCAGTGACGACGCCTTCCCTGCCATCGCCTGGAATGTGGTTGTAAATGCCGAGCTCTAACGCCTCGAGGAGCGTAGACTTGCCATGGAAGCCGCCACCAGTGAGCAGGATGACTCCTCTTGGAATGCCCATGCCCGTGTACGATCTTCCATTGACCGAAATGAGAGAGACTTCAAGTTCTTTGGGTGACTTGAAGGAAACAAGACCATGGCCGGTCATTGGAGCTTGGGAAGCACCAGAAGCTCTGGGTAGGACTGAGCCATTGGCAATGAAAGCGAGCAGCCCATTGTCTTGCAGCTGCAGACGAAGCGACTCCTGAGCTTCAGCAGAGGCGATGTGTTCTTGAAGCTTGCGCTGATCAAGGCTTACATGCAGCAAAGACTGCTTTACGATTTCAACCAAATTCACAGCCAAGATCTTATACGCCTGCTCTCCGAGGATTGTTCGTCCCGCAGCTGGTAGAGATACCGTGAAGCGCAGTTCGATGGAATCGGTCCCAGAGATCAAGGCAGAAGTCCGCGGCAGGATCTCTTGTCCAGGCATGTTGATGGAGAAGGCGCCGCCCTTGGGGCCAGACCAACCTCCGTTTGCATTGCCGACATTGCGGTCGAGATGCTTGGCCTGGATGAGAGATCCTGCCACACGAGAGACGAAGTCGCAGAGAGCAGTCCGTCGGATGTGCGACTGGTGATACTCTTTCGGAAAGCCTGTCTCCGCCCAGGGCACAATAGAACGCACCTTGGAAGGAGAAGCATAGGGATCGCCCTGAACGTGGTCTACACTGAGTATGAAGTTGGGAGCGGTGTGGCTGTACTTGCCCAGAAGCTGTTTGTAGAACCCTGCGACATCTGTTAGGAGGTCTGCAAGAGCACGCAGCTCCTGTAGAAGCGTGGAGAAGACTGGAGGAGAGGGGAGTGTGAGAAGCTCCAAACCATACCGTACTGGCTGCCGTTCATGTTCTCCAGGTCGCTCCGCAGTCGGTTCCAATCGCCTTTTGGCGGAGCTGTGGCCGACTGCTGACGCTCCGGCGCGGCTTGGATCGACGCAGAATCGGAGGCATGGCCGTCTTGTCCGCCTCTGCCTCTGCCTCTGCCTCCACCGCCATATCTGGCCTTATAGTAGGCCCCGCGGCCTCCTTCGCGTCTACCGCGTGCTGAGGAGGAGAAAGAAGATGTCAGCAACTTCAAGAAGGAGGCCCTGTATCCTCGAGGTACAAGCATGATCCGTCTCACCTGACATGTGAGTGTCCACGGAAGAAGGATGGGATGTAGCAGACGGGTGTGGGAGAGGAGTGCTGTGATCCGAGGGGGAAGTTCTGAGACACGAGCACGGGTTGCGATGGAGCTAGTGCAGCTTAGCGGCGGTCGGGAAGCAGAAAGCGTGGCGACGCCCGGGGGTCTGCGAAGTGGTAAAGTAAATCTGTGTGCACCACCATCGGGGCGCAATCAAACGCCAATCAAATACCGCCTGATTCGTTGTCGGTGATCATGCTCTCTGCCCTTCTGCAGCAGCAGAGCTCTGCGGCCTACAATCCGAGCCCCCAAGCCTTCTACGGCCCGGTCGGCGGCGGTTTCCCAGCGTCCTCGTCCTCGTCCTCGCCCTCTCCCAAACAACACTCCCACCACAACAGCCAGAGCCACCAGCACCAGCAGCAGCACCAGCACGCGTTCCCGGCGCAGCACGTGGACGCCGCCGCTCACTACTCCCAGCCTCACCGCAGCGCTGGCGGCAGCGATGGCGTCAGGTCACCATCCGCGGCGTCGGGAGGGAACGTGATGCAGCAATACCAGCCCCCGAGCGCGAACGGCACTCCATACGCTGGTAGCGGCAGCGGCAGTGGCAGTAGCAGTGGTGAGTTTGGCCCCTGTCGTTTTGTTCGCGGATCATTATTGTCCGCCCGTCCAGACGACGACACGACACGACACACGCGCACCTGCGCACACACACACATCTTCTCTGCCGACCTTAGCGCTGGCCCTTCGCGCATCCAACCCTATGATGACGGGAGCACAGGCGGGATCGCCAAGCCTCCCTGCTAAGGGCTAAGGTAGCGAGCGACGAGCGCTGACGAGCCAGTGATCGCAGCAGGCCCGCAGTACCACTTCCCTTCCGCTCCCTACACCCATCCCGTACCTGCACAAGCGCCGTCATTGGCACACCAGTTCGTCGGCCAGCAGCAGCACCACCACGACCCCAGACCCAGCGCTTCTCCGCAGCTGCACCTGTCGCCGCATGCCGGCCAGCCTCACCAGCGGGAACAGCAGCCTACGCCGCCCAGCAAATATCCAATGGCCGCCCCGCCTCTACCGCACACGCCCACCAGTCAACCCCAGTCGGCGACGAGCAACAACGCGCTCGCCTCGCCCCAGTCGCCGCAGTCGCCGGGCAGTCAGAATCGAGAACAACAGCGGATAAACATTCTCTTCGAGATCAACGTCACCCTTCTCCAAGAGGTAAACAAATTACAGGCTGAAGGCCATGGAGGTGCTATCAGCCCCCAGCAGGCGATGCAGCTGAGGAGCGAAGGCAAGCCGGACAAAATGGCCTCGGAAGAGTATATCCAGTGTCTAAGGCGGGTCCAGGCGAACCTGTCCTACCTCGCGCCCAAAGCGTCCGCAGATGCAAGTGGCGGCGCTGCAAAACCACGACCTGCCGGGCCTGCACACATGACGCCTCCGCCGCACATGCCTCACTTGCTGCCGAAGTATGAGCAACTCAAAGAGCTTTTCCCTGGCTGGCAGGGCTTCGACCAGCGCCCCCCACAGTCCTCTTCTCCGGGTCCGAACTCGGCGAATGGAATGACAGCAGCGCCAGCGCAGGCGCAGGCGTGAGATGATATTATGACTCGAAAATTTCACGACCGCATACAGCATTGGCGTCTTTCAGGGTCAACTGCACTGCACATGGTTGGGGGTTGGGGGCTTGGCAAACCGTTGGAGTAGTATTGGGTCATGGTTGGTGGGACTTCATCTCCTTCACTATTGCTCTTGTTACTCTCTACTGCTGTATTATACCCGTTCTTGAGCTTTTGTACTGGTATATAGACACCTCGCGAGGCAGGCATTGGAGAAGCTCGCATCGTGATATTAAAGCTCATGTTCTCCCTTTTGGCCCGCTCTCCTTGAGCTGAGCGCTGTCATCGTACTCGCCTCGAAGCTGATTGATACTGCAGGGGACCTGGGCGAACGTAGGATGGAACCGCTCGCACGGACCTCCATGTCTTTGACATGTGATCGCGAGACTCGTCACGCACCTCCGCCAGAGCTCGAATGGAGTTCGTTGCCTTGATGTACTTTGTTCGTATGCCGGCTGCCAACAAACGACTTAACGTTTGATCCTTGACCAGGCTCGCAACCGGGCGTTTACTTCGAGGGACGCTCTAGACGATGTGTGGTGCTTTGCTTGAGCAAGACGCCAATGCTAACGAAGGACTATTCTGATCGCCTTCCACCGCCACTCACGGACCACTCACGAGATACACATGATATAACACGGTCCTCATGAGACAACAGCGAGCAAACATACTCTGAGAGAAGCACGACATGCCTATGGTCGGCTATAAGTGAAGTGAATGAAGGCTGCCTTCACGCTCATTGGCCAGCGTTTGTCTCAGTGGAACAATCTTGTGATAGAACCTTTTTGAGGCGATGACACCTGCACAAACATTCTTGCCGCGATAACTTCCACCTCGAGGCGTCCAGTTTCAAGAACCACAGCATCCACATACGAAGATCACATCACATGGGTGTTCACGACTTTGAGAGCTACACTGAGCTTTACAGCAATTTGCAAATCGGCAGCAAGGACGCCTATCAATGGGAGTAAGTGGTAATCCACCTCACGGCCGCACATGTCAAACTGACGGCCAATCACAGCCCACCAAAGCCTGCAAAGCAGATGCCTCTTCCTCCTCCTCCGTCACAGCCAAGCAACACCCCAAAACAGCGTCCACTCGACGGCGGCATCCACTTCACCGCAACGATGACGCGCCGCCCAACGCCGTTCCCGCCAAGCGACAAGGTTGTCAAGCAGGAATCGCAGCCGTCGCCACCAGCACTGCTCAGTCCAGCTCCCGCTAACGGCCTCCCTCCACCAGCTGCCCCGACTGGACCAGCGGTCCCACCACATCCAGCCAGCACGCCCATGACCGGTCCTCAGCTTCTCTACCACACTCTCCACCTCGCCACGATTCTCACCGACTCCCTCTCCACCTACCTCTCCCTCGAAGTCCTCCTCCGGGATCTCTCCACCCAAGGTCGCGGCTACTTCAACCTCGCGCAAGCGCTCAGTAACACCGGCGCCATGCTCTCGGAGTTGGGAGGAGTCATCTCGGGCGCCCACGCAGATCTGGCCAAGTACCCCGAGCATAGCAAGTGGCTAGAAGAGGACTGCTACAAGACCCTAATGTGCGCCGTGCCGACGTTGCGGGATGCCACGGGATGTGTTCCGGACGCGAGGGTCCCGGGGACTTTCTTGCCGAGTAAGGAGAAGCTGGTTACGATTCAGCGGTTGTGGTGTGAGGCGAAGGCATTGAGGGAGGGCAAGAAGGAAGGCGAGGTCGGCTGGATGAAGTGTTGGGATCTGTTCTCTTACTTGCCGATGCCGCCTCTTGGACCTTGAGGTTTGAGCTTTGTAGGGTCTGGACATCTTCTTCTTCAATACGACGACAGAGGACGGCAAACGAGGACTGGGGTCTTGATTCTCGGGAAGGAGGATGCCGCATGGATTTGGCCGAAGCCTCATCTCTGCGATACCCCAAGTACACTAGGCATATTGCTTTGCAGCACCACAGGATGCTATAGATGGAGTGAAATGCATCAATCACACATTGATCTTCCCCCAGCCCCCTTCGACTTCTTTCCCTTCTATGCAACCGCCGCAAACTCATTGGCATAGACATTGAACTGTCCCTGATCGGCCAGACGTTGCCAATCACCATACGTCCCCATCTTCTCCGCCTGGTAATAAGTAATCCGATTACCCCTGCAAGAACAAAAAAAGTAAGTAAGTTAAGTACCATCACCTCCCAAACAAATAAATCATCATCATCCTCCTCATCATCCTCAAGAGATAAATAAAAAAAATTCAAACTCACCCCTCATTAACCCCCACCTGAACCACCAACTTACTCCGAAACTCCGGCCTCAACGGCGCCTGCTGCAAATACGCCTGCACATCCTGAATCTGCTTCCCGCGGTTGACGGCGCAATTGCGCAGCGTCGCATCACCCCTGGGCACCCTCTCGCCCTGGCACGAAGCCGTGAAACCGTAGGGGATCTCGTCGGTGCCGGCGGCGATGATTTTCATTCGGTAGGAGCACTGCCCGCTGTGGCATTCGGCTTGGAAATTGGAGATTTGGAAGAGGATGTTGCCGATTTGGGGGGCGCGGGGGGCGAGGTTGTTGGGGTTGGGGGGGAGGGCGGCGGTGGCGGGGGTGGTGAGGGTGAGGAGGGCGGCGAGGGTTGCTGCGAGGAGGGAGGTGGGGAACATGATGGTTGATTGTTTGTTTGTTTGTCCCCGGCCGCGCGTGGGCCCCGCGCCGGGGGGGGGGGGGCCCCCCCCGCCCCGGCGCGCCGCGCCCCCCCGCCGCCCCCGCCCCGCCCCCGCCCCCCGCGCCCGCCGCCCCCGCGGTAAGGTGAGGTGGCTCTGGATGTGGGCTATGGAGGGTATATGGGAGGGGATTGGAGTGTGCTGCTGACGACGGGCTTCATCACTATGCAGGAGGAGGAATTTCCCTCCTTTTAACACTCCTCGCTCACAGACCTGCGCCTTGGGTCGCGCCAGCATACCCATCTCGATATTGTTCACAAAGCGCCTATTTCCAGGCTGTTCGTATCCTACCCCTACGGCCTGAACTCGGCCGCAGTACGAGGCGAGGGCATAAGCAAGAACACCCATCCAAGCTCTGAAAGGTTACAGATGCTTCGGGCGACAGGACACCGCATTTGGTACACGTGGGCTGCGTGAAAACAAATGAAGTGATGCCTGTCGTGAGAGGGCTGTGTCAAGCGCCAATATTGACTAGGAATCTCCGGATCACAGGGTTTCGTGTAGCTTTTTTGTGCTTTTCCACCCCGTTCCGTGCCAAGTCTGGAGCATCGTCACTCTCCTTGTATGACTGCGGCGGAAACCCGTCAGCTGTCACATCTCCACTCGACGGCTGCCGTGTAGTTCCTGTTTCCGGTGACCGGATAATCCACTCAGACAGAGATTCGTCTACCGCACATCCATCAACCTGGCTTCCTTTTCCAAGTCGCAGAGAACGGCGCCCAATGTTTCAACTTCACCGTGCGATGATATTCCTGCTTCAATTCTTCCACCTTGCACGCTTCTAGGCCGCTCTTCTCCCTTAGTGTCCGGTTAATCAACTTCCACTTCAAAACCAGCAATTCACGAATCCGGCATCTTTCATGTAGCCTTCCAGCTTCTCAGAGGCTTGAAAGTCGGTGCTGCTCTTTGCCTGTGAGATGGCGTTGAATAGATTAAGCCATTCCCCGTCCTGTGAATTATTGTTTCCCCGAGAAGCGGTCGAAGTATTTGAAGTTGGTCTCTCGGAGTTCTGCCGAGCCACCGGGATGAAGAAGACTGTAGAGGAGAGAGCACTACTCGGGCCAAGAGGTGATGCTCGCGAGCAGAAGGCGAGAGGAGGTGTAGTTTTGAAAGAATTCGGCTTGAAGCGAGGGTCTTGTATAACCCGCTGGTTGATGTCGTCTTTGACCTGGAACATTTGTGAATGAAAATTGTTCTCGCACCTCAAGACCCAGCAGACAGGATGTGAAGCCTGACATATTCAAAATTACCTGGATTCTCATGCCGACCCTCCGGTGCAGCAGAGAGGTCGACGCCATAGACCTTGGAGCCCGGCACGCTTTTCAACTTCTCATCCAGAACGCAGGTCATGATTTCTGTGCCACATCCAATATCGATAGCCCGGAAATCTTGGCCGTCCGCAATTTGGGTCTTTTCAAGAGCGTGAAATGGCTTGCCGGACGTGAAAATGTTGATGGCTTTGCTTTGATTGTCCAACCGGCAACGTTCCGTGATATCATTCGGGAGATAAGCTCTCGCATGCCGGTAAATAGTAACTTCTTTCTCTCGTTCGGCATTGGTATCTGCGGGAGCGCTTTGTCTCGTCTCGAAAGTAGCATCGGAATGTCGGCGGATGTATTAAAGGGCAGTCGGCATGAGATCATATCGTGCTCTTTATAAGAGGAGTATCCATCCTCGTGTAGAAGTTCGGCAACGTGTCAAGCCGGCCAAGCCTATTGATGACATGTCCTTATTAGCGACAAACGTATCGTCCGGGGCTTATGTTACTCCCGAGTTTCTAGCTAAAAGCTATGGTCAGAGCATTAACGCTGTCGTCTAATTATTCTCGGATCTTGCTATCGTTGTGGTGGCCTTACACACGTACGTACGCATCGTTTTCAAGAAGTCATTCGAACCTAACGATGCATGGGCGATTTAAGCATGCGTAAGTCGATATTAAAATTCTTGCTCTCGATATAGTAAGAGGCTAACGCCCGGTATACCAGGCGCGCTCTTCTCATCGCGTTCTCAGCAGTCGCGACTGCCATGGTTGATTTGGGATTCGGACGACATATTGTCTACGTTTTGAGGACGAATGCGACCCAAACTCCCCAGATTGCTCTCCCCGCGAGGGTGGCTCAATGTCTGGCGATCGCATCCATGGATTCGGAAAAGACTGCTTTCGCTGTCACGTGTGCTTTTAACCCTTCGGCGTCTTCTGTCGCGGATTCAGTGCTGACGTTGCGATATAGCCTGTTGCGACTCACAAATAAGTGGCTCATCGTGACGATGAACAGGACTCGGATGACAGGCCGTTGACAGTGGAGGCGGTGACAAGGGCTCGTCCCCACGCCATCGGCTCCCGACCAGCTCCACGCACGTGCTCTCCCGAGGTCTCGTTCCTGGACCCTGAAAAGCCAACTCGTCCAGTCTTGAAGCAGCACGCGACGCCTTGTCTCGTCTCGTCGCAAACTCCCCGAAACCAAGGTCTACTCTCCTCCTCCTCCTCCTCCTCCTCCTCTTCTTCTCGCGACATCCAACAAATTCTCCACGACGATGCACCAACTGATCCCCCTCCTCATCCTCTTCCTGGCCGTCGCGGCCGGCGCCTTCATCGGCTACAGCATCTACGCCTGGTCCAACGAACTCGCCGCGCGCGGCAAGCAGAAGATGGAGAAGAAGCACATGTCCTTCACCAAAGAGGGCGGGCTGCGCGTGGGCGTCCGGGAGATGCGCGATGAGAAGTATGCGGATAAGACGCAGAATGTGAGTACATGTACTTCCCCCAATCTTACATACATTGCGCCACTGGCGCTACACACCATCCATCCATCCATACATGCTGATCTCACATGTGTGTGTGTGTGTCCGTACAGGTCCTAGTAAATGTATGGAACAACGCCGAACTGCCCAATTATAAATCCCGCCTCGGTTGGAATAGCACCCAAGCCAAACAGAGTAGTGCTGCTTCGAATCCTCCTCCTCGACCTGCTGGTAGCGGCTCGTCACGCGGTAGTTAATCATAATGCGACGCCCGCAGCGCCAGAGCAGAGACCTGCCGCGGCGAGGAGGATACCGAGTACGCCGGGAGGTTGGGAATAGGACGGCCGAGAACACACCGCCGTGTGCAACTTTTGTTAGGAGGCTTGCGGTGGACGTGACGGGACGGAATGGCGAGAGAGAGAGAGAGAGAGAGAGAGAGAAAGAATGGATACCCCCCCCCTCCACACCCGCGCCTAGGTATGCGCTGCCACGAAGGCTTCAAGGAGCAAGAAGCGCGGAGAAAGAAATCGAGGAATTCGAGCGATCGGGCGACGAGGCCAAGATGCTTTATTGGTGTTGGCTCCATTGCTTGGAGATCGCGATGATTTGACGACGAACAAGAAAAACCCCAAGACTTGTTGCTTATAGGATCTACCTTGACAGCACCGTACACCGTTACCTAGGTTAGAGACAAGTTCGGCAGAGAGGTATACCAAGCAAGCTCTGCGCCTCCCAAGCGCAGCGCAGCTTCAAAACAAGATTCGCGTTCTACTACCTGTCCAAAAGCGATATCGCTGTTGAAGATTCCCTACTTTCTACCTTCCATTTGGGCTCAAGTCATTCAATGCTACGGGGCGTTTTCGGGTGCGATGTTGACGGAAAATTGTGACTTGCGAATGACGCTCGACGCTGCGAGGCGCCGGCGAGTATCTTTGTGTGTGGAATAACCAGCTACCAAACAGAATCGGCCTCCTTGCGCCTTGCTGCGTCCGCGACTTTGCGAATTTCATGTAAACGTGCATCATTTCATTGCGCATGATCAAACGAAGGAGCGAGTTTATGCTCGCTGTGCCACCCGATCAGTAGAGACGTTGGAAATTAAATGACCGAAAGCCGGACTTCTCATGGCACCACCGCTATGCTGTGCGCTGCCGATTGCAGAATGCTTCTGGAAGATTGCAAAGTAAAGACCGAAGAAACCTCAGTAACCCTTGAACGTAGTTTTGTCCAAGCTCCGTAGTGTCGTGATGTCGCGACTCGCCTCGAAGCCCAGCTTGTGATTGGGGATGTCTGATACGCCACGCGGTGTGCCGCCGGGACTACGACTGCTCCGACGCGGCGATGGTGCCGCTCCGGCTTCACTTCCATTCAGCATAGCAGAGATGCTGGGAATCGTCTGACCAGAAGAGGCCGGAGGGGCGGCACCCGAGGTGGCTTGAGGCGATTCCCGTGCAGGCGAGCGCTCTTGCGGAGGTTGCTGAGAATCTGTGCGTTCGTCCTTTTGTGCAGCATGCGATTCCGGTTGTGCTGGAGGTTGCTGCTGCTCCGATGATGTTGGCCTCTGCTCATATTGCGGTGGGTGTGTTGCAGGATATGGTCCAGGAGCCGGTGCGTACGGATAGCCACCCTGTTCTGCTGTTAGCCGCGAAAAGGTCATATCCCGGATGATAGACTTACGTGATACGTAGGCGGAGGAGGTGGATAACTGCCCTGATAGCCAGGCTGCGGAGGCTGACTGTACTGTGCAGGAGGCGGAGGAGGTGGGATTCCGTTGTTGCTCATCGGTGGTGGAGGGCGATCAAATGCAGTGGGCGGCGGAGGCGGGGCGCCGTACGAAGTTGGCGGTGGAGGGTAGTGCATGGCATGACCTGGGTATGGTGCGTGGTGTTGATAGTAGGGTGCATACGCATGGTGTGGAGGCGGGGTGTGCATGGGGCTCGGTGGTGCTCCTGACGGGTGAGGCGGATATGGATGGTAGTAATAGGGGTGGCCTCCGCGATATGGTTGATTGGGTGCGTGTGCGTAGCCTGGCGAACCCATGGGACCCCGTGTGACTGCGGGAATGTTGCTCTGCTCGTGTACGGTGGAGTCTGGATACATTCCCTTCTCCGGGCGAATGTGTCGAAGCTGCGGGTCCTGAGATGGCTGCATCAGGTTGACGGCTTGCTGTGACGAGCGCGAATAGTAACTGATCAAGTGCAAGTGTTGTCCTGAGTTGGTGGTGATGGAGAAGGACTGCTTCATCAGACCGTCGGGCTTGTAGCGATAACCATCGGGACCGCCATCCGAGTCGCCTTGCTCGGCTTGCATGCCATCGCGAGAGGAGGTCTTGTCGAAGCTGCTGCCGCCACGCTTGCCCTCCATCTCACGATAGGTGAGGAAACTGCCCGAGACTCGACTGGCGCTCCATGATTTCCCGTCAGTCCAGCGGCGCATGCCAGCTTCACGCTCATCCCAGACGAAGACGGAGCCGGATTTGATGGACTGGCGCTCCTTCTCGGACAGACGGCGCTGCACACGTGGCAAGAGGCCTATGCGACATGCCTCGAACAGAATGATGGCGTCGGCGGGAGTACGAACGTGACCGTTGTAGGTCTCCATGCCGTTCATTGGGGGTGCTCAGGACGAGCTCCGTATGAGGCCGGTGTCCAGGCAAGTCCACTGAGGAGGGGAAATGTGCTGCTGTGAACAAGCTGATGGCGGGTGAATGCTGGGGGCGTTGCGGGTGGGTGATGAGAGGAGATGTAGGGCTGGCTTGAAATGGGATGAGCAAGATGCAGCCAGGAAGGACGGGAGAGAATGAGAACACGAAAGGCGTGATGCGTGCCTTCTCTCAGTTATGCTTCTTTTTTGGCTTAACCACGAATTGTGCCGGCGAGAATCCCTGGCGCCTTGAGCCGATCGCGTCTTTAGAGTTTGGCGCCGACACTTGCCAAGAAGCCTTGGCATTTTTCCACATCTCATCACGTATCACTCCGACGTCGTTCTTGCCGGGAGAGTCGGCGTTTGATTATTATTTCTACATTCCATCTATATACATACATAGATACATATCTGCACATTGCATCCCCAAGAATCGATGCCCAAACGACACCTCGACTTGCAATGGCCGCCGTGAACAGGGCCGTGAGTGGAAGGTAGGCAAGCGGCCCAGACACGTTTGGGGGCGTTCGGAGCGGCTTGCACTGGTGCCGCTCGGCGTCCTTGGACTCTCAGCATCTCATCTTCCTCATCATCATCCCTTCCCCGCACCTCCTTCTTCGCCTGGCAAGAACATGTGCGGTCCGATTCTGCGACTTGGGAAGTCACCACTGCGGCGCCGCATTTCTGCACGCAACGTTTCGCACTCGAACGCTATTGAAACGCTGTGCTCGCCGGGCTTTCGGGCTTTCGCGGATGAATTGCCCTTAGCGCCTTGGGCCTGGTCAGAATCGTCCTGACGAGCCGATCGCTTCGCTAACTTTTATGCTTATCACTTTCTGGGCATGGCTTTGCCTTTCACAAGCCCGGAGGCTAAATCTTTCTTCTGACCGCGCCGCGGTCCCCCTCCAAGCTTGTGCTTGTGCTTGTGCTGGGAGAGGTCGGATTCCTCCTGCACTCTCGCCAGTATATCCCCCTCTTCACGCATGCGGCGACGCAACACACTATGCTGGAACGACACTTACCGGCAATCCGAGCCGCTTTCCTGGTCTTTTGCCCAAGATAAGGTAGCTTCTGGCGTTTTGGCTCGCATCATCTTTCCCCACACAGGTGCCGCGCCTCGTCTATTGCATCCCTGTATCGTGGTCCGCACCGAGAGATTGCCGACTTCTGGCAGCGGTCGCATCTCTCTCACGTGGTGGTCTCTCACGTGGTGGTCTCGTCAGAACGTGCACAAGCACGTATCGTATCGACACGTAAGCCAATATCCACCGGAGTAGGCAACACCTTCGCACAGTGTCCGCACTGGAGCTGTTCGCTCATCTGGCCCAAGTCTCGATGGGAAGCATTGCCGAATCATCCGTTCAAATCCTTTCCCCAATTGCCAGCTTCCCTTGGTCATCGCTGATGGGCATTGTCACATGACCGTGCGAACGGTCACGCACTTTGCAGCCTCTTCGACAAGCGAGCCCGAGCCTGGTCTACATTGCCAAGTACGATCGCACCACGGAATCCGTCCAGCCAAGCGGTTCGGGGTTGCCGTTGTGCCAGTCGTTTGCATAGCGCACCACGCATCTATGCACGTGCTAGACTCGTTCTGTGTCATATGCAAGCCACCATAGACCCACGTGTCGCGCCATGTCATTTGCTGCGATAGCCTGATAAGCATACTGTTAGCCTCAAAGTTAGTTTGATTGCTGGGAGCTTGCTTCGAATGGGTGTCTCGACTGCTTCGCCGAGAGCCCTAACGTCACCTCAGGGCTTGGAGTTTGAGGCGTGTTGCCCAGAGAACTGGCTCCTCCTGCCGCGAGACACAACATCGACGCTCCCCTCATACTTCTCGCTCCGGACAGCTCACGGCTTTTAACTCTAACCAGAATTCCCTGATTTGCAGCCTTAGGCAGCAACAGATCCAGCCCCACGCCTACGCAGATTCTCCCTCCTTCGCCCGGAAAATGGTCCTACTCAGGTGTCCTCGCCGGACGCACACCCGCAATCCAGATTTGTAATAGCCGCATCTATTCTCATTGTCAGCAAGCTTTGCAGTGAAATGCTCCGGGACGTTGGCTGTCCTGAGTCTTGGTGGAGGAACAAGGATACGATGGACACGAGGAGTGAGATGTCTTCTTCTTGGCTTGGTACTATTACTTCGTCTATCAAATCTCCGCTATCACGACCAAGGCCGCAGGATGAGACACTTTCTAGTGAGCCAAGCCAACTAACACACGATAGTAGTGGTGTAGGGTCTGGATAAACTATTACGGCCTTGGTCGGTGCCGATAGCCCGGCAGCCCAGCAGCCCTTGGCTCTGCTCTGGATGGCACTGATCAGGCAAATGTTAAGGCTCTGATCGACGGCCGCACTATTTCGAAAACTACCATACTTTCAGGCGCCAAGGGATACGAGCTTTGCTAATACTGACTAGATTCACTTACTACTAACTAGTTCACGCTAGTCTTTGCCCACTCACGGGCCGAGTAATCAACCTTACTCACATTAGGCTCGGACGGTCGACGGTCGTCTTTACAGCCCTGCCAAGCCTGCTTCTGTTGCGCAGACAATCTTTACTTTACTCACCGGCATTGTCTATACTGACTGAGCGCTATAGCTGGCTTCAGCGGAACCTACCTCCTAAATCTGACGGCTGTACTCTGGTCCGATGCGGCTGTTCTCTATCTTCCACTGTGTTCTTAACGGCCATCAATTTGTCCTGGCTGCCTCGATAACCATCTTTGACCGACGCTCTCGAGGCCGATGCCATCCCAATCCGGGCAATGCCAACCCTGACGGCCGTTCTTAGGGCAGCCATTCTGGGGACAGCCGTTCCTTGTAGGACCTAGGGCAGCCGTATTTTGGTAGCAGCTGTTTCCTCCCCCGCTCTGTTCTTGGCGGCGGTTCATTCCAATCCCATGCCGAGTCTCGGTAACCCTGACTCTGACGGTCGTTTTGGTGACCCAACACGGCCGTCACATTCCTAGGTACCACCGCAAATAATGACCAGTAGGGAGGATGACACAACCAGCACACACCGCTCCATCTCATTGACTGGACTGCTGGTATTGTAAGTAATCCGGACCTCTTGGCATGCTGCGACCCCAGCAGTTCCTCCGGACGGGAAATCCCACTAGTCACATGTCTTAGCCTACACCCCATAATAACGAACGAAAGCAGATCGATCATTCTGGCTTCCTGCTCTTGTCCATCGGTCCGGCGCGCCGCCCAAGCCGCAACGAGCACTGTCTCTTGATGGTGTTGATGAGTAGCTCACCACAGTCCGCCGGAAGTTCGTCCTGACGATGCATCAAATGAGCCAAGAATTTGAGTCGTAAGTGGATGGAGCCCTGTCCTCCGACCTTCTTGTCATAGCGTTGACACTAGATTCGACACTCGCCAACCGTCAAGCCCATCCGTCTGCCTCTCCTTCTCTACAGAGGTCTCGGCGGCTGATTGGCATGCCTCAGATAGAAAGTGGTCTAGCCCGTACGTACATCCTGCCTAGCCCGTTTCCACGGTGGGTCAGACGTATTGCTCGACCCGGATCGCTCCATCCCCGGGGACTCTTATTAGGGACGGCACGGCGGCCAAGAGTAGCTGGCTGTGGAGAAGAAGAAGGTGGTCAGAACGGAGGAAGAAACGAACTCATAACGTCTGCTTCGTTCGAAGGTGGCTCTTTCTATTTTTTTTCTTTGCCTAGACTACCGGGTGTGTGTGTGTGTGTGGGACTGGAACAACAACAACAACAATGTTTGACGAGTGCTCTCTCTCTCATCATAGACGATGTCGTATTGTTTCACATATATCCTCTTTAACAGAAAAAGCCCGAGGTAGGTAGGTAGGTTCGTAGGTAGGTAGGTAGGTAGGTAGGCACGTAGATAGATAGCCTTCCCTCTTCTACACCCCAATGCAGATCGGCGCAAAGCCCCCGGAGTAACCCTCGCCGCAGAGGTTATTGTAACAAGTCTGCTTGCATACAGGTTCCTTATTGCAATTCTTGCAACAGCTACAGTAGTTACTCCTGCAGCCGATTTCTAAATAGCAGAAAGAGAGGAGAGGCCCATTGTCAGCGAGCGAGCGACACAGAGAGAAAACGCTGTTTCGGGGGGGGGGATCGAAGAAGGAAGGAAGGAAGAAGGAAAGAAAGAAGGCTTACGGGCCGTTGCGGCGACCGCGAAGCTAGCAAGCCCGACGAGAGCCGTGAGGTAGGTAGCGAGGCGCATCTTTTGTCGGTCGGATGTTGTTATAACACTAGCGAAGAATGTATGTCTCGGTCTCAAGAATTCGGTAATAAGGTAAGGTAGGTAGGAACAAGTCAGTCAGTCAGTCAGTCAGTCAGTCAGTCCCACGGCGGGACGACGAGAACATTTCACCCCTTTTTAAATAGAACCAAACGCCAAGCTCCCCCCTCTTCCGCACGTTAGCCTTGATAACGAATGAATGCCGAAAGTTGGATTTGAGACGTGCGAAAGTTGGATTCGAGACGTGGCGAAGGTTGGACTTAAGACGTGGAAAGCTGGACGTTGTGTGTGTGTGCGGACGTTCCGAAGTTGGAAACTTCAAGATAGCTCGCTACTATGTAGGTTAGGTGACCAACCGGACCCAGCCGACTTTCAGGCCTGACTCCCTGCTACGGTGTTCCAGATTGGTAGGTAGCTCTGTGGGCACCTAGTGGGTGGACTGCGATGCCGTCACGTGTTACTCTTGACGACAGAAAGAGCCTCACATCTTCTCCACTGCACCCTATTCATCTTGCCCTCTATTCTCGCAAAATCCTATGCCCCAAACCCCTCCTCCTCGTTCCTCGTCCCAACTAAAAGGGTGGAATAGCGCATTTGGGAACCCCTTTCGGGTCATCGAAAGTTGCCGCGCAGAAGCCTCGATAGCAACTCCACAGGCACTCGAGATCACCCTTGCATGCGACAACACAGGGGCAGTAGCCGGATACACAACTGATTGTTGCTATATAGGAGAGGCAGATTGTTAGCCACATAAAGACACTGGAGTATTCTTTGTAAGAATCGAAGAGCTTACTGGCGCTTGTGTAGCCAACCAGGCCGATGACAGCCGTCATGTAGGTAGTAAGGCGCATCTTTGTTGGTATGTGGATATTCTGGCGATGGGGTGTTGTTGTGAAGTTTTGCAGGTAGGAGCTGATAATGCAGGCGTTGTTCTGAAGTTTTGCAGGTAGGAGTTGATAGCCAAAGCAGTCACAAGAGGCCTACGACCACTTGATATATAAACTGAACGCCATGTGTCCCACAGCCTTGAACTAGTGCGAAGGTGGATCTGAGACCAAGCCCGCGAATGGACCGACATCAAGGCCGCCACTTCGGTCTCAATCCTTGCTGCGGCCTAGATAGCTCGTCCATCCGACTTCGGGCTCGAGACTGTAACATACTACTCCTACGCCCCGAGTCCAAAGCACTGGGCGGTCTTATCTTATGGTACGACGGGCTTTCGTTGTCCGCTTCGTGCCCGTCCACTACCATCGGGGGCAACGGCGGGACAGGAAGAGCACTGCTTCTTCTTCCACTCATGCCTCTTGAAGCAGATCGTAGGGTAGGAGCAGAAGCCTTCTTGTTGAGAGATTGTCGTAGTCGCGAGGGCGTGGCCAGAGAGGAAGGTACGGGTAGGGATGATTTTCGAGTTCCCATGACAGTAGTAGGCCGGGGCAGAGAAGATTGTGGCCTGGCAACAGGCTCGCTGACAATCCTCGGAACGGGAGTGCGACACGTCGGAACAGAGTCCAGTCTCGAAGTTCGTCGCAAGAAACTCGTCTTGGGCGTGACGGGTGCCTTGGCGTACGGCGAAGGCTCGTAGGCGGACAGCGGTCGGAAGTCGCGACTGTCTGACTTGGCCAGCTGCACGAAGCGTGGCTTGTTGCCGAGCTCTGGCTCAGGCCGACTGGGCCATACGGGCTGTTGCTTTGAGGGTGTAGGAATCGATGATGGTGACGACCGCGGGCTGGCGGACATCCACTCTGTGAAAGATGACTTGGGTAGCAGGCTCTTCCGCTGCATCGACGTCGACGAAGGCAGACGACTCTTCGGTGCGCTGCTACTGCTTCGTGTCTTGATGTTGGTAAGCGGCGTCGGGGTTCGTGAGCCCAAGCTGCCTCTTCTGCTTCCTCCCATCACGCTGCTTGCCGGTGAGCTACCAGGTGTGTCCACGAGGCTACTGGCAATGGACCGCTCACTCGAGATCACAGTGGACACTGAGTCGCGGAGATTATTCTCCTTCATCTCATTGTTAATGTCCACGACAATAGCGTCGACGTCAGCCATCTCGCTTTGCAGAGCCGTCCATCGTCGCTTCATGTCGCTCTGCAACCTCAAGATTTCTCCGTTGACGGTCAGTCTGTCCGACACGCCGCGGTCGATGATGGCAAGAACCCGTTCAATGGCAGGGCCGTAGTGTCTCTTCTTGTTCTCGTAGTTTTCGAGGCGCGTGGTGAGAGAAGCAGGATTCGTCGCCTGCTCGTTGGCATCGACTGAATCTTTCAGTTTCATGAAGCTGCGAGTGATGGACTCGCACATCTTCAGAGCCTGGCGACCCGCATTCCTGAAGACCGTCACCCATCGATCCTCTCCCAGCTCTCGTCTCAATGAATCAACATCCAATTCGAGCTTTTTCCACTGGGCCTCGAGTTGTTCCCGTCGACTGTCAAGATCAATGCAAGCACTGGGAAAAATGGGATTTCCTCGAACGTGCCATACCGATAGTGTCATTGGTAGAAAATCCAGTGACGCGCGAAGTGGCTGCATACGAGCAAGCAAGGCCAGTAAGCTAGAGTCCTCCTTGTTATGATGGGTGGTCGCCGGCGGTGTCTGCATGTGCGAACCCAATGAAAAGGGTTGTATGCTCAGTCGAGCTCCAACAGATTGCCGTGCTCTCCCAGGGTGCTCCTCCACAATGGTCTCCAATTCGCTTAGGTCGATGCTGTCTCTCGAACTGAGCAGGCTCTCTGCGCCTTGATGTCGCTTTTCCTCCATTTCGAACACCAGTCGATTCAGACCATCCAGTTCTGACGCAATCTCTCCCAGCACGGAATTCCATAACTGTTCCCATTCCATTGCTATTTCGACCTGTTCCTTGATCCCCTTCAGTGTATCTTTGATCTTCTTCCAGCTCATAATGACCGTCTCCACCTGTACCACGCCAGCCTTGATCTCCTCTGCCGGAAGCTCAATGATATCATCTCGGGTCTGCAGTCGTTCAACGGACTCCACAAAGACTTCCACCAGACGCTGGAAGCGATTGATCGCCAGGTCCACATCCTCGATACCCTCCCTTCCTCCCGCCGCGGCCCACGCGACATCATCTTCCGCGTTCAATCCATCCAGTACATCCGAAGCCTTACTGATCCAGACGCGTATTTGTTCGAATGCATCCAACAGCGCCTGAGAAGCCTCGCTCGCGGTAGCCATGTCTGATATTCGCTTGGCCAGAGAGTCGGCATCTGGCAGACGCATGGCTGTCAGCTGAGCAAGTTGTCCTGTGAAGCTCGCACGACCCAGCGTATATATTGAGCCAGTGCGCGATAAGCTCGGGCGAGCAGGGAAGTCAGAGTCACCAACATTCTCAGCACTGCCATTACGCAAGTGCCAACCTGGAGGGAAATCCATTTTCGCGGACGTAGCCGAAGGTGTGGTTCGTGGTGTGGTTGGCGTAGAACTGCTGTTCTCCCGCGTCTCCTTTGTCGAAGGTGAAGATCTCGGGACGTGCATCGGTCCTGGAGACCACGGTTCCTTGGTGTGTAGATGAAGTCTCGTCTTGCCAATATCCGGCAATCTGTACTTGTGATTGTCCCGCAGGTGGTCGTCGAAATCCGTGTCGACAAAGTGGTCGCTGATGTCTATGACCGACGAGACATCACTCTCGAGCATCGAAGCCTCATTGTCCGTCAAGACAGGGCCTCCGCTCAATCGAACGCCGCCGCTGGGCATGACTCTCAGCGGCGGAGCAGACCACCCCTTCCTCGCCTCTGCACCTCAGTCAGCGCGCGCGCTCGCGCTGGAATCTCTCAAGCTCTTGCAGTTGCTCCTCTGGGATACGTCCGATGATATTTGTTCTCCGCGCTTCGGCTTCGCGTCGCCGCTTCTGATCTTAAAGTCTTCTGAGTCGCTTTTCCAGGCCCGGGGCGATGCGTGCAGCGGTTCGCGAGGAGGTGCGGTGGTGATGCTGGGGGGTGAGGGAGGAGCTAGGCCGAGCTGTGACAGATGCCTGGGTATATGTGAAGCTTTCCGCGGAATAGAAGGCACAGGAGCTTGACGATGAGCACCGGGGGCGGTGGTGGTGGTTGTGTGTAGAGTGGTTCGTTTGGGTGTTTTGGTTTGCAGGCGGGAAAGGAGCTGGCATAGCGATCGAGTCAGTTGTTTACAGGTGGAACGCGGCTGCCACAAGCTCCCGTCATGCAGTGCAGCGCAGTACAGCGCATGAGAGAAGAAAGGTACAGGGCGAAGGGCAAGGGGTCTTGGTAGATGTACCACCTCAAGATCAACTTGGCAACAGCAGAAGAGGGCAAACTTACCAGAATGTCGCGGCGCAACGCCAGCTAACCTTCCATCGAATCGGCGCCCTCGGGATACCTTTGCCCTCCTTCTCGTCACCGGATCCGTCCCGTCACACAGGCGCCTCGTTCGCTGTCGTCGAGTGGTCCGTTGGTCGTGCTTTTCGCGTTGTCGCGCTCCGCGCCCAATAATAATCGAACCGACAACCAGAAGGAGACGACGACGACCGTTGCCTGACGTTGCACTGCGTTTCATGTTCAGTAGTGCACTAGACCAGGGTTTGATCTCCCTCTAAGGTAGATTTCTCTAGACCGGCAACTTGTACCGATCGATCTACATCATCAATGATCTCGTCGACATTACGTACACGGCATAGTGAGTGTAACTAGGAAGCCGTTACACCGCGTACCACCTTCGCGTCGGCGCGTCAAGCTCCGGAAAGAGAAGATGATTGTAAACAAGAGCATCCAAACATCTCTTCAGACTCGGCACACATGTTCCGGATAAGAAAAAAAAGACACGAAGCTACCGGACTAACCGGAGGCGCACCAAGAGCCTTAGTCAGGCACTGTATGATTTCTCTCTACTATCAATCTGCTTGCTAGCTAAATTCCAAAAAGCTTGCTTTCCATGCTCTCAAACAAGGGGTATCCATCTCAAAAAGTCAAGTCTAGTCAAATAAGAAGAAGAAGAAACCAAAATGACATCCCCCTTCGCCGGACAATTTCATCCTTCTCAACGAATCCTTTCACTCAACAGCAACATCGTGATCCGCAGCACTCTCCGTCGCCTCAGTCGCAGGCACTTCGATCTTCAACTCCGGCGCTCGTTTCCTTTCCTGGCTCTGCGCTTCCTGCCTCCACTCCTCCATCAATTCCTCCCTCACTCCCCTACACCACGTGTAAATAGCCTCGTCGAATTTCTGCCACGATGTCTCATCTTTCCCATGCACGACATCCAACGCCGGAACAGACAACTGAATATCCCATCGCAACTCGGCGGCTTTGGTCCAGTACTTGAGATTCTCCGCCATCCGGTAAGGTTTCCCCACGTCGGTATGCCATGTTTTAATCTCGTGAAACTTCCGCTTGGAACGGGCAACAAGAGAGTTGTGGAGCTTGACGAGACGTTGTCCATCTTGTAGCGTTTGGAGGAATTCGTTGGGAAGCTGCGTGTCTGCTTGAGGTTCCGGCCATTGGGGGAGACTTGGTTCGTCGTGATCGAAGGATTTCAGGAAACACCATTCTCGCTCTCGCTCTCTTCCGGTCCAGTCGCCTTCTCTCCAGATCCAGGATTCTCGTTCGGCGCTTTCTTGCTGTTCCATTTCGTCTTCCTTTTTCAGAAGCCTGTCGATGCCTTCGATCCAGATGATGATGGCGGTCAATTCGTCCAGGCGGATTCCGCCGCGAAAGCTGCGACTTGCCATTCTCTTGAGAATATCCAAGACTTGATACAAATCCGATCGGAGGTCTTTCTCCGCCTTCAGAGAGTACAACTTTTGCGGATTGGTATGAGCCACATAGTAGTTCTTCGCCGCCCGGATAGCCAACGTGATTATATCCAAGAGGTGTAAACCTTGAATCTCGTCGAAGCCATGGCTGTCCTCGCCATTCTGGGACGAAGGGTTCTCCTGCTTCTGCGACTCTTCCAGTACCTTACAGGCATCCTGTAGGGCTTCCTTCAGCTCTCGTCTCAGTACTGGCATATCCGGCACAGGCTCCGTGTACTCCGGTTTGACCTTGTAAGTGCTCACAGTAGGCGGAAGCATGATTGGATCCGAAGCCCAGACCGCAGGATCCATCTGCATCTCAGTCGGGCTCTCCACCACATTGTCCATTCCAGACTCCGAGACAGCGTACGCAGAACTGCTATCGTATAGCGAGAGTGACCCCATGCTGAACTCATCCAACATACTCCCACTCAGCGAAGGAGGCTCCTTGTTCTCCTTGTCGCCCGTGGAACCCTTCTTGCGCTCCTTAGCCAATTGTGCACCTTTCCCATCCAAGAGTCCCGTTCTCGCAAAGTAGTATTGCATGTGGGCAATACTTCCCAAGCTCATCACACTATCCCTATTCCTTGCAGAATCGGCAAAGGCGGTCCCCTGAGGACGCATATACCCCCTCCTCCGCACCACGGTGGCGCCTCCATCAGACAATCGCGAATTCCTAGATCGGGTCGAAAGAGTCGAGCCAGCGGAGCTCGAGGGGGTGGAAACGGAACGATCGAGTAGGGGGACCGCGTCGAGTGCAAGAGAAGGCGTGACGCTCGGCGAGGGAGAATCAGGACGCTGTTCAGGCGAGGCAAGATTGCTCGCAGGCGGACTGGGAGTGATATCCGCCATTGTCGTCTCGTGCGTTCTGCCCTCTGCCGTGTCTGTGGAAAGAAACACCGGTTCCTAGCTGCACGAGGTGTTCCTGAAAGTGTTCGAGAAGCAGGGATGTCCTAGCTCGGGCCCCTGAACGTGCGACTTTTTTCGGTATCACAATCACAATCACAGTGTGCTGCGAATCTGCCGAATGTCTTATTACTGTCGGTACCGAACAGTCTCTGTTGTCGCTGTGTACATTTATCCGGTATGCGTGATGAGGAGGAGGTTGTTGTTGTCGCGTCGCCGGGGGAAAAGGGACACGATAGAGTCTGGTTCCTGTGGAAATACAACCGCAGTAACGGTCGCCTCGAGACGCGCCTCACCTCACCGAGCACGCGGGCCGGGATCGGATGTCAACTTTAAAATGACACGAACAGCTGGTCTTTCGCTTATTATTGACTGAACAATTCACGACGGACAAGTGGATGCGCGCACGTTCGGAGTGTCTATTGAGAGAAGGTCCGCATTTGTTGGATCAAGTCATCATTGCACAGATTGCAACATCCCTCCGCGGTGGCATACTGTATTCCAAGCAAACACCCGGTATCCGAGCACTCGGCATCCTTCCTTGCGCAGATCTAGAAGCAGAAGTGTAAGGCCGAATCCTCCAAGTCATGCCCTTCGACTCTCTCTACACGACGCTCTCTACAGTGACCCGACACGTTTCTCCATGACGGAGTCCATGGAAAACGGTAAACTGCTATGAAAATACTCCGAGATGATCTTTTCGAAAGCTTCCGTGCACGAAACGTTGGCTCCATTGGATGCCTCTTTAGATTCGGACATTTTGACGAGGATGGAGAGGCTTCCCAGTAAAATCGCCGAGGGCTCCTCTCGACATCGGCCCGGACGAGCGTACTACTAGAACACATGACAATGGACACACAGCTGGAGCATGTGACTTCGTGATCGCTCGCATACGCGTGACGTAACGCCCTGGAGCTCTCTTGCCACACCTCCTTCCACGCCTGGCCCAGTCCAGCTAGGGACGATATCATCCTTGAAGACTGATATCAATTTCAGGTCAACGAATGCGAGCCTTCTCATCAAGTGCCATCAGGATGTCGAAAAGAGTACGCCGTAAAGAGACTGGCCACGGTGGTTGGACTGCTAATAACGCATCACAGGTGTCATTCAAGGTCGAGGGCGTTGTCCAAGGCGTCAACTTCCGGTAATATTGCCCCTATATCATTGCGAGTACCCAGCTGATGAGAGAAAAGTGCGTGGACCATGGACAAGGCCAACGGCTTGAAGGTCACAGGATTCGTGAGAAATAGTGACGACGGCTCGGTATGGCCACACTTCAATGTCTCCCCGCACCGAGCTGATGCTAAGCTTGCTTCAGGTTGTCGGCGAGGCACAGGGACCGCAGGATGCCCTCGACAAGTTCGTGCAGCACCTCAACACCGGTCCAAGCGCAGCCGAAGTCCACAAAGTGGACCAGAAGGATGTCTCGACGAGGAACGACGAGACGAAGTTCAATCAGTGAGTAGACGTGTCCGAATTTAGCAGGCAAGCGATTGACTGTGAAAGAGGATAAGAAGGTGAAGGTGTCAAAGGCAGCGCCAGTAATGTGCCTTCTGGAGCGGGATGACGCCGTCTAGGGCTTGAGGCTCCCATGTATAGGGCACGTCGCCGGCGCCACCAACGTCGAGAGCCGATGCTCAATAGGGCTTGACCACAGCGAGGCCAGGGCTATTGCACGCATATTCGCTCAATGGAAAACTTCGAACCGGCGCACACCCGCAAATTCCTCGTCAGCGTATCATCCGCATTCGCGTTTCAGAGGTACCGGAGGCGCATGACTTTGACATCGGGATCTCTCGGATGAGCTGAAAGTCACGTGTGAGCGTCTCTTGGCCCCTTTCGTCGGCAGCACAGCGAGTTGCGACCTGCTGAGGTACTGTACAGTAAGGGCGGTCATGTTTCGGGACTCTGCATTGTCATGCAGCTTCACGGAGAGTTTGCAGAAGAATGACGTGAAGAGACAGGTTCAAGATGCATTACTAACGACGAAATAGAAACGGCGACCTCAAGCAGCGGATCAAGCGAAAGCCGAGAATCCAACGGCCTCCGATTGGACGGATTCGGTTCGTGCCATCGCTCAAAGCAGCCACAGGGCTGAGACTGGGACCTCCCGACAACACACCTTACCGTCTGACTCCTTCGTTCGCATTTCAGCGTGGCGGTCTATGATCGACTCCGCAATATTGGCGACGCCGGCAAAGACGTGGCGGCGCGGTCACGTACACAGGAGCCCGCGATGATTGGGTGCTGAGTCAAGCACGAGCAGGTCTGCTTCTTTCATCTGTCTTCCGCTTTCCGCATGCAACTATAAAGCTGTTTGCCTCATTCCGTCCTTACCTACATTTCCTTTGTGTTCTCCTACGAAATCAAAATTAGTCACAAGACAGTCACAACACACCATTGACTGTCAAGCACATCAACTGCGATGAACTGCACGAGAGCATTCGGAACCAACGCGATCCTCTCCAAGCAGTCCGCTGCTCAGCTTCTCAAGGCCCTCAATGGCTCCAGCTCCCTGTGCCTGGCGAGACCGGCCCTCGGTGACCTGCAACAACACTCGTCCTCGAGACAGTTCAGCGTATCCATACCAGCAAGATGGCGCGAGTTCTTCCCAAAGCCCGATGCTCCATCGATACGGGAGACGAAGCCCGCATGGTCCCATCCGATCTACTCATATGACCAGATGAAAACTGTCGAAGTCGCCCATCGGCAAGCGAGGACCATGTCCGATCGAGTGGCCATCTTCGCCGTCAAATTTCTACGCACTTTTCTGGACTTCGCATCTGGATACCGCCACGGCAAGGGACAGATGACCGAGCGGAAATACATGATTCGGAATATCTTCCTTGAATCCGTGGCCGGTGTTCCGGGTATGGTTGCGGGTATGCTTCGCCACCTACACAGCATGCGGAGAATGAAGCGAGATAATGGCTGGATGGAGAGCTTGCTAGAGGAGAGTTACAATGAACGCATGCACCTTCTCACATTCATGAAGATGGGGGAACCTGGTTGGTTTATGCGGCTTGCGGTACTTGGTGCACAAGGTAAAGCCTCCCTTTGAACTAATTGATGGAACACGTTTGCTAACAATCTCCACAGGCGTCTTCTTCAACACCTTCTTCCTAGCCTACCTCGTCTCCCCCAAAACCTGCCACCGCTTCGTCGGTCACCTCGAAGAAGAAGCCGTGATAACCTACACCCGCGAAATCGAAGACATCGACGCCGGCCGTCTGCCCAAGTGGGAGAAAATGCAAGCACCAGACATTGCCGTCAAATACTGGGAGATGCCCGAGGGTCATCGCACCATGCGAGACTTGCTGCTGTATATCCGTGCCGACGAGAGCAAGCATCGGGAAGTCAATCATACACTGGGAAACCTGGATCAGGAGAAGGATCCGAATCCCTATGTGAGCGAGTACAAGGATCCGAGCAAGCCGCATCCGGGCAAAGACTTGAGTTGGCAGAAACCTGAGGGATGGGAAAGGGAGGAGGCGATCGGGAAGCTCTGAGGGTGACATGAGCGGATGCAGCCTCCGCGTTGTTTTCTTGTGGCGTTCTAGCAATTGTGATGATGCATTTGAGTCTCTCTACTCTATCTAGACACAGTGGCGCATAGATTTGGGTTTCGGAATACCACGCGACATGCCTGCCCAAGTGGTGTGGGAAAGCTGGCGAATTGGATCGTTATCAGGCGCATTGCAGGGAATGCATGTCTCTACTAGAATGCGTCCTTCTCGTCGATGAGAATACAAGCATATCAGGGTTTTGTGAAAGCCGCAAGTTCCCGCCGTGGGCGTTTCGGCGCCAAGAGGCCGTGAATTTCGCAAAGCCACTGTGGACTCGGAACGTCCTTCTGTCTTGGCGCTTCAAGTTCCCTTCCCGTGGCGCCATGGTTCGTGCAAAGGTCCCTTTCCACCTGCAACAACACTCGTCTGGGAATTCTTCATCTTTTCGGTGCTGTCAAGCTGCAACAGGAGCTCGGCCTGAATAATTGCGGGCCTACAGAAATCACAGGCAGCCAAGTTCACACAGCGATGCCGTGTCATCTGAGCCGCTGTACGAGAACTCCAGATCATCATATCTCTCAGGCGCAACATTCGACACTGGACCGCATCGTAGATGGAGTGAAGCAGGGTGTAAGAAGTCTAATAATGATAGGCGCAAAGCCTCCTATGCCCTCCCTTGCATGTGATTCGAAGTGGAGAGATCATAGAGCAGGCGCCTCGGCGAATAACGGAACGAACCAAACTTTGAGCGTCTCATATCCCGGCTTGCCAATTCTACACGCTACCTCGACGGCAGTCCTGCACAAGTTTCGACTACATCGCTAACTAGAGTTCGGCGACGTGCAACTGTCCACGACTTCTACTTGATCGAACGATCTGCCGTACCACGTTGTAGCTCGAATTGGTCGTAGCTGCTCTCAATCACAGACGACCACATCCCGACCATAGCTTTTCCTACCTCGGAGGCGGCCTGCCCAGCCGCGCGAGTCAAATGGCTCAAAAAGCTACAATTAGCGCTCCTAGCGCCCACCAGGCTGGGGCACATCGGCTGTACCATGACGCGCAGGGCGGAACTAACGTGAAGCGGCCGGCTGCAACCTATCGGTCTAAAGGGCTGTGCTACAATTCCTCTCGTCAGGTAAAGTGGATACATAAAGTGGTCAGTACATCCTCTCACTACTACCTGACCGGTCGTGTGCTCCCATCATTCGATTCGGACCGCTGGGGACTGAGGACCACTTTATTTACAAATCTATCCGCACAAAAGTCAGCAAAGAATTAGACTCCCGTCGCAAGCTTGCGCATCTACAATGCTTTCTACACAGCGACCAGCGGACCCTCTGCGAAAGGATAGTGCGATGGACGTGGTGGTGGTTCTGGACAACGCTGCGAAACATACATCTCAGACTATGGATTCAACAAGAAGACAGAAGACCACGTTTGCCGGAGGTCGTGATGGGCTCCGGATTCCGCCTCCCGCGAGCAGCTCAACGTCTTCTCGCATGACAATGAAGCTGCTCGAGCGAAAATGTCAAAAGCATATCGAAGCCGTCAACTCTCGCGATTTCTACGAAGACGGTGCTATCTGGTTCGACAAGACTGAGGATTGGGAAGCCGAGATTCCTTTCCTCTCCGACAAGACGATGAATCTCCCTCAACACGTCGCCGCCTGGCAGAAATTGGCTCGAAGGTATCCGGAATATGGAATCCGATGCATCGAAATGACGACCGCCATGGGCGAGGGTGGGCGATCGGCGGAGACTTTTGCGGTGGTGGAGATTACGGGTATGCCAACCGGGACGGCTTGGAGGAGTACTTGCGTGGCTTCTTTTGAGTCGGTGGAGGGCAAGTGGCTGGCGACGAAGTTCAAGACGATTCCAGGTTGAGGGAGACACACCCGATTTTCCAGGTCGGATGCTACACTGATGCAATGGAAATCAAAATCAGCACGTCTGGATCGTGCTGCGGGGGGAGGCCGTACCAGCGATCTCCGTTGCCCAGACCAGCCTGATCGAATTCAACATCAAATCTGATGCAGCTAGAGAGAGGGGGAGACACCCGGTTTCTCGCCCGAGCTGGAAGGATGATCTGGTATCGGTGATTCGGCGCGACTCCTCGAGAAAGTCGTCGTATGGACAGACCTGCGGTATAGCAGCGCCTTCTCGAAGAATGTACTTCCCAAAAGAAGGGAGAAGTCTGGGGAGGCTTGCGAAATCCTTTCAGCGCATCCGTGGTGGCGAAGCAAATCGACTCGCCACACACACGCATCGAAGTTTCATAGAAAGATACCCAACTCAGCTTGTTTCAACACAAAACCCTGATCTGGTGTGGAATCACGTGTTGATCCCGCCCCTTAATTTTCCGCCTACCTGCCACCGCCTCGATCAGGAAGCCTCAGCTTCACAATCTCGCGAGCTCGATGTGCTGCCGACGAAGTACACTCGCATCAATACCAGGCCTAGACCTCTCTTCCGCAAAACGCTCCCTGTCCTCGAACCAGGTGTCTGCGAACTGGAGGATAGGCAGAATCGTATCGAGTACCGCTTCTTGGATGCAATTGTCGGCTCTTACCTTGGAATGCAGGGCGTAGAGGTGGAGGTGTGGAATGTTTTATGCGATTCGACCCCAGGGCTGAATGTGCCGCGAAGTTGTTGACGGATGCTGCAGCTGACCAGTGAGGCCGCACCCCGCCGTGGACACGAAAGCAGTGCTCGCTAAGGGGCATCGAGCTGGACAAGCTGCTTGGCGATATGCAGCCACATTTCCATAGCCTTGTGTAATGGCAGTAGCCTCGCGATAGAGATAGGGGAGATGTGACAGCCCGTCCGAGCTCTGCAAAGGTTTTCCGGGCTCGTCTCTTCGACAGTCTTCATTGCGATCAGCGAGCCATGGCAAGCAACAGCCCAGAAAATGCTTCTCCAGCACCAGAGCAGAGACTGTGATCTTCTTGTTATTATCTTGCGATGTTTCATCCAGGTCGTAGATCTTGCTGCCGCCATCCGTTTTGGCCTGTTCTCTGCGCTATCCTGGGCAAAGGCGGATCAACGGGCCCAAGTAGCCTTCGGCCAGACCAGTACGGCCAATGTCCTGGAGTTGATGTCTCTCTGTGCGCAATTGCAATAGGTGTTCGGCCCAAATAGTACATTGACGTTGATTGAGCCTACAACCATCATTGGGATTCCAAGTACACAATCGGCTCCTCTCGCGGGATAGGTAGACCGTCAAATATTCATTATAAATTTGATGACTGGCCTTCAGTTGCGCACGTTACCCCGCGTCAAAGTGGCGACGCGCTCGGGCACGCACGACGATAAGCGACGTCAGGTAGCTTGAGGCTGAGAGCTTCCACACAGTTGTAGTGCATCCAGGGAACAAACACTGACACACGACACGACTCCCTCTGTTCGCCTCCCTCCTTTCTCTTTTCTCTTACCCTCATACTCATATACATCCCAACAACGACTGAGAAATATTCGAACAAGATGGCGGCGTGTCCACACATTGCCTCTGCCGACATCCACCCTCCCAGGCCCGCCGACAGCGTGTACCGCGAAGACTGCACCCTCTGCTTCGATAGCGTCGATGACCCCGCCGGCGTGGATGTATGCCTTCACTGCTTCAACGGCGGCTGTGCAGGAGACAGACACCACAGCAAGCTCCATGCTCAACAAGCTCAACACCCTCTAGCGGTCAACATCCGGCGAACTCGCAAGCGGAAGGAACGAGACGACAGCGAGCCTCCCGAGAAGATCAGCAAGTTGGAGATCAAGGCCGAAACGGAAGAGGAGCGATACGATACCAAGACGACTGTTAGGTGCTTGGAGTGTGGCGTAGACGACCTTTCCAGAAATGGCAAGGTCGGCGAGGTGGTGGAGGGCGTGCTCAAGGCAAACACTTTCGCTACACAACAGAACATCAAGGAATGGGAGCTGGAGATTGAACCCTGCGAGCATACTGGAGCGTTTCTGGTGCAAGAGACTGCAAAGACAATAGCGAGCGGAGATTTGGGACAGTGCAGTCAGTGCGATCTGAAGGAGAACCTGTGGCTGTGCCTGACATGTGGCAACTTGGGTTGTGGGCGAGCTCAGTACGGCGGTGCTCCAGGCAACAGCCATGCTAGAGAGCACGGGACAAATGTGGAACACTTCGTGGCCGTCAAGCTCGGGTCGCTTACTGCAGAGGGTACTGCCGACCTGTACTGCTACAAATGTGACGAGGAGAGGTCCGATCCTTTACTTGCTGAGCACCTGATGCATTGGGGAATCAACATTGCGGACCGCGTGAAGACCGAGAAGAGCTTGACAGAGATGAACGTTGGATTCAATTTGAGCTACGACTTCGCGATGACTGACGAGAAGGGCCATCAGCTGGAACCTCTCTTTGGCCCCGAGCTCACCGGTCTGAGGAATCTGGGCAACACTTGCTACATGGCTTCGGTTCTACAGTCTCTCTTCTCCATGCCCGAGTTTTGCAAGCGATATAACAGACCCGATGAACCATTGCCACCAATCAGCAAGCCGGCCGAGGACCTTGAGGTGCAACTCCGAAAGATTGCTGACGGTCTTCTCTCGGGACGCTACAGCAAGCCAGAAGATTTGGTCAACTACGGAGATGATCCCGAAGCAAAGCCTCATCAAAAAGGTCTAGCACCAGCGATGCTCAAGGCTTTGGTCGGCAAAGGCCACGCCGAGTTCAGCACCGCACGACAGCAGGATTCATTTGAACTGCTTCTCCATTTGCTGAAGCTCATCTCTCGATCGCAACAAGGCGCGAGAGGCCAGTACAAGGACATATACGATCCTGTCGATGCTTTCCGCTTTTACATGGAGCAGAAGCTGCAGTGTATACAATGCAAGAAGGTTCGGTACCGCCAGGACGAAATGGAAAATATCTCTGTCGCTGTCCCGATCAAGCGGCTACCGAAGTCCGAAGACACTGCCATGGCCACAAATGGAGAGAGCGAGAAGGAGAAACAAAATGAGAAGGAGCAATTCGAGCCTGTTACGCTCAAGCAGTGCCTTGATGATTTCACAGCTCCCGAAATCGTCGCCCTGACCTGTGCTGGCTGTGGCAACAAGGGCTTCACTAAACAGTCGCTTTTCAAGACGTTCCCAAATATCCTCGCAATCAATGCACGGAGATTTGAGATTGTCAACTGGGTACCCACCAAGCGAGATGTTCCTGTCGTCGTCAGTGACGAGGTTTTCGACATGGAGGCGTATCGCAGCAAGGGCAAGCTGCCAGGCGAGGAAGAGCTGCCGGAAGGAGCCGCTGCTGGCGCGGGCGAAAGTAACAAATTCGTGCCGAACGAGATGGCCTTGGAGATGCTGATGAGCATGGGCTTTCCGAAGGTGCGATGCGAGAAGGCGCTCAATGCCACTGGCAACTCAGATGCCGAGGCTGCTGCTGGGTGGTTGTTCGAGCACATGGAAGACCCGGATATCGACGTGCCGATGGATGCTGGCAATGATGGTGCAGCTGGAGGTGCCGCCGGCGGTGCGGTTGATCCAGAGAAGATCGAGAATCTCGGCAGCATGGGATTCTCCGCGCCGCAAGCCCGCCAGGCACTGAAGGAGACTGGTGGCGACATGGAGCGCGCGGTGGACTGGCTGTTCTCCCATCCCGACGCTACTGGCGACTTTGGTGATGATGTCGCTGACGCTGCAGACGGATCAGCAGACGCGGCTGCATCGGCGATGGAAATCGAAGATACCAAGCCGGCCAAATTCTCACTCAACAGTATCGTCTGTCACAAGGGTGGAAGTATCCATGCTGGCCACTACGTCGCTTTCATCAAGAAGAAAGAAGGCTGGGTTCTGTTCAATGACGAGAAGGTTGCATTGGGCGGTGATGTTGACGAGATGAAGAAGTTTGCTTACATCTACTTCTTCCGCCGTGAGAGCGTATGAGGATGCATTAGCGGAGAGCTGAGTGATCAGACATGGGATGAGATGATTCAAGCGCAGGTGTTGGTGGTAGCAGTAGTGTAAAAAGAAGTGAGAAGCTCTCGATGCGATGAAGAATAAGAATGGAAGATAGATGGCGCCTACAAGCGCCGCAGCTATACATGGCAAATAAGTCGATCCATTGTTCACGCTAGATCGTGTTCCCAGTAACGAAAGTCTCGCACTCCCGGCGTCGAAATACAGAACGGCGGATGTGCTTCGTGAGACTGTACAGCTGCGGGAGTGATGTTCGAAATACACACTATCTATGTAGGTGGATGGTAATGAGTAGAATTCAGGTTGTCAAAATGCAGCTTGCTAATGAGGCTGATGAGATCTGCTTCAAGTTTGAAGACACTGGAAGGTCGGTTTAAAACCATGCGTTGACAGACTTGGCCTGAGATATCCACGTCGTCGGGCCTTGTCTCGCTAGATTTCCGGCGGTAACTTCGCTGTGGTGCAACATGTGAGTAGTTGCTTGCGGCGTTGTCCAGTCTGCAGGTTGAAAGCGAAAGAACAGTAAGTCGAGAATTGGGATCATTCACTTCCAATCTTGGCTCCATCCATCCTCACTTGACAAGATTGAGTGCGGTGATGAGAAGTCCGGTCGCTTGAATGTGCGTTTGAGAGCCCTATTCTCGACAGACTGATCCAGGTTGTTCCGAAGCCAAGTCGATCCTCCAGCCTAGCATCATGGGCTTTCTGTAACTTCTGTAGAGCGTCTTTACGCAGCAGAACTTTGATCGGTTTCTCGGAAAGCCAAGCAAGATTCAGGGCCACAGCGAGTCGAGTAGCACAAAATCAACCGTAGCAACCGTGAAACCTGCGCGCCGATGTGCGAAGACGCCGGGGCATAGGAGAGCTCCACCTCACGGTATATCGTACGGCCAAGCCATCCGAGCCTGCTCTTCCGTGAACTCTCCACTTTCCACAACATGATGGTACCACTCGTCAAATAAAGTCTTGTGTGCAATTCTGGTATCTTCCCAACGATCGATTGGAACCCAGCCCGCTTCATCCGTGCGCAGGCCCTTGTAAAGCATTTTGCGTAGATCGAGGTTGTCTCTGAATTGCGGCCAGAGTCGTTTTTGCATCTCGATTTCTTCCGTGGTCGGCTGGTATGGACAAGGTCCTGATAGTCCGAGCTCACCGGACCAGCGCCTGGATAGTTGTATGAGATCCTCGCGAACGGGAACAGCTCCATGTCTCCAGGCAGAGGATGCGTACTGAGCGACCCGAAGGAAGTCTTGGTCCATTGCTCGAGCCCTGTATATCTCTGGCATGTAAGCTCGAACGATTACTTCCCAAGTTCTTTGTAAGATGGAGAGCTCATTGACCTTCTTCCTTTGCTCATCGTTGAGAGGGTCTTTGAGCTCGGCATCGTCCCAATCTTCAGGCTTTTGGCAGAGGTCAGGCATCTCGTCGGAGTAGGCATGGCTGGGCTCTACTGCGCTCGATTGCCAGTCGATCAGGGCTGTTATCTGAGAAGGATCCTGCTCGGAAACAAATATGTTCCTCTTGTGCATGTCATGATGCAGCAAAGTTGGTGTGCAGGTAGATTGTAGTGGTTCCGTTTGCGCGAGGGACAGCAAAATTTCCTCAGAGGCTCGGTGGAGATGTAGATGCTGATCAACTGTACCCTTGAACTCTAGATTTCTCGTATCAGTTGAGGTCGGTATACGAGAGTCGCCGGCGTCTGTCAGTGCGCGCAGGTACTCTGCATGTGTGGTCCCTGTTGAAAAATTAGACGCAGGAAATTTCTTCGGATGAGATTGGACTTACAAGGACCTTGATTCGGCGGCCTCCTGGCATATGTTCTGGGATCTCCAGGGGCGACGGACCAGTAACGGTTACCACAGTGTGGTCCAATGCTCTTACCTCCCGAGATCGGGATCAGGCTCGACTGAGGAAGGTTGACATTGTCGAAGTAGATACATCCATAGGCCGGAAACTCCAACGCGGCCATATCTTTGCACATGAAACCAAGCGCCTTGGTGACGAGCATGCGCTGGTGAGAATTCATACTTGGCCATTGATGATGAAGCTGGACGCCTCCAGCATGTCTCGTGATGATGTACTCTGTTCCTATCGGGTTTGTCGGATCATCACTCACGCAAGCACTTCTGGTATCGGTATCGACGTGTTCTCTCGGACTAGCCCAGGTCAGCATGAAACGAAGCTCGAAAGAGTGCGATGAACTGCAGCTCACTGAAATCCATCGTGGCAATTTCGGAGTTTGTGGTGAGACGGGCTGGGCCCGCAACAGCGAAGGGGACGCGAGCAACGATCGAAGCGCCATTATCAAGACGCAAGAGAAAAGCGCGATTGAAGCCACCTTCTATTTTGATACACTCAGCGATATCTCGCGCACCCGGGGATGCACGAGATGGCTTTTTCGCAGAGCTTGTGGAAGTCGAATGCAATGTGGCGGGCTTGATTTTGCTCGTCGTTGAGACGAAGCCAGCGTCCACTGGTGTATTTACATGGATCAAAGTCTGATGAAAACATCAGCCTGAGTCATATGTGTGCTGTCGTGGGCGAGATACACGGAGGACTGTCGGCAATCGCGTTTGGTCGCGTGAGAGAACGCTTCCAGGGCTTGGAGACGTGTACCGCACCCTTCACGTTGCTGCTTGAGAGACGCTTGCAGAGTTGACGCAACATTGTCAATGGGAATCGCGGATGAGCATTATGAATGGAAATTTTGAACTGACATTGTGCATGGAAATGAGTTTGTGATGGGCGCGAGAGAAACAGGAGAAGCCCGCAGTCGCATACGACGGAGCTCCGGATCTATATAACGGACATTTACTTAGGATTCCAGGATTTGCTAGGCCCTCTACTACTAAATCTTTATTAAGGCTTAATAAAATTTTATACGCTATATATTAAAATTTACTTATAAGTAGTATAGATCTCTTCTAAAAGAGAATAGACTTACGAAACCGGCCTAGAAGTAGATATATTTTTAAGAGGCCTAGTAGAGAAGAGAGATCTATAGAGAAGAGATCTATAGAGAGAAGAGATTAATAAAGAGAAGAGTCCTACGATATAAAGAAGAAAAGAGATCTATAAAGAGAAGAGAAGAGACCGGTAGAGAGAAAAGACTAGTAGAGAGAAGAGAAGGGACTTACGAAAAAGAGAGAAGAGACTAGTAGAGAGGACGGCCTAGAGCTGTAATAGAGATTACTACTAGCTATACTAGAATATACGTAGGATAAGGAATATAAATCTTAAATCGCAAAATCCTAGAATCCTGAAATCCCAGAATCCTGACTGAAATGTCCGTTATGTAGATCCGGAGCTCCTTACATACACAGTCTAGTCGCGTCCCAAACAGGCAAGTCCGAGTATCTCCCGACCCGTGCCGAGCGTCTACCATTGAATCTTATCAGTCTTGTGCATCACTCATGTCTTGTAACTGCCCTCCTTGGCTCCGCCGGCTGCTTCTTCTTCGTCACCCTAAAAGGCCTCCCACAAGCTTCACATGTCCTCGGCTTCGGTCCCTTGCGTCTGGGACTAGGTGGCAGATGGCTCTTCGTAGGTGTATTCGGCAAGCGACGAGGTGTCCACAAACGATTGGTGTATCTCAAATTGTCGACCTTCTTGGGTCTGAAGTCCTTGAATGTAGACTTTGGAGTAGGGCGATTCCTGGTGAACATTTCTTCGAAGGAAACATTTGGACCGAGAGGTGTCGCCGGTCTCGGCGGCGTTGGAGAGTTGTAGGACAGTCGTCGAGCCACGTGGGGAAAGTCGTCGGGACCAAAGTCAGAGTCAGAAGGTGATAAGGGATCAGATACAATATCCGAAGCGCCGTACTCGTCGTGCGGAAACGGTGTGCCGCTACGAGGACGCTTTGGAGGCGGCGGCGAATCGTCATCGGATGAGTTCCCATCCTCGTCACCCGAATCGACATGTGATTCTCGTGATCGCTTTCGAGGAGGACTGCCATCTTTGCCGCTTTCACCGTCATCGTCATCGCCGTCGTCATCGCCGCCGTCATCGCTACCACCGGGAGATGGATCTCGAGGACCAAGCCAGGCGTCCCTCAACGAGGGAACCCACTCAAACGTCCATTCATTCATATTCTTCTCCGAGAGCTTGTCGCTCAGCGCACCATACAGCTTCCTGCGTGTCGCGTAATTGCCCGTGGCCAGGAGATCGTGCTTCAATTTCTCGATCAAGAAGCCGTCCAGGTGGCGATCCATGTAGCTTTCAACCAGTTCGACCATCTCTGGGTCCTCTCTGTTCCTCAAGTCTTCCGCGAAATCACTGCACCAGTCAAGAATCAATCGCTTCCGGTACTCCGGGTCTTTGACAGCTAGACCATACTCTTCATCTTCGGGGCGATCATGATCTACAGTGTCATTGCGGAATCGCGGGTAGAAGATTGCTGTCAGTGTCGCCCACGCTCGAGCTGGGCCCCAGCCACGAAATGCGCACTCCTGCCAGATGCCGGGATCAACAGCCTGCAGGACGAAGTCGCGGAAGTATCGACCATTCGATTCATCAAAGTTATTGGTCGGAGCATTGTAGCCCTCATACAACTTCCGATCCCCATATGCCATCTCGGTTCCGTTCCTGGATATTCTTGTATCGTAGAAGTAGTCGCCCAAGATGCAACGTCTGAGAAGCTTGCCAGGATTCTCTTTCTCAAGCTTCCGGCGTTCCTCGGCGAGTTCCGTTATGAAATCGTGAAGCTTTTCTGGAGTCCTCTCTTCACAGTCTTGTCGCACCGCGTATTCCAGGAAAGGCTCGCTCTCGCTGCTATCCACCATTTCAGTCATGGCTTTTCGGACTTCTTCAAACTCTTCGCCGAGTAAACCAAGTCGTTGAAACATTTGTTCTTTGTAAGCGGCCAAAACGCGGAGTGCAAGGGCTTTGTCACTCGCAAGCAAGTCGAGTGCTGCGATACGCTCGGGGCCCTCAATTCTGCGATGGCTCAAGCCGTCCACAAGACGCCAGGCAAGGAATTGATCCAGGCCCGACCTGACGAGAGTCGAACTATCTCTCTTATCCCAATCCGGAAAATCTTGAACCCAGTGGCGATCTTGACCCTGTCCGTGGAGATAGTTCCAGATGAATGGTCTGTCTGTCAGGTCGAGGAAGTCTTCGTCTAGGAGAGAGCGGCCTGAAGGCTTGGGCGAAGATAGAGGAGTGACCAAGTCCGCCTTGACTTCGGATTCGTCCCAAACCTCCCGGAAACGAGGTCGGAATTGAAATAACCACTCTGAAATGTCCCACGGCCCAAGGTCCATTTCCAGCACATCCGCCTCCCTTAAATCATCTGTCTCCAACGAAGGGTCTGCCGCTTCCAGCTCCAAGATGTAATTCCAGATATAACGAGAATCGAAGCCTTTCCACCAGAGAGACTTTAATGTCTGACGGAGATGAGGATCTTTGACAACAGAGAACGCCTCGCGATAGGCCCTTTGAAGGAAGTCTTGTGCGTCCATGGGATGGTTGCGAAGCTCTTGAAGCTTTTTCACCTGTTCCATTGGACCTTCAGTGACCTCTCGGGTTTCAACCCATAAATGCAGAGCGTCCCGGACGCTGTACCCACGATCTTTGAGCGCGCGGAGTTGTACAACCATGGTGTCACCCTTTACTTGCGATTTGGTCTTCTCGACGACGCGGGCATTGATCTCCTCGCGAGAGGGCAGAACGGATTGCCTGCGTGCTCTTGCGGTTGGAACTGACTTCGGCGTAGGACTTCGATGTTTTGGCGGAGGTGGAGAATGAGGTGTATCTACACCAGGTGTAAAACTTGTCTTGGTCGGCTGGTATGGCTTAGGTTTGGGTCCTGTCGTACTTCTGCCAGTCTCAGGGGGTGGCGAATGGGGTGTATCCACACCAGGCCTATGACCTGAGTCGCTCAACTCCTGCTTCTTGGACTTGCGTCCTCCACGGGGTAAGTCAAACCGACCATTGCCGTACATCAGCTTCTGAAGTAATGAATCTTTTGGTAGTCCAGAATCTAGTGGGCCTGTGCCAGGTGGGGATTGCTCGTAGTCCGGCAAGTCCGATCCATCATCACGAAGAGGAGGAGTTCGGAGAGGGTACCGGTTTCCGAGATCAGCTGCCTTGTCTTTGTCATCATCACCATCATTACCATCGTCAGACGAGGAAGAAGAACGATTGGCAGCAGACTCGGGCGCGTCCTCAGGAAGCTCCCTTGACCAGATCGTATTCAATTCAGGAGCCCATCTTGACAGCCAGTCAAGGACATCCACGTTCTCAAAGTGATCTTCCAGCTGGACTGCCAGAGCGGCCTCTTCCTCACCCAAAACAGGATACCTGCCCCGCAGGATATCCATATACCGCTTCACAAAATGTTCATCGAAGCCTCGTGCCCACAAATACTTGGCCGTTCGACGAAGTTCCGGACCGCAATCGGAGAAGATAACCTTGTAATGGTCGTCGTACCAGTCCAGCCATTTCCGACTCCTACGCCCTCCGCTAGTGATATCATAGAGTCGAGAGTCTGCGAGCACGGCTTCTGCGCTGCCAAGTTCTTCAAGCAAGACGGCGAAGATACGCCAGACGTCGACAGGACCAAGACCGCTCGACCCCAGCTTCTCAATCTGATCGAGGTCGTCATCCGTGAATTCAAGATGATAGCGATGTCCCAGGCATACATCATCAATGATTTCGTCGACGGTCGTTTCTGCATCCGATCCTGAGTCCGACTCCGGCATGGTATCGTTCGCAGTATAGAAGCTCGGCGTCTGCGATCCACGTCCAGAACTTGCCTGACTAGGACACTTCGGCGTTCGTGGCGAGTTCGAAGACGTACGTGGTTCAGGAGTTCCAATACCACTCATCACGACATCCTCGTCCTTGCGTCGAACGCTGCTGCCATCCATTTTCGTTGGACCTTCTCTCCAAATCTCCCAGAGCTGTGGGGCCCAGCGGAAGAGCATTTCTTCGGCGTCTTTATTCCGTGTCGAATTCTCAAGCTCGTCTGACCAATCCTCAACCGGAATCAAATCGCTTTGAATTTCTTTGATGAAAGCATGAAGAAAGTCCTGTGGCCAACCTTCTTGGAATAGATCCATGGCGGTGCCTCGTACCTCGTTGTATCGTTCGTGGTTTCTGTATTTCGAAGGCACGACGTAACGCCCCATGTCATCGATGATGGCAGCAATGGTCACTGTTCCCAGCAATACAGGCTCGATCAAGTCGTGGAATCCCTTGCTTCGGTCGCGTTTACACACTGCATCAAGGCCGACAATGAGGCGCCAAGCAGTAGCAGCGTCGAAATCTCTCTCCTTCAACTTTCTCAGCACAGTCGCGTACTGGTTTTCAATCCTTTCGTCGAGCTCCTTGTTCGTGTACAATTCCATTTTGTTTCGACGAGCGATGAGTCGTTCCGTAATGTCTTCTTCTTCCAGGTCAGGAGCGAATTCCTCCCCATAGTCCTCGGGAACGGCATCATCCTCTTCGTCGGCACGTAGGCTAGGCGTGAATGGCTGGGCATCATCAATGTCCATGGGCGTTTCGGTAAGCTCATCCAGCTGCGGTTCGTATTCGTCTTCGTACTCGATTTCGGTCGGTGGAACCACCTGGCGGCGAAACCAGTTCGCGGGGTTTAACCATGCTGGTGCCATCTTGTCTCGATCGCTGCGGTGTGCCACTATGCTGCTGTCGTCGCGGAGAGGGTCAGATGTAAGTGCTGAGTGAGGGAGAAAGTTGGGAGCTCCAAAAGAAACAAAGAAAAAAGCATGTGTCGCCGGATGCGGTGACAACGCACCAACATATACAGTTGCGGTGAGGCTGAATCAATAGGACAATGGCAAGTGTCCTAGATTTTGCTGGAATGTGAAGTTTGACAATGGGTCGACCTCTTATTGTCTCAATTGGTATTGTATCTTAGTCAGCATCTTCAATTCGACTCATCCTGATGTGATACATACAGATTCACATTGCAAGTCGCGCATCGCAGCGAGTTATCTGCCGGAGATGATTGTTGTGCAAATGTCTGAAATCTGGTTCAATGGCTCGAAGTGGTATCGGTAGTATGCGACACGCACAGCGCAAGGCCAATGCACCATCGTTGAAGCTGCGTATGTATCACCAGTCATTGCACACCAATTTCTACACATTTCAGCACATCACAGTCGTCTCGATGTCGCTCAGTGATACAGGAATCGGGAGGCACATCTGCTAGTACGGGTGTGGTTTGTCCTTCGGGGACAGCAGCCCTACAGGTCATCCAGGCTGTCTACAGGCAGCTTTAACTTGTCGCTACTCTTCTTGTAATGCGCACGACGAAAACTCGCTCTTCGGCCATAGCAGCAGCGTTGTCAGTGGAGGTTCTAGTCCGATGGGTAGTAGTCTAGGTCGTCTCATAGGTGCCCAAAATCGTCTTGAAACTCTTCATCTCATATACACAGCGAGAAGTGATGCTGCCTCCATAGCAGCAGCTTTTTGATTTGAGGTGCTAGTCCGAGCTGGGGTCCAGGTCGTCCTCCAAAGTGAGATTGCTTTGCGGCGGTGCTGCTGACATTGCCTCAAGAGCGAAATCACAGCCCAGCTGGATGATCCTCTTCTCCTTCTTGTTCTGCGCTAGTTCGGCAGCAGAGAGAACAGTACTAGTGAAGTATTTCAAGCCCGATATCATCTCTGGCACCGAGTGGACATGCAGATAAGCCTCTTTGACGGCGTTTTCGTATCCTTCTTTATGTGCCTTCTTCCGAAGCGAGATGAAAATTGTGGAGAGGAATACCTGCACAAAGATTTTGGTCTTGGGCTGCAAGTCCGAGAAATCCAGTGGCTTGAGCAAAGTGATTCGCAGGAGGTCCTCGCTTACGAGGGCAGCGTAGAGTTTCGCAATATTGTAGACCTGTCGTACCTGAATATCTCCGCTTTCTTCCTCGTCTCCATTTGCACCAGCAGCTGCCTCGCCCACCCTGCGAAACAGATCGACAAGAGAAAATTGCCAGGCTTTGCGGAGTTTGTGGTCGCCACAGAAGTGTGTCGCAACAAGGGAGTAGTAGTGGTTGTATTCCGGTTCGGCGCCAACACAGTGAAGCAGAACTCTTGGAATTTCGAGACGTTGTTTGTTCTTAAGATTCAACTTTTGAACGCGAATGAAGGCATGCTGGGCATCCACAGCACCGGCGACGGAGATGAAGATGACCCTCCGGATGTCAGTATTCATACCTTGCTCCCGCGCGATCTTGTCAAGGTTTGGCGAGTCCGATCCAGCGTCCGAGTGTTCGTCGTCTTGGGTTGCATCTGCCTTAGTTGTGACTGTATTGTCCGACTTCACTGTAATGTTTGACGCCATCTTTGCTGGATCACGATAGCTTGCGCCCACGAGCCACCATTTGCCTTTTTTCTCGCTCTCCCGAATATCTGACAAGGAAATGTGCATGGCCTCCGTGGTCTTCGTCGATTTCAAAGATCCCAAGGTCTTCTTCATCTGTTGCATGTGCTCAGAAAAGATATTCGAGGCCGCGACACCCGTCTTCATGCGATTATTCTTCAGGTCGTGAATCGTCTCAACCATAAACTTCGTCCTGACAGAGATATTAGGCTCGCCGACAGCAGAGATGGTTCTTTGCAGAAGAAGTACAATGTCCTTAAGCGCAGTTGGGTCGTCCTTGCGTAGCTGTGTCCCAGCTCGACGTATGATACGCAGCAACAGCTCGGTGTTCGACTCGCTGAAGTTTTCCTTATCCAGCAAAATCTTGATGTAGTCGAAGATGATCTCGCATCCTATCGCACTCAAAATGTACAAATCCGATAAGAAAGAGACAAGATTCACAGTTTGTTTCCCTCCCGAGTTGGAGCTGTGAAAGTCATCAAACGCCTGTACAATGCTCTCGAGGAGCTGGGCACCAAAATCAGGGCCCAACACACGGTACAGGGCTGCGCTGAACCCGGCGTGAAGGATCAGAAAGGTATCGTTCAGAGCCGCTGGATCTGATACGAGTCCTTTCAGTAGATCGATAAGAGTTGACGTGACATGCTGGCGAGCGTTCTTAGCATAAATCTCTTGGACTGAGGTGAGGATCGAGATGATATTGGACTCTGACAGTCGGTTGAGTAGGCCCTGAAGCTGTCTTCTCAGCTGCCCGAGTACCTCTGCGTCAGACTCAGCTGCCTTGCGAAGCGAAGGGGGAACGTATTTGGCGGTGCCGCTTGACGGCGCGATAGGCGCAATGTATGGGTTCTCTCTCGGCTTCTTCGGCGGGGGCATTGCTGCTTCCGCGACGTGTTCTTCGTCTTCAATATCACCGGCATCTTCATCATCAAATCCTTCGAAATCTTCCTTTCCCGACACCTCATCCTCGGAGAGAGGGTCGTCAAGCTCATCAATGGCATCGTCTTCGTCTTCATCTTCATGATCATACTCTTCTTCCGACAGATCGATACCCGCGCCCGTGCCCTTTCGCCTCTTATTTCGCAGCCAGTCATCGTCTTCTGGTCTTTTACGTTTGGCAGAGGCCTCCTCTTCGCCGTCTGACCCATAGACCAGCCAATCTAGCTCGTCATCGCCTGTCCTTCTCTTCTTTTTCCCCTTGAATCCAAGTCTCTTCTCCAGCGCCGCTATCTCTGCATCGTCGTCTTCCAATCTGGCCTTCACAGCCTTGGACACCACAGGTGGTCTCGGCGCTTCTTCAGGATCGGGGGTGGGTGATTTGCGCGATCTTTCTTTCTTCAATATCGACTTCGTACGCTGCGCCGGCGGAGGAGATGGCGAAGCTTCATCGTACTCGCTGTCTGGCTCGGTTTCTCTCTGAGCATAATCTTGTGACGCGCGTGCTCGTGATGGGCGTTGCTTGCTGCTTATGCGCTCGGCTTTCCGCCTGTCTTTTCGAGAAAGCTGGTTTCTTCCTTTCGATACTCGTCCACCTTCCACTTGGTCTAGCAATGTACGAGGCAGCTTGGGTCCTCCATAATTGGTACGACTCATCCTCACGACCCTTCACGAGCACACGCAATAGTGAGACGGCGATTGAAGGGCTCCGTCCACTGCATTGCACTCGCTGTGCTCGGGGAGAAGTTTTGAGATCTACCAAAACCCTGTGCAGATCGACCGGAGCTGGATCCGCCGTGGCAGCCGAATTCGACCTCACCTCAACTTGCTTTCCACACACAGCGATCCCACCTCACCTTTGCAGATTCGCTACCCGTTACTTGCACCGCACCACATCGCGGAGACGTACTTGGGTAATGGCAGGACATCTGGGCAATGACGAGGTATGGGAGAGTTGTCAAGTTATCAAGGCTGCACTGACACCAGACAGTTCTTCACTCAACTCGCATCATTGATCTCGAAGACGCAAGAAAAGGGCCATGGATCCGTATACCTCACACAGAAGCGATGTATGGGCCGTGCAAATGACTTCTGGCATCCTGCAGACTGACACGGGATCAGTAACATTCGACACATCGGCCTCATCTCCTCCCTCGGCCAAGAAAGTTGCAGACGACCCATTATGGGATACGCACCCACTCAATCCACTTCCTCTGATCGTTCGCGCAACAGACGGAAAGTCACAATCGAAAGACAGAAAGAGAAACAAGGACAAAGTAAAGCTGTCAACAGTCGTACAGCCAGATGACCTTGACCTGTTCTTTGCACGATATGCGGAGGTTTGCAAGGCAGGAATGCAAAGCTTGAAGAAGAGAGACAGGAGCAAGCGGAAGAAGGACAAGAGCAAGAAATCGAAGGGCAAGGGAAGTGTTGCGGTGCATGAGGGAAAATGAGCGGAACGAAACATTGGGGTAGAAAATACAGGTGCTGCGCCGAAGGTGCCCCACTGGAGGCATTGGTCCTGGAAACGGGACGCTCACAGCGACCATGTTGCGTCCACGAAAGCCGCAAGCTCGTGCGCCAAGGATGCAGAGCAACCGCGAACTGCTCAATGGCGACACAGTAGCGACAGCGCACCGATGTGAGTACGAAGCCATGACGAGCAGCCTCATGCAGCTGCGAATGACACCACCCAAATGTCAATACCGTAGAAAGAAACCACAATCATATTGAGTACTTTCAGTTGCACTGACCAGGAACTTGTCTCAGCGATGTTCGAAGGATGCTTGTAACTCCTGCGACCCGCGCAGCGTTACGGCACGCCGCGCGCGCACAGTACCGCTGAGCTCTCTCAGAATTATATCGTCAGTAAGTACCAGAAGCAGCGCATTTGTCAGGACATTGTGGGGCAGATGAAGACAGCGCGTCACCCTAGAGAACGATGTTGGTCCCATGTCTCGCCCAGAGGAACGACTGATATGCCCGGCTCCTCCGCCACCACCCGATCCTCCGCTGCTTAATCAAATGCCCCATCAAATCCTGCGCAACTCACTCTCCCCACGAACCTGCGGAGCAACTCCGGCAAATCTCGAAACAGCAACTGAGCTATATATTTAATTACACGCCAGCTTGCTCCAATCAGAACCATACACATAAAAGAACGGATCGAGCCTGAGTTAAAGGTTCTGAACTTGCAGTTGCTGTGGCCACGCGGACGCTCGAGGCCCATAGGGTTTCGAGTTCCGCGGGGAGCTGCAGCTAACTGTGAGTCTCTTAGAGGGCGGGCATTTGGAGGGTGTAGGACGGTCCGAAAGGACCTTTCTTTTTGATGTTTTGTTTGTGTTGCTTGGTGGTGTGGTATGGATAAGCCGCTGAGCGCCAGATATGTAAGAAGGTGGGTGACCATCGGGCTTTGAAGGTACGTCTCTCCTTCTCTTTTCCCCTTGCTCTCGCAAAATTCTTGTCAATCATATCAATTCTACGCTATGGCTATAATCTGATTTTCGTCTGGCTTAATTCATGCGCTTGCTGCCTTGACGTGTTTCTCCTTTTCTTTTTGTCGGCGACACCATGACGCCCGATGTCAAGTCAGCATTTCCGGTGCCGAACGCAGCAGTCGGGGACGTTCTCCAGGTCCTCCTCCGTCGAGAATGCCTGCATATCTCTGACAAGCAGCCACATTCACAGAAAACAATCACTGTTTTTGTCTCCTTTGTCCGTACCTTCTTTTCCGCTTGAGACTTTCGTTTCGTCGGGTACCCAGCAGTAGAAAACTCTCGCAGTCCTTTCTGTGCCTCCATGGTTTTCTTCAACCGTACTATGGAACCATTATATACGCACTGACTAACTTATGCTATAGCTCTAGCCATCGTGCTTACGTTCGAACGTCCCAATACTGATCACCACTGTAGTCAAGAATGGATATCGGAATGCTGGCTGCCACCAAAAGTCTCGTCTTTGGAAGCAGGGCATTGTCTGTATGGATCCTTTCATCTGGCTCGACAATGTAGGACCAATTAATTTACTGGATCGTTCCCAACTCGACGAGAATTGACGGACCGAGCAATGATCGTATCGTCTGCCGGCTGCTCAGCGAGCGCCAGGTGGGCTCGAGGTGAACTTGCGCAGTGTCTTGGCAGTCCCGCAAACGCCAGCTCCCCCATCGTGCCCAGAATACCGCTACAATCGGAGCCATTGAACTTCAAGTCGGCGAAGTAACGACACAACGCTATCGATGTCGAGCACGGAGAGTGACGTGGAGGGCATGCTGGTATGCCTTACGGATGCCTTCCTTCCCGTTTTGGCTGAGAAAAGTGGAGATCAAGCGAGTGTTCGCTCAAGTGAATGTTCGCTGGGGCGCTCAAGAACTACTGTTCACCAGACCTCGTCAAGTTCTAGGTCCGTGCAACGACCACCCATCCTCTTCCTCTCTGTACAACACCCGACCTCTTCCCTCTCCATCCACGGAACAGCTCACCACGCGACTTCGCAAGACGACTTCCCGCCCAGCACACATGCTCTGCTTCAGCTGCCTTGCGACTACTCGCCCGTGCTCATAGCAGCCCACTCGAGTTTCCTCCACCGACTCCTCTCCATCCACAATCGCGCATCGCGCAACACGACCCTCCAGCTCACAACTTGAGTAAGTGGCTCTCGCAATACTCTCTAGCCCCGCGCACACACCTGAACATCCTATGAGCCATCCTTACTAACCACCAAGTAGCTCTCAAAGGTCCACCGCGCTCATCTCGCATCGAGTCTTTAGCGCTGTGCTACTACAGCGCTCTTCAACACCGCCTTCTACCCAGGTGAGACCGAGTCTGGCCCATTTGGCGCTTGGCTTTCTATACTGACATGCCGTAGCCTTTATCCTCCCCGGATACCTTGACTTCGTTGCCGACAATGTCTCAGCAAACCAACTCCACCACCAACTCCAAGCCAAATGGCTATGCGCAACAGACACGAATGCTCGCTCCGTCGGCAAAGCAATTGCCCGCCTCTTCCACCGCCCAATCGTCTAAGCGCAAGGCCAGCTCTGCGGTCGAGGGCCACACGGAAATGCTTCCTTCGAAGAAGCAGCGCACCGAGTCTCCTATGAAGGATGACAAGCCCGAGCCTAAATGCAAAGGCGCCGAAACCAGCACCACTAGCACTGCCGCCGCTGTCCACACCGCTAGAGCCGCAGCATCGAAGTCCAAGAGTGCGAAGCCAGCTGCGAGCACGACCAAGCAGGCGAAGCGCAAGGCAGATAGTGAGGAGGCAGCAACTTCCAAGAAGCAGAAGCAGGAAGGTGGCACGGCACACGCGATCTCCGTAGCCAACGGCAAGGCCTCGACTGACGAGGACGCGGAACTGGCGAGCAAGACCGTCGACACCAGCCAGCGCAAGAAGAAGATACCACGCAAAGGCTTCCGCGCTACTCCAATGTTGCAGATTCCAACTCCGTCGCACAGCAGTGAGGACGGTAAATCGACGCCTCTTTCCCCATCTTCAACGGGGACATCAACAGCTTCAAAGCCTGTGCTCGCCGACAATCCTGCCCAAGGCAACAAAAACTCCGCCTCTATGGCTGATAATACATCGAAGAACATCACTGGCAACAAGCGCAAGCGCTCAGTGATTCGTGATGACGAGGACGAGGAAGAGCCGGAGCCAAGCAAGGCACGTAGGCGCCTTATGCCTAGTCAAGACGACGAGGAGGGAGAGAATGATTCCACTCCTCAACTGCTGCCGCCAAGCACGAGAGGCAGCACGGACACCGCCCAGCCACAGTTTTCGAAGTTCAGGAGCAGCACCTCAACTGATCCTCATGATCCCAGAGACGTCTATTTGAAAATCGCCAAGAACAAGTTCGTTGGTCAGCCAGATCGTCAGGATATGTACGACCTGGTCTGTTTGGGCAAATTGGAAGTCCTCCTAAAGAGCCAGTTGAGCGCGTGGCTTGCTCTCAATACTCCAGGCGCCGATAAGCTTGGAGTAAACGCGACGGTCGTCGAGATGAGAGCTACGGTCCGCGAGTACTGCAGCAAGTACCCGCTACCAGTGCAGAAGCCGAAAGCTATGGCAATGCCCGATCACATCAAGACTCGTGATCTCCGCGTCTTGGGGAGTTTCAAGAAATTCAAGAGGGCTCGTACTCCACCTACGGCTCAGCCAGCTCCGCAAGCTACAGCTCAGCAACCCTCTCGGCGATCACAAGCCCCTACGACCGGCTCCAGTCGAGCCCCTGCGGCATCTCGGCGCATTGCGAACACTGGTCCTCCGCACGCGGGCAGCACACTACAACCCGGCAGTGGATTCCGCTGTGAGTGTGGCCTCTCTTACGAGCGAGGATGTGACCACTGGTGCCCCAGAAGTGATCGGCGCGACCTTCTTAGATGAGGGCGCTATCACAACGGGTACAAGGGCCCACACACTTCGACATCTACATCAACCGCATGTCTGAGCTGCGCCCACTATCCCGACGGCGACTTCATCTCACCATCATGCCAACTACCTCACCTTCGATTCTATGCCACAAAAAATGTCAGCCGACTTACGCGTTGCCTTGTACCGATTAGTCAAAGAACGCAGTAGGAAGAGGCATCGTGTGAGCGGACGGCAGAATTGAAGACTCCTCAACAAAAACTTAGCATAACCTTGTACCGATTACTGGAGATCTTGCGACGAGTGGAACCCAAGGAGTCCTGCACATATATGCGGGAAGCCTTGGTACAGCTCGTCAAAAGACACGGTAGGAAGAGGCATTTTGCGAGTGAGGAAGGCAGGATCTAAGGTGTTGGAAGGAGCACTGGGCATGGAACTACGTGAGGAAACAATTTTCGAATGAAGAGAGACGGATACACTGGTAACAAGATGGACTGCAAGACCGAGTACCATGAAAGACACGAGGAGTTGGCTATCGACATGGCAGTGCAGGAGACATGGACCTCGAGAAGGGGTCCAGCGTACTTCTAGCAAGCTGGACGGATAGCGGCATGACCTGTGAGTCAAGCACTCGGAAGCGGACACGGAGATATTAGCAAGGCGGTACCAGAAACATCTCTCTTTTTGAAAGGAGACAATGGAACCCAATTGCTTAGGAGAGACCTTTGCGGGTAAATTTGGCAGCATTCTAATGACAACGATGTTTGCGTCTCCATTTACTTGCTATCGTGCCTTTGTCCTCGTCCAGTCTGTCGGGCTGCAAAGCGCGTTTTGATATTGCATTAAAGTAAACCTGGGCCCTCATGAGCCGGTAATCTTTATCTCTTTCCATACCACGCCTGTTCTATACCCTTCTCAACAACTTATAAATGTCTGAAGATGCGCCTATACACAAGATGATCTTTCTTTTCTGGCTAATTCGTTCTTGACCAGCCTTCATAAAACAATGTCTTTGTCTACTCAAATTTACAATGCAATTATGGGCCTCGTCTAGATGAGCCTTCGACGATGGCTCGCAAGACTTCCAACAAGAGATGTATATACTCGCTTTCGATAACAAGTCCTTGGGAAGACAGCATGCTATCCAGTTTACCAAGGTAAGAGCACTCCCGTTTTATGTGCTACAGGCTATTGACTGACGGGTACTTATTAGATGGAGGCAGCGCTTAGTACCACGTCCACTGAGACTGCAGCGAGTCAGGCTATCCGTGAGCGCTGGTAGCGGCGATGAGTCCAAGAGGAAGCAGCGAGAACAAGGAAGCCGCGACAGCCCTCGCTAGGACACCTAGCGATGGCAGTGATGCCAGCAACACAAGAACTGGGCGCACAAACGGATGCGTGTCAGACGGCCCAGATGAGGACATCCAGTCCATGATTCGCCACCACGCGAAGTCGCTCAATGGCAGAGTACAACGAACGACACCCAAAGCCACGAATTGTTGGCGGTCTACCCGGAAATCTGAGCGAGCGCGGGAAATATGACGCGGCTATTCCACCTTACGTTCCACGCACGACCAATCCGAATGAGACCATCGCAGCCTACATCTACTTCGACGGACGCGCAAAAGAAGAGGTCCCACGATTCGCAATTCTCCGCGCAGATGTGTGCATTGAGAACATGAAAAGCAAGCATGGACCACAAATGCGAACGCGCATTGTGGGTTGAATGCTCGAGAAGGGCTATGTTTAGGAAGATCGCTATCCGCGCTACGTGTACTATTGTTCTACATATTCTGAGACCAACCTTCGCATTCCAGGCCTTACATGCGTTAATTTTTGGAGTATGATTCGAGTACAGATACGTTTTAGTCCGATGACTCAGCCATTAGCTGTCCTCAGGATTGTCCTCAGGCCTGTCCTCATCCTTGGCGGTCACAGCAAGTCGAAAACCTTTAAGTACCGCGCAGTCGAGATGGTCAAAATAGTCAAGCTCAAGTATTTCCCTTCGTCCCGTGGACTTTTCGAATTCCTTCATCCAAACTATTTTCCGACTTTTATTTTCACATATCTCGCGCGCTCGCTTCCTGGCCTTGCGAACTCCTACGGAAATCCAGACCATAATACCCTACCGCTATACATGGATTGCCTCACAGTGTAAGGGTATTTTGCCGACCCGGAACTGGTTCGCTGCGTAACACGGAAAGCCGGACGACGCCGGACACTTGGAAAGCTTTCCAGCGATCACTGCTGGATTTTTCAGAGACCAGACTGTTCAAGCCAGGCGGGCAGGCTGAAAAAGGCTTCCCGTTCAGGATACTGTCTCATCCGTCTCGGTCATCGAAAGGACCCAAGCGGGAATTAGGGTGTCTTGGCATTTTCATGTGAAGACACGTGACTACGCGAGCCATTCACTTCATCTCGCGTGACGTAGCCGGGAGTCACTGGACAGCCAGCGCCGACGCCGACAACACAACCTTCCACGCCCTTCAGTCCGATTCCGACGCTCCTCTTTTCACCACAACGTCTCCCGACAACACCTCCATCCCACCCACGACTTCACCAAATCTTCCCCAGACGCCCATATTGTGCGCGCAAGCCCGGACAACTCCCAGCACCGCATTATCGCACCCTTCTGCTTCCGCCAAGCTCGAGTACATCCCAGCAGCTACTGCGCCGCCCACCATGGCAGGAACTAAGGCTAGTGCGCCCAACACACTCAAGAGACCCGGCCAGGGGTCTAAAATCTACAATCCGGATAAGCCGGTTCAGTCCAGCGACAACGACCAATTTGCGAATAGCCTGATACATGGCAACAAGCATCCGGTTCCGAACACGCAAGCGCAGCGCCAGCCCCAGCCCCAGCAGCAAGGCACTCGCCCACAGCAAGCCCCGAGGGAGAGCGATGAGGAGTTGCGGCGTCGAGCGGCGCGATACCAGTTGGCGAAGCTCGGCATCACCTTCGACGACGAGAAATCGAAAGTCACGCGGGAGACCGAAACACTGACAGGCGGGAAAGTGCAGCAGTACTTCTATGGCGCCCAGTGGAACCCGCAGACCGTCAAGATGACCGTCAAATATAGCCTGGAGGGCAGACTCGAGGCCGACATCAGTGGATACACTACGCAAGCTACCCCTGAGAAGGTCGAGGCGGACGTGAAGAAAGTCGCTGAAGGTCTCTGTCAGGGACATCACGACGACGAGCTGTCGAAATCTGGGCTTGCGGAGCTACTTCTGCCCTTCGTCAAGATGGCAGAGGCACCAGCCATGATTTTGGACACTTCTGCGAACGCCTATGGACTCGGCATGACCACGGCAGTCCTCAGAGCACTAGATCCAGTGCTCGACTCGAACAGCGCGAACCACGATGGTCCTTTCAAAGCCGTGGCTAAGAAGTCCAGCGAGGGATGGATCCACATGAAGCTCAAGAACTTCCGCTTCGGTCGACTGTATAGGAAGGGCAACAATATCATGCCATGCAAATTCAGCATTGCGGTGTTGCTCTACATGCAGGAGTGCTGGGGCTTGTGTGCTCGCCTCAGCTCCGTGGACCAAGACGACTTGGAACTTGCACTCGAAGCCGGAGATATCCAGGACATCCTGAGAGAGGCACAAGAGCCACCAAAGCCCCAGCTAGAGCCCAAGCAACAGCCTGCTGGAGCGCAGTGGTCGATTTATCCCTCCGATATGGCTACGGAGGCCAAGGTCGATGCCCATAGGCGGAGCTGGCTCGACTGCGAGAAGCAGTGTCTCGAGCACGCCAGCGCCATGCAGAAGTCAGAAGAGCAGTACTTGGAAGACATCGTTGACGGCAAGTACCACGAGCAAGAGGCGCTTGACGAAGAACGCGAGGAAGATGATTTCTCAAAGGCATTGAAGAAATTAGAATCGACCTCGCTCAGAAAGCGACAGGCCCGAGAGAAGAAGATTCGCGACAAAGACGTGAAGATTTCTCAGCGCCGTGAAGAAGACCGTCGCCAGGAGAAAGAGAAGGTTGATGCTGATGAGGGAGAACTTGAGCGTAAAGCTGAGGAGGAGAGGAAAGCCGAGCGCGAAGCTGAGAGGAAGGAGAAGGATCAGAAGGCGCAGAACACCGCAGACCGTTACGCAAAGATGGCAGCAGAGCAACGAGTGCGCGACAACGCGGGCAGTGCGGCTCAGGCTAAGATTGCGCAGCGGAAGACTGCTAAGGCTGCAGCTCGCAAAGACGCAGCACTGCAGGTCTCGCCATCCGATACACCATGTTCTCCTGCTGGGAATGGCGCCTCGACTCCACTCGCTCAGCCTGTGCAGACTGGCTCCAAGCGAAAGGCTCATGTCGAAGACGGCGATCAACAAGAGCCTAATGCAAAGCGATGGAAGGGAGACAGTGGCCAAGTACCACAACAAGACACCGTCACTAGCAGGCCTTCGCCGGATATAGCGAAAGAAGCGCCTATGGTAGCTCCAGCAAACAACAAGCGAAAGGCAGACAATGGTCCCGAGGCAGAGCAGCCTGCGCCGAAGCGTGTGAAGGAGGCCACGGCTCACCAGCAGCCTGCTTCTTCCGATGATGGCGACGATATCCAGATTCTGGACGAGGCTCCAACAAGCGTTCGGAACAATGAACGCAATGGCCCTGGACAATCTGCCTCTCCAAAGGCCACTACGGCGTCCGACAGTGGGTACTCGAGCCACTCTGCTCCGCCTTGTGTCACTCCTCCGGATGGAAATGCGCACTGCGCAACCTGCGCACAGAATACTGAGACGATCACCGCGATGGTGAAGTTGGCTCAGAAAACCCCCGATCAGGACTGGAAGCAGTATACCGCGCCAAATCTGCGGGAAATCTGCAATTCGCTTGGTGTGGCTGTCTCAGGTAAGACTAAAAAGCCGATGTGCCAGGAGACCGTCAAGAAGTTCTTGCAAGACCATGGACATTTGCAGACTGCAGGGGTCTGGAAGGAGAACAGCCTCGGCCAGGTTGTGTGGTACACCTCGATGGGAGCTTATCATCAACAACTCCAGAAGGAGCAATTGGAGGTAGCTAGGAAGTACAGCCAGCCTTACGTTCCTGCAGTCGGTGAGGAGACTGTCGAGCAGCCGCCAGGTTCCCAGAAGAAAGCGGCGCCACGCAAGAGGACCACGAAGACAGCCAGCGCGGCTACGACTCAGGCATCTCCTCAGATGCGGTCTGGACAGGATGGAGATCAGCAGTTGCCTCCTCACAGTATGAATCCGCCACCACAGCATCAACAGCCCGCTCAGATGCCGAGGAATGAACAGCTCACTGCTCCATCGACGGGTGGCACCGGTTCACAGCAACAAGCACCTCGGCAGCCGCAGTGGCAACGCACGCCAGTACAAGGACAAGCGTCTCCACAGGCAGCGATTAATGGTTCAGGGCAGCTTCGAGAGCCACCGCGGATGCCAATAGCTGTATCATCTCAGTCTCCGCCTATGAGCTGTGGCACGCCGCGTTATCAGCAGCAAGCTCCTCGAGCGCCACCAAATGTAGCCATTCATGCCTATCCTGGCCATGAATTCGGCGCGAATGTGCCAACTCAAGGCCTACCGCTTCCGCAGAGCCCGGTAGGTGGACGAGTCCAGTCGAGTCCCCAGCAGCAGCAATATCGAGCTCCGGGGCAGCCACAATCTGGTGGCACACCAGCGATGCACACCCCAGCTCAGTGGCAGCAATCTCCACACTTGCAGAACGGCTCGCCAGCACAGCATTATCAGCGGCATGGTATAGGCATGAATAGCCAAGTTCAGTATCCGCGTGACGGCCAGTACAACATGGCCAGCCCGGCGCAGTACCAGAACACACCGCGCGTGGGCGCCAACGGACCTATGCCGCAGCAGCAGAGTCCTGGAGTTGGCAACCAGAACCAGTTCTACAACGACCCTATGCACCATCAGTCTCGTCCGCAGATGAACATGGGAGGCCCATCACCTCAGCAGGCTTCGTTTCAGCAGCAACAGGTGAACATGACCGGCCAATACTATCCAAACCAGCAGCGCGTGAGCGGTGGCTATGGACAGCAGTCGCCACAGGCCACCACTCGGCCAATGCTGGGCTATCATCAGCAAGCCGTATCCCCTTCAGGCGCAGACGGAGCGGCCTATCGTCAACCGCATCAGCAATATGGCAACGGTCAAGGCTATGCGCAGCATTCTCCACGGTCGAATGCATGCCAAATGAATCCGGCTCAGTACCTGCATCAACAGGGCTATGCTCAGCCACATACACAGATCGACCCTAGGCCAATGCACGGCCACATTCGTCCGCCTCCATTGATGCACCAGCAGGGCTATGGCCAGCAGCACTTGCAACACAACCCAATGTATCCGGCTCCATTGACTGCTCAGCCGCGATACCAGAACATTCCAAACGGCCAGCAGCAGTACACCAATCAGCAGAGCTATGTTCAACACCAAGGCATGCGTGATCAGCAGGGCCAGGTGATTGACATAACCGATTAGACTCCACTATCGCCCTTGTCGCGTCACGGAGAGTTCGTCAGCGCCTGAAGGCTAGACGGCGGACCGACAGGACATGTGGCAAACGAGTGGGTGAGGAACAAGAGGACATCCGGATGGAAACCAGTGGAATACCAGAAGGCACAGGAGGTTGCTTTTGAATTTGACTTTTTTGATTGTTCTTCAGAATCACGTGAGCGAGGGAGGTTGTTACGCCGCGAAGAACGTTGGCATGAACCGGATAGCTGTCGTGGCGAAGGGTGCAACAGATCATTAGAGAAGTGACGACGGCGCGGCTGAGATGCTGAAGAGAGCCGACATGAGTCGTGCACACAGCAGAGTCCCGCGTATATGTCTTCAGGCAGCAGTAGCATAGTAGGGGCTCAAAAATAGCGGTATTCGATTTTGCCCAAGTGAAGATACGGCTCTCCTTCGCCAACATTCATTCAGACTGGGTTGTGTTGTCCATTGCAGAATAATTGTGAATGGCGCTTGGGTTGTCTCTGGACACCGTCAATCATCTCAGTGCTGAATTTCGTCCTCGACAAAGTGTGCCAGCTCCTTGGCGATTTCTTGGCTGACATGGTTCTGCAATACCACTCGGCGCATGTACTGTGAGCTCCCGCACAAGTGATTCATTTCTCGCTTCGGCAGGCGGCAGGGGAGCCATTCCGGTGAAAGCCGACCTTGCCTTGGCTGTCGTATCGGCCAGGCGCATCATGTGCAACGTCTCGAATTGTACGCGTGGCAGTGGTACGTTAGCAGCGTTGCCAAGAAGTGTAAGTGAATGTTTGCCGTGAAAGTAGAGGGAAGCGCGGCCTCAGGGTCGCGTGCATGAGCGTCCTCGGAGCGCGGTCCGAGCCAATCACAGCACTGGATTGTATCGTTGCTATCAGGTTACAGACCCCGGACGGGCGTTTCCATATGATATCGTGTGGGGCCCGCTCCGCTGACTGATTCTTGATCTCCCCGGCGCACTTTCTTCCTTCTTCCTCCTTCTTGCGCGTCTTCCTCCCACCTAAACCCACCAACGCGCAATCTCATTGACGAGTCGGAGCATTCGATGTAAAAGCTATATCCAACTCACTCTGCCCCAACCATCGCGATCGCCTTCCAGATAAACTGAGATCCTTCGACCTCGAACGTTTCCACCGCCGCCTACGAACCTCCCTTGAATATACGCTCCACGTAAAATGGCATGCTAGACGCCCCAGAGCCATTGGGCGTCGCCAATGGCGGCCTACCAAGGCCCAGCTATCGGTCGTGCATCCTTGGACGGAGGCAGTAGACTGGAGCAATTGCTACTACCGAATGGAGCGTGCAGCTATAGAGACTTGAACGCAGGAGTGCAAGCACCAACTTGTGGGTGTAGGAGATTCTGGCTGAATACTTCGACCGTAATCGACGATGAGCGTGAAAGAGCCTGGTGTTTCTGTGGACATCACGCGTGCTTCCATGATACGACCTGTCAGGTCCAGAACGGCTGGGAGGCTGCTGGCAACGAACCCAACGTCTTCCCCAGCTCTCACCAAGTCAATTCGTCTGGACAGGCTGGCGGGTTTGTTGCTCCAACATGGAGCGAGCTGATTGGAGAGAATAGGTCGACAGGTTCGCGACAAGAGAACTTGGAAATAGCGCCAGCGAGGTCGACCACAGGACTCGGCATCGGGAATGTGCGGTCGCAGTCACCATCTATCCACTCTCGACTCTGGCAAGCTTTGAATGGCTTTGCGCGGCAGCAGGATGATGGACCAAATTCTGGCGATACCTCCAGACTACCATCGACGGCTGTTCCCAGCGTGTACAACGAACAGAGAGCGAGCCCTCCGCGGGACATTCAGGCGCGGCCACAGCGATCGCGTAGTATGGGACCACCTGTGAACATCCCTCCAATCAACATCAACGAGAATGGCATGGACGAATACAGTGCGACAGAAGTCGCAACGCCGAGCGTACATGGCACGCCCGATTTCAGAGCCTTGACAGCACCTGGCGCTCCTCTTGGTCCCTCACCAGTCCGTCGCTCGTCGCCCGCTCGTCCGAGAGCTGAAGCACCTTCTCAACATCAGGACCGATCGCATCAAGCTCAACCAAATGAAGTGCGTATATCCAACGTCAGCCTGCCAAGAGTGCCGACAGGCGTCAGTGTTGGACCTTCTTTGTCAATCCAAGAGATGTGCAATACCATTGAAGACTATGGGAGACGAATCAACTTGCTAGAGACGGTGTCCTTCTCCCATATGCCACCCGAGGAAGTTCAGGACAAATTTGACTTCCTGGACGGTCGTGTCCTTGACCTGGAAACCTTTCGTCGAGATCAGGACAAAGCGCAAGAAAATGACGATACCGAGCAGAGGCTCAGCCAGCTAGATGCTCGGATACAGGACCTAGAGGGTTGGCGAGACGATCGTGAAACCCAACATTCCAGTCAGGAATCCAACAACCGCCACCGGAAGTCGAGCAGCAAGAAGAGGCGGCTGTTGCCTGATGATGAAGATGCCGGATCGATCGCCTCGGATGGTTCGTTCGACGAGAACGCCGCGGCGCAGACAGAAGCTGTTGTTCTTGCCACACTGGCTGCCAACGCCGAGACGGGGCCACGAATCGACGCGCTCGAGTCTCGGATTGCAGAGATCGAAAACGCCACTTTGCCGTCGTATGCTCGGCCATGGCATATCCAGGTTGTCATTCTACCATTTGGTCGAGATCTGCCCGGGGTCTGGTTCTCTGCCAGCGAGTCTTCCCGGCACTCTTTGCAATCAGCTACGGAGGCCTCTGAAAAATGGCCGGCCGCACAGAACGCGTTCAAGTCCTCATTCCGCTCCGTTGAGAGCAGCGGGTGGACCACTGAATCTATCGAGGCCTGGAATCGACAGTGTGCAAATGGGGACCACACCGAGTGGCTGTCTCCGAAAGCCTGCGGGCCCACAGGCGCTGTGTTCCAGAGACTCGCAAGCCGCGGCCTGGTCAGAGATATCACCGTGCACGCACCAGATGCACGCCATATATTTGGTGCGATATCTCAAGCGTTTGGAGACGTATTGCCGTACGATGAGGGTGGGTTCAACGCCGCTACCGTCAAAAAGTACTGCGGGCTGAGGGAACGCTTTGTGCCTCTTCGCAAAGTGCGCAAGTCTACTCGATTACGATTTCTGAGCCCTGCTGAGATGGTCACGCCGGCGACATGGACAGCGGATTTCCTGGATTCGGTGTTCATGAAGGTCAACGATGGCGAAAGAAGGCTCTACTTGACAACGCCTTCTGGCTACCTACAAGCACATCGACCCGGCTGGTCATGGCCGTCACTGAGGGACCTCCCAACATACGACGCCGACGGCGAATTGCAAGCAGCCGAAGATGAAGGCCGTTTGATCGACTCCTGCTGGACCTACAACCAGCGGCTGGACCAAGCATCTAGTCTACACTCTTCCTTTGCGTCTCACGATTCGGCTTGGGACACGTCGAGTGAGGTAGTCGGCCAGGATGATGGCGACAAAGAAGACCTGCCAATGCTATCTCCTTCGGCGACCCGGCACTCGCACATGAGATCTGCCTCCCTGCCCAGCTCAATCGTGAACCTTGTGGACGCCGAGCCCGTCCAAAAGCGGAGAGTCACCTCCTTCGAACACGAAACCACTTTCAACATGGAGTACTCCCCCGAGTACATTGCGAAGAGACGCCGCATTTCGACCTCTCCCGAGCTCGAGCGACGAGGCGTCAATTTCACCCCAAGGTGGAGTCGTGAACCGCCCTCTCCAAACACAGCGGAAGAAGTCGGACGGAGTAGTCAACTAGCCCGCGCCAGAGGTACGACGCCTTTTGCGTATGCTACACCACATAGTAATCTCGATTCCCGGGGCGGATGTGGAGATGGAGATACTGTCGCCAATAGCGATGATGACAATCGAGACGGAAACAACGAAATGTACGGGGAAGAATGGCAAGGTGTTCAGGAAGATCAAGATCAGGATCAGGAAGTGCTTATCGATAGCCCGGAGGTGGAAGAGAAGAATAAGGCGATCATCGAGGGCTTGATTGACCAGGAGAACTCGGATGGTGGGGACTTGAGTCTATGGAGTTTGACTCGATTGTGACTGAAAGGTGAGATCGACATCAGGGCCACACGGAATGGCATGGATATATATTACAAGACTGTCACATCTCAGCACAGCCAGACGCAGGCCTGGCATTCTCTATCTGGCTAAGTTGAAAGGAGCCTGCGATGTAGAAGAAGGAACCTCATCTCTGGTCATCACCATTTGGGTGTTGTAGCATAATTTAGCATCTCTAAAGGACAGACAGGAAATCTCCAATCTGACAAATTCTTCTTGCAAAGGACAAAAAAGCCATTCCCCACCTTCTCCTATCGGCCAACATCAGAGAAATGATAGGGACGGAAACACAACCTAGCCAGACACAGTCGGAGCGGATCTTCACCCGCTCCGACTGCGATGGAGGAGACATCCATCGCCATTATTGACGAACGAAGGGACATTCTACTGACCCGGAACCTCCTGCAGAGTACGTGTACGTGCCTGCAAGGTCCTTGATGGAGGTCGTTTCGATCGTTGCTCCTCCTGAAGCAACCCTCTCAATCGAGCGGTATGTCGCTACATTCGTCTCGTTGGCACAAACTCTCTTTTTGGGGGAAGGCAAAGCCTAGGCCGATTCTTTTTGGGGACTCGGCAGCCTCTCCTTGTGGTCACTTGCTCCGGTGTGCGAGGAGCCAGGAGAGCTGGTAAATGCTCATGGATGAGGATAGCCGGTGCCAGGCCGGTGTCGAAGAAGCTGTCTGGTCTTAGTCTCGTTGTTGCCAAAGAGAGTACCTAGTGATGATGCTTCGAGACAGCCGCTTCCGGCCGCTTGGGGACGGACGTTGTACTCTGCGGAGTCTGCGCCAATTCATCTTACTTACCAACAACAACAAAAACCCACGGTATGCCGATGCATCCGGACATCCAGAGCCCTCGAATCGTGGCAACGGATCCTGGCGTATGAGTGACAATGGTCGCAGGGTTCCCCGCAAAACTATGTACGCACGCGCTGCTGCATGCAGGTGTGGGGGAGTACGAGGCAATCCTTCTGCACAAGGACAGCGCCAGAGAGGAGGTAGGTAGCAGCAGACCAATGCGAAGATGTGCCAAGTCGTCTGGAGCCCTGCGTATGCAGCAAGATGGATGCAGCGGAAAAGGAGTTACGGCGCCACAACCTTCCTGTCTGCGTTCGTCTACTTCACCCGTCTTCCGTCGACCTGTACTGCGGTATTGGAGATCATGCCTGGAGACGACATCTGCTGTGTCAGACATCTGTGATCGCATGCGTCTCGAAGGATGGAGACGTTTGGAGAGCTATGGATCAACAGCATCGCAGATGGTGCTTGGAGATTCGTCAAGACGAAGGGTACGGCCCTGGCCCACCGTTGCCGATATGCGAGTAAGCGTGTCGACCTCTGCGAGCTCTGACACCACATCAGCTTTGTCGTGGTGAGACGCAGACGTGCATTCCATCCTGGTACAGCTCTCGATGGGATTGATCGATTTGGCGCGCCGTACCCACCAGATGCCAGTAACATAGCTGGGTTCTCCGCACATCAGACGTCTGCTTGGTGGCTTGGTTCAGGAAGAATGCTGCGGTGTCCAGCCAGAGAGCACTGTTCATGTCCACGAGAACAACATCCATTCGGTACTTGGCATTCTGTTTCTGCAGCTTGGAATGCAATCGGAACGGCTCCTATCGTTGCCATTGGCCGTGGCGCCTAGAATGAGAGCAGCATCGAATACCGTAGAGTTAATGTCTTGCAGGCACCTACTCCTATCACTTTCATTCGGCGTGGCGTTAGCTGCCTGGCTGCAGAGACAAGCAAAAGCTCATCAGACCGTCCCTTGTCGATCCTGGAGCATGGACGTGGGATCCAGAGCTCCTCTCTCCCGACGACCACCTCATCGTGCGGGGAGTTCGTCTTGATATACAGTGACTGTGTCACGCTCGTCTGAATTGCTCCTTGTCTCATCCCCTTTGTTCACCATCCTCCACCATCACACACATCCGCGGGAACGACCCCAATCTAAGCTGTATTTTTGTTTGAAAGTTCAAAGCAAGAGCGATCTACCAAGATGACGATTCCAGACGAGGTTGACATTATCGTATGCGGTGGTGGATCATGCGGGTTCGTCGAAGTCGTGTGTGAGAACAGAGCAAGTGAATGCTGACACCAGTGAAGTTGCGTCGTGGCTGGCCGTTTGGCCAATTTGGACCACAAGCTCCAGGTCATGCTCATTGAGGCCGGAGAGAGCAACCTCAACAACCCATGGGTTTTCCGTCCGGGCATCTTCCCGAAGAACATGAAGCTGGACTCCAAGACAGCCTCCTTTTACTACTCTCGGCCATCAGAGTGGCTCAATGGCCGTCGTGCAATTGTGCCATGCGCCCACATCTTGGGCGGTGGATCTTCCATCAACTTCATGGTGAACCTTTCCCTCGGTCTTTCCCACAAGTGGTAGTTGTGTTAGTTGCTGACAAAGAGAACAGATGTACACCCGTGCGTCGGCCTCCGACTACGACGACTTTCAGGCCAAGGGCTGGACCACCAAGGAGTTGATCCCATTGATGAAGAAGCACGAGACATATCAGCGAGCTTCGCAAAACCGTGACCTCCACGGGTTCGACGGGCCAATCAAGGTCTCCTTCGGCAACTACACATACCCGGTCATGCAGGACTTCCTCCGTGCTGTAGAGTCGCAGGGCATTCCAACGACCGACGATCTCCAAGACTTGGTCACCGGCCACGGAGCCGAGCACTGGCTCAAGTGGATCAATCGCGACACTGGACGTCGCTCCGACTCCGCTCATGCCTACATCCACAGCACTCGCGCCAAGTACGAGAACCTCCACCTTGTCTGCAATACCAAGGTCGACAAGGTGATCCTCGAGGGCGACCGCTGCACGGGAGTTCGAACCATCCCAACGAAGCCATTGCACCCAGCGGAGGCCACCTCAAAGATCTACAAGGCCCGCAAGCTGGTCATTGTCAGCGGTGGCACGCTGAGCTCACCTCTAATCCTCCAGCGCTCTGGTATCGGTGACCCAGCCAAGCTCCGCAAGGCTGGTGTCAAGCCGCTCGTTGATCTCCCTGGTGTCGGTCTGAACTTCCAGGACCACTACCTCACGTTCTCTCCATATCGAGCCAAGGCTTGGGCGGACTCGTTCGACGACTTTGTCCGCGGCGATGAGAAGGCCCAGGAGAAGGTCTTCAACCAATGGAACATCAACGGAACCGGCCCACTCGCTACCAACGGAATCGACGCTGGTGTCAAGGTCCGACCAACGGAGAAGGAGATGGAGATGATGGATCGCTGGCCATGCAGCGAGTTCCGCTCCGGTTGGGAGAGCTACTTCAAGAACAAGCCCGACAAGCCAGTCATGCATTACTCCGTCATTGCTGGCTGGTTCGGTGATCACATGCACATGCCACCCGGCAAGTTCTTCACCATGTTCCACTTTCTGGAGTACCCATTCTCGCGTGGCTTCACGCACATTGTCAGCCCGAACCCATACGAGGCTCCTGACTTCGACGCTGGCTTCATGAACGACCGCCGAGACATGGCTCCGATGGTCTGGGGTTATATTAAATCTCGTGAGACGGCACGCCGCATGGACGCATTCGCCGGTGAAGTGGTCAGTATATGCTCCATCGTTGTTAGTGGCCGACCCTGCTGACCAGATGTAGACCTCTCACCACCCATTCTACGCATACGATTCTCCAGCTCGCTGCCACGACTTGGACCTCGAGACCACCAACGCCTATGCCGGCCCCAACCACATCTCTGCCAACATTCAAGTCGGTAGCTGGACGACGGAGAAGAAGCCGGGCAAGGCTCCAGAGCGCAGCTTCCTCAACAGCAACCAGCAGTCCATCCAGGAGGACCTCGAGTACTCCACCGAGGACATCCTCGCGGTCGAGGAGTGGGTCAAGCGCCACGTCGAAACCACTTGGCACTCTCTTGGTAAGTATATCGCTCAAGGTCACCGTCGACTCCAACTAATCATCATGAATCCAGGTACTTGCTCCATGGCCCCGAGGAACGGTAACAGCATTGTCAAGCACGGAGTCCTCGACGAACGCCTCAACGTGCACGGCGTCAAGGGCCTCAAGGTCGCCGATCTGTCCATCTGCCCCGACAATGTCGGCTGCAACACCTACTCCACCGCCCTGCTCATCGGCGAGAAGTGCGCCGTCCTCGCCGCCGAGGACTTGGGCTACAGCGGCCGCGCCTTGGAGATGCGTGTGCCAGAATACCATGCTCCGCGTGAGATTACTGGGCTGACCAGATTGTAAACGCCGCCGCCGACGCAATAACCCGAAAAAAGTACTGTTGTCGTGATGATATGGACGATGCTCGCCGTGCTTGTGGTCAATGTATTCTATCGTGTTGTAGTAATTGATATTGTCTTCCCCTTCACGTCTTGTCGTCTGCTCCAAGTGGTCGTTGATGTGCGATATGTGATATTGGTGGGCGATGGTGTTGTTGTTGTTGTTGTTGTCGTGGACATATTTCACTGTGGAAGATCACTGCATATCGTCATTCATCTGTGGGGGTAGCAGCGGCAACACCCACCAATCAGGTCGTCGGCCAAACATGCCCTCATTGCCCGCCAAACCTGCCTGCTTCCTCCATCAAGGTCTTGGTCAATATTGTCCTTTTCTACAACATTATATAAGGCGCATCTCCCTCACTCCGTCCGTCTACTTTCCACACCCTTCTCGCCAGACTGTACAGAAGATGTGAGTCCTCGAGGAAAGCGATTCCATGATTGTCTGTTCTGCGTCGCGGGAATACTTGCCCGTTATCGAAATGCAGGAAATGATTCCCGAAAACGACTTGCCTTCCATACAGCGATGACAGCGACCAAGCAAGTATTAATGGGGCTGCATCGGTGACCAGAAGGTGAAGCAGTCTTATATGTGCGGCCTACGTCGCCCTCGTCCTCTCTTGAAGCCTCCTGCTCCCCTGTCTCCTCTACGAACTACCAACAGAAAACACAACCCAGCGTCTCAATCTTCACACCCCACAAACGGAGCGAATTACCCGGAAATGACAGAAACAATAACCCACATCGTCCTCTTCAAATATCGTCCGGACATCACCTGGACACAATTCGAATCCCATTTCGCAACCTTCACAGCACTCAAGACGAAATGTCTCAGAAACGGCAAACCTTACATGAAATCTCTACGGATGGGCAAAAATCGTTCCTGGGAACCTTTTAGTAAAGGCATGACGCATGCTTTTGTTCTCGAATTCGACACTCAGGATGACCTGGATTACTACCTTACGCAGGATACTGTCCATGCGGAGTTCTCGCGGAACGCAAAACCTCTTATTGAAGACAGTCTGGTGGTAGATATCCGCGATGGCGTGCTATTCGGTGCTCCAGCGGCGCATCCTCTGGGCAAAGCACCCGGAGCCTATACCGGTACCTGTCACTGCGGCTCTCTTGCATGGACAGCCAAACTCTCACAGGCGGAGCACGTTTTGTGCCACTGTGGAACTTGTCAAAAGTTATCCGGCGGCCCATACAGCTGTAACCAGATCATTCCAAGAGAGGACTTGGTCATCACCAAAGGCGAGCCGAGAGTATATACGTACCAAGGAGCCTCTGGCAAGGACGTCCGGTGCTTCTTTTGCGGGACATGTACCAGTCATGTGTACCACCACCAGGACGCAATGCCAGATAAAGTCATCGTTCGAACACTGTTACTTGAGGGTGGAAGAGAGATGCCAGCGACTGGTGAGATTTTTGCCGAAGGGAGGCTGGGCTGGGTCCGGGATTTGGGGGAGAGTATCGACACGCCGGAGGGCAGCGAGAAAAGCACCTGATTGTAAAAGGAAAATGAATAAGCGGTATTTGGTGATGGCGCTAGAAACGACCAGACCTAGTCAGTGGCCTGACTTGATGAACAACTTACATCTCTCTAATTCCTCCAATCTAGATATGAGGCTGGTGTAGTTCAACAAGCGTGGATTCAGAGTTAGGCCAGAACAACAACCTGCAGTGCTGAACACTTTGCCGCACCCGACAGACCCGCATTTCTGTCTGCGGCTCTATTTGGAGAATTCAAGCCATGATGCCAGATTAGACTATTCGATTCGGCACGTCCTTGCCAGCAAGCACATCCAGAATGGTTTGGACAGCAAACTTTCCACTCGCGCTTTGATTCTCCTCCGTACTCGCACCTACATGTGGTGTGAGGATCAGATTGTCGTTCGCTAGATGTCGTCCGTAGGCTTCAAGCGTGACCGGCTCAACTTCTGTGGCATCCAATGCGGCACCAAAGATCTCCTTGGCTTCCAAAGCTTCCAGCAAATCCTCTTCATTAACGATGCCTCCCCGAGAACAGTTGAGAAGAATGGCATTCTTTTTCATGAGCTTGAATTGGCGTCGCGAGATCATGTTCCTTGTTGTATCTGTCAACGGGACATGAAGCGTGACAACGTCGGACGAGTCCAGCAGAGAGTCGAGATCGGCGACTCGTCGATGCTCGACATCTGGCCAAGCTCCTTTTGGCGCAAATGGGTCATAGGCAACCACTCTACCCTTCATGGCGCCGAGCCACTTCTCAGCGACCTGTCTACCGACAGCACCCATTCCAACGATGCCGATAGATTTCTGAAATAGAGACTGCCCGAGTAGCTGCGATCGGACCAGCTTCTCACCGCGAAGGAGTAGCCTGTCCATCTCGACCAAGCGCCGAGCAACAGCCAGTGCCAGGGAGATCGTGAGTTCCGCAACGGACTCGCTATTCATCGCAGGGGTGTTGCATACCGCAACATTGGCCTTTCTGGCAGCTTCGACGTCAACATTATCGACGCCGACGCCTTGCTTGACAATCACTTTGAGCTTCTTCGCTGCCTCCAGATCTTGGGCCGTGATGCGTGATTCAGATCTTAACAAGATACCATCGGCTTCATCCTGCCATCGCTCTGAATACCCCTGGAATATGGACTCGATCTCAGGCGATTCCTTGAGGAGCTGCAGGGCTTCGGGATGGTATGGGTTGAGGACAAAGACCTTAGGCTTCGGCTCTGCCATGGTGATGTTCTTCCGTGTTCGGTGCGCAGAAACGGGAGAAGGCTAATGAAGGGCCTTTCGCAGTCAATAGACAATCTAGTCTGTCTTTCTCTTGGGTTCGTATTACTTGCAATACTTATGTTATTGCGTTCAACCGAGATCGGTCTACAATCGTGACGCTTCGGAGAAGCTGGGCCGTACGTGCTGCAGATGCAAGCAGTGAGCAAGACAGCGTTCGTAACGTTAGCCGGTATCGGCTGACGATGTGGAAGACAGTCGGTTCCTCTACATCGAAACAACCACGACATACAATGTGACGAGGCTCTTGGCACTGGTAATTCACTGCTGACAATGTGGTGAATTACACTCTCATTCCAGGGGTAAAAATACGCTAGCCTCTTTAAGAAACTGGAGAACCTCGGCTCTTGCGGATGTATCTAAACTGTTTGGCGACCTCACCTTTTCATGACTGACTTGTCTCTCGCCACGCCCTATCGCCAGACCAATGTAGAAGGATATCACAAACCTTAATTGGACTCTGTCACAGCCATGGTGAACGATCAAAACCCCTCCAAAGCAGCCGCTCGAGCAAACCAAGTCTCAGACCACCTGAACGGATCAAGTCACACATCCAACACAAGTCGCCGGAGACGTCGAGAAAAGAAGAAAGACGACCTGCCAGATGATTACAGCGATATCCTCTCACAGATCTCCCAGCTCCGAGAAATAGCGAACACACCTGATCAATCCAGGCGAGGTTACGTTCGGCAAAAGCAAGACGGCAAGCTCTGGGTCCGAGAACGAATCGACAAACTCCTAGACCCGGAATCGTTCCAAGAAATAGGTTCTATATCCGGGACTGTCAAATGGAAGCAACTGGAGAATGGCAGGGAAGAAATCGAATCTTACCTGCCGCACAACAATGTCCAAGGATACGGCCGTCTCAATGGAAGACAAATTGTCTTCACTGCCGATGATTTCAGTATCCGAGCAGGCCACCAGGACGGTCATTTGATGGCAAAAACATTACATACTGAGAAGCTCTCGATCGCAATGAAAATTCCAATGATCAAGTTGACGGATGGATCATCTGGTGGCGGGTCCATCAGCACGATCGCCACCACCGGCTTCAGCTATGTACCACCTATGAGCGGATTCGAAGTGGTAACGAAGCAACTGAATATGGGCATTCCAAATCTCGGTGCCGTTTTAGGTCCAGCGATAGGTCTGGGAGCAGCGAGAGTCGTAAGCTGCCATTTCAGCGTAATGGCAGCAAATGTCGGCTCGCTCTTCAACGCTGGTCCACAAGTTGTGAAGGGTGCGACGTTTGAGGAAGGCCTTTCTTTCACGGATCTAGGAGGACCAGCTATGCACTGCACAAATGGCACAATCGACAATCTTGCCGCGAGTGAGGAAGAATGCTTCGAGCAGATCCGTACCGTTCTTGGATACTTACCGAATTGCGGTACCAGCTCCGCTCCGCCAACAATTGATTGCTCTGATCCAGTAACAAGAGAAGACAACGCTCTTCGAAGCATCATCCCCCGAAAGCGAGAAAGAATGTACAACCCAAGAAAAATCATAATCAGCATTGTCGACGACCGTTCTTTCTTCGAAATTGGACCTCTATGGGGCCGAACAGTAATCATCGGACTAGCACGACTAGGTGGTCGTCCCGTCGGTATTCTTTCCAACAACGCAGAACTCAACACCGGTGCTCTAGATGCAGCAGGCTCTCAAAAGCTCACGCGTCACCTGAAATTCTGCGACATCTTCAACCTGCCGATTCTACAATTCGTGGATTGCCCGGGCTACACAGTCGGAACGGTAGCCGAAAGACAAGCAACAATGCGATGGGGTGTCGAGCTCACGAAAGCCTACTATACGACAACGATACCCATCTTCAGCGTCATTATTCGAAAAACTTTCGGAGTAGCCGGAGGCGTGATGGTAGATTGTCGTGACCCACATCAGAGGGTAGCCTGGCCGAGTGGAGAATGGGGCTCCTTACCGCTCGATGGAGGGATCGAAGTCTCTCACTCCTTCGAACTGAAGAAGATTGAGAAAGAACACGGGGTCGAGGCGAGGAAGGAGAGGTACAAAGAGTTGGACACCATATACCGACGCTTGATGAACCCGGTACGAACGGCAAATCAGTTCAGTATCGAGGAGATCATCGACCCGGCCAAGACGAGAGGAGTGGTGTCTGAATGGGCGAGAATGGTGTATGAGAGTGTGCTACCGGAGCGAGTGGTGCACAGGATGAGTGGGAAATTGCAGCCATTGTATGCCTAGATTTGCCGAAACAAATTGTCATTCGACCACCATTGAGCCACAAGCCTTCGAATGGTGGCCCTAGCTTCTTTACGACGCCATCCCCTACGGACGACATGCAATCCCCCCAGTAGTCGTAGAGCAGCAATCCGTATTCTACAGACACATCGGCAGCCTCACCTCTTCCAACCCAGAACAAGAAAGATGGTGAACTTACACGCTGAGCTTGAGTCACACCATTATTCGCACAGTAGTTCGCAGTGTCCTCCTCTTCGCAGCTAGAATCAGTAGCAATTCTCGATAGATTGCAAGCTTTCTTGGGTATATGAAAATGAAACAAACAAAAACGGGTTGAGCGTCTTTCTTACCCGCCCAAGAGCCGCTGTCACGACCGCCCTAGCAGCGGTCGTGTACCCTCCTGTTACCTACACAACAATTTAGCGAAGCATTAGCAAGAACAATTCTGGAACGGAATAGGGTTCGGAACGCAAGGGAGTGCCTTCAACAGCAGCGGCTCCAAGTGCCGCGACGGCGAGGAACAGTTGTACGAGTTGCATGATCGCTGATGATAATGATCAAAAGCGACAAGGTGTCGAAGGAATGAATGGCTGTGTCTTTGATCAACAATGCGGATTTCCATCTCAATCACATCCAAAATCGCATGCGATCCTTGTCCGACACAAGCAGCTTTCCATTATTGCTTGCAGAAATTGGCAACAACCACCAAACTTGGCATATTTGACATCGCATACCCGTCGTATAGAAGTAACGATCGTTATAGGATGGATCAGATCCGGCTATAAATCAGCATTACTTCAATTCACCGGGGTCCATAAGGCTGAAATTCTGGGGTTTGTCTGAGTTGACGAAGTAGTGGTCCGCATAGGCTCGCATTACAGGCAGTGGCAACTTTTAGTTCTATGCCCCGAATTCGTGGGTAACTTCTAGGGATATCTGAACGCCGACTTGGCTGCTACCAAGCGTCTGGCCTGACGGTACTCCCTAGACATCCGCGGAGCTTGTTTCAATCGTATATTGCTGCACCTGATCGCGTTGGTCCTGCAGCACGGGGAGCGAGAAGACTCCAGTGAAGCTCGTTCCCGAATTGACCGCATAGAGCTGTGCTCTATTCGAGCTTGAAAGGTACTACGCAACCACTACCGATCGCCAGTCTCAACTTCAGCTACCTCGGGGGGTGGGAACTTGGCTTTATTCCTCTTGATTCGATACACTCTTCACGCCACCGCATCTCCTTGGTGGCGCATGCTTTCTTGCTAGACTCTTGAGAACCAGCTTTCCCGGGTCTCAAGCCTAGATCTCATGTATCGCAAACACCTCCTACGCTCACTTGTCTGCATTTAAAAAAGAGCTGCGCGCTGCAGTGCGCAAGAGGGCCGTGATTACATGTCCACTTCAAGATCGACCTCAAACTAAAAGTAGATGAAATTGATGATTTGGCTCTCCGGATCAGCCTTGTCGCTTTGCTCTGGATATAGGAGGAAGACGAGTGCTTTGTGAAGGCGCTTGAAGCCGTCTATTGATGTCCAGAGGCCTTTGCAGGTGCCATGGGTCGAGTGTCGAAAATTCCAGAAAGAGGGCTTTTCGCAGTTCCAGGATTGCGAATACCTTTCTTGCGGCATGGGTCCCTTGACCGGTGTCTTCGCCATGTTGGCGGCTAACAGATAATCTTGCACAATTGCGGACAGCTTCGCAAGAAGGATCTTCAAGTAAATTTGGCCTTGACATAAGTGTGGGCCAAGCAACAGCATCACCCGCAGCCACGTGCAACATTCTCAGATCACCCACGAGATAGTCGCATTTCCCGTCTTCAAGGCGTCACGCTGCGATCGATCTTGGCTATCTTCATGCCAGCTTCATCCACGTCGAATCCGATCTTCTCCAAAGCCTCCCAGGCATGCGGGTATCTTTCCTTCGCCCAACCCGTGATTTCCGCTTGCTTCTCCTGCCCGGGAGCGCCCGTGAGAAGACTTCCCAGCAAGAAAGCATCGATCTCGACCTCGTTCTTAGCCTCTGCCTCTTCAAGCGTAGAGATCGCAAGTTCATTATCGCCATTGCCGGCAAGCGCCGCCACATATGATGCCCACATGGCCTGGTCGATGTCCACTTTCTGCCTCCGAAGCTTTTGCCAGATTTCTTGTGCTTTGAGATCACCAAAAGGCGACTTTTCACAGGCCCTGAAAGCGATGTGAATGGTGTTGTACGTTGGTCCTTCTTTCGAAGAGACTATGTCGTCCCAGAAATCCATTGCTCGGCGCGGTTTGCCGCATGCTGTATACCCTATGATGAGGGTGTTATAGAGGTATGTATCAACATTGACGTTGTAGTCCAGCTTAAGTTGATTATGAATGACTTCTAGACTCTCGATATCGCGAATCTTGGCACACTCCAGGAAGGCCGTAGCATAGGTATCAATGGTTGGAATGGTGTCGTCTCGAGAATGCCGACGCATACCCGTGAATACATGCACCGCCAGGTCAGGTCGCTCTTGACGGAAGAAGTGCGCCATTATTTCCGTCCTTTGCGGTCTAGGCATCTCATCAAAAATGGACCGAAGAATGTTGTATGCATCCCATGAGCGGGAGAGTGGCGTTTTGGCGTCCAGCGCAAACGCGAGAATAGCCCTGCGGATTTCAGCGCGCTCCGAGGAAGAGTATTGCGAGGCGTGAGTGCTGAGCAAGTCAGCCACGTCGTGGAACTCATCCCGGCGAAGATGCAGCAACGCAAGGCTGGAAACTGCAGGGGCCTCAAAGCGAGCTCTTCTATCGGAAAGGTCGGCAGTGACATTCATGATGGTGTCAAAATCGTGCCGTCTGCTGTTGCACAAGGCCACGATGAGCTTGTTGACTGCCGGAACATCTCCGTTGTCCGAAAGATCCATAGCCTGTAAGTTCGTGTAAGCGATGAGAGCGCCATCGACGTCGTTAACCTTGAGCCTATACTCCATTTGCAGTACATAGGTTCGAGAGTCGGGCGAGATGCCCCTCTGATGCCCAAGCGCGATGAATCGCTCGGCAAGGTATGGATCGTTTCGAGAAGTAGCGAATTCAACCAGGCCGTTGATTGTGGCGATATCTGGTACGCGCGATTGATCACGATCAGAAGTGCTGCGATTTGAATTCTCCATGACGTTAAACATGCGCCCAATCTCGTCTGCCCCCTTGCCGGTGCCGGCGGCCCAGACAAAGATGGCGTCCCACATAATCTTTGGTGGATTTCGCATAGTAGCCAGACGAATAACTTCGTGCCCGAACTCGACATGCTCCGTTGAAAGACACCATTGGAGGACAAGGCGAAACAGCTCAGTCACCTCCTTGACCATGGTGTCGGTGTGTCTAGATGTGCTGGTGTGGAGCCGCCACGCCTCTTGATACCAAGACTGCACATTGTCCAGATTATCTCTTCGAACGTAAAATCGAACCATTGCGTCAGCGACTGCAGCAAGCGGGAGATATCCACGATCTCGCATGATTTCCAGGATCTCGAGGAGTTTTGTTTCGTCATTCGCTAGAGCAGTGGCCCTGAAGACCGCGCTCCACAGTTTCCGACGTTGTGACCTGGTGATTGTACCTCTGTCTGGCGCCTCAGACTCCACTTGCTCCTCGACAGATATTTCTTGTTCCTCTGTATCCTCATGAGGGTGTGTTGTTTTGTCCAGCTTCCACGAGTCTTCCCCTTTTTCAAGATCTTCCATTACTTGTCGTGCCTCCAGGCCGTGAGCCGCTCTACCCAGGACCCATATGTACGTTCTCGCAGCCGAAACCCGCATATCCGTCAATTTGGACGACTTCAATGCGTCATAAAGCATTTGCGCAAGCTGTACGTGCGTGTCGGTGGGTTCAGAAGTCCTCAACAAAGCTGTGAATACGCTTTTCCCAGGTGTAACAATGACTCGTAGCTGAGAAAGGTGTCCATCTTGTTCTCCGTCACTTGCTGCAATATGTCGCAAAGCCTCGACGGCCAGTTGGGCGTGGGTATCCTCTATGCCTTTCTTTACCTTCTGGCGGTGGTCAAAGAATCGTGTAAAAGCCTTTCCAATCTCGCTGGGAGAAGGAAGTCGCGCTTGCATTCTCTTCTTCTTGGAAAGCTCCATAAGCTTGTCGATCCCGGGATCAGTGTTCGCCTCTAGGGTTTCTTGTCTCGTTTTCCCGAACGGGCTGAAATTGTTGAAGAAGGTGCGCCTTTGAGATGTCGGCGGCGCTGTAAGTGCGACATGTTGGCCACTACTATGTCTTGAAGATGCTGATGCTGAAGTGGTTGTCAACGTGCTGTATGCTCGCCGTCGTAAGCATCCGCGATGTACAATGGGTTCGTTGGCAATGAGCGAGCGAACGACGCGGCGAGTGAGGTATGACGGCATCTCGGCGGGCTTTCACGTGCTAGTGCGTCCAGTCCATTGGGTATTAGTTTGGATGGTACATTGAGGTCCAAGAAGAGAATGTGTACAGCGAATGGAAGAGTGAGAAGACGAGAAGGTGGAGGGGAGGATATGGCAGCTCAATGATGCTCTGCCGCAGTCCGAGGCGAGTGCCAAGCCGGGGGTTTTCCGCAACCTCCGTATCGCTGCTGCTATGGATACTTCGATTCAACCTCACTACATCTACCCCGACATCCCATTTCGACCATGTCGCTGGAACACGCGTTCAAACAGCTGGCAATACGCCCGTCATCTCTGTGTCGCCAATGCAGAAGGACATATGCCTCGTCGACGCGGCAACCAGATCAACGAGGAGCCACCGCAGCATTCGTTGGTATGTTACAACCTCGACCGCTACATACAGATCTAGAGACTAAAGTTGGAACAGAGACCCTCAAGCAACAAAGCGAGCAAGATAAGGACAGCCTCAGGCCCTTTTCAACACCCGATGTCGCCGCGCCAGCACCTCCCAAATCCGACTGGATAGACGTTGCCTCCGCCTCAATCCGCGAATCCACTGCCGGCCATCGCGAAATCGAGAATCGACGAGCCCTTGCCGAACTTTCAAGGCGTGTATCGACCGGCGACCTCGAGCGACAGCAGCCGCGAAGATGGAACCTCGGAGATGTCTACGCGCCACATGATATCTCGGGAGTAGAAGCGTCCAAATGGAAACCGAATCGCAAGCAGCCGAAAACCAAGTTCGATGTGCTGGATCGATTGAGGATCAACCCGATTCATCATTACAAGAACTTCAGTATGATGTCGGAATACATGACGGAGATGGGGAGAATTAAGCATAGGAATGAGACAGGCCTGAGGCCAGTGAATCAGAGAAGGATGGCCAAGGCGATTCGGAGGGCTGTGGGTACGGGGCTGTTGATGCCAGGAACACATCGTCACCCAGAGCTGTTGCGGCTGGAGAAGGAAAGTAGTAGACATACAGCTCGATGAGGCTAACGACCTTAATCTGCGACCCGACATTGTGGAGGCTCATTGCAGCGATCGTCACATCCAACCGAATGACAGCATGCCGACTTCAGGCGTAATCGCATGCTATAGTTTTTTGGCGGATCGAGACGGCAACGGGAGACAATCATTGACCCTGCCATTCATGAGGAGATGTCATGGCCCGAAGACCTGGTTGATGGAGACTCGAATCCGAGGAGCAGGCCTACTCACGCAGGAGAGATCGCCGACCTTCGCCATGCAAGGAATTTGCAGGATGATTCTCTGCAATCTCCAGTTGAGGCACCACCTGCACTTCATCTGCAACCCTATTATTCACTTATACCGAGTCAAACCTGTCCCTTTGCCAATCGAGTTCACTACTATCGGATTAACTATATATATCCACGAAAGCGGCGACCACTCTCGCTCAACACAAAATACCTCTTGTCCAGGTCGTTCAAGCCAGTGCAATTCCGTCTCGTCAAGAAAGTCCATGGTATGTTCCCAAATCCCAGGGAAAAGACCTCATACTCAATCCTGTACGGAACGTTGGCCCCTGCACGACTGCCTGCGAATACTCGATGCAGCTTTCTGTGATTTTCGCTCCTCCATTTCCTGACTACTCTTTCCTCGTCTTCAGCTACCTCTCCAGCTTGCGGTCTTCGAACAGACATGAGGAAAGTGGTCCTAGCTGTCTCAGGGGCATACGACTTGGAGTCCTTCATTCCAAGCTTTTAGCGCCTGGTCGATGAGAGAGCGAGCAATGCAGAAGCTCCGTCTTAGCGCTCTCGAGATCTAGGAAGCGACAAGAAAGCCTTCGAGCGTACTTTCATCGAGATCCTCGACGGTGAAGAGTGATTTCTGAATGCGGTCTTGGTCAAGGACCGAACAGACTTGCAGGAGCGCCGTTGCCTGCCGGTTCAAAGAAGCCATGCGCAGAGCAGAAAAGCCTCGACTCTGCTTCCAGGCTGTTCTCAATGGCGATCTCCTGGTATTCCACGTAGACCTCGTGTGATGGTCAGCATTTGGTGCGGATGATGTCTGCCATTCGACAGATTTCTGAATGCATGAAATCGAGCTTCTCGACTAGCTTGTGAGCAAGGCTGTCCTCTCCATCGTCTGCATACCAGCAACTTTCTTCATGATGTATTGATTGTTCTGCCCAGTCCGCGTCACTTCGTCAGACGAGTTAGATAACCCACTAAGGCCGTGTCAATTGTTTTAAGCTAAGGCTTGGTACAACTTCGCGGGAACCCAGCGGTCGTTCTGCAAACAAATGCCCAGAGCTCGCAGCCACGGACGGACTATTGCTCATCAGGCTTCTCATACCTCAAGAGAGTGAAGATCGGTACGTTCTCATAAGCCTCACGGATCGACAGCACTAAGCCATGCGGAGTGCATGAGGAGCATGAGGAGGACCGATGCAGGGTTCAAGCTCAGCAGCCCGAGCTGCCAACCGGTCCCCAAACATACCGTCGTGAAGAAGAGAGGGGTATGAGCAACGTGTACCATGATACGTGGAGTGCAGAGAACGTCCGCTGAGCCGAGTCGAGCAAATCCAACAAATAGGTAGGAGTCGCCATAGCTTTGAGAAATCCAGCGACTGCTCTGAGAATATATCCTCAACCTGTTTGCCACGCCCCCCTGCCATCCGTCGACACCTTGCAGAGAGAAGAGAGCCTTTTTCGTCATGTCCTGTCCTTTCGCCTACAGCGGCCCAATGCCAGACGACCATGCTCCGGTCAACGGCCACACCACCAGAGGCACCACGGCAAATGGCCACACAAACGGGACAACCCCTGCCGCTTCCGCTCTCTGCTCCGTCCAAGACTTCGTCGAGGAAGCCTTCGACTACCTCATCGTAGGCGGCGGCACCGCAGGTCTCTGCGTTGCCGCCCGGCTGTCCGAAAACCCCAACGTCCGCGTTGGAGTCCTCGAAATCGGCAAAAATCTCATGGACGACCCGCAGGTGTACACTCCAGGTCTGTATCCGACACTGATAGGACGCGAGAAGTACGATTGGTGTTATATGTCTGAGCCCGTACCGACAGCGGGGAATAAGAAGTATTCGATGCCCAGGGGGAGGTTGCTAGGTGGGAGTTCCGGAATTAATTATTTGATGTATGTGAGGGGGAGCAAGAAGGATTATGATGGATGGAGGGATCTGGGCAATGAAGGTTGGTTTCTTGATGGGATATCTGATTTGGGCTGCACTGACGATGGCAGGTTGGGGATGGGATGACATGGTACCATATTTCCGCAAACATCAGACTCTTGACCCGGCCGAGAAGCACCCGCCGAACGAGCAATTCATGCCCACCGGCGCAAAGGAGAAATACCACGGAACCAATGGACCGATTCACACCTCGTTTAATGACTACTACGAGCCATTCGAGTACGACTTTTGCGAAGCAGCGTACGAGACTGGAGGCAACAACCGCACTCTGGTGGACGCCTGGTCGGGTGACCACATGGGCTTCTATTCTTCCCTGGCAGCAGTGGACAGAACTGGAGATCCCGGAAGACGCAGTTATGCAGCGACGGGATATCTGCGTCCGAACCTGGCGCGGCCGAATTTGAAAGTGCTGTGCGAGGCGCTTGCCACCAAGGTGCTACTGAATGGCGATACTGCCAGGGGAGTGGAGTTCTTGCACGATGACAAGAAGTACCACGTTCTGGCCTCCCGGGAAGTGATCTTGTCCGGAGGTACGATCAACAGCCCACAGCTATTAGAGCTCTCCGGAATTGGAGATCCAGAAGTTTTGAAGGCTGCCGGTGTGGAATGTCTGGTCAAGAATGAGCGAGTCGGGGCAAACTTCCAAGACCACGTCCTCGGCGGAGTCTTGTACGATCTTGCACCCGGCCTCACGTCGCTGGATTCCATGCAGGGAGAGGAGTACCAGAAGGCGATGTCGGCCCTGTACGAGAAGACGAACAATGGGCCCCTTGGGTCTCCAGGAATGTTGATGGGTTTCGTCTCATACGCTTCGCTAGTGGATAAGCCAACATTGGATGCTACAATTGCGAAGATTCGCAAGGACTCTCTGGCAAAGACCGAGTTCGAGAAAAGACAGGAAGATCTTATCGTGAAGCAATTATCGGATCCAAACTTCGCGAATATCCAGACGTTCTGTAAGTCCAATCTCTAAAGCTTTTCGATTGCAATCTGACTGGGACAGGCATCGGCTGTCAATTAGATGTCAGCGCTGGCCAGAGCCAGATTGAGTTCTTCAGTCCTCCGTAAGCCCCCCCTCTCATCTCGGTGTCGCTCAGCACAGATCATGCTAACACAATGCTTCACAGGCCATCCGAAAAGAATCGCGTTTCTCTATTGGTCTGCCTAGAACATCCTTTGTCGCGAGGTACGGTCCACATAACCAGTCCTAGTCCCAAAGAGCATCCGCGCATCGATCCGGGATACTTCCGCAACGCTGCCGACGCCAAGATCCTCGCCGAGGGCATTAAATGGATGGATAAGGTTACCAAGCAACCAGTCATGGCGAAGAACCTCGGGGAGCGTGTCCTGCCTCCACAGAATGACAGCATCGAAAGCGAAGAGGAGAGAGTTGAGTATGTGAAGAATCACATCTCCACCCAGTACCACTTGATTGGTACCTGTACGATGGGCGAAGTCGTCGACGAGAAGCTGAAAGTCAAGGGCGTCAGCCGCTTGCGAGTGATTGATGCTTCGGTCTTCCCTGGCCATGTTTCTGGTAACATCATGGCATCGACCTATGCTGTAGCCGAGAAGGGCGCAGATTTGGTTAAGGCGGACGATGAGCGTTTCCGCTAAATGCACCTTCTTGTGATGTATTAATATGTCAGGCTCTTCGATAGCGCTACTCCATACCCGCAAAGTCTGTCAACGATTTCCCCACTACCAGAAAAGCTTTTCTGGAAACTTGGAAGGTAGGGTCTCCTGGCTTTTCTCGTCCTTGGGCTCTGAAGGCGCATCTTGCGCTGGGACCGGCTGTGTTGACCCTTCCACTAGATGATTCGAGATAGAATACAATGCCTGCGCGACATCGCGAGTCTCCTCGCTGTACCGTCTTTCATGTGAGGGAGTCTGATAGGTTGGCTGTTCCCGTAGTCCGGCGTCTCCATTGAATTGGTCTGCGTGAGGCGTCTGGTAGTATGGCCCATTTTGGGCAACGCGACTAATCGCGGATGAGTGACCCGTCGATGTTGGGCCTGCTTGGGGTGGACCAGAGGCTGTGGCGGCACGAAGGTGCCTGGATAATGGAGCATTCGGCTGGAATGAGGCAAGGTCACCGGACATTCGATGTTGCTGCCACTGTCGGATCGAACTCAATTCATTCAAGGGATAATGTGCCCAATATTCCTGTCCAGAGCACACGCTCGTCCATGTTTGGTGGCTGGGAGCTGGCGGATTCGAATTCGAATTGGCCTGTTGTAGTCCGTTGTGCAAGGCGTCGTCGGAGGCTTGGTTGAGCACGCCGAGTAATAGCTTCTCGGTCTCCTGGAGACGATCTTGGAGTGATCGCAGGTAGTCCTTGGCCGGGCCGCGTTTCTTCTGATCGCTCCACCAACACTCTTCGTTGTGGGCACGGCATTGGTCGCATACCGGCTTCTGACCACTGCATTTCTGGCGTTTGGCCCGACAGACGGCGCAGGCGGCGGTGATCCGCGATCGACGCGTCTTATCGGGCGCGGCACCCGTATTTGCAGTGGATGTGGTGTCGGCCATGCTGGACGTGATGGGATATCTGGGTTAGGGATGTGGATGTTGATGGGCGGATGAAAGATGAAGCCCAGGTCAAGGCTAGTAGCAGCACGGCTGCGCGCATACCCAGGCGCCAGGACCGAGCTCCACCACGTGACCGCGCCGAACTTTCCGTGTGAGAGCTTTGACTAACAAAGAAGGTTCATGGCCCGGCTATCTATATGAGGTTTTGAGGTGTTTTTATATCCCCTCTGCTTGGCTGCCAAGACTAGAGTTTTTCACACTTAGGCATAACACTACTTTAGCAAGTGTAGTGTAATTCCTTAGTATATAGGCTAAGGATCTTACATTCTCCCCTACTTAGACTTTAGTACCTACTAAAGCCTTAGTAGAGCCTTAATTGTCTATAGATTCGTAGCCTCCCTCTATATACTAGTATATAGTTGTCCCTATAAGCCTTAGCCTTATAAAAAGGTTATAAGCCTTAGGTAGTAGTATTTGCTAGTATATAGGCTTTATCTTTCCTAATTAGGAAGGATGTTTGCTCCTACTTACTAGATAATAGTAAACTTTTACTGTTTGTAACTTGCCTATATAACCTAGTAATAAGGGTACGAGACCTAGTTATTAGAAGGTAAATAAGTAAGCTTCTAGAAGCTTATATAGGTAGGGGTATAAGAGCTTCTTCTCTACTCTTATCTCCTTCTTCTTATTAACTACTCCTCTACTCTATTCTCCTCCTATAATAACAAAAGCCCTCTCTAAGAGGCTATTTATATAACAAAAGCCCTCTCTAAGAGGCTAAGTATATATATATTTTCCCTTCTAAGCTTCTAAGCTCTCTCCCTTTACTTCTAATAATAACATTTATTAGTAGCTCTTATTAGAGCCTTAGCTAGTAGAGCTTACACTATGTCTTCCCTTTAGGTACGTATAGCTAGTATACGTGTTAGCCGTAAGAGTAGCCGTACTAATCTTAAGGCTAGCCTATCTTCTTTAGGGAGTAGTAGTAGAGAGCCGCTAAGGTAGCTACCAAATTTTGGACCTATAGTACTAAGCTTAATAGAAAACCAGTTCTAGTAGATTATAAATACTCTATAGGACTCGTAGTTCCGCTATACTTCTATTACTATAGATCTAGTAAAACTTCTTAAGCTAGCTCGTATTGTCTTTATTACTAACAACTATAGCCTTATCTAGCGCTAGTATAACATCCTTCTAAGCAGTTCTAGGAATAGCCGGCTAAACATAACTCTATTTAACTAGATTGCTTCTCCTAAGGCTAACTTTAATAATAATCGTAGTAATCCTAACATACGCCCTATAGATAAAGCTATAGTTACTACTATCCTAGGTAGTCTAGCTAGAACAATTACTATCAATCTATATAGTAGTACTAGCTACCTACTTATAATTCTAGGTACCCTACTAAAAGGGGCTGTTACTAACTCTAGTCCTCCTAAGTAGTCTCTAGATATAGAGGAAGATAAATAGAGCCGTTACATTTAGTATAGCCCTAAAGGCTCTAGAAAGGGTAGGCTTGCTTTGTGTCGCCGGATACTAGATAGTTAGGGTAGTTAGTTACTTAGAGGTACCTATACTAACTGTACTTAGACTCTAGGTTATAATAGATGCTCCCTAAGCTTAGGAGTAAGTAGAGTACGCTCTAACTTAGCTAGCCTAAGCAGGTCTAGTAGGAGGCCTAATCGTCTAGTTATTAATAGGGAGGCCCTTTTTAACTAGGTATTAACTAATATCCGGGACATGTAAGGAGCTTAGGATGCTCTTAGAGGTCTTATCTACTTTAAGCCTAACACTATCGAGCCTACTAAGGACACTAGGGAGGGTGTAATAATCATCCTATTTAACTTTAATATTAATAATTAACTATAGTAGATTGTAAGACGAATAAAGTACGCCTTAGGTCGTAGTCGCTATATAGCTAATGTAGCTACTACCCGCCTTCGTTAGGATGTAGGAGGGGATGCTAATTCTAGTAGGGATAAGAGTAACTCTAAGAAATAGGGTCTTTCTAGTAAGGAGGGTAGTAATAAAGATAATAAATAAGTTTAGTTAGGGAGCTATAAGGGTTTAGGTTAGTAGTTCTTCTTTTGCTTTTACTTTTAGGGGTTAGTAGAGTTAGTAGGTCTTTTTCCTTTTTCTTTTAGCTATTCGCTAGAGTAGCCTATACTACTATAGGTTACTACTTATAGCCTTTCCTTTATGTTATAGAGTACTAGGACAAGTATAGTCTCTTATTAGGATTTAGTAGCCTCTAATAATTATAGAAATTGAAAACTTATCTTAATTTCTCTTTCTCTAAGAAGGAACAGGTCTCTACCTTAATCCCCTAGGTCTAGGCCTTACTAACTTAAGCTTATTCTCCTTATATTCTTAAGAAGAAGCTAATAGGTCCCTAGGGTTATAATCTCTTTAGAGAGGAGCAGTTATAGGAGGTTGTATTAGTCTTAGTTCTTCTACTATAGAATTAGGTTCTCTAGAGGGATAGAGTAAACTGTCTTTAAGTACAGTTCTAGGTCTAGAATTTCGCTCTATAACTAGTAGAGAAGGATTGCTAGGCTGTTCCTAAGCAAGCCTAGCTAGTACTAGGTCCTCTAGGATAGGTAGGGCTAGAGATCCCTCTATCTCCTTTGCTATATTCCTTTATAGGCTTAGCTAGCTTGTAGGCTGAAAGCTAGTTAGTCTTGTTAGAGGTTCCTCTTTAAGTCTGTTAAGTAAGGATTTTTCTTAAGCTTACTTATACTCTTAGATTTTTAACTTCCTCCTTCTGTCTTTTAAGACCTAATCTATAATTTTTTGGTTTGAACCTATTACTAGATTATCTCCCTCCCCTACTAAGAATCTTCGTACTCCTATATAAACACGATACTAGCTAGTATTCCTAGTTAGGGAATTCTAAAGTCTCTTCTATTTAGCCTCTAGAATTGTTAAGAGATTAGAAACTAACATCCTTATATCTCCCTCTTTATTTAGGATCTCCTTAATTTCTAGTGAACTTAGAGTACTAGGCTTACTATTTAATATACTATTAGTATACTTTAACTAGAATTGTTTAGAGCCCTAGTAATAAGTAGAGATTAAGCGATTACTATATATTAAGTGCCTTAAGACTCTCCCTTATAGGGTCTATAAGGCATAGGTCCTAAGCTAGTAGGCCTTCTTAATCTTAAATAGCCCTAGCTACTTAGGCTAAAGCTTTTTAGGTTTAGGGTTTATAAGTAGTACCTATTCCCTAACCTTTCTCCTTAGTCCTAATTCTACCTACATAATCTGTAGGTTTATTAGGCCTCTAGAGGTTGTACGGTTTAGTAGCCTTTTATTAGTAAGCTGTCGTGTATAGCGTACCTTAACAAGTCTTTTGCCTTAATTATTAATTATAAGCTTACTTATTAGGCGCTATTTATTTTTATCCTCTAAGATCCGGGGGTACTGTCTATATAGGAGGTAAAATAGACTCATTTTAGTAGTTATATACTACCTATATCTAGTATAGAACAAAGCCTTATAAAGGAATGTATCCTAATAGCGTATATCTATACCTAGGTATATCTTAGTTAATATATTACTAAGAGTGCTATTTAGATTCTTAACCTTCCTATTTGTTATTAGGTAGTAGGGAGTACTAAGCTTATAGTTTGTCTTGAACTGTTTTATTAAATAGGCTATAACCCTTAATAGGAAGTTTTTCCTATTATTAGACAGTAGTTCTCTTAGGGCACTATAGAAGCTATATATTTCTTTATATAGGAAGGTAGTAGTTGTCTTATTATTAGTAGAGGGCACTGCCCTTATAATAGGCTAGCTAGTTGTATACTTAATAGCTATAATAATGTATTTATTTCCTTCTAAGGACTTAGGCATAGGTCTAATTATATTAATTGCCTATCTTTTAAATAGTTGCAATTGTAGATTGACCTAGTAGAAGGGATTCTCCTTGTTCTCTAGCTTGTTAGGAAGCTGTTTCTAGGTTAATTAATAAGTAGGACATTGTCTTAAGAATCTCCTAAGGTCTGTTTTTATTAAAGGCTACTATGCCCGGGTTTTAATATGTCTAAGGAGTCTAGGAAATCCAAAATAGCTATACTAGGTATAGATTCTATTAACAAAGTTATACCTCTAAAGGGGTTTAAGGTATAGTATAGTTCCCTTATTATCTAGTAGAATATGCCTAAGATTAACAATCCCTTTATTATCTATTAGGGTAGTGAACTGCTAGGATCTCTTAAGGACTATATCCTTAAGGTAAGGATCTTATAGAAGTGTTATATCTTGCTTATAGGCAAGTATAGCTTCTATAAAGGGTTTATGTTCCTTAGCCTTAAGTCTTAGTATAGCTAGCTATTTAATAGTAGCACTTGACTCTATAGGCTAAGCTATGTTTGCTAGTCCTTCCCTAATAAAGTTAGGCCTTCTAGAGATAGTATCTAGGACAATAGCTTTACTACCTTTCCTATACTTAATATCTAGGTTATATTCTTAAAATTCTTTAGCCTACCTTATAATCCTCTTGCTCTAACCTTTAGTCTAGTTAAGGTATTTAAGGGATTAGTAGTCTGTTAAGACAGTAATAGTTAGTCTATTTGTAATATAATTGCTCTAGGTTCTTAGGGCTTCCTTAATAGCTAGGCCTTCCTTTTCGTAGATAGGATAGTTAAGCTTAGCTCCTTAAAGCTTTCTTCTAGAGAAGGCAATAGGATAGAGCTTGTCTTTATTATTATACTAATACAGAGCGGCCCTAATAGCCTACTCTAAAGCATCTGTCTTAATAATAAAAGGTTTAGAAGTGTTTAGGGCTATTAAGACTAGGTAGGACTAGAGAGCTTTCTTAAGAGTCTTAAAAGCAATTGTATATTATACATTCTACCTAATAGGTCGCTTCTTCTTGCTTCTTAAGTTAATATTATCTTCCTTTAAAAGGTTAGACAGAGGTGTAGCTAACTTAGTAAAGCTACGAATAAAGCGTCTATAGTACCTAGTAAGTCCTAAGAACTAACGGATCTATTAAGTATTAGTTAGTATAGGCTAGTTAGAGATAGCTTCCACCTTGTCTTATATTAGTTTAACTATGTTCTTAGTAACCTTATAGCTATAGAAGGTGACAGTCTTAACTCCTAAAATACACTTCTCTACTAAGTAGAACAGGTCTGCCTTACTTAGCCTCTTAAACACTTCTTACAAGTGCTTAATATGTTCCTTTATATCCTTAGAGTATATAAGAATATTATCTAAGTATATAACTATATTCTTCTATAGGAGGTCCCTTAAGACATTATTTATTAGGGATTAGAAGGAAGCTAGAGTATTAGTAAGCCTAAATAGTATTACTAAGAACTTATACTTCCTATCCCTAGTATTAAATACAGTCTTATAGGTATGCTTAGGTTTAATTAAGAGCTACTAAAATCTAGAGACAAGGTCCAGTTTAGTAAATATACTACCCTAGGTAATAGTGTCTAAGTAATCTTAGATCCTTAGGAGGGGGAAGCTATTCTTTATAGTAGTATTATTAAGGGCCCTATAGTTAATATACATTCTCTATTGCCTATTAGGCTTTAGAACAAAGAGTATAGGACTTCCCTAGGGACTACTAGAAGGCTTAATTAGGCCCCTCTCTAGTAGCTTTTAGATCTATATAGTCTGTTCCTCTAGCTGTTTTAGGTTCAAGCTATAGGCCTAGAGGTTAATAGGGGTAGTATCTCTAGTTTCAATTATATAATTAAAAGCTCTCTCCTATAGGAGTTTAGCTAGGAGGGAATCTCTCTAGAGGGTAGGGAACTAGTTTACTAACTTCTAGATTTCTAGATTACTATATAGGGGAGGTTTGTTCTCCTTAGGTACAGTCTCTGTCTTAGTAGTAGCATTTAGGCCTTTCTCCTAAATGTTATCCTTACTTAGAGGAGCCTTTCGTAGTATATATAGGTACTAGGGACTAGATATATACTTAACTGCTTCTACTAAATAGAGGGAGTTAAAGACTTCTAAATCTAGGTTTCTATCCTTTAGCTTAAAGATCTTAGAGTTAGACTTAATAGAGTAGCCTTTACTATCCTTGTCCTAAAGACTAAGTTTACTAGCTTGCTAGTTTACTATTAGGTTGTACTGTCTAAACTATTAGAGACTAAGAATCACTTTATACTCTAGGATGTCTAGGACTCTAGTAGGGATTTAGTCCTACTAGGATCTAATCTAGTATAGTAAAATAACTCTAGAATCTAATATAATGCTCTACCCTATTAGAAGGAGTATCCTTATAGGGGGCATAGATATATAAAGCTTCTTAGGGAGTCTCTTTACTACTTAGTAGGAGATATAAACTCCTAAAGTAGTAGTATCTAGTATAAAGTAGGCTCTAGTTAGTTTGTTTAGTAGTCTAATTACACCTTTAATAGTAAACAAGTTCTTATTAATAGAGGCAAGCCTTTCTAGGGTGTAGTCTTCTTCCTCCTCTAAGTCCTCCTATATAGCTAGTTTACCTTAGGAGCTAGGTCCTAGGGGAGAGGTAGAGGCATTTAACTGCTTTATAAGGTACTAAGCCTCTTTAGGCATCTTATAAGCTAGTTTTTTAACATGTACTCATTTCTCTAGTAACTAGTCTTCCTATACTTGAAGCAAGTGCTTAAGGACTTGTTACTCCTAGTTTTCCTATTATGCTTCCTACCTTTCTTGCCCTTACTATTCCTCCCCTTTATGCCTTTGTCTTTTCTTCCCTTAGAACTTTAGGAGGTTCCTAGGGCTGCTAATTGTTCGGTATTTTGTTATAGTAGGGCATTTATAGATTCCTAGGCCTTCCTAGTACTATAGAGTTTTTTGTCTATATTAATAGCCTACCTTATATAGTCCCTAGTAGAAGTGTTTAATATATACACTCCTCTCTAGTCTAATTTATCTCTAATATCTCGTTTAAGGCTAGCCTAGAACCTCCTAATAAAGACGAAATTATTAGGTTTAGGGTTATAAAGCTTGTTCTACAAGCCTTTTAGTACTCTAATAAAGTTATGTACTCCTCCTATCTAGGTACAGCTATTAAATTTCCTACGAATGGACTCCGTATAGTCTAAGTCTATATTTAGATCTTCTAGAGTTTGTATAGTATTCTTAAAAGCCCTAAGTAGGTTCTTTACTTTCTAGGCTTTAGTAATAGCTACTACCTAGTTAATAAGAGCATCCCTAGTAAGGTAAGTTAATACTAGTTACATTTTCTAAAGATTATTAAGTAGTGTTTTAAACATAAAGATCTTATTCTAGGCAATCTAATTCTAGACCTAGTTAATCTAGTCTAAGACATTATTATTTCTCTAGCTATTATTATATAGTACTAGATGTCTAATCTAGATCCTTCCTATTAGTCTAGCTATAGAAGTAGTAGTGTTTAGAGCTTAGTTAATAGTAGTATTAGTTAGAGGGTTCTAAGGAGTAGCTACTATAGCTTCTTATATAGTACTTAGTTCTTAGAGAAGCTAGAGAGCTCGCTAAAGGGCTGTAATTGCTACTAGGTCGGCTCCCTTACTATGCTCTAAAATGTAGAGGCCTAGGAATTCTAAGGGTAGAAAGTCTCGGTTAGTAAAGCGTATAGTATTAGGTAGGTTAGGTTAGTCGGCTATAGTAGTAGTTATTATAGTTAAAACTTGGATTAGGGCTATAGTTAATTAGGCAACCTATAGGCTTGTATAGAGGGCTTTAATATATCTATTCTTAGAAGAAAAGATAGAAGGTATCTTAGCTACTAGATATAAGAGCTTTAACTAACAAAGAAGGTTTATAGCCCGGCTATCTATATAAGGTTTTGAGGTGTTTTTATATCCCCTCTGCTTGGCTGCTAAGACCAGAGTTTTTCACACTTAGGCATAACACCACTTTAGCAAGTGTGGTGTAATTCCTTGGCATGCAGGCCAAGGATCTCACATCCGACATTCACTTACATCAAAGCCCGGACCAACTTTCACGCGCCTCGACACGCTCGTGACACGCCCAGCCTCAAGCGGTGTGGCGGCAGCCAGTGGCGTGATCGCGGCGGGCATTGGACATGGACGCGCAGGAGTCGCCCGGGAGCAATCACGAGATCGGCTCTCTTACCCAACCTTCGCCGCACGAGTCGCGCTTCATCGGTTCATCAAGCGGCATCTACTTCATCAACACCGTCAAGCAGGCCTTTGAGCAGTCCGGGCGACAATGCGGCTCTCTGCCGGCCGCAGAGGATACAGTGGGCGGGGAAGACGACTACGCCTCGGCGAGAAACTCGCCTGCTCGGGAACGTGAGCATGGCCTGGAAGTGACCTTTACTGCCCAAGGAGCCATCGAGATTCACAACTCGGCCAACCTTGGACTGCTGCTCTCATTCGAGGTGGCACAGCAGCTTGCGATTGAATATTTCAAGACATGGCATCCATTGCTACCCTTCCTGTCTGGTCCAGAGTTCCTCCGAGAGCTACATGCACTTTATCAGGACCCAAGGATGATGCAAGGCCCTGGCACGGTTCTTGTCGACCGGCGTCAGCTTTGCTTTCTTGTCATCTTGCAATGCGTCCTGGGAGTCGGTGCCAGCGGATCCTCCACTGCCGGTCATATGCCCTTTAGGCCGGATTTACTTCAGCTCGTATCGTCTCTGGCATCGAGACACGACATGCTGACCGTTCAGACCGTCCTAGCTGCTCAAGTATACTGTGTCTCCCAGATGGCGTTGCGCACGGCTTCGTCGCTGGGCGGTCTATTGAGTAAATTGTTGTACCATGCTGGCCTACATCGATGCCCGTATCGTTATCCGCAACTCTCTAACGAGGATCGAGACCTCCGCAAACGTGTCATCTGGAGTTCGTTCGCGCTGGACCGATACATTTGCCAGGCACTCGGGATTCCCGTGTCCCTCACAGAAGCCGAAATCGACGTTTGCATCCCTGGCAGAGATGAGACCCATGGTCGGCAGACCAATGGTTCGGAAGCGAAGATGCCAGCGAAACCAACGGGGATCCCTCGAGAGATCATCTTGTCCAACTTCGTAGACCACGGCCGTCTTGTCGGTCGTGCTCTCGAGATCTTCCACGTTTCCATTCACACCCGCAGTCATGACCCACGTATGGTCCTGTTCCTACGCTCAGATGTGGACAGATGGTTTAACAGTCTCCCAGAGGAGCCCATCATCACGCCAGAGAGCTCGGCAGCCGAGGAACAGATAGCGCGGTTCCTGCCATTCTTTCATGTCCTGTACGAGCAGCTCGTCATCTCCACCAACAGACCTTCCCTTTCTCTGCCGAGAAATACACCAGAGTTCCATCATGGCCTGCAAGTCACCATTCGAGCGGCCAAAAGGACCATTGTTGCCATGGAAAAGCAGACAAACCTCTTCTGGCCTGGCTACCTCGCCGCAGTATGGATGTCTGGACTTGTAATTTCTTTCGCATGTCAGATAGGACTGTATACCATTGACCAGGGCTCACAGTAAGGATTTGACTGCTACACGTACAAGAAGACACCGCTGACGTGACACAGAGAGATTCTCCGTTGCCTAGACTTGCTCAAGCGAATGTCTGGCCGCTGGCGTAGCGCAAGCCGATGCCACGCGGCTCTGTCGGTGCTCTTATCCAACCTCCAACAAGGTCAGCGCCGGACCAGCTCTGATGCGTTTGGTCACGAAGATCCGTACGGTCCTTCTGCGAAACAAAGAAGGCTCAAGGATACCGCTTCACCCATGGAGTCGAAGCCCGTGGCGACGCCGGCTGACGACGCCAGCGATACGAACCAAAGTGCAGCCAGCAATGCTGAGGGCCTGGTGCCAGCCACAGACCAATCTGATAATATGGCCGGTTGGGACGCCAGCGACTTCTTGAGAGACCTCTCGTGGAACAACCTGTTCGATATCAACGACTTGGCGCAGGCGTCGGATTTGCCTTTCTTGCCCGGTTAAGACTACCCATGCATGCAAACCCGAATTCGACTCTCGACACCAACCCGTCTCGGCGCGGATATGCAGTCTGTCGCAACCACCGAGAAGAGTCCTGCACTCTGCCGCTCGCCGAATATGGGAGCCATGTGACAGATAACACGGAACATTGCTCGATGCCATCGAATGCACCTGGCTGCGACCGCTGCCATACCAAGCGAGCGTTCATCTACCCCTTTGGAGTGCATTCTACAGCGGTATGCAGGTATGAAAGTATGGTCTTGCCACAGAAAACCACTTGTCACGAGAAGAGCATCACAGTGCGCCCAATAATCCAATCGCGTGCCCGTTGTTGCAGCGCGCTTTCAACCTGCACATTCGTGTCCGTTTCCAGGAACTCAATGCCATTCTGGCTAGGAAAGTCGCCCTGCAGGAACTTAAAAACAACAGAATACTTCATGCCGGAAGAAAACTTCACGATCAGCAAAAACACTAGCGATGGGGCTTGATGTCAGTCAAAGCCATATCCATGGATTCACTCCGGCAGTGGAGCACGCTGAATCACAGCAAACTGGTGATGGCGATGATGATAGCATGAGTGATGTACGTCATTGCAGTAGAAAGAGGGAAAGGACAGTAGTCCCTGAATACATGGAATAGTAAAACCAAAAGCGCCAAATCTTTGCGACGAGCGCGTAGCCCTTCTCAAGCTGTTTCTGGTGCTGTCATAGCTTTTGTCCAACGACCTCTTTCAAATCGACCTGCTCTGCGTCACGGTCGAGGCAAGTCCTGTTCCTCGTACACAACCTTCTCAAAAAACGCCTCGCTGAAGTCCAATGATCCTACGAATAACGCTCATGCGTGAGCTCACTTCTTCGTCTTCCCTGATCTCGACCCACTCGCAAACCCGCCCAACCGTCCCAGACTACTCGTTCCCTTCTTCTGTCCCAAAGTAGACTGCTGCGGCTGATGGCCCCTAATAGGTCCACTTTGAGCAGAGTCGGGTCTCAGCCCGCCAGACACTGGCCTGATATTATCAGGTGCGGTCTGGACAGCCTTGGTTTCTTTCTGTGGAGTCGCCTGGTCCTCCAATCCATGCTGATTCAAGAGCTGTCTCTGCTGTATACGTCGGACTTTTTCTTGGGTTGTCTTGAATTTGTCGAGAAGTTCTGTCCACTTGATTCCTCCGTCTTCGCGGCTCTTGAGGCGATTTTGGCGCTCGCCAAAGGTAGTGACGGAGCTGGCCGGAGTGGATGGGCCTTGGCCGCGGGTGCCGATATGGAGGTAGCCGATGGCCGAGACGCTGTTTAGTCTGTTTTTGAGAGCGGCAAAAGCACTGCTTTGAGGCAGAAGCATGAGCAAGCCGTACATACACTTGTACAAGTGAGGATGTCGTTCCGGTTCCAGCAGCTGCATCCGCAAATAGGTGAACACGGGGGACTCTAAGAGTTGAACCAGCTTGTCGATTTGAATGAGCATGTTGACTGTCATTTCGATATCGCAGAAGACTTGCAGAAGGTTATAGGCTTGCTCGTATGCTTGCGCGAGGAGACAAAGGGAGAACGTGGCGACCGCGTTGACACACCATGCTTTGAAGAGGACCGTGAAGAATGTCTGCCCGTCTCTGCTGTCCAGGTTACGCAGCCGCTTACGTAGATCGGCAAGCTCAGGAGCTGTTATCAAGTTGTTGTTGAGATTCTGCACCATGATGGACGCAAATTCGATGTCATCCTCATCTCTTTCTAAGCAGTTGGCCATGGTGCGGTAAATACGCTCTGCCGATAGTGATAGGCACAGCTGGCGAATGATGAGGTTTCCTCTCGTCTCCAGTAGCCGCCGGTCAGTGCAGAAAAGCTTCAGTAAATTGACCATGAACGACTCGAAGTAGCTATCGTCACTGCTTTTGCTGATCTGAGAAAGCAGCAGCAGATCCCTCGTGACGACTGCTTCCGCAGGATCACTGAGTGTCTTCAGGAGAGCCGGAAAAGTCGCATCCTGGATCGCAAGGATCTTACGAGGCGATTTGCGATGCAGCATGATTAGCCAAGCCAGTGCAGCCACTCGAGTAGCCTCATGTTCATGCAAAAATTGTAGGGTCAGCGCATTGACAGCAGCTTCGTAGTCGAGGTCGGTGTGAGGCTTCTCAACATGGTCAGTGGCACGCGGCTCGGGAGTTGACACTTGCGGTGTACGCGGAGCTGATCCTGGTTCCGGTGTTTCCAGCTTGCGAACGCTCTTAACGTTGCTAAGCGACTCACGTTTCTCTGTGCCATTAGTTTCCCTTACTGAACGCTGGAATGCTGTAGCGATAGAGGCAGTCCCTGCTACAGTCGCGGATGGTCCGGCAGCGGGCACGGCTTCTGAAGTGCCGGCGTGAGTGGCTTTCGACGGGTCCTCAGGCAGCGACATGATGTATGCTATTAACAGGTTGTTAACCTTATGGGCCGCCGAGCTGACCTGCTCTCTGTCGTGCGAGAGGGCAGGGAGAAGCTGCTGCAGGAGCTTTGGTGTAAACGAAAGGATGTCTTCAGGACAAATCTCCAAGAAAGTCTCGATCCACTTCAGAGTAGTAATCTGAATCCCTTCTTCCCTCGACTCAGCCAAGAAGTTGACCAGGATCTCCAGAATTCTTTGGTAGTCGATCTGAACATCCTGTCCTGGTATCCATTCATCATCCGTCGTTGACATTTCATCATCCTCAGCGGCCGTGATTGATGAGGCGCGACTAGCAGCCTCGACATCTGCCATACTAGTGAGCTGTTCTGGCGCAGCAGGCTCGGGCGTTTGCATGGTACCATGCTCACGACTCTCTCTGCTTTGTGAGGGATCGGGCTCAGCTTCGGCATCTTCAGGCTTTGGCGACTCTACCGCAAAGCTTGAGTCGCTCGCCTTTCTCTCTTGCACCTCCCGTCCCTTCTTGCTTTCAGCAATGTCCTTCTTGACTGCAGCAATTTTCTTGATTTCAACAAGGAACCTGTCCAGCGCAGTCTTAGTGGTAGTGTGGACGTCCTCATTGGAGTCGCTTAGAAACCTCAGCAGACCTCCCAGGAAGCTAGGGAGGTAGGCAACAAGCTCTAGATCGGGGATCTGGTCTAGCAACGTAATCCACGATACCAGGAATGTGCGTGCAAATGGATTCTGTACATTAATTCGTTCTTGTAGGAGTGGGATGAAACGAGGCAAGCTGAAGGCGGTCGGCAATTCTACGCTCTGTTGGGGCGAGATGCCTTCGGCTTCCTGTACGGCCTCAGGTGCGAGGACGGAGGCGTATGTGGCTGCTGATTCCGACACGATGTCCTTGACGAGCCGATCAAGGAGCTCAGCGCCATTCTTCACCGAGAGCTCTGTATCAGCTGCGAGCTTAGACAGCGCGTCGAAGACATCGTTGAAGTAGATCAAAATCTCGCCCTTGGCAACCTTTGCAATGTTGTACATGCTCTCGCAAGCGTAGTATCTGACTCTTGCATCTTGGTCGGAGAAGCAAGCGAGGACAGGCGGTACAATCTCTTTGAGGTAGCGGGCGACTTCCTGCGAGCTGGTCAGGTCCATAATCCACAGGCCCACGCTTGTACATTGTCCTTACTGGTCCCAGAGCTATTGCTGCGGCCGCCAAACCGATGAGACCGCCATTGCGAGCGTGGGGCTGATGCACAGCGTATGCGTAGTCATGACACAGCTGCCAGACAATCCTGCCGATTCGATCGTGGTTCCCATCGGAGAGTGCTTGGCGGATGGTGGCTTCGAGTCTGCGGGAATGCTTCATCAGCGACTCTTTGTCGAAAGATTCGAATTGGACGTCGTAGTCGTCCATGTAGGGACATGTGTCGGGAGAGCGGTGGAGATGTGCCTTGGGTCGCTTGAGGAAGGCCATAGTGACGACGGAGGTCGTGATGATGTGGTATGGTGTAGTAGAGAGAGGGAAGCTGGATGGGTTGGACGTACTCTAAGGCACCCTGCTTGCGCTTGTCATACAGCTTGTCCGAGAGCAGGCGCTGTACTCCGCTCTCCATCTTTCCTTCGACTCATTCGCGGTACTCATTGGCGACGGGTTGTGTCATGCAGCTATACCGATGAAGTCTTATGTCTCGTGCTCCTCCTGTTCCATGCGATTGTGGTTGCTATGCTGTTTGCTCTCTCACATGGGAGCCAAGATAAGAAAATCTATGCCTGAGGTATGAAGGATGCAGCTGCTTGTCACCAGATCTTGTACTCCAGACCAGAAGGCGGGAATCGGGTTGCTGGGTGGGCAAGCGGGAAAGGACGACGATCATCTCTCCCACGCTCGAGCAGGTGAAGCTCCTGGTTGCTACCTGAGGCTCCGTCACTACTACGTACCGGCATCCGCCTCGGTATCGCTTTCGGTTACGGAGATCTGCAACCCTAACACGTCCCGTTCCGTCAAAAGTCCATTCGCGTTTCAACTACTTCCTCAGAACCAAATACCCTCACAGACTCGACACAACACAGCAAACATGTCCGACGATCAGCGCGAGCTGTCGCGCATGTGGCGCGTCTATCGTACCGTCAAGCAAATGTGTTATGACAGAGTACGCGCCGGCGCCCTCTCTGCAACTGCAACGCAACTACTAACAGTGACTACAGGGCTACGAACTCACAGAAGACGAATGCAACATCTCCCTCGACAAATTCCGACAAGACTTCGCCGACGACTCCGGTGCCCCTCAGCGCGTCAAAATGGCCTTCACCGCCCGTCCCGCGGCTGCAATGACCCAGAAATACACCCCCCTCCCGAAACCAGGCAGATCGGAAGAAGAGCGCCAGGCAGAAATCGGCACCATTCACGTCGAATTCTCAGACGAGATGAATGTAGGAATCAAGCAGCTCAAGAACTTCGCCCAGACTCTCAGCGAGAAGAACTTCTACACGGGGGTCTTTGTCACGAAGGTTGCGCCTACGTCTGCTGCGCTGAAGATCATCCCGGGGATTCTGCCCATCATCATGGAGGTGTTCAAGGAGGAGGATCTGCTGGTGAACATCAGCAGGCATGATCTGGTGCCGAAGCATATCCTGTTGAGTTCGGAGGAGAAGAGAGGCTTGCTGGAGAGGTATCGGTTGAAGGAGACACAGCTGCCCAGGATCAAGGTGGATGATCCGATGGCAAAGTATCTGGGTCTGAGAAGAGGACAGGTTGTAAAGATCATTCGAAAGTCGGAGACAGCGGGACGATATGCCAGTTACCGATGGGCGATATGAACGGGACGGAAGTGGAAAGAAGAGCGTGATTTTGGGCATAGCGAGGCGTCGGGCGTGAATATCAACGCGGGACCTGTACGAGGCAAGTCAGGGTATCAAGGGCGTGGAACCTCCTCGATTGCGGGAACTACAAAAGGTACATGTATTGAGCAACGGCTGATGTCGACTCCGAACAAGCATTTCCTGCTTCGGAGCTACACGTATTTGAGGGAAAGCGAAAATTCGGAGTGTCAAGGTATCCGCCTGTCTACCAAAGTCCGCGTGCCACGGCGATAGGATAGCAAGTGGCTAACAGCATCTCTCCACCAAGGCAAGAGAAGGGTGTCTGCTCGCGCACCCTCAAAGCGGTGAACGTGGTATACCAATCTCATCAGAAACTTCGGTCTATAACGGGAAGTGTGTTATCTTGTCCTTGTCGGTCCACGTCGTAAATTGAGTGCAGCATCGGTAGAGGAGCGCGCGGTCGTGATGTGCAAATCAGCAAAGAAAAGCACTCCGCATCGCTGCAGGCCTCCTACCGTTGATGAGACATAGCCCAAGAATGAATGCCGCCGGACAGCCCTCCAGCGACAGGATTCATGTTCTCATCGATTGATCCCCAATTACGTCAAAGCCCTCGAGGGGAGGCAGAATCTTGGTGGAATCAGTCGGCGCAAGGGATCCAGTATAGCGTACCGAGGGGAGCAAGGCTTCAATAGACGGCGTGGGACCTCGGATCTCAAAACTGTGGAAAGGTAGAAGGAAGATTGTGAAATAAGTGAAATAATAGGACATCGTCTAGTCTACAGTCTGCTCCGCGTCTTTACATCATCTCGTTAAATGCGTCAATGGCCAATTTTGCTACCAGGTAGAGTCACCGGGCTGTCCTATTCCGCGCTCCTATCGCGCGGGGATTTGTGTCAAATTTGGCCAGCCAGTACGGAGAGTAATTACAGGATATATTATCCCCTACGTGGCATCCTGCTCAGGCCGCTGTTGTTGCATCCTCTGGTGGTCTCTGTCCGTAGACGAAATGACTGCGCACCCCGGTTAGCTGAAGCACAACCAACAACGCTGTGTCGGTGAGAGGTGAGTAAACTTACGCCCACTGATATGCATACAAGCTCTTGTCGCGGAAAGCTGCTCTGAGATGCGCACAGAAGACTTCAATCTCCTCGGGGCTCTGTCCCATATGGTTATGGAACCTCCTCGAGCAGAAGTCGGCAATTCCCAGGTCCAGCCGCAATTGATTCCATTGCCCAACCTCCCTCTCGTGCTTGTCCTTGGACCAGCCGCCTATCAGCCAGGGCATGCGGTATTCCGTGACATTGATGAATCCAGCCTGTTCCATCCACCCTTTCAGCTCGGCGCCAATGTCGAAGCGGGCGCTCGCTTTATAGCCGGCCTCGGTCATGAGTTTGCCCCATTGCGGGAAAGGATGGGATTCGTCGAGTTCTTGGACGGAGGAGCGGAAGAAAAGCGATGGTTCGTGTTGTTCGAACCATCCGCCAGGTCGCAGGGCCTTGAGTGCGCTGCTGTAGACGGAGAGCCAGTCCGGCGCCGTGCCCAGCAGTTCGCGCCCGTGGATCAGGTCGAACTTGTTCTCGTCGATCCACTCTACGTTGAAGTCGTCGATCTCGAAGAAGCAGTTGGGGGGAACCCAGGAGGGCTGGATGGGAGAGAGATCGATTCCTCTGACCTGAGCGTCGGGAAACTGCTCTGCGACCTCGATGCTCCAGATGCCGGTACCGGTACCCAGATCGAGGACATGTTTGGGGTTCTGAACGGGCGCGAGGAACAGGTTTCCTTTCAAGGCCAGACTCCAGAGGTGGTGACTGAGATCCTGTTGGTCTTGGGCCTTCTCGTCGTTGGGGCCCCAGTGCTCGAAGGTGCCGTAGGAGTGATATGTGCGGCCGTTCTCCTCGCGGTAGCGTGCGATGGAGGACAGGAGAGAAGTGGTGTCAGTGCCGGCGGAGGAGCCACCGTAGGCGGAGTCCGCATCATCCTCGTTCTCGTTGAAGGGCGCCAGCAGGGAAGGCGCATAGTCGCTGGCGGCTGCGGGCTCGGGAACCGGCGGCTCCGCGGGCGGCTCAGCAGGCGCGGTAGTGGGGGATGGAGAGCGGGCAGCGGTACTAGTAGTACGCGCCCCGGTGTGTGTAGATTGATGCATGTCGTCGAGCTGCGAGCGCCATCGGTGTCGACACAACAACGACAGCGCAACATGGAGGGAGATGAAGTCAGTAATAAAGGTACCATACCTTAGACCAGGACTGGGATGATGCTCCTTCACCCTTCTCCGCTGCGTGGCTGCAGTCGACGAATCATGCTCCCACACTTCCACCCTTCCACCTTCCTTCGCCTTCTCCCGTCCCGTCTCGACCTCTTAGCCGAACTAACCGGACGGATAGCGCCGGCATCTTCATCAGATGGACCGGCACACTGTGCACGGCACACGGCACCGATGATACCTTATTACCGTTACCGTTACCGTTACCGTTACCGTTACCACTGCACATACACAATACCTTACTAATGCGTGCAGCTGCTGATCCGATCACCGATGATGGCAGTGTGGCAGCTATCTTATCCGATGATGGCAACGGTGGCAGCACTGTGCAGCATCTCCGGCACCGTGACTGTGCAGCAATGCGGCTTGCAATGCGCATGCACCATGCAGACAGGCTGGTCGTGATTGCCGGTGCTGCTCAAGATTTCTCATCTGTCTCCATCCATCCATCCATCCATCCATCCATCCATCCATCCCACCACATCTCTTCTTGTCGTCACCATTCGCATGCGATTGTTGGGAGCAACACACGATGGCTGACGGACAGCATGCAAAGCCTCGAGTGCTGATAATCGGAGCCGGTACTGCCGCCACCGCACGCATGCCCCCTTCACCCAGACACTGATCCATCCATTGCTCGTCCCAGGATCGGCAGGCTTGCTGACGGCCCATGCCTTGCAGATGGCACGTCTGCTTACCATCACACTGGGTCATTATTGACCATAGCTGACTGCTTCACCATAGCAAGGTGCCGAGGTCACAGTCTACGAACAAGACGCCTCTCTACAAGCTCGCGCTCGGGACTGGTTCGTCTGCACCCGAATGCCTATGCTGTCGTCATCATCACCAGCCACCACTCACATACAATAGGAACTTCGGCATATACTGGGCTCAGGTGCCTTTGCAAGAATGTCTGCCAGAATACCTCCACAGCGAGGTCGAAAACGCACAAGTGGACGAACACCGAGCCAGCGAAGATGAAGTCATGCCCATCATTAATGGAGAGACCGGCGACGTGTTGAAAGCCGTCCCAATCCCCTATAATATCCGTCTCGCCCGGAAACGATTCCTACGCGCGATATCAAATGGCGTCGACATACGCGTATCTGCCCACAAGTCTCCCTCTTGCCACCGAATGCTAATGCACCGCACAGTTCGGCAAAAGAATCGCATCCATCTCATCCGACGGCCACGTAGCGACAGCGACTTTCCAAGACGGCACGACAGCGACAGGGAACCTCCTTATCGGCGCAGAAGGCGCTCACTCGCCCGTCCGGAAATTCCTCGTCGGACCCGAACAGGCTGCTCCTACTCCCCTGCCTCTGGTAGCAAGCGTCTGCATGGCCAAACTCCCCTCCGAAGCAGCCTTGAAATTCAGACAGTACGCCCGTCGTCTCATGGTCATCTTCCACCCCTTGGGCTACTTCAACTGGATCGGCGTCCACGACGCTCACGGCCACTCCCAACCTGGAGAATGGACCTTCATGATGATCATGAGCTGGATTCCAAACGACAGGAACTACGACGTAATGAACCTCCAAGGCGACAAGATCCTCGAAGATCTCAAAAGGCGAGCCGAAGATTTCGAAGAAGGCATCAAATTCATGTGGAAATCGATCCCCGAGGGTACGAAATGCTGGCATAATCGCCTCTCGCATTGGATCCCGGAACCTTGGGATAATCACCATGGCACCGTCACACTCGTCGGCGACGCTGCGCATCCGATGACCTTTCGTAAGTTTTTCCGTACCCTTGTTTTTCTCCTTCTCCCCCTTCTTCTTCCTCTTCTTCCTCTTCCTGTCCCTCCACCAATCCACTACATTCTCTCCTCTCCACCAACCAACCAAACCCCCCCCTCCCCCCCCCCCCCCCTTCTACTCCCCCACCAGCACCCTTTAGCTAACGAACACCCCTTCTTCTCGCCCCTTCCAGACCGCGGCCAAGGCCTCAACAACGCCATCAACGACGCCGCCCTGCTCGCCCAGAAATGCAGCTCCCACGCCTTCACCCCCGACGCCGTCCGCGCGTACGAGGCGGAAATGATCCCCCGCGCGCAGGAAGCCGTCCGCGGCAGCACGGCCAACAGCATGGACGTCCACGATTGGGCCAAGCTGGTCCAGAGTCCCCTCTTCACGCACGGCTTGACGCAGAAGTCCAAGTGAGTGAGGGAGTGAGTGAGGCGCAGCAGCATCGGAAAGGGGGGGGGGGACCATGGAGGTACTTTGTGCGCCTTTTTTTTTTCTTTGCCTTCTTTTCTCAGTGTATATGAGTCGAAAAGGTTGTCGAGTGTTCGCAATAGCGGGATGGAGGTTTAAATACTCTACAAAGAGTGTATCCAAGGAATACAAGTTGAATTCCAAGGGAGGCATGGCAAGGTAGGTGTTGTCCGGTCTCAATTGCTCTATCCGCTATGCAAACTAAGCCCAAGTAGTAGTGTTCGTTGGAGGTCAGGTAGGAGGTCAAAAGGTACATACAAGTCGTGATAGCAGAGGTATTGTGCTAGTTGCAAGCTCAAAGCAAGCAGACGCTCCAAAAAGGGATGAGGTCAGGTAAACTAGCAAAATGACAACAACAACAACAACAACAACAACAAAAAAAAGATATCAATCGCTCTCTAGTCATCGACGATCACCCCAATGTTCCACTCCGCACTTCCATCCCACCCACACTTCCTGAATCAGATCATCGTCGTCAATCGATCCTTCTCAACCATCGTGTGGAGCTTCGGTTTCCGTCCCCGACCAGGTGCGGGAACTCCTTCTCAAGCCGCCCAAAATATCCTACTTTTGAGCCTTCTTCTGCGCCTCTTCCTTGGCGCCTTGAGCCTGAGCCTTAGCCTGCTCCTTGGTCTCCTCGCCCTGCTTCTTCAACTCGTCGGCCTTCTTCTGTCCTTCCTTGGTGTACTCATCGGCCTTCTGTTGTCCCTGCTTCGTGTACTCGTTGATCTTATCCTGGCCGATTTCCTTGTATTGTTGGGCCTTGCCTTCTACCTCGCGGACATAGTCGGCGCCTTTCTTCTTGGATTCTTCGTACTTTGGGCCGAGAAAGTCGGCGACGGATTGAAAGAAGTCGGAGGCGATCTTGAGCTCGGTGGAAAGGAGGGCGAGGACGGAGGTGGTGACGCCGGGGCCGCGATTGTTGTGGCGGGCAGTCTTGGTGTATTCGTCTGTGATAGCAGGTGTCAGGAGGGGATGGAGCGAGTGAAGGGGGTGCAATTGACTTACCATGCCACGTGTGGGTGAGGTACTCGAATGGCCAGTAGACGTAGCCCTTGGCAGTGTCGATGATGGCGTGGGTGTCCTCCTTGACGATGGGGAAGTGGCTCTCAACGCCGTTCAAGCCGCGGTCAGCCAACTCGTCGGCCTTCTGGACGTATGGCTTGGCATAGCTGTATGGGGTCTCGAGGTAAGGCTGAACGGGCTTGCCGAAGCGGGAGTAGACGCCGTCTGCGAGCTCGAGGGACTTCTTTCCGTAAGGGTTCTGCTTGAAGGTCTCGATGCTGTCGTTGACGGCCGGGTAGGAGGTGAGGTGGTTGATGAATTGGCTGGACGGCTTGTCGCCGTTGGTGAGGGTCTCGGTTGCGTGAGGCATCTTGTCTTGCGGGAGGGGAGGCAGTGTTAGCAGGAGACGGATTCGGCGGGAAAGATGGCTGGAGGGGAGAGGGTGGTGTGATGTGTGGGAGAGGTGGAAAGGTTGCTGGCGCGAGTTCGGTTGTGCTTCGATTGGTCGAAGGGAGACGAGGCAGAATGTCTCTGTGTCAGATTCCCGATTCTCGTTGGGGATGTCGCCCGGGCAGAGATACAGGTGTAGCGTGAGGCAAGTGGGACGGAGGGGCGCACTTACACTGGAGATGGGAGCGAGGAGGTCTGTTGCGGTTGCTGTTTGCCGCAGATTGATGCTTCGGTTGCTTCCTACTACGCTGTTCTGGTGATGCAGAGGCTCGTCAGCGTCCGCGTCCGCGTCCGCGAAGTCGGTTCCATTGGTGGGAGCTGCACTGCTCTACATGATCCTGGAGCTTCGGTAGACGTACCTGACAACTACGGATCCTGGTGCTGTCCTGATGGGCGTACTTGGTGCTCGGGGAGGAAGGTGGGAGTGGTGTTGGAGATGGGGTGGAAGGGCGTTGGAAAGCGTTGAGGAGAGGAGAGGGTGTGCAGCGACTACCTTACTTACCTCACTGCCTACGCATCCGCTAGGCAAACCACAAACGGCCTCAAGCCTCTCAAAGGCAGCGTGGTACGCACGCTGCCGCAGCGAATCGCGCTCGGGGGCAGCTTTCACATGTCAGACAGAGCATGAAACTAGAGAGTGGGAAGCGCCATGACGTTTATCTCTCATGCCTGTCGCCGTCCCGCTCTCTGCCCTCGCGCCCAATCGGAGGGCGTCGCGGCCGCGGCAACCACGCTCCCGCCTGTGCCGCCGCCCAAATGCGTTGGAAAGTTTGGATCCCGAATCCCGTCGCCAACTTGCGCGAGAGCTCTTTATCGCTCGTCTCACCAAGGTACTCTCACTGTACTCTCATCATCGCTCCCGTCATCATCATCATCGCTCATCATCGCCGCCTCGAAACAGTGTGCGGGGCAGCCAGCCTCCGCGCCTCTGATAGACGCACGTGACTACCCCACCTCCGATCTGCTGCCTGAGTCGCTCCCCAAGTCGTTCGCCCCCATTCCCTGCGTCTCGCCTCTGCCATTGGATCCTCTCAGGAGCTGAGCCAGGTTTTGCCTCCCCAACTGCTGCCGCTTGCATGTGATGCCAAGACTCCCGGCCCACAGCTCCGTGTCACCTTTGACATGTGCAAGGGCAATCTCCCGGGAACCACGCCGAACGCCCCTCCTCGGCCACACTCCTCGGCTTGCTACCCGCATCCAGCATGTGATAGCACCTCACCTCACCTCACCGGTTCCAGTTCCTCGTATATCCTAACATCCCATCCAAATACCGCCCCACCCACTTCATCCTCAGCATTGAATAATCCATTCGTTGCCGACATGTACTCTTCCTCTGCCGAAACACGGTGTGCGGCGAACTTGGCTCCCGGTATTGCTGCACAGGGGTAAGCTCAAGATCAGCATGTGCTGTCGCCATGTTCGTGTCTGTGAAACACGACACCTTCCTTTCCGCTCTCATGCACTCCACGCATCCCAAGCTATTGATGGCGCCTCAAACAGTGGATACAATCAATGCCTCACCTTCGCTTCGCAAACGACCCCGCCCATCGTGCTGGAAGACGCATGTCTCGACCCGCACAGCTGAGTAAAAAATGCAGCTTTCGTGCCACCTACCCGTTCTGGTCCACCAGTCGAAGCGCACGGAGTGTCCTCCGCGGCAGCAGACACCTGGACTGACGGATTCGGACCACAACGGATCCGCCTGATCAGCAAACACGAATGAATCATCCCTGGGCGCACAGCATCGCGCACAATCACGAGAAAGTGGAGGGGAACCCCAGCATCAGGCCGCTGTACAGTAAAGAGTCGCGTGCTCTCTTGCTAACTTGAGCCATCTTGGGCCACAAACCCTACGGGCAGCCATCTTGGGCGTCCACAAGTCGAGAATGACGCTGCATGGCAAAAATCGTGCCGACGCGACAAGGATTCTGGAGGTTGTGCGCCTCTTTGCAAGATTTCGACAATCCGATGTAGGTCTACACAACTCTGGAACTGCGACCATGGTCCCATCTCCGGCTCAACCCGACTGCTCGCGCTGGTGACGAAAACACGTATGTCGAGACACGGCGACCTCATGCAGACGGTATCAGCGTGAGGTCAGAACAAGCATGACTGTCGCACTGGAACGCGGCTTCCCCTAATGCCGAGTGGCTTTCCATCTCATGGACTGCATGTGCTGGCGTGTTCGCTGTCATCTTCACGTCATATAAACATATACGTGGGCTGTAAATTTATTAGCGTGATAAACAAACAAGGCGGTCCGGCATTTTGGAGAGATACTAGATTCTTGCAACAGAGAAAAACGACTTTCACGAAAGAACCTTACCCCTCGCAGTGCTACCAGCACAGGTACTTGACATGCTCACACATTGAGTCTGCTGTCTCGCAGTCCGTCCTATTCCGACTCTGAGTTGGAGACGTTTGGAAAGGTAGTGTGTTACCGTAGCGAAAGCACCAGAAGATGACCCACCGTGGTCATACCTCTCAGGTCTCTGGTATTTGCCCAAGGCACGCACCTTTCACGATGACAGACTTTCCTTTCCTTTCCTTCGCCAGTACGAGGTCCTTCTACTCTACCGTCCTCTCAGCCGGTCTGGCTTTCCTCCCTTCAATAATCCGCCCAAGTAATCCTCTCTCCTCCCAACCCGGCCGCGAATGCACCGGATCACTGTCTCACCTATCCCCCTCTCCGAAGCCTCACACTCACTATCCGTCGGAGGTACAACAACGTCCCGGCATCTTCACACGGACCCCTGGGAGGATCCCGGACGTACTATAATTCACAGTATCTGTAAATCCTCCACTTCACAATACGTACATACCCGCGGCGGAATCTGTCCCGAGCCAGGTTGGAAAGTATGCGGAATGGCAACCATCTGTTCCGAAGATGACTGCTCCGGTTACCGGTAGCCGCGGGGACACGGGCGTGTAGGTGTCCGGATCTGTGTTCCGAGGAGCCGAGGGGATGGATGGTGTTGTTTCAGGTCTTTTTTTCTCTCTCGGTGGATGGCAATGGTGGTACAATTCGTAGGCGGAACGGTCCCGCGAGGTATTGGTTGATTGACGCTGTGAGCCTGAAGTAAGTACCATGCATGTTCCGTCCCTGCCGTAGAGGGCTTCGATTAGGGCTGTCATGTGTTTCATCGCATCAGTACGCTGAACAAAGATTTGGATGATAGAAAGGGGTGTAGACATCAACAGACTGAAAATGTAGACAAGATGAAAGAATGCCGTGCATTGCATTGCATCAGCACCACCAAATTGGCAGAGAAGGTAGGGTTTGAGTCTAGTCTCCGACGATAGTATTGTGCGTAGGATCGCTGTTGCGCTAATGTTTATGTCAGATACGCAAGTCTAGAAGCGTGATTCAGACTATGGCATGCCGTTCGATACGCAGCGCGCGACGCATGAATTGGATGGCTGTCATCCACACACCCATCACTCAGGGTGATCCAAATCTATCCGCCGACCTTACCACCCGCGCCTCTGTCGGAATAGAATTGACCGCCGAAAGCGAAACCGACTGCGTGGCCCAGATTCGATTTTCAACATATTGAGGGATGGAGAGACAAGTATCTTCCCGATAGGCTTGCGTCCTCGAAGGTCGTTCCAATCGACTGCTCTCTAGCCTTGGCTGATTTCCATGTATCCCTCAACAAATCCATGGAACTGCAAGCCGAAGATGTTTCCCAAGCTTTTCATTCGCGGCATCCTTCCTGATCACATTTTCCCGGCCTGGAAAGGTGGAGGAAAGCGACTTACGCAGTACACAATTCGTCAAACTTGAATACCACGCAGATTGAAGCAACACACGTGCTCGACAATGTTGCAGTAGGCCGCGGTACTTAGACTGTTTCGAGAATACGCCGGATGGAACATGACGGCCTAGACGGAACACATTCGCCACGGCAAGAGGCTGTGTGCACGCGTGAATGGTCGCGATGTTGGTTTCTGGCTAAGCTTCTTCCTGGTCCGGAACAAGAAGCCACCGTTCATCATCCGTCTCTCCTCTCAGTACAAGCCGCTCAAAAAGTCTTCTGGCTGTCGTATCATTCATGGGAGGACATACAATCACTGTGATGCCCTGTATGCAACAAGCTACGCCATGTGAAGGATCCTGTGTAGTGGATGTTCATCCTCTCCAGAGGAATGTAGCTCAAAGAGCATCAACGCAGCCCGTCTGCACATCAAAGCTTGCGAGCTCGTGGGCGCCACTGCGAGAATTCGCAACTGCAGTCCAAGGCGTGCGGGCCGAGCAATGTCGAGAAACTGCGAAACAGGACGTCCCTTTGCTAAAGCATTTGAACGATCCAGATGGATAATATTCCGCATATGCTCGAGCAAGGAATCCATCTCTTCAGACCCAGATGGACCAGTGCAGCAACAGGATTCCACAGAGCAATCATGGACCCTCAAATCATTCTTGCGATCCAGAGGTCGGAGCGGTGAGTGCATTGCTCCTCTGACTGGCAGCGGCTCGACTCTTGGAACGTTGGCAGGTTCGGGTTCAAGGCTTGCAGCATCTCGGCATCATCAGAGTCTTCGAGATTTGAAATTACCGATTTGCGAGAAGTGGTGGATTTTGGATGGAGACTCCTGTCTCCGCGGCGATCGTCAAGTGGATGCTATGCTGTTAGTAGAGGAATGACCGAGATAGACATCTCCATCATCACACGCTGTGGTCAGACTACAGCAGTGTAACATTCCAGGCCTGGTGTGATACTGTCAAGACTGTCTTGGCTGTAATCTCAGCCCAGCAGATGGCGGGCCGCGTTATTGCCCGATGTTTACTGGGGCCTGTACTACTATATATACCTTACTGTAAGGTAGCTTTTTGTTTTGGACCCTGCCAAGCCACGCCAAGGCTCTCTGTGAGTAGTGCAGGAGCGACTTACTATGAAACCGGCTTGTTCTGCCAAGTCACGCCAAGGCTCTTTATGATTGGTGCAGAAAAAAAGCACCTATCTGACCTAATGTTTAGTAAGACATACCTAACTAGTAGTGCGCGCACACATGCCCTACGAATCCTTACTTCCGGATTTCACCAACGTACAGCGGCTTACTCTCTCTTCCTACGGCTTCTATGAGGTAGTCAATGTCGGACTATAAGGTACACTTAAGCACCAGCTCGACGGGGCTCCTTCATATAGCGCGCCTATACGTATGCGTATATATATACTCTCACGCCTTATTCCGAACCATTCCTTGGGATCTCGCTCGCCGCCAAATCCCCCCTATCCGCGACTCCTACGAGGTACGGTAGTTGTAAAACGTCGGGCTAGCAGCGAGTCAGCCTACTAGCGAAATCGTAGAGGATTGTTAGGAGCGATGGTAATTAATCCTAGTAAGCCTCATGGGCTCCATGGTACAAGATCTTCTTATATCCGGGGATGAAACGAGACCTTTTTCTCTACTCTGTGTAGGACTTTTGCCGAATCCTGCCTAGTTGGCAAAGGTCGGCTTACCTTGGACCTTAGCTTTCTCGTGTTTGTGGAATTCACCGTCGAGGGAGAGTATAAAGGTCGCCTCTTCTTCACCCTTCTTCGAGTCGTATCATCATAATAGCAATCATCGTTACAGCAATCCTCATTACAGCTATCCTCATTACAGCAAACCTCATTACAGCAACCCTCATTACAGCAATCATCATCACAGCAATCCTCAATCACAGCAATCATGCAGATCTCCATCCTCACCATCATGACTCTCGTCTCTGCAGCCACCGCGAAAACGTACTGGGCCAGGCAATGCAACGCGGAAGGTCTTGCGGACTGCAAGGCCCAGGGCTCTTGGGGTTGCGCTACCACTGGGGAAGGAGACCTTTTCGGCCCCAACTGCGTCATTCAGACTACGGAATGCAATAGTGCATGCAAATGGTCGTTCGCTTACCAGAAGGATGCGTAAGTACTACCTAGTGTATAGTAGTTAAGCATGAACTAGATGCTAATTTGTTTGCAGGAGCTTCGATACCAGTTGCATTTGCACTAGCTCCGATGCTAGCCAGCCTTACTAGTGATCGTGACCGAGGGACGATGGCGTTATAAGCGATGCGGTAGAGGTGGATCAGGAGCGATGGCGTTAGGGGCGATGCGGTAGAGGAGAATCAGGAGCGATTTTGTTCCCAGCAGCTTGATATACTCCCACACCGAAACACCCAGTCTCAGTACAGTAGCCTTTGTATCGGTCTCATTCGTCCATGTGCCAGCGAATCGAGCATTTCAAGAACCTCGTTGTGTAGACCAAGAGCGGTACGCAGACTTCTGGGGAAATCTCTTATGCCAGCCCGGGGTCAGACACTACTTCTTCCCTTCGCCAGACTTCGAGATCAAAATAGACGTCGAAGATGCCGCAAAAGACAATACGTCCTATCTTCTGGTTTTCTCTTGTCGTACTTTTGGCAATCCAATCCAGCTTTTCCTCCAATGCGGACTTCTCCAGAGCCACGAATGCACCGAGAGGGCTGAGCCCTGTGAGAGCCTCCTTGCGAATGCCTGTGATATTCGAGATCAAATCACTCAGATTCGGTTCTCTCCCGCTGCACGTACATTTGACCCGTCTCTGCATTCGTGTGCGATGATATCCCACCCATTCGCAATCAAGAACAACCAACCATGAAAGTGGCGAGGAGCTCTTGTGATGTCCAAAAACACGGCTGAATCAACTCCTTTCCGAAAAGTGGAGGTTGTAGTAGCGGTTCGGGACCTCGGAGGCATAGGGCGTACCAGACTTCGGCGGCTCGGTACCACTTGTTGAACATCGAACTCAGGGGCTCTGGAAGCTGCGAAAGGTCTCGTTAATCGATGCATGCCGCGTCGATCCACAACCAGTCGCAAGGCCGGTCCGGTGCACCAATCCGCGCAGCTCGAGAAGCGGACCAAAGGTGCTTCTTCCGGGCAAGTTCGCAGGAATGTTGTACTCTCGGATAGCCTAGTGAGCTCGTGCTCTCTTGCCCTTTCGGGAATTCCTTAAACACGTTGTGCCCGCTCTCGCCCCAAAGGTGCGATGCGATCGCATACGGTGGGGGATTGTTGTCGTTGAAAAGGGCTGAATTCGAGTGTGATGAATACGTTCAGAAGTCTTATTGTGATCGGTCGATGTACAGAAGTCAGTAGTAGCACGACTTTGAAAACTGAGGTTGCTGGTCGCAGTGGCGCAAAGGGCACGAGTCCAGCGGTGTGCCTTCGAATCATCTTACGAGCTAATAAGAGCTGTTGTTGTCGACAGTCGTGGACGTAGGGTAGCGTGCAGATCCGAGAGAGAGAAGCTGCCCTGGCACTCAGCCTCAGGGTACTAGTGAACCTTGGCTCGCAGTTGACTGCCGCAGCGCTAAAGACGTATGTGTTCTCATTATCCCGTGCGAATGTCAGCGTTTGTCTTGGAATTCAGGAGCCAATGAAGGTGGAAGGGGGCACACCTGTCCAACTCGCCTTGCGTGGCAGAGCGACTGCCATCGGGAAGCGCATGTCGTGTCGCAGCTGAACTGTCGAGTTGTCTGTCATGGTAGCTGCATGAAGCCTCTTTAGTCAAAGTCCCACCATGTAGACCGAAAGAGAATACTGGACTGCTTTTGCGTGCCTCTGCCGTTAAGATTCTCTTGCAAACCTGTGCTGTCGATATACATATCGCCGTACCGTTCGTCCAATGAATATCTGTCCCAAACAAACGCCGATCGTGTTGACGTGCAATGCCCGCGTCGCAGGAGGAAACACGTCAACTATAAGCATCCCTCGGACTGCCTCGCCGACTTCCCTCTCCATTCTTGGGTTCGGTAGGCATCGGCAAAGGCTCCACTTCCCTCAACGTCTGCCCATCCAAATGATCTGACGAGTCCTTTCCACTCACATGCACATCTTCACCAATCTCTTCGTCCTCCATCATCCTCTGCCTCTCGTCGTCAACCTCTTCACCCGCAACCTGCTGGTATCCTTCACCTTCACCCTTCTTTTTATCCATGATGAAGTTGTCGATGAGCCAGTATTGCACCGCGTTCATGGCCAGGGGGAAGACAAAGAGCGCGAAGGTGATCTGAAGGGCTTCGTTGCCTTCGGTCCAGCGAAGAGCCCAGTCGCCGATCCAGGGGAGCCAGGGCATAGTAAGGAAGAGGAAGAAGACGAACAACTTCATTCCGACCAAACCAATACAGTAAATGAGAAGTTGCCTGAGGTACCAGTTGACTCTCGCTGGGTTGCCGTAGTGACCTGACTTGATCGATTCGGGTGGATTCGCGAGGGGAGTGCGGAGGAAGATGAGGTAGAGCACTTTGAGGAGGAACCAGAGTACTGGCACTCCAATCGTGGTCTGTCACCAACACGTTAGTATCTTGGAGATGCTCAGTAGATGTTGCAACTTACATCGATTCCCAGGTTGAGCAGGTAAAAGGAGCACGGATTCGGCGATCGTCGCCCTCCGCTATGGCTGTCCGCGCTGCCGGTGGAAGCAACATGCTGAGCAGCATGAACCATATCCGCGCTACCAAGCATGCTCATGGTCAAGTTGATCGCGTGTGTGAGCATTGATCCCAAGACCTGCTTGCTCACGTCGAAGAAGAAGATCTTCCAAGGCCGCTTGGGAACTTCTCGCCATCGCTTCCACACGAGCGTGAGAAGCGCTATGCCTCCCAGAGCACCCTGTACGAGCAGCGCGAAAGGGCCCAGCAGATGACATCTAGCCGGCCGTGGAGGGGGATCCGTCGGTTTCCCAGGATGTTTCGGGGGCCCTGCCTCCAACAACCCTTCCTTGTCCTCTACTGCCTCACCCTCTGGCTTGGTAGGCGGCGCAGTAGCAATCGAAAAGCTCTCCTCTTCGGTCGTTGTAGGCGCTGGAGCAGGCTCACTTGACAGCTCTACAATATCGACCAACTTCGTTTCGAAGACCAGCGTAGACTTGGGTGGAATAGCGGCTCCAGCTCCTCTATCTCCATACCCTAACTCGGGCGGTATCTTCAACCTCCTCGCTTGCCCTATACACATATCCAATAGTCCTTCTTCCCATCCTTTGATAACCTGCCCAGCGCCTAGCGTGAATTCGAAGGGTTTCCCACGCTTATAGCTCTCATCGAACTCTGAGCCATCAGACTGTAGTGATCCTCTGTAGTTTACTGCTATCTTGTCGTTATTTCTTGTAGGTCTGTCGCACGTCACTGGTCCGCTGATGGATTCGATTTGAAGGCCGTCGGGGAGCGTCTTTGTGAGGCCCTCGTCGGGCAAGGCGACGACGGAGGAGATGAGGATCAACAGCACCGACGGAAGCGCCGTCAAGGGTCGCATGATTGCGGAGATGTGTCGTTGGTCGTGTTATGACATGTAGGAAGGATGGAGACTGTAAGGTATTCTGTCGAAAGCTGAAAGTGGCGTCACAGGGCGTGGTTGGTTGGCGCCTGGACGTGGGACCGGCAAGGAGCGCGTGGTCAGCCGGCCGGAGCCCAGTCCGCTTCTTAGGCGAGGCGAGGTCTTTCTGTGTTTCTGTATGAAGGCTGAAGACGACTCAGTGGTGGCTTCTTTTACGCCCAATATAGCTCGTCTCGTCTCATCGAAGCATGAGATTTGAGTTTCACGGTGCATAAGGTACGTAATCGATGAAGTGATGATACTTTAATGTCAATAATCTCATCACACCTGACTTTTGGCGCCGGTGCTTTTTCTGTACGAATATTCTCAGTGGATCGATGAACGACAAGTATACTGGCCACGTGCTACCGAGCCACAAATCCGCCGACATTTCTTCTCTAATCAGCCGCATTGGCAAATATCACCCGCGATACGCCCTTTTTAAGCTTCCCCCAAGCCGGTGACATTGTGCGGAAGACATCTTGCCACTCTCTCATTCATTGGGACATCACGAAGGTTGGCCTTATGGTTATCTCTAAAAATACATCATGTCACATATCTCGTCTGGCCAACCAAGTCGTTGCCTTCATTGACTCTTTGAGCGCCGATAGACCACTGGATAGTCATATGCGACGTCTTCTCGGCCAGCGACGTCGAGGCATACGGAAATTGCAGTCGGACTCATCAACTTTGATGAGTCCCCATCTCCTTATTGATGAGGGCTCACTAACTGCGTCACTGGTGTCGCCCCCTCTCTCGGCTGGCAGCTGTCCCTACCACCAACCATCACGAACTGCAAAATCACAAATGCAGAAGCCTCATCGACGTGGAGTGGCGGTATGACCAGTCATGGCTACAGAGATGTCCGATTTACACACTCGTCGGCGCCCAGCATATGAAGAGGGCAGCTGATCTGGGGCTGAGTGCAAGCGAGGAGGCCGCATGAGTACAACACCCAGTGGCTGAATGTTTGCAGTGTGCTTTGGAATCTACACATTCGACTCGATCAGAGCCTTGGAACGCGACAGAACAGTGCTGTGGATCCTTTGAGTGCCTTCGATGTGGCTGGCACAGTCATACAAGTCGTGAACCTCTCGGCTAAGCTTGCTATAGGGGTGTTGTGTATAGGAAGTTTCAGCGGCCAGGGCGACAGCAGAGAATCTTGAAATTACAGATCCGACCATCCGCTTGCGAGACCTACTTGGACGATTCAATCCTACAGCCCGGACATCCCCAGACCGGTCCACGCATGATTAAGATCCCTTGGCCTTGTGTAATCAGGGCAGTGAGATGACGTCGGACATGAGGAACTCCTCTGCAAGGCGCTGTTGCCTGAAGGAGAGTTTTACCCATCCGACACGACAAGAATCACCACGACTTGTAGCGCTTTTGGGCCGACACCGCGGTCTTATGCATGATCAAAGCTTGGCGGAAAATGTGCAAGATGCCAAGGACGTTATCAACTATCGCCATTGCTCCAAGCTTGCCACGAAAACCACAGCGCCAACAATGATTGGTGTTCCCTTGATGGATGAAGGAACTGTGGTAAATGCCGCTAAGCTCGCAATCGACGAAAGCATTGGACATCGAGTGGATCCGACACCTCGACGAAAGTCCACTTCCCACATGCTTGGACTCGGCAGACATTCGGCGGCAGAAAGCATGAGAAAGCTGCTGGAACATCACTATTTGCTGATCTAGCCGCCTCGACACGTCCTCCTAAAACACGCGCGAGACGTATGACAGCACGATCCATTTCAGTCGCGCCCTTTGATGCAAAGTCAGGATTTGTTCTGGTTGTCAGTCGTGGTATCGGTGGTCTGGAGAGGGCAAGAAAGGTCGTGGAACCAATTGCAGCCCAACCATGTCAGGATGTAGTACTTGTCACCAGGCACGGCGCTACCGTACCATTCGAGACGAAAAGCATGATACGAGATCCGAGCAATGTTTTCGTCCTCTTCTGGTCTTGCTACAGGGAAAGAAGCCATATCCTTCCTCTGGGTGTTGGCAAAATGGGATCGCGGCTCAGAATCTTTTACCGCAGGCTCCAGGCAGAAGTCCCGCCTCCCCTGCTGCTATGTTTAAGCTTTCAGAGTAACAACGCTGTGCAAGATGAGGTATGCTTGTACGAACTTTGTCAAAAGAGAAACTTCGCACAAGAGCTTGTTTCCAAAGTACATGGCGGTCTCGCTGTGACTTAGCATCCGACTTCACTAAAAGTGCCTCGGGAAGGGATTATCTACTGCCGACGCACAAGTTGCTGGCCATTTTGACGTTTCAATCTAGCCGAAGGCGCTGTTGATCTACCACAACAGCCTGTGCGCTGCGTGCCAATACCAGACTGCGGAGTTATCAGCATCGAGGTGAGCACGACACTCAGAGGCGATCTTCGCAGGTGCGTCCCGTCGGTGGGCAAAGACGATGGACAAAGATGGAAGGACATCACAACCTGCAGATCCCTCTGTGCAGTACATGTACGTGCTTGAGTTGTCATATTCATCTTCTATCGGGACAAACCAGGAGCACACCTCTCGGCTGCGTGCAACTTCCAGCAACTTGCTTGGTAGACGCCGATCGAGAAGCAAACTTGTTCTCCACTACACTCATTACCGCGAGTCTCAGCACGAATCTTACCAAACACCTTTCCCCAAGCTGACGACAATCATGCATCTCATCTGGCAAGTCTTAGCTGCGACGTGCCTCTTCACTACAGCCCTTGCAAGCACGCCCGAGAACATCTTCCAGCGAGCCGAGCGGATACAACGCCAAGCGCTTGAACGACATGCCCATGCCCTTCACCAACGAAGCGCTCCTCCCCAGTACAGTCATCAACGCCCTCGCTTCTTGACCGACAAGACGGCGCAATTCGCAGTCGATGGCAAATCCGTGCCAGATGTGAACTTCGACCTCGGAGAATCCTATGCCGGCCTCCTCCCCATCTCTGACCACGCCAACGAGACGCGAAAGCTCTACTTCTGGTTCTTTCCCGGCTTCGACGCTTCGCGCAAAGAGGTAACGACTTGGTTCAATGGCGGCCCGGGATGTTCCAGCTTGGGAGGCCTCATCACCGAGAACGGTCCGTTCACGTGGATGCCGGGCACGTATTCCCCGACGCAGAATACGTACGACTGGAGAAACTTGACGAATATGCTCTGGGTGGAGCAGCCGATCGGCGTTGGATTTACCCAGGGCCGATCCGACATTACCAACGAGTACGAGCTTGCGGAGCAGTTTGTGGGGTTCTACGAACAGTTTGTGAAGACATTCGACCTTGAAGGTTGGGATGTCTATCTGAATGGAGAGAGCTATGCTGGGTAGATGTGGTCTTAAAAGAAAGACTTGACGACGAAGCGTGAGCTGATTAGCGGCCTATACAGCTATTATGTCACGTACGTCGCGAATGAGTTCATCCAGCGCGACTGTCCGCACATGCCTCTCAAGGGCATCGCAATCAACGATCCAATCATCGGAGGTCCAGATGGAACCACCCAACTGGCTGCCACGATCGTGCCATTCGTGCAGTACTGGCAGAACGTTCTGAATCTTAACGAGACCACTCTCACAAATCTGTCCGCTCAACATCAGCGGTGCGGCTACGCTCACTACCTGGAGAGATATCTGACCTTTCCCCCACCGCAGCAAAAGTTTCCCGAGCTTCCGAATGCATTCACTGCCAACAGCACCTGTGATACTTTCGACACGAGCTTCCATGCTATCCTAGAGATCAACCCCTGCGCCAGTGTCTATCATATCACCGACTACTGTCCCTTTCTATGGTCGGTTAATGGACCTATCAACCGGTGAGCATTCTTCACCTGACTTGTGATTTCCAGGCACTGATGTAAGATTTTATTTTAGGGGATATGACCCAGCGCCCAAAACAAAATACTTCAATCGAACAGATGTGAAGCGCGCCATCCATGCACCCCTCACGACCAACTGGAGCATCTGCACGCACGAAAGCGTGTTCCAAGGGCCACATGGAAACAAAACCGGCGAGGACCAGAGTATTGGACCGGCTCAGAACGATGTCCTCCAGACGGTCATCGAGCACACCAACAACGTGATCATCGGATGCGGCAACCTGGATATTCTGCTGGGCACCAACGGCACGCTTCTTGCGCTGCAGAACGTTACATGGAACGGGATGCAGGGCTTGCAACAGTTCCCCGGCAACGACTTCTACGTGCCTTACTATCCGGCTTATAACCCGGGCGCCGTCGCGGGTGGTGGTACTCTTGGGAAGTATGGGACTGAGAGGGGTGTCACTTTCTATCAGGTTCAACTTGCTGGACATCAAGTGCCCGGGTACTCTCCTGGAGCCGCTTTTCGAGTGATGGAGTTGCTACTGGGACGTATCGATAATTTGGGTCAGAGAGGGTCCTTCTCGACTCAGATGGGGAACAGCACTTATCGCTGAGAGTCGGTTGGCGGGAAACACACGCGAATGCTTTTCGGTATTTCGTAGATCGCAAGACCGGCACCGATGATGGGTACATGTTTGGGTTGGGATTCTCCATCCATGGTTGCTTCTGTAACATTTGGATTGCTGAATCGTGAGCATTTCAACGAGCTGCGGTAATGTTTCCAATCTTGAAGCTCGTGGAAGGATTCTCACACCGTCTGCTCAAAACGAAGCATGAGAAGAGGATGGTTTGTAGCTCGAGGTCGCATATCCGATAGGAGCTTTGCGGGCTCTCGTTCATGACTAATTGTCCTGCTGAGCGTCGTCACGCATGCAATCTCACATGTGATTGGTACGTTAGCTCAAAGGGTGAAGGGTGAAGATGTCGGCGAAATCTTTGGGCAATTCCAGGTTGATGTCGAGTGTGAGTCGAGAAGAGAAGAGAATGGAAGGTGGTCAAGCCTGTGGAGTTTGTCCCAGTCATTTCCGGCGCGCCGCATTTTGCATCCCTGTCTCCAGTCTGCAACAGCGCGGACAGACGGGAAGCTCCCGTATCTTTTTACACTCCGATGCATGTGTGCATGTGAGGACGCTGTACCTCTACATGTACAGTAACCTTCTTTCGACTTCGTCAGGTGATCATGGTCGATGACACCACACACTTAATCACGGATCCATTGCGGGAAAGAAGTCATCCTCGACGTCTCATTCATCCTACCAGGTTTTCGGGGGTGGACGATGACAGCGCTTCTGGAAGCCAGAAAGGCCTACGACCAAGAGCGTTGAATCAGGAGCTGCAGGCACTTTGATCAACGGATATCGCTCTGATGGATGCTGCTAGTAGAGGGAAGGGTCCTCCACATGAGCTCTGCCGTAGCTGCAGGAGTGAACTCTCTCCATCAGCTCGATATGTACTGTGCGCCCATGAGGCAGCTTCTGACTCACTGCTGGCTGCCAACATTCCACAAGGCAACGAGGAAATGGCATTCCATGGGTAGTTAACATGCACGTCGCCCTACATGGAATTTCTTCCTATACAACAGCCGTATCTTGCAAGATGATGGGCTTTTGCATTTCTCCCTCGATCCACATGTTCCGAAGCCAGGCAACACAACCACATTCACCGCTAATGGTACAATAATATCAACACACCTCTCTCCGATTAACCAGAGAGGCAACTAAACCACATTCACCGCTAATGGTACAATAATGTCAACACACCTCGCTCCAATTAACCAGGGAGGAAGGCTCCAGACTCCGCGCAGTGATGGGTATCATAAAACAAGCTCGCCGAGGCACTAATCGCTGCATCCGGATCACACGGTCGCATCTGTCGGCGATTGCGTTGATGGCACGACTAGCGGTGGCGGACGTCGACATGCTGCTTGGTTCCGCTTCGATGTACAGCTTCGTGGACTTGTCGCAGGCGGGTTCGAACAGTATCGTTTCATCCGGAGAGATAGTGAGTTTGTCTCTCGACAATAGCCTACGGCGCAGACAGTAAGGTAAGCTTGAGCCGGGCCAATTCCCGCGATTGGCCAACCTACCACATCGTTCAGTCGTGAGATGTTCATGTCGGCGAACCTTCAAAGGACAACACTTGTGGGAGTCCGTATATTTCGAACCTGCAGGAGCCGTGTCAGTACATGAACCGTCGCGGACAAGTGGGTGGGCATTAGAATATACTCACACCAACACAGGACGCAGAACCGCAGGTGGCCGCATTGATACCTGACCTCGACGTGTTGACACATGGTGGTTGTGGACTTCACCAAAAAGCACCAGTCCCGCGCAGACGGTACTTATATCACGACGTGATAAGACCAGCGGCGGGCGACGGCATCATCTTTTAGTTGCGCGAGTCTCACACACCCGTCTTATCTATTACAGGATAGTTTCTACATGGCGCTCGTAAGGTTTCCTTTAGGCTTGCCGGGGTTCTTCGCGCTATGCTTGGTTCTAAGCCGGCATGTGAATGCAATGGCGCTGAAAAGGAAGACGTGCATCTCACCTTCGACACGTGGGAAAATCGGTCCGGCCAGATCAGATTGATTGCGTCTTGAGGGTTGTTTCACGGCTTCCAGAGCGCCGCACACGCTCTCATCATGCTCTCGGACCCTGACAATCGCACTGGCCAAATACAGCGTGAGTCTAACACCCTTCTCCCTAGTGTCCAACTTCCTACCGCCGGGGTATTTGAAATGATGCCATCCCGCTCTGCTACTCTGCTGCTTCCTCGGAGTCTCCAGCAAATTGGAATCTGCTGTAGTCGATTGGACCCGAGGGCCTGGTGCCTGGATGACCGGGCCCGCTTCCCCTAACGGAGCTTGAACGAGCGATCGGGTCCTTTGGTGCACGCTAATCACAGGTACGTACCTATCATATGCTTCTTGCTGCTGCTGCACTGTGCCGCGTCTTCTCTTTCGTGCATGCGGTGCAGCAAATGCACAGGATTGCTCATCATTGCTCGTTTGCAGCTGGACTCGGAGATTGTCGGTCATTCTTCCTTTGTTGGGAGGTGCAGAAACATAGCCCGGCCGAGGAAATGGAATGGAATTGCTCTGGCCCAGCACACCAATTTCGGATCTTACCAACGGCTTGGCCATGACGATCCTGGTGCCGGTGCGCCGGTGCGGATCCCGCTTTCTCCATCTGGACGCCCCACATATCGTGTCTTCGATACATCGTGGCATCCGATAGATACATCATTGCTTGCGCGTGTGCTTATCTCATGGTGAGCAGAGCAATCGATCTCGCATTGCGGAACTTCGATCGCGCGGTGTGCTGAGAGCCCGCGGGAGGTGCATCGGAGCGTCGGAGAGTTGGGAGGGACTCGTGCGTGACAGGCTCCCTGGTTGCCTGGCAGCAGCTAATGCAATGCGACCGAGGCTGGAGCTCTACAGTATACGCCAGGGGGCACTCGCTCATCAGTGCCAATCCATCTCGCAAGTTGCGCAGGGAAACCACTAAACTCGGCATCTGGTCGATCCAGGCCCTTCTCGGCAGTCAAGGAAAGTGGTCTGAGGTGCGTTCGACATCACCAGGCACAAGGCAGGCTCCACGACTTCGGCCCGTCCAGGACAACTCCGGTCTAGAAATCGAGACACGCTATGGCCAGTCCCTTAATACCGACTGAGCATCTTATTATCAGCACCGGTCGGACCATCTGGCCAGTCTTGTCATCGCCGCGATAGCGCTAGAAAGATATTCCTCTAGAATCCTTCTGGCCTGGAACAAAGCGAGCGGCCCCCGCGATGAGCCGTAATAATGCATGCAAGTGAAACCCCTACTTACTAGCTTCCTACGACCACGTGGGAAAAAGGCGGACCCATACCATGTGCTATCGCCTTCCAGCTTTATACCGAGTTCAGCAAACCCATGAAGCCCAGAGAAGCGAGGCAACGCGAAGCGAATAAGGGACTCCCGGAAACCCGGCCATCTTCTGCCCGCGAGACATTAATAACGAAATTCCAAGAATTGTGCGTGTGACGCTTGCTTGTTGGGTGAGAACTAATAGGAAGATGAAGAGCCAGACCAAGCCCGGCCAAGCCTTTCACTCACCACCGCGAGCGAGCGAAAGCATACACCACCACAGGCGATGCATCTGCCCTTCTCGTGCTAGCCTCCGTCCCCGCCGCCACCGTCGCCTTCTTTCTCATCCGTCCACGGCCGTGGCATGACTGTCGAGTGGCGTCCATTTCCAGGAAAGCCCAAAGAATCCACGACCCGAAACCCCGCCGAGCGGTTTCTCTATCATAAAATGCCAGGCCAACACTGATGATTCGAAGAATGATTGCTTGCTTGCTTGCTATATATCTAGGAACGAAAGAAAAGCAAAATTCTCAAAGGAAATTCTTGGGGATTGGTTTTGGTACGGTATCTACGGTACTTTTGATAGATACCTCGAGATCATCATTTCAAAGGCGTTTTTCGTTGAAACTGATAATGAGCGCTTGAATGTCCTTTTTCTATTCAGAGGAAGGAGAGGTGGTAGATGGGTACATATTATTAGCAGACAGCACACATGACCTCTATTCGAATGTATGCCGGTGAACGGGACCGTTTCGCAAACCGCCGTCTTGCTGACTGACCCCTTTTTCTATGCATTCGATTTCGAGAAGAACCGGGCCGATACCGCCCTTCTCCATCGCTTCCAAAAGATTGACAGTCGAAAATGATTTATCCGCAATCCCCGACAATCATCTAACATGCGAGAAAGCAGACCCATTGCCCAGAATGTCAGCCTCTTCTTCGTTTCCCTTGCTCGCCAGTTCAATGTGGAATGTCTCACACAAGGCCCGCGCGTGGGAGGTATCGCCACGTGGCCGGCCAATACGAATGGCAGGAACCGGACTCCCTGATTCGGCAAATAAACGCGATATCCGACGCGTTCACGGGGGGAGATCTGATAAAAGTGGCGTCTTACGGGTTATCAGATCAAACATCAAGTTTCGCCCAGCTCAGCCTGTGCACTGGTCACGGATGACTTATGAAGACGCTCACCGCCGAAAGAACGGAACAGGGCACGCTGCAAGCAAGCACGCGAATGTGCGAATGGCACCATCTCTCCATCTTGCCCCACTCGGCGGGCCTCTCGCTTTCCAGCGCTCCGGGCTCGCCTATCGAATGACCCAAAGAACTGAATGAGATAGCCAAGATAGCCATTCCAAGTGAACGTCGCTTTGGCCCATCACGGTCATCAATTTTCGCTTGACGACACTGCTCCCTCCACAAGAAGACGTCCTGACTGAATATCAAGCAAGTGCGGGCCGGACTTTCTCACACGCCATGGTCAGGCGACGACTACTACTTCGCCGCCTCGACCAACTTCTGAGCCATCTCCACGAGCGTGCGGCTCATGACTTCCATCTTCCCCCCAAACAGCTCCAGACAGTCTTCCTTCTCGTACGCGGAACAGTACGCGCCACGGAACCCGACTTGTCTCGCGGCACTGACATCCCACATATGCGCCGCAGCAAACCACTTCTCATCATCCGCCCCAAACTGCTCAAAGACCGGCCGGTACGCGGCCAGCGCAGGCTTCGCGACGCCCTGAGTGTCGCAGCTCACGAACCGGTCCGCTGGCATCTCGACGCCTCCGCGGTGGAAGTAGCCCTGCACTCGCGCCGTGTCTAGATCGAGCATAACATCAGCATATCAGCATCCCAGAGCGCCCCCAACACATCGCTAACGAAACGTCTCGCACACACCTGCCGTGGTCAAACACCAGACCTCAAAGCCTCCCTTCCTCAGAATCTCAATACACTCCCTCGCCCCTTGCCTCAATTCCAACAGACTATAACCTTCCTGACACTTCTCCCTCTCCGCATCACTAAACACCTCCCGCGGCTCCTCGATTCCCGCCATCCAGAGATTCCGATAGAACATCGCTTGCATCACATTCCTGTACGCCGCATGTCGCTCGCTCATGGAGAGGAATGTGAATTCGAGCTCCGAATGCGTCATCCACGTATATCCGAAGAGTCGGGACGGAATGCCACGTTCGCGGAGTTTGGGACCGATGGTCTCGTCTATGCGTCTGTAGAAAGCATCGAAGCAGACGAGGGTTCCGACTACGTCGAAGACGACGTGTTTTTTGTGCGGCATGTTGACGGTTCTGCGATGGGGGTTGCGAGAATGTTTTTCTCTCCCGTCCGATTTTCCCTGGTGCTGTACCTGCGTTCACAAACCTCCAGGCCATCAAGGTGGCCACAGCAGCAAGCTGCAAGTCATCGCTCCTCAAACGGCGTCATAGCTCCGGCCAAGACGTTTTCCGGTGCTGCGGCCAACAAGTGGAGGTCGATAGGCCACTGCCATATTATCTAGTGATAGGGAGACGGAAGTGAGAAGTCGGGCTAAAGATGAAACGCGGTTGAGTTTCAAATCACGCCCGCCCGTGGAACCCACCCGGGACGATTGGCCGAAATCGGCTTCGCTTCGATTCATTCACCCAACACCCACTAGCGTCCACATTTGACGAGCAAATCATCCTTTGAGACCTCTCATGCCCATGCCCTTCACATGCTCCTCTGCTTTTTGGCCAGCCTTTCTCCGTACCCCATCTCTCCGGCAGCCGACATGGCTCGTTTTTCATACCAGACATATTATTCCTTCTCAGCGATTCGAATCAATTCCTCGGAAGAGTACACATAAGGAATCATCTCCGCCTCCATTCTTTTCATCATACACCGCCTCTCGCCCGATCGGCAAGCTCACGATGGCAGGCATCTCCCTCCCTCATCCGCTGCATCACCCACCACAGCACGAGCCTCTCTCTCGAATGACGAGGCCTCGATCTCGTTCCAACTCCTTCGACAATCCATCCCAAGCCTTTCGGACCCATCAACAAGTGAATGGCGGATCAATACACTCTCGTGGTGGAAAAGAATGAATACCATTCTCTTATTAGACGGGTGTGTACACCACTCAGCTGACATTCGCAGCACGATAAGTCGTGACTTTCTGATACCCTGCTGTGTCTCCACGTAGTCAGCGGAGTGGACTGTGCGACGGGAAATGATTGCATAAATTGATGGAGGGATAGAATGTCGACCAAGTGATCATTCGTCGCAGAAAGGGAGCTAAGAACAAAGACATCAGTCCATCGGCTTCTGAAATGCAGAAGTCCTCGTCAGTGGTATCCCGCGTCCCTGTCTATGCCTTGACCAGAAACGCCCATATCACCATCGCTGATGCCCATCTATCTCGTCTTGATGCTCTATGCCTTCAGTCATGACCCGCTAGTTAGCTTTCACCCTCGCCGGACGAGCGCGTGAGCTTGGAGTCGCCCCTTGACCGCACCTTCAGCACGATCCCCTCTTCATCTTCATCATCACTATTCAAGAAATGAAATGTTAGTCTTAGTTTGACCTCAAGAAATCTATTTGAGAACCAGCACACGCGAGGTACCCTTACTTCCCCAGTTCGCTCTGCTTGGTCGTCTGGTTGTCTGAGACCCCATTGGCGACTTGCTGTTGTTGACTGGAGGACTGCGCGCCTTCACCGTTCTTCTCGACGGTGTTCGCAGGGTCCATTAGGCTCTGGCGGCGGACTTTGAGCTTGTGTTCGGCCTGCTCGCTGATGCGAGTAAGTTCCGACACGAAGCTCTCTCCCCACCAGGCCGAGGTGTACTTGTTGACGTACTTGGCGAGCTTCTGGTAGTTCAGAGCTCGCTGCTCGTCGCCCATGGTAACGGCATCATGAATGGAATCCGCGAGCTCCTCGGTGTTCCAAGGGTTGACGACGAGGGCACCATTCAACGACTGTGCAGCACCAGTGAATTCCGAGAGGATGAGGGCACCATGGCGCTCTTGCTGGCAAGCGATGTATTCGTAGGATACCAGGTTCATGCCGTCACGAGTGGAGCTGACCAAGCAGACGTCGGAGATGGAGTAGAGTGCCGTGAGTTCGTCGAAGCTGACCGACTTGTGCATGAAGTGGATCGGCATGAACTCGATCGTGCCGAACTTGCCGTTGATGCGGCCGACGAGCTCGTTGACGACGGCGCGCAGGTTTTGGTACTCTTCGACGTCCTGCCGCGAGGGCACGGCGACCTGAACGAGGACGACCTTGCCGATCCACTCGGGATGCTCAGTTAAGAAGACTTCAAGTGCATGCAGCTTCTGCGGCACACCTTTGATGTAGTCGAGACGATCCACGCCGACGATGATCTTGACACCTTCAAACTTTTTCTTGAGGGCGTCGATACGACGAATCACGTTGTCCTTTTCCATGGCCTGTGTGAACTTGTCCGGATCAATGCCGATGGGAAAGGCGCCCACCGTAACCAGCTTGCCCTGGAACTCGACGCCATTGGGCGTTGTCGGCAGGCCGAGAATGCGTGCGCACGATGAAAGGAAGTGACGGGCGTAGTCGTAGGTGTGGAAGCCGACCAGATCACAGTGAAGGACACCTTGCAAGATCTCGTTGCGTACTGGCAGGATGCGGTAGATTTCAGACGACGGAAATGGCGTGTGCAAGAAGAAGCCGAACTTGACGTTCTTCGGCTTCGACTCGCCCCGGTTGAGCTCTTCCCGGAGCATTGCAGGGAGAAGCATCAGATGGTAGTCGTGGATCCAGACGAGGTCGTTGTCTTGCACGTCACGAGCAATCTCCTTGGCGAAGAGTCGGTTGGCCTCGACGTAACCATCCCAGGCAGACTCGTCGAAGGTGATCTCACCCGGGTGGTAGTGGAACAGAGGCCAGAGTATACTATTCGAGAATCCGTTATAGTGGCGGTCGGAGAGCTCGTCAGACATGAAGATTGGCACGGCATTGAACTCGTCGTCGAGGCGCTTCTTGACGTGGCCGATCTCGTTCTCGGGTACTTGAACGCCGGGCCAGCCGTACCACTGGAACTTGGTGGTCTTTGCGAGGCCGGAGAGACCAGCAACCAGACCGCCGGAAGACATGGAGAAGTCGTAGTGGCCCTCGTCGGAGCGCTTGATGGTGATGGGGAGCCGGTTCGAGACTAGCAGCAGTCTCCCCTTAGGAGAGGGCTGGTCGTCGCCGAGGGAAGGCATGGTGCTGAAGCTGACGGAACCTGAGGGAGAAACGGTCAGTTGGATGTCTTCGGAGTCTGATGAGTCTAATGATATCTGGAATGTTTGGCGCCGGCCACCTTTCTTGCCCACGCGGCCATTCTTCCTCGAAGTATCGTGCATGACTGAGGGCTGCAGGGAAGTGGTGGGTGTAGGGTCGGTGGCGCCCATGGCTGTGATATATAAGGAGGAGGAGAAGGATCTGTGGTGACTTACTTTTTTGGGGGTGTAGCGAGAATGAAAATGCCAATGTTGTACCTGCGGCGGCGCAGCGACCGGGATCGGGGGTTCGTAGGATGGCAGGAGTGTTCGTGGTCGCAGAGCTGAAGCAGGTGCGGTCGGTGATTCGTGGTCTGGGAATCGGCCCTGGCAAACGAGGAAGGTGTCGGAGGTTTCCCCAATCTGCCGCTTGAAACGTGCAAATCGCTGCTGCCCCTGTGCGTGTCAAGTGCTGATCACAGCGGGCTGGATGTTCACTTCGCGGTGATGAAGGAAGTCGGTGGCGATGAGGTGATATCACGTTTGTCGAGAAGAAGGGGCGAAGGAGTGGTTGGCGTCGTTTACGGTGATGGATGTTCTGCGGGCTTCCACCGTTCCACAGTTCCAAGAAAATGCTGGAGGATGCCGCTGAGGTTCGACTTCCCTGCACGCACGTACGTCAGGCCACGTTCACGGTAACGTCACTTGACTTGTCCTGGAAAGGGCTTGTCGGCGAGTGCACACATCCGTGGAGCTGATAGGACGATACTCGAGGCGTATCACAGTAGAATCAAGGCTTCAATCCGAAGTCCTTCAAAGTTCCTTTGCACATGCCGCAAGTCACATGTGAGACGGTGAAGCGACGCCAGGGCAGAACTCAAAATGCCGCGCTCCAAAGCCTCTTTCGCATTGGTGCGGCGGAAGGCCGGCCGGCTCGGGAGCAAGCGAAACGCGGAGAAGGTGGGTGGGTCCCCGCCGGTCGAGCATCGAGCTCGAGTTCATCCCATGTCTTGCGATCAGTAATGTCAAGACGCGTCCTTCGAATTTCCACCTGACACGTCGTCGACATGTCTGACTCCGAGATGTCTACTCCAGCCGACAGTCCCGCCGACCACGAGATCGAGCAGTGCCTGCGACGCGTCGTGAGAGAGCACAAGAAGAAAACGGACGATCCGCTTTCCGTCAATCAAGTACGCGACATTGCCGCTAAAGAGCTTGACTTTGATGTCAGTATCTTGAAGGGAATAGAATGGAAGACACGTAGCAAGGACATCATCACCGACGCGTTCAATGAGGAAAACGAGCCTTCACCAGTGAAACCTAAGGCAAAGCCTACGAAAGCTGCACCAAAGCCCAAGGCTAAGGCAGGCACGAAGCGCAAGTCGGATGACGAGGAGCCGAACAAGACAAAGCGACGCAAGAAGGCGAAGGTTGAGTCAGAAGATGACCTGTCCGAACCAGAGGCCGAAGAAGATGAGGAATTGGACGCGAGACCTGCAAAGAAGCCTGCAAAGAAGCCAGCAAAGAAGCGTGCAACGAAGAAGGCTGCTACCAAAGTCGAAAGCGAGATAGAAGATGACGAGGATGAGCCCGCGGACAACGACGTAGAGCAAGCAATAGAAGATGCTGAAGAGGGCAAGAAAGAGCAACCTGCAAAAGCTGACAACGAAGAGAGCGAGCTGTCAGACGTACCAGACAAACTTGAAGTTCCCGAGACCAATGGCAAAACAACTGCCGCAGAGGATGACGAGGGCGAGCTTTCATCTGTGATCGACGAGCCACCCAAGAAGAAACGTGGAAAGAAGGCTGCCGTGGAGGCGAAGCCTAAGTCGAAGGTTACCGGAAAGACGAAATCCAAGGCTGCTGGAAAGGAGGTGTCGCCGGACGAGGAGGAGATCAAGCGCTTGCAGGGCTGGCTTGTAAAGTGCGGCATTCGAAAGCTGTGGCATAGGGAGCTCGCCAAGTGTGAGACGCCGAAAGAGAAGATCAAACATCTCAAGAAGATGCTGGACGACGTTGGCATGACTCCGAGGTACAGCAATGAGAAAGCGAAGCAGATCAAAGAAACTCGAGAGCTGGCTGCGGAGCTGGAGGCTGCCAAGGAGTTCAATGAGCGGTGGGGACAGAGTGAGGGAGAAGAAGATGACGAGGGAGGAGAGGAGGGCAAGATCGCAAGTGATTCTGAAGAAAAGAAGGACGGCGAGGCACCAAAGCGGAGACTGCCGAAAGGCTTCGTCGATTTCGGTGACAGCGGCGATGAAGCAAGCGACTAGATGTTGGAGCATACGGCAAGGAGTATAATTCGCTCTATATCTTGAAGGTGGCTTAGGCATCTGATACCTGAGGAAGAACATAAACAGCACCTTCGAGCTGCGACAGTGCCAACTGAGATTACCTGGGAGGATTTGAATGGTTTAAGCCAAGTTGCGCTGCAACACAGTGTCATACTTCTTGGCGTTCGGGTTGGGTTCCCTGGATATGACACTTTTTGTCCAGCCGACATTGATTCGCATGAGCGAGGTGAAGGCACTGCAGAAAAGTCTGTTCCGCTCCTCGCATTGGGACATACGGCTGTGCTGTTCAGCGTGTGCTCTCCGATACTGACTGCACGCTGAGGCCGTCTCCCGATTCGCCTGCAAGGATCGGTTCGCGCTGTGCACGACAATGCGAAGTCGCGGCGAGCCCATGTCAGAGCCACGGGGCGTTCCTTCCATCGTACCGTGTCCATCATACCATGGGAGGTGCGGCCGGCAGCCACGCCACTACGCTTCAAGCACAGACACTTGCCTTTCATTCGCTCTCCGCTACATCTGAAAGTACCAATTACCTTAGCTTTGCGTCTCGCCTGGTGGTTTACTGCGCCTTCAAGTGCGTGCTTGTTGCACTGCGCTTCGAGGAGCCCCCTGCCCTGGATCTTGACACACGCCATCGGCACAAGCAAGCATGCCTGCACTGTGTCGTGACTCGCCGACGACCTTCCAGGCAGAATCATCAACATCGAGGCCATGCCCGCAAAGATTCTTCGACGGAAATAATCGCCCAACTTCGAACATGATCTGCGGCGAACTTGTCAGATCTTCTACGTGGCTCTCGATGGTGAGAACCCTTTGGTGTAGACCACTGTATTTTGTCTTCGAAAAGGGCAAGAGACTTACACTCCGATCAAGCTGTTGGCAGGCTCGGCACGCTACCTACCGCATGGTGACGAGCCGCAAACACGATTTCGCATCTGGGCAGCGGCCATGGGAGATTCTCACGCAGGACTAGCGCGCTTTCCAGAAGAGCTCTCACAGGACGTCGCGTGGGGTCCAGGACCTACGGGCGACAGATGTACTCAGCTGGCTTCTACATCTCGAGTGGTACCTGAACGACACTGCGAGCGACGCGAGCGGATGCATCGGACGATTGATGGCACACGACTTATACGGTGTGGCCGTGGGCTTGTTCCAAGCTCTGCTCGTAATCAAAGCGAGACGCAGACATCCTTCCCATCTCTCTTCATGCCTTGCTCATCCTACCCCCCTACCGGGTCGGCGGTTTGCGAACACCACTCGTCGAAGGCTTGATCATACTGAGCACTTCCTGGAGCGTGCATACTAGCGAAGCTCTCTGGTGGCACGCATTCGCAGATAGCTTCAGACTACACACAACACAATGTGTGCGCGTTGCATGTGATATAGAGGTCCGTGCACGCATTCGTTCTTAAGGCTACCTGATCCAGCTCTACGAAAGACACGAAGTCATGGAGTGCGTGGACTAGCGTCCAGTTCCTCCTAGATCGAAATGCAGTTTCTGAGCAGCGCATACCTTCTACCGAGATCATACTTGCAAATATCTATCGAACTTGACTCTATATCCTTGCCTTCCAATCCCACCCAACCTTCGCCCACCTCGTAACAAGCAACAACGCCCCACCCACGAAGAATGAAATCCCCGCCCAGACCTGCGCATACAGATAATCACCCTCATTCTGCTGGATCAAAGCCCCAGCCAACGGCGGTCCCGTCAAACTCGCAAAACTCACAATCGTAAACGCCATTCCCATTCTCACGCCCGCTTTTTTCAGATCCGGAATTCTGCTCAGATTGCCGAACATTGCCGGCCATAGCGCTTGAATGACAGCGCTTCCGCAGCCGTAGAGGGCTGCGAAGACGTAGAGACCGGAGAGGGAACGGACGCCGATCCAGCCGAACATCATGATGCCGCAGAGGAAAGCAAATGGGATCAGAGTGTTGAGAGTTCCGAGTTTGTCGGCGAAGTAGTTTGGGAGGATGCGGAAGATGAACCCCATGCAGACGACGGTAAGCAGCAGATTGATTGACTGCTGATAGGACACGCCCAGGACGTCGCGGCCGTAGGATCCGATGTAGAAGAAGGCAAAGTATAGGCCCCAGAAACAGAAGAACATGGCGACACAGTAGAGTGTGTACGGAGGTTCCCGGAAAGATTGCCAGTCCACCAGTTGTCCGGACTTCCTCGGCGGCAGCCGAATGCGATAGAGAGCGATGGTAATCACGTTGAACGCCAGCATGATGAATCCAATGATGCGGATTGTCCACGGGAATCCAATCTTCGGAAGGGCCTGCTGGACGACAATCGGAAACACTATCCCGCCCGTACAAGACCCCAGAGCAGTCACTCCGACGGCGAAAGCTCTTCGTTTGGCGAAATACGTCGTGACCAGAGCCATGGCCGGACAGAATTGTAGCCCATTCGCTATGCCCGTACATATCGCCTGGCTGAGGAACAGCTGCCAGAAATTCGTGGATTGCGCGGTACAGAAGACGCCGAGGAGTTGGAAGACTGCTCCGGCGAGGTAGACGTGCCGGAAGAGCCCTGCATCTGTCGCGCGGCCGGAGAAGGTCCCGATGCCGAAGAGGAGGAAGATCTGGACGGAGCCGATCCAGGAGATGGTGGAGGGGGAGACGCCGAGGGCGGTTTCGTAGTAGGTCTGGAAGACGCCGAAGGAGGTGATGTACCCGAAGGTGGTGAAGATGGTGAGGTGCGTGCATGCGACTTGGATCCAGGCTTGGAGGCCTCCGTCGGGTGGTGGGCCGGGATCGAGCCATGATGAGGCGGCGGACCTTCGGGATAGAGTTCTGGAGAGAGGGTTGTTGTTGGAAGATTTCTCGTCGTTTATTATTACTGGGCGGTGTTGGTGGGGCTGTTGGATTTCTTCGGCTTCTTCTAGCTCTCGTTCGATTTCGTCGTCTTCGATGTTAGGCCATGCGTGCATTTGAGATTCTTCTGGCAGGACGTCTTCCTCCAGGCCATATTTCGATCCAGCAGAATCGCGTCTCGCCATCTTCTTCCATTCAGGTTTTTATAGCTATGGCTGGTGGCGAAAATTGCCTGGAGTCATGTAGCAGACACGGAAAGTGATGGTAGATTATTTGGCGTTCAAGCAACGAGTGCGAAAGTACGGTCGGATTGATAACAACGCATTCGCTGTAGCCAAGCGATGTCGCTGCGAGCAACCACCAATTCAAGTGGACTGAAAATCTGGTGCGGAAAAGATGCATCTCCTCGGTCCAATGAGATGGTGCGAAAGGAAGCGGAGAGCGATACCTTGCATCGGCAACAATCACAATAGCCGCCGTCGGCCAAACCTGCATGTACTGTAACAGTGTGTAGTGTAGGCCTCTTCTCTTATTAACAATCCAAACCGCTAATGCTAGCTGATTCAGGCAAGTTTCTCCGCCGTGTGGTGGCTAGAGTACAATGCGAGCCCGTAAGGAACGGCATTCAAGAAATCAATGTCATGAGCACAATACGTTTCGACAAGTCCACACAAATGACGGACGCAATAATTGCACGCAAAGTAACTGTGCACTTCATTCTGAATGTTGACCGTGCTGAGCAACTCTTTCTCAAAAGCTGTTTCCACGCATCATTCGTTTCCCGGCTCCGCCCTCCGTCTCCTCATGCTTCACATGTATCCTTTCAGCAGCGTTCGAGTGTCAGGAGCGGTGAGCGATCCAAATTGAAGCAGATGTGCTCTCAAGTGGTCTTCCAGGTATTTGAATTCCGGGCGCCATGGCTGCGGACAAGGCGTCAGACACGTGCATTGATGGTCTGCGCTGCTCAAAGCGAGCTGACCACCATCCGGCGGCAGGGAGTCGAAAAGCCGTGAGATTCTGCAATTCGTCGCTGTTCCAGGTGCTTGTAGGCATCGCGTCGCGCATATCAGACAGTGGCAGCCCACCAGCTTGTCGTAGTGCTCAGGGCTAAGTTGCACCTCGAGCGCTTCACTAAGGATGGTCAAAGACTTGGTGACCAAGTTCAGCTAGGTAGTAGTACAAAAGTTGTAGGAACAACTGCTGCGTCTTCAGATTGTAGTCGACTTCGATGGCAGGCAAGCCCAACGGCGTTGCCACGAATGAGAGAATGCCGTAGATGCGGTCCCTCCGGTCCAGGCAGTCGAATTCTCGAGATATGGAAATGATCGATGGCAAGCTCCATCTCATATGCGGCGGACCTGGCTCACCGTATATAACCACTCGATGCTCAATGTGCCATCCCATGTTTAGTAATGGCGGTCTGTCGGATGGCTCTGTCTCCAGGAGCTTCAAGCCATCAAGACCCCGGTAGAGATCGAACAGCTGCCACAATGTAGCTGGAACTGCACCGCGCCCGCAGAGGATCGATCCTGGGATAGACCCATCATGATTTCTTGTACCACCCAAAGTCGCCTTATATAAGTGATCTTCATGAACTCGTCCATGGCAGTGCAAAGATGATCCAATTCTTCGCTGTCTGGCGGGAGAGTGTTGACATACTCCCTTATTTTGTCCGAAGGACTGCCGAGATCCTTTCGAGCCTCGTAGCTGGTTGCCGGGAAATACTTATCGCAGACTGAGAACAGAAGGCGAAAATGGGGGCCTCCAGGTCCGACGCATAAGTAGTTCAGAGATGATCCTCCGTAAATCGACCCCATCATCTGGACTTGGTGGCCTTTTTCCAGCAGGTGAGACTGGTCGATGCATAGCGTGTCAATCCAGTAGTAGTCGACATCAGCTTTCTGTTGATTGATTGACTGTAATAAAGCGTAATGCGCGTTGACGCCGATCCGACAACGAATTTGGTTGACGATGACAGACTCAGTCTTTGAGACGTCGCCCCAGGTATAGGAAATAGCGTGATATGTTGGAGTGCCGCCGATAGGCCAGGCCTGCATCTCGAACTTCACCTCTTCACGGCTGGGCTGTCTTGAGTGCCTGAGAAGCCGGATCTGGGTGGTATCATCTTCCAGCCTCGTGTATCGATATAGTGCATCTCCCGCCAAATGCCCGCCCATCTTCTTAAGAATAGCATCCTGCTGGGTTTCCCATGTCCAATGTGTGTTCAGGTACTCCACTAATGATGGAGAGATGTTGCGCGCTACTGGAATTTCAGAATTGATCAATCAACGCTTCTCATGTAGCACAAAGCAATGTTTTTCAGCACTGATGCGCGGACGAAGGCGTCTGTTTCGAAAGTTGCCTTCTGCGGGGTAAGGCGACACGTGCTTGACGTGAGGCAATATGTGAGGCTGAGACGTGCCGTCTTTGCAGCCTTGGACTGTAACGGTAACCTTCTAGCCTGTGGCCGATCTAGTCGAGAAAGCGCGTTTACCGAGCGCATGACGAGCAGCCATGTTGACCGTACTGCGCCACGCAGTTGTGAATGACAAAGGAGACATACGAGTAAAAGCAGATCAAGAAACAGCTTGGAAGCTTGAGGTTGGAAAAGGAGGAGCCTCGGATTCGGATTGAGCACAGACGCATATTCGCACGTGTCCACCCGGCTTTTACATTGAGCAAATGTAGCCGGAGAAATTTTGATGGGGGATGTTTAAGCCGACTTGGAGACAGGACATTCTGACAGACCGTTCGATGCAGCAAAGACGGGGCAGATTCTGGGCTTTAGATTCGCTGGGCCGAGGAAGATAGTGGAGGGTACTTCGGATGTATTCCTGGAGATGAGGCAACGGAAATTGGGCAGCGCGTACATTCTGGACCTTAAAGTTTAGAGGCCTGTTGCGAGGCCATCATCCATAGTAATTCTCGCAAAGCGTCTCCGCGGGTGTTGTACGTTTGGGTCCGGATGGGCACAGCGCGGATGCCCATGAGTATTGCTTGGTAGGCTCCGCTCTGACCCACAATGGCTACAACGAAGCCAGAGCGTCGATGCTGTTTGGGTATCGCGGAGGCTTGAGGGAAGGATGTGATCGCATCTCCTATTTCTATCAGCGACATGACCGGTCACGGTTGATCATGACGAGGACGCACTCAGTATGGCTTCCCGGAGGACTGACTCCGCATCAAGTTCTTCTTTGTACGCCTTTTCAGCATCCGGTAACAGTTCGTGAGATTGGTAGGACATTATGCTGCAATGCCTGCGCGATTGCTGCCATGTTGTAGTAATGTGTGGAATCGCATTCGATCGAAGTTGTAGATTCGTGCAGCAGATCGAGAAAGCGTTCACGCTGGCCATGCGCTGGCGTTGAGCCCATAACGACGTACAATCGCTCTACGGCCATGTGCCATGCGAAGGTCAGAAGGACTCATTCCATGAGATCAAATCATCGCATGAGCCCTCCTAGATCCCTCTCCATGCCAGTCACTCGATCCTCCAAAGACTTTTTCTTTCCTTCGAGTTCTGCGATTTCAGTCTCCTCGCGCTCGAGATCCTCCTTGGTCATGGTGGGCGCGCTTACGATCGGCTCGTCGTCCATGATCTCGTCGTCGTCACCGTCGTCATATGTGGGCCTGTTCATACGGGCCAAGTCGGCGGACTGTTGGCCTACCAGTGCCTCATAATGAGATATGTTCGCCACGAGCTGCTGATGTCGGCGTCTGAGCTGCGTGATCTTGTCGGCAGCTCCGGGCACTGGATACACAGCAAGTAATCTCTCCGCACCTTCCAGCAGAATCTCCACATCGACATCGCCTTTCTGCCTAACCGCGGCGCTTTCCTTCCGCGTACGCTGGTACAAATCACCACCTAGTACTGCGGCCACGGCTTTGTTCTTCGGTTGCCGGTTTCCATACATGGTCGCCCTCCTGGAAGTCGTTGATGACGCAGCGGGACCAGTCGCGGGGGCCGAAGAGATATCCTGAGCAGCAGACCTGCTAGGCAGTGGCGGTGGTGCGAGATGGAAGAGAGCGCGTTCGTGGGCCTCCGTGTCCCGGATCAAAGCTGTAATGTCATGCTGGGCCAGCAGAGCATTCGTGAAGCGTTTGGGTCCTGGGAAAGGAAGTTCCGCAATCGAGGTAGCGCATAAAGAGATTTGCTCCAAATGCGAGTTCAATAGAGATCCCATAGTAGCTTGACTGCTTCGACTTATTCTCCTGGTCCGTCAAAGTGTTCGAATTCCCACGCGTGGTGACCAGCTCCTGTGGTTCGGTCTGGTCCGATTGTGAAGTCCTTTCAAGCTGGACGACGCGTAGATTATGTTTTTCAAAAACCTTCTATGGTTCCCCTCGCTTTCAGTCGCAGAGTATCCGTGTCAGTGTTGGAAAAGTTGATGTTTGGAGGTCGCGTTGCATGTGACGCCAAACATCCGGGTTGTCTTGAGTTCTGCCGAAGTTGAGCCTTCCGAGTTGCTGTGAGCTTCGTTCAGCGACACCACACCTCTCAAGCACGAGACCTTCCACCGCCACCACCACCCCATCCACGCCCACAATCGACCACCTCGACCTTGAACATGGCGGACAAGATGGACGTCGATGCCGTCAATGGCGAGAAGCAGGAGGAGAGGGTTGGTCCAGCCCCGGACTTGCCGCCAGAGCGGAGTACGTCCACGCCTCGCCAAACACCCAAGAAACAGCTGATACTAACACATCGCTGCAGTCATTATCAACAACTTCGCCCTCATCACCCAAGCAGTGGACAGCTTTGACTCACGGTTTACGCTACGCGCCCTACGAGGCATAGCGACACTGCGGAAAGCTCCCAACTTCCCCGAAGCCTTAGTGCAGGGCATCCGAACAGCATATCCGAAGCCTTCGAACAGAGGCCGGCAGATACTAGAGGAGCTAATACCAGAGAAGCATTATGCTGCCCAGAATGGAGCTGCGGCGAGCAAAGAGAAGGAGCCGGAAGAGCAGACACATCCCGAGATCTGGGCGTACCTGGGTGTTTTGGTGCAGGTCAGTGATGACAATAGAAACATGGGGATGCGCGGAGATGCTGATCGGAACAGGTCTATCTTTACGACAACGGCGAGTTTGAGAAGGGTGCAGACTTCAGCGAGAACTTCGTCGAGCGAATCCGCAGCTGGAATCGCCGAACGCTTGACCAAATGGGCGCCAAAGCCTACTTCTACTACGCGCTCTTCCACGAAAATCTTGACCCGAAGCCGCCGTCAAAGCAGTCACCCGTCATCGATACCAGACCGAAGCTACTGGCCGCACTCCGATCGGCCGTGCTGCGCAAGGACATTGACACACAGGCTGCCGTGACCGTGTTGCTCCTGCGCAACTACATCAGCACCGCAGACATCACTCAAGCCGACCTTCTTGTTGCACAGACCCAGTTCCCGATGACCGCCTCAAACAACCAAGTATGTCGATACCTGTACTACCTAGGCCGTATCCGCGCCATTCAGCTTCAATACACCCAAGCGCACGAGCACCTCGAGTCCGCGACACGCAAATCGCCCACACAGGGCCCTGCTGTCGGCTTCTACCAGCAAGCTACAAAGCTCCTCATTGTCGTGGAGCTATTGATGGGTGATATTCCCGACCGATCACTCTTCCGACAACCTTCGCTGGAGGCTGCGCTCTATCCATACTTCAAGCTTGTCCAGGCTGTCCGTGTGGGTGATCTGCAGGCCTTCTTGAAGTGCGTCAGCCTCAATGAGGCCCAGTTCCGCAAGGACGGCACCTACACCCTCATCCTCCGCCTCCGTCAAAACGTCATCAAGACCGGCGTCCGCATGCTCTCCCTCTCGTACTCTCGCATCTCACTCCGCGACATCTGCACACGTTTGGGCGTAGAATCGGAAGAGTCGGCTGAATACATTACGGCAAAGGCGATCCGAGATGGTGTAATTGAGGCTTCGTTGGATCACCAGAATGGACACATGGTCACGGTACCACAGAAGGACGCGTACAGCACAACGGAGCCATGCGATGCTTTCCATGCGCGCATCAGTGCTCTTCTTGGTATGCGCGATGAGTGTGTCATGGCTATGAGATACCCCATGAACAAGCATCGCCAGGAGATCGCGGAAGCTGCCAAGGCTCGTGAGCGGGAACGCGAGCTGGCAAAGGAGATCATTGAGGGCGAGGGCGATGCTGATGATGGAGATGAGGGCGGCTTTGAGGGTATGTAAGACTTCGATCAGCTTCGACATTCTGACGAGGCCGCGAGACGCCCTCGGAAGACAGCATGTAATATAGACACATGAATAGAACGATGAGCCTTGACGAATATGGGCTCTCAGTCTCTGAATACCGACTATATTCACCCAACGCTGTCGTATACGCTACGCTGGACGCGTCCTGCGTCTCTCTCTTGTACGTTTCATCATCATCAAAGTCTACCAATCATCCCTCCGTCCCTCATCCCGTCCATCATCATACGCATCATCCACGCGATCCCCAAACCTCTCCACACCACCCACCTCATCCCCCACCCAATTCGCCATCCTCTCCGGTGCCTCCTCCACGTCGTCCCAGCCCTGCTCAATCCGATTCCCGAACCGATCAAACCCCTGCTCCACATCCTGCGGGATGTCTTCCACATCCTGCACCCGCCTGCCCGCCCAGCCCGCCGCGTCTTCCGGGAATTCCTCCACGCGCCCTTCCACGCGGTCGCCGAAGTTTTCGACGCGGTCTTCATCGCCGCGGAACGAGTCTTCGACGCGGTATTCTTCTCGCCGCGAGAAGTCTTGCATTCCGTCTTCGTCGCGGCGGAAGCGGTCGTCCACGCGCTCTTCTTCATCTCGCTCCCATTTCTCTTTCACTTCGTGGCCTTCGTGCGCGAGGAAGGCGCCGCCCGCGAGACCCGCGGCGGCTCCTAGAGCGCCGTAGAGCAGTCCATGCCCACCACCACCACCACCACCGCTTTGCTTCGCCTGCTGCTGTTGTCGTTTGGATTGCTCGAAACCTCCATAATTCGACGCACCGGGTCCGCCGCCGGCGTAGCCTCCATCGTAGGCAGCGGCGGAAGCTCCTCCGTAGGAAGAGGCACGAGGGAAGTCGTAGCTGCGCTCGCCGGTCTGCGGGTTGATGAAGATGTAGCGGGCGGCGTGCGCTTCCCACTGGGGGTACCAGGGCGGGGGGATGTTGGTTGGAGGGGGAGGGGGAGCTTGCTGGCCGTAGCCCGGACCACCACCACCACCACCATAGCCTCCTCCTCCTCCTCCTCCTCCTCCTCCCTGGGAAGAACCGTAACCGTACTGGTTATAGGACATCTTTTGTTGTTGTTGCTAGTAGGCTGAGGATTCGTGGAGCTTGTTGTGTTTGTGAGATTGTTGGTTGGTGTTGAAGACGGAAGACGGATGCGAAAAGGTTTGGTTGGTTTGGAAATGGACCGGTCGGGTTTCAGAGATGTGAGGTGAGTTGAGAGGGAGAGGAATACGAGGAAATATGAAACCAAACCCCGACTCAACCTAACCCGACCCCAAAGGTAGGTCTAGTACAGTAGTAGCCGCTCACCTCAGCACGTGGAATCATGCCACGGTTCACACATCGTGCATGCATAGATGACGAAATCCGAGGACTGAGATAGATCATTGGTAGGTAAGGTATATATGGCTTGCAGCTCGTGTAAAGAGATGCAGCTGCCGCCGGAGCTATATTTAGGACGTAAGAGTAAAAGGTGGCACAAGACAAACAGTAATGAAAATGAAAATCGTGAGGAGGAAGAGAAGTCCATGATGAAAGAAAGAAAGAAGATGAAGTTCGTTTCACACGAACAACTCACAGACTGGTGCATGGACCCGCAAACCAAGCTTTTCCAAGTTGCGATACTAACTACTTGGCAGAAAAAGAAGCTTTTATGTACCACCACCACCTCATGGGCTGTTTTCCTTGCACAGCATCTCTGCCCCTATCTACCCTCTCTCCTCTCCTTTCAAAAGCGCCCCTCTACGGCCATCTGGAATAACCGCGCCCTCGCCATTCCACACCGCTCGCACCCACAGTCACAACTCTGCGAATGCTGAAGCAGCAGACCCATCGGATCGTCAGCAGTCGTGCACTGTGGCGGCTGATATGGTGGTGCTTGTTGCTGCTGTTGCTGCATGGCAGGGCGAGGGGTGGGCATGGTCATATGGTTCACATTACTTTCCCACTGCTGGTTTCTCTGCATGGCAGGACTGTATGGAGTTGGCTGCTGTGTGTTTGGAACTTCGTATCCTGGCGGATACAGGTAGCCTTGGATCTGAGGAACGGACTGGTTGGAGACAGAGCGTTGCATTGGCATCGGCTGCGGAGGTGGGCGCTGTTGTTGATTCGGTTGCATCGGTCCTGGTCGCTGCGGTGCTAGCGTATATTGCTGCGGCGTTTGCGATGATGCACGGTTTCCGTTGAACGAAGATATAGGCCGCTGCTGAGGGGAAGGCCCAACAACCTCAGGTCGCTGCGGTGCCAGCGTATATTGCTGCGGCGTTTGCGACGGTGCACGATTTTCGTTGCACGGAGACAAAGGCCGCTGCTGAGGGAAAGGTCCGACAACCTCAGGTCGCTGCGGTGTCTGCACGTATAGCTTCGACGTCTGCGACGGCATTTGGTTGCCATTGAGCGAAGACATGGGCCGCTGCGGAAGGGGAGACGCGGTCATTTCAGGTCGCTGCGGTACCTGCGCGACCTGCTGCGTCGTCTGCGATGGGCCCCGGTTTCCATCGAATGTGGTCATGAGCCGCTGCTGAGGGAGAGGCCCTATCATCTGTTGTTGCATGAACATTCCGTGATACCTGGACTCATATCGCTGCAGTGTCTCTGCATAGTTTCCCGATTCCTGAGTGAGAGCTGGCGATCTGGCAGGCGTATTTGGGGTACCGTTAGGATACTGCCGAGACGCATGCTGCTGCGGAGGCTGCGGAGGCATCATTTGCGCCTGTGGAGCGTAACGCACTTGAGGCGTGCTGCTCGGGTCGTTCACTGGCCCAGAATAGTGATCATTTATACGACCTCCCATCTGCGCCGGTGGAGCGTGACGCACTTGAGGCGTAGTGCTCGCATTACTTCCTCGCCCGTAGTTGTGATCATTCGTATGAGTTCCCATCGAGGAAATCATGGAAGACCCAGACTGCGTATTGTACTGCTCGGATGCGGGTGTATACACAGGATTGGCGTTGGCGCTGTTCATTCTGGGTTGTTTCTGAGCCCTGTTGGGCTCCGGTTGCTGGGGGACAGGCTGCGGGTAGCCTGTCTGGCTGGCTCTGGCCGTCATGTTTTGCTTCGTAGCTCTATCATCTGGTCCTTCATCTTCACTACTACGACGACGCTTAGTTCCAGCCGTCTGACTAGAAATGGCGTGTCGTGTGGTAGGGTCGGGCGCGGAGCGCTGAACAACAGAAGGCATTGCAGCAGCTTGATGGGCCGGAGAACTACCCGCAGGTGCGGCAGTAGGTGATGTGGTGACTGGCCCCTTCACGTAGCCCGAACTTGGTACAGCACTCGATGGCGAGGTTCCGCCACCGCCGTGTTCACCTGAAGAAGCAGGAACAGAGATCGTCTTGACGGGCTCCGCAGGCGTCCTATCATTTGCTTTCGTTGTTCCGTTTGTGGGTTCCTTCCGCACTTTCTGGCGGCGCGGAAACGAGGGCTGGCCAGATTTTGCAGCTTCAGCAGCATTGGCTTCTGCGAGAAGCTCCAGCAATTTGGCGCGGTCTCGTGGGTCAAGCCTATCAATGGCCCTCCCCTTGCTATCTGTTGTTTTTCTCTTCCTTGGAGTCCCGCCCTGCTCACTCTGGCGGCGCTTTAACAACAGCTTGGAAGGCTCCACGACATCTTCGCCTTGCGTGGGTTTGTACATAGCCTTTTCCTTCTCTTGCATTTCCTTTCGTTCCTGATCTGCAAAGGAAGGTAGCCATGGATGATCAACCTCATGAACGCGATCATCATCAACTGTTGGCGCGACTTCGGAAGCCTTCCTTGGTGGTGGAGGATGATCCAGCGGGCCACGGCTACAATGCTTACCAGTCCCCTGAGCTGGCGACTTCTTGGGCGCCTTGTCTGTCTGCGCGGCAGCCGTAGCGTCGCCCTCTAGTTGAGGCCTCGACTTTGGCGGTCGTTTCGAAGGCTGCTTCCTCTTCTGCGCGAGAGTACCATTACCAGTCGAATGGAGCGCATAGTCTAAAACAGTCTTCTCAGGTCTCTTGCCTACCACCTCACTTCCAATCGGAGGCTGCGGGGCATCTCTGAATAGGCCTCTACCAAGCGTGGTCGGCCGCTGCGGCGAGATCACAATGTCGCCGTATTGGACAGTCAGTCCCCCCCTCATTCCACCTTTCCTATTTCCCTGATTGAGTCCTTGCGCTGGAATTTGTCCACATGCAGCAGTGCCTGGATTCTATCCGACAGCCAGCAAACAATCATCCAGCGTACTCATCAGGTTATCCGAATCTTTCTTCGTAGTGCCCTTCCAGTGACCAAAGTCCGTGTCGTCAAGATCTGGTACGTCTGCTGTTGGGGCTCGCTCTATTTTACTGCTGACACCATTCGTCAAGGGCCGTCCATTCCCCAGGAGCGTGCCATTCATTTTCGAGTTTTGATGTAGATCAGGGTACTGACTGAGCATGATGCTTTCGTCCAAGAAGCGATCTGTCTTGAGGAATGAGTCGTCCAGCTTGAGACCAAGTCGAAGATCTTGCATGTCAAGCGCTTGCCGGTTCGCTTGAATTTCCATTTCAACGGGCAGCAGGCCAGCCGCATTCCGTTGCAAGACACCTCGCTCAGCGTCCATTTCTTCTTGTCGCAATCTCTGTTTGAACTTGTTGGTTTGGATACTGGCAACGCCAGGGACGTTGGAGCGTGCATGGGCGAGTAGTGACCCCAACATCTCCTTGACGTACACCTCCGTAGCCTGCTCAATGAGTTCCGCGCAGCCTTGTAGTGATCCCTGCTGAACCCCCGATAAGCCCGTCTCGTACGAGATCGGCTCAATACGACTCTGAATCTCATTGAGAGCAGGAAACTCCAACGCCTCTTGAGCCAGCGTACTTGCGAACCTCCGCCGAATCTCAATCTCAAAATTCGTCTTTGCCAAGCCAGATCCACTCGGTGCTGTTGCTGTCGCACTCTGCGGTTCCGTCTGTGCCTGCGATTGCGAAGAAGGCGGCTGGACAGCCAACTCACTCGCATAGTCTCGGATCTCCTGGAAACTCTGGTTGACAGGTTTCATTCCCTCATTGGAAGTCTTGATTCTCTTGCGGTCTCGAGGGCCCCATAACATTACCTCGCGTTTCAGCCGCTCTTCCACCTTGTCGTTTGCACCAGATCCAGCTCCGGCATTCTTTGACGTGGAAGTGGGCTTGTCTGTTGCGACAACCCACGGTGCGATCTCGGCAGGAGGAGGGTCGCGCAGGGTATTTGCATAGATCGCATTCACAAGCGTATTGTGAAGGTGTAGAGTCGACAACGGCGACTTGCTCGAATCGGTAGATGTGACCACAGACTGCGCCGGCGAAAGGAGCGGCTGCAAGACCCATGATAGCTCAGCCTGGTTGAGGGAGCCCAGCACAAACTGCTTGAGCACAGCCTGATATTCTCCCCATTGTTCTCCAAGCGCGCTCTTCAATTGCGTGTATATCGGTTCCAAATTCAGGCGCTCCAAGGTCGTCTTTGAAGGTGCAACGTTGCTCTTTTGCGCCGCGATGTTGTTCGGTAGTGCCTTGGTGAGGTTCGGCGAAATGGTGAGCGTCAGCTCGGCTGGATTCATCTCGTCTAGCACACGCGAATCGTTCGAGCGCTATTGCATGGCCTGGGGGGGGACATTCGCATGCGATCGTGCGGAGAATGCGGAGGAGAGGTCGCGAGCTCACGGATGTGGTTGGTGGAGTTGGGTGGTGTGGTCAGGATGAGTGGATATAGTCGCCGCCGATGCCGAGAAGTGAAGAAACTAGGAATATGCAAATGCGCCGTGAACACCAGTGCTGTGCGCCTTTCTCATAGTGTCGTAGTATTATTTACCTACCGCGAAGCAGCAGATGATCTCGAAGCTGGAGGGCGTGGAGAAAGGGAAGCCGGCCCGACATGCCGACAAAAGCTTGGCGATTCACGTCAGGGCTTGGGTCCAACAATAGGGATACTGTAGACCATCCAAAGGCACATCAATACATCAGGAGCAGCAGACAATACCTCCTCTCTTGGTTTCAACTTCTAGCCAAAATACATCTCAGAGAATTCCAATATCAAGGAAACACTTCAGGCGTCGCGCCGCGGGGCCAAATCTACCGGCCTCTTCTCACCCTCTGTCTTGTGATAAGCTCCCTCCCAATGATGCCAGTCCACGCCTTTCCATATTCCCAAAATCTCGACTCCTTTGCTTGGTCTCAAGATGCCAAGATAATCCCATATTGTTCCCATTGCCAGGTCGTGGTGTTTGTTGTCGCTTGAACGCTCAGAAGAATGAAAAAGGAATAATGTCAACTTGCACATATTGAATCCGATGTGTGGCCAGTAGCATCCCAGGTGGACTGCGCGTTAAACTTGCGTCGCGAAGGACCTCTCGCTCATTCCAACTCTTCGAGTCTGTCTGTATCCTTGATCCGAGCTGCTTCGTCGGAGTCATCATCCATAAGATCGGGCCATTCAATCCACTGCCAGTGCTCAGAATGGTCGACGGGCTCGACTCTCATGCTACCGTGCTGGTCGATGCCGTCCTCGGGGTGGACCATTACAGACGCTCCCACCGCAGCTTTCTGTTGACGGGACGAGATCGGCAGCTGATACTTCAGAACACCGCGTACGATCAGCTCGAAGGGGTTCTGTATGATCTGCTCCCAGCGAGCACTGCCCCCTGATTCTGTCTTGTTGCCTGGCTGCATCAACCGAACTTGACCGGATGATGTCTGTTGCTTTTGATGGATGGGAGTTCCTTCAAAAGAAATGGCCTGGTCAAAGTGGAAGACGCGCCCAAGAAGCATAGTCTGAGCGTCCTTCTCAATGTCTGAGTAGGGGCCGTGGTCAGTCGGCGCGTGCCAGTGTCCCGATAAGTCTTGCGACGGATTTGGATTGCGATCGATGTCCCCGCTAGCCTCGATTCTCCTCTGCTGCTTTTCTTGGCTGTCTGCCAGGCGTGTAGAAGTCTCGGTGGTATGTCCCATGCCCACGTGCTTGCTTTTCGCAAAGATGTTGACATCGAGATCAGACACCGAGACGCCCAACATGTTTGGGTTGAGCGCGCCAACAATCAGGTCGAACATGAGCTCCTGCTCAGTCGCCAGGACGCTATCAACCTTCTTGATCTCAATGTCCTGGAGAGGTCGGTTCGAGGCTATCACGAAGCCGATTGCGGAGAGAATCACCAGAAGTGCGATGATGCCAGTAAGAGCACACGATCCGGCTCGTCTGTTGCAGCATCGCCATGGTTGACGGTCGCTTTGGTAGGAATATTCGCCCATGTAGGTATTGATGCTACCTCTGCGGCGAATGCTTCTGTAGTTACGATTCGCACGCACGCTCCCGACAAGCGGTGTTCGCTCATCATCGGCGTTCTGTTCGACGTCGAAATCATACGGTTGTTCATGTTTGCGACTGCCAGAGAGGAAACCGGCTCCCGACCGGAATTGCAGGCTTTGTGGACTCTTGGGCGAATTGGGTCTCGATCGCTGCAGGTGGTTCTGTCGCAACTTCGACGCTTGCGTGAATGGTGACTCTTGTTGGTCGTAGGATGCAGAGTGGTGACCGCCTCTCCCAAACCTGCCTATGTGCCGGGGAGTATGCGTTCGCACCGTTCCGTCCTTGCTCTCGGGGCTGTCGACGTCCTGATATGGGTTGCTGGAAAACTTCATGCTTCGCTTGCCGCCTACGCGTCGATCATCGAATACGTCGCCGATGTTGCGCATACCTCCTCGCTGCTGGTCGGCCATGCTGTGTGACGAGGTAACGCTCGGAGTCCTACTGTGATGTCGTTGTCGTCGCTGGGGCTCGGGAGGGTTCGACTCATAAACGAATGTCTCGTCAGAGTCAGAGGTGTTGGCCTCGTCTACCGCATTCGCCACTCGTTGCTCGAACAGGTCGGCCTTGGAGGTTGCTTTGCGAGGATACTTGTCAGACAAAGTCCTGAGAAACGCAGTTGAACTGGGACGACGACTTGACGGAGTAGCTGAAAATGACTGAGCATCCGGCGGTGCCATTGGCTCTTCAGCCGTGGCACCGCCGGACATGAAGGAGAAAGTACGCCGCAACGTGGTGAACGAATCGTGCTCTGGGCGCCATGTTGAAGCGCGCCGCAGGGGTGGTATAACCCCGTCTGACGACTCTGAGGTACCATGATGACTGCGAAGGTGATGTCCACCTTGCCGTTGGGGAGAAGTAAAACACGTACCTGAGCCTTGGTTGACACTTCTGTTCTTTCGCTCGTTCTTCTTGCGCTCCTTCTTGGGGCGAATGGTCTCGGTGCTGGGTTTGAGCTTTACAGTCCCGTTATTGTCCGTGCGCAGGCGATTTGCTCCCTCGCTTGCAGGCGCGAGACCCGATTGCGGGATCGATTGAACCGTCTCGGTTTCGACGGTCATGTTCTGTTTTCCTTCGCCTTGGCGCGACTTTATGGTGGATGAGCCCTGGCTGGGCTTCGCCGCCGTACTCTTCGTCCGGGGTGCTTGACTGCTGGCAACGCTGTTGGATTCTGATGGCCGACGTCCTCGCGGCTTGGAATCACTCTTGTTGCCTGCGCTTTCACTCCCACTCTCGCCTGGCTTTGGATCCTCCGTCTTGGTGGCTTCAGCCTTGGGCGTTCGGAGATCTTCATCGGGGAGCTTCGTCCATGGCTTTAGATCCGATGAGGCCTGAATTGCGACGGGGCTGGGCTCTTGTCCGTCCGCACTGTTTTCCTGGACAGTCTCGAGCATTGACTTGCCACTGGGACCTCGTGCAGCTGATGCTTTTGGCGGTGGCGGTGGCTGCAGCTGTACCTCGGGCTTTGGATTGTCCATGTTCGCTTGCCGTGGAATGGTCTGTGGTGGGTTGTTCGATTGTGGAGTCGCGCTGAGGACCTGGATGCTTGGGGGCACGTTCGCATCGGGCTTCCTAGATGCTGCGGCGGAGCCTCGTCTGGAATTCGGCCCGGATGGAGGTGGAGACTTCAATCGAGGGGATACTGGCCATGATGGTATGTTCTCTGCGGAAACAGATGTGCCTCTCTGTCCTCGGGACATCTTGGACACAGCTTCCGACACCGTAGGAGTTTGGGAGCCTGGTTGATGTTGCAATTGGGGCACACTGGACGCGGATAGTGCTCTCTGAATCGCTGCAGCCGACGGCTGGGAAGATAGATTACCAGACCCTTGCGTTGTGGACTTCTCTTTCCGAATGGGGGAGGTATTTCGTGACGTATGAGGGCTCTGAGCTAGAGGTGACGACACCAGAGGAGTCAAGTTGCTGGAGGATGACTTTCTCAGCATCGGTGTGGGTGGTGACGATTTCTGTTTCCGCTGAGTGTGCGATGTATTTCTTGTTGCGGAAGGGTTGGCTCCATTGTTGTGAGGGTTGGAAGTGGCAGGCTCCGAGGTCTCTGACTGCCCCGATACGGAGCGCGTGTGGTTGCTGCTGCTGCTATTGCTATTGCTCGCCATTGTGAAGTTGGTGACTCGGTTGTCGATTTCTGTTCGACCAGTACAGTGCTTGTCCCATGGTGTCGCGAATGATGGGAGGTATGTGCCTTATGCCGACTCCATGCCCGGCAGGTCAGGTAGCGAACGGGACAGTGCACGCCAAATGGGCAGGGTAGGCGGTCGGTCTGGACGCTCGGTTTCGGGAGGTTCGCGGATGCAGTAGGCGGTCAACAGCGTGTGAGTTGTTCGCAGCGCAGATGCAGCGACGGCGTCGTTCGGAGTGGTTCGGGGGGTAGTAGTGGTCAAGTGTGCAGTTGCAGGGGAGTCCGGGTTGGTCGTGTTTCGTCTCTGTGCGATGCAGGAGAGGAGGGAGGAGAGGTGGCTACGGGACGAGCGGAATCGTGCTCGCGTGCGCCGTCGTGGGGAAGGGATGGGATGGGGATGACGGATGGAGTTGGAGCAGGTGGTGCGGCGATGGGTACGGGGATGTGTGATGCAGGCGGTGCGGCGCATTCGACGTGGTCGGGTGCGATAGGGAAGTAGGCGACAACAAAGGCGCGTCGGAGGGCGTCAGGCGTGTGTGGATGCAGGTGGTGAAGGAGGAAAGTAATGCAGGAATGCGGTAATGCAGTAATGCAGGCTTTGTGAGTGCTTGCTTTAGTTTGAGTGCGGTGCGGTGCTGTGTGTGCTGTGCTGTGCTGTGCTGCGCTGTGCTGTGTGCGGGCCTGCCACGGTGTTTCCTTCCCTTTCTTCCCTTCCTTCCCTTTCTTCCCTTCCTTCCCTTCCTTCCCTTCCTTCGAGTCGCCCTTCCCCTTCCTGGTTTCCCGACACGCTGCTTGGCTGCATGTGGGCCACCTCTCACGGCAGAGCGACACATGTGGCACCGTCATCATCATCACGGAAGTGGCGCTCCCAGGAACGCGCTGGCCGGTACCGTACTGTACCCCTGCCACAGTCACCTGCCACTGCCACACATCCACCGACTGGCACTTCTACCTTATGCAAGCAGCAATCTACAGCGCATCTCAGCCCAACTACCTACCTACCTTACCTACACCTACTACCGAGTCGACGCCACAGGCACACAGGAGACACGAGCGGTGGCTACATGCACGCTGATTATTATTACCGGAATGCAGAAGTCGCACCCGTGGCCTGACTCTCTCCCGAGTCCCTCGGTGAGGTGCTCCGCATGCCGACCCGCCGGCAACTCCTCACTTGCCTCCTTCTCCTCTCCTCCTTCGCACCGACATCACACTCACAGCTACCTATACCGAGCTTCTCGGCAATCATCATCATCATCATCATCATCATCTTCATCATCATCATCATCATCTCGTGAGCACATCCACTCCGCGCTAAAAAGAAATGCCCTGCCTTGTTTTCCAACGCATGCAAGGCAAGCCAAGGCAGGGCAAGGTAAGGCAAAAAAAAAAAAAAAAAGCAATCCATAACATTCAGAGCTACTCAGCACGCACAGCACGCACAGCATCGCATCGCATCGCATCGCATCGCCTTGCAGCGTGGGTGCGAGCATATGCAAACAACGTGGGGTATGTACGCGCGTGAAGCAACGACACTCCCACGCTCACAAAGAAAACGCCTACAGTGCTTTGCCCCCAAAAGCCTACTCTTCCTTCTTACCTCACCCACCTACCTTTTACTTCAGCTGCCAAGTATAGCCCACAGCCTCGGTCTCCGAGATACCTGACAGCATCTCCGACCAAGCATCTCCTGCGTTCACGACACAAACAAATAATTTCCTTTTCGCAAACACGCCTCGCCAGTGGAAACCCCCTATCCAACCTCTCGGGCTCCAAGAGAGAAGAACGTTGCACATGCTGTGCGCGACCAAACACAAAAAGTGCATGTGAAACCTCGGGAACAGGCATGACACCGCATGCATGCACCCAAGACATCCCATCCATCCAAAACCCCCCCCCGCAAGGAAAGAGTAAGGTAATTCGATAGATCTCACCAACACCACCTCACATCCGGTGACACCAGCCAAGTAAGCAGAGAAGATATAGAGACAGTTTGTCCAAGAGCGAATAGCTTCCATAATACCATAATAGCTAGCGCTGGCTTGCACATATCATCCCATTCGACTTCATGTCCCGTGTCCATGTCCCATACCATACCGGTGGTCCTGTCCATTCAATCCCAATCCAAAAAACTTCTTCCGAGCAATCAATCATCCCCCGCCCCCCATCAGACAGACACCTCCTTCTTCCACCCCACCCCCGTCCGTCCGTCCATCGATCCTTTGGTGGGACCGAGAAAAGTAAACGCCGGCTCCATTTTCCCCATGCCGCCATGCTGATTCGTAAAAGTCGTTACACTGCTTGAAGATGTCTCAAAAAAAAAGGTATCCCGTCCGTGCATGGTTGCGTGTCATGTCTCATGCTGTCAGTGGTGGATGGTCGTACTCCAAGAAAGCAAGGCGCTTGAGCGGTGGAGAAGAAATCTGCACGACGACATTGCCTTGCCAATCCCTTGTGTGACGGAAGTCGAGCTTAAATATCAGTCATCTCCACGTCGTCGTGCTCCGCTCCGTGATTGAGCACATCGTCTGCCGGCCCCCAACTGCCTTCATATATCGTCGCTCCAGCGCGCCGACGCTGCTGGACCCACTGCACACTTCCAGCCGAGAGAACCTGGTCGACGCAAGGACGCTGATCAGGATCGGGGCAGATCAACCACTGCACCATGCGATTCAGCGCCTCCGGGTCCGTGTGGTCAACCATAAAGTTCGGCGGCTGGACGAGATCTTGCGCGCGCTCCGTCTTGGGTGCCGTAGGACGCAGGAAGCTCAGGTCGTCGTCGCCCTGATTCGACGTGCAAAGCGACTCGTTCGACTGCCCGTTGAGAAGCTCGACTGGATCGCCGGACTCGTCACGCACCAAGCTGCTGTCGGAACTCCACGTCAGGCTTGGCAAGTCGCTGAGGTCGCCCGCGCGCAATCGCTGCCATGATGCACCATTGTCGGGGAGGACAATGTTGCCGGCAATCTCCAGCATGATCATACCGAGCGAGAAGATATCAGCAGGCTTGTCGAAGCGGCCAGAGAGAACCTCGGGCCCGATATATTCGCGATCACCCTCCCCGTCGATTCCACGTGGAGCAGGCCAGGTGCTGGCCATGCCAAAGTCGCCGATCTTGAGGAGACCCTCCCAATCAATGAAGACGTTTGCCGGCTTCAAATCGAGGTGGATAAAACCGGCGTCGTGGATTGTCTTGACGCCTTGCGCCATCTCCAGGAGGATCTTCCAGATGCGGAAGTCATCCAGTCGCCCCTTGTAGCCAGTTTGGGTCAGGAAGTCCTTCAGGTTGCCATTATCACAGTACTCGGTCTGGATATACAGGTGGTTCTTGGCCTCCCAGTCATCCACCAGTTCGACGATGTGCTCGTTGCCACGGAGTGATCTCAGAATCTCCACTTCTTGCATCTTACGCTGTCTGTCCCGAATTCCAATGTATGCTCGCCGAGACTTCTTCACCGCCCAGACATTGCTGCCAGGACTACCTTGATTGTGGCGCGCAGAGGGGCCATTGGGCACCGGCTGCTCGACCTTGTAGACCTGAGAGAACTCGCCAGCGCCGATGGTAGTGACCTTGGCAAAGCGGGAGGTCAATGCAGTGTCGACGTCGTTTGCAAAGTAGCTTGAGGATACGTTTGCCTGACCCTGGCCGTGACTGAAGTGTTCGCTCCGCGGTCCAGTGGGAGTCGCCGGTGGAAAGCTGTTGCTGTTGAACAGCGAAGATCCTCGATCCTCCACGGAAATTGACAGACTGCTCGGGTCTGGTGGCGTGAAAGAATCCTGAGGAGTGTGCGGAGACTGTTGGTCTGCGCCCTCAAGAGTCCCCGTGTGAGTGGGCGCTGGAAGAGAGTCAGATCGGATACGGGTAGTCGCGGACGCATCCAACGAGGGGAGAGAACGAAGCGATCTCTTAGCAAGCGGTGAAGGAGAAGCCGGTCGTTGCGTTTCATGCATCGACTGGCTCCGAACGCAAGACGGCGAAGGAGTCGTACAGGACGTCAATGTGATGAAAGGCATTGGCGAATCATCAATTGCGCAGCCGGTGTCTCTGGCCGCCCGAAAACAAGGCGTAGACGCATCCATGTACTTACATTGCTCGTCCGGAGTTGGCGAATGCTCACGGTCGGCAGGTGAAGCAAACGTGTCAGGCCCCAAAGATGTCCTCCTCCCGAACAGGCTGCTGCGGAGACTGTTACTCTTACCCTTAGACTGTGGTCGAGAGGTCGTTGACGTTGACTTGGTCGGCGTCGGAGGCAAGTCATCGTTCGCTTGAATTTCCAGACTATGCGTGGGCGACTGTGCTTCGTCTCCATCGATGCTCAGGAAACTGCTCCGGCGAGTAAGCTGTGGCTGGTTGACTCGAGATCCGAAGATGTTGACTCCCTTGCCGAAAGATTCCGGCGATATGCTGGACACGCGGCCATTGAAGGGCGTGCTTGGGCTACCGAACTCGTGCATTGGTCTAGCAACCTTGCCGAGCGCCGAAGGTGCTGGAGTTGCGCCGAATGTGATGTGCGGCGCTTTCTTCGACGGGGTATCTGGCATGTTTGTGCTGGAAAAGAGTGATGAACCTGGGCCATCAATGTTACGATGGCGCTTGGAGATCAAGCCCGTAGACATGAATGCCTGCGGAAGCGGCTTTGCCATCTTGAAAGCGGCAGGAGTAGATTTGTCATCCTGTGCAGACTCCTGAACATGACGCATTGCACCGACGGGAAGAGACCTTGAGAAGCCTGGTGGCGGCTTTGACATGTCTGTCGGACGTTCCAGCTGGGGAGCTTCGGTCCTGCCCTCGTTCGCCTCGGGCTGCCGATTGCTCTCCTGGCTATCCTCGGCGGTAACACTCGAGGTGGACGAGGACGGAGTCAAAGCTTGTGACAGTGGATGCGGCTTTGGCGCCGATTGATAGGTCTTCTGCATCGGCGGAGGGAACAGCACCGGCGGATCGCTAACATTGCCGCGACGAGAAGGAGAGTCCATGTCAGGGCTACGCAATGGCAAGGCGCCATCGAGAGAGAAGCGCGATCGAGCGCGAGACAACGACGGGCTCATCACGGAATCTCGCATTGACTCAGCGTAGAGATTCTTGCGACTTGAACCTGCACGCTGTTGTAAAGTTGATTTGCGCAGGCTCGGAGGGCGTCTCTGTGGTGAATGTGCGGAGGATGTGTTCCAGGTGAACACCGGTCCTCCATCCTTCTCCTTCTCCTTCTCTTCGCTCGATTCGCCAGAATCGGCTGATTGTGCGTTGTCAAAGGCGTGGTCGAAGATATTGAAGTCATTTCCCATAGAAGTGCCGTGTACGCTGCGACGCTTGCTGCTGCGTGTACTGCCAAAGGTAGCAGCCTCCAGGTTCATGACACCATCACTCCTCTTCAGCGGACTCGACTTCATTGGGGAGGCGTGATCGCGCATTACAGGTTGCAGCAGCTTCTCAGGCCCTGGCCGTCCAAAATCGATCTTGATAGGGTCGTCGAAGCGCGGCAGCACGGACGCTGGTTTCAGGCTATCCTCGCTGCAATCCATGTTCTCTTGGTCGTGCTCGGCTGAACTTCTGCGGCTCAGGTATCGAGGAGCAGCGTTGGCCTGATTGGCATTGTCGCTCAGAGCACGTCTCAAAGGGCTGTTTGGAGAGGTTCTGCGCGATCGAGTGCGCAAAGGCCCTGTGCGGTTCCCAGTGGTCTTTGGTCTAGGGTCGTATTGCGCACAGTCGACGGTCACGGCGCGGCTCAGTGCAGATGGCGATTTGGGAGCCGGCGACATGAGGCTTGGAGGCGATACCGGGGTTGCCTTGGTAGTGAAAAGTTGGAAGCGCGAGGGCTTGGATGGCGAGCGCGAAAGAGAGCGACGGATTTGACGAATGGTTGAAAGGCCGTCCACGGAGGGATGGGTGGGCGACAGCATATGCATAGTGCCGCCGGGAGAATTGCGCGGCGAGTATTGCAGCTCCATCGCCAGGTGTCAGACACTCAGACAAAGTCGTGAAGTGGCGCCGGCTTGCGGTCTCGCGTGGGGCGTGGTCGAGGGCCGGTGTGCGACAAGGCGTGCGCAGGAGCGAGGACGAGGTCTTATACAAATACGTTCTGGCCCCGTGTATTGTCGCTCGGGCGATGGATGTGCGATGCTTGACTGAGGGCAGGCAATGAGATTATCGAAGGTGCTCGTATGGCGGAGGGACGCGGGCGCGCGCAGTGCGGTGCGGTGCAGGACGATTTGTCGATTTGCGGTGGGCGGGGGCAGGATGTGGCTATCGGTGATTGAACATGAGGGCGCGCAGCGTGTCGGCCAGCGATAAGGATGTCCCTGTCGGCGCTCTTGGACAAGTTTAGATTGCGAGTGGAATGTGGAATAAAACAAAACACGCGCGTCGAGCAGCGGCGGCGACTCCGGCGGGCAGTCTTCTCTCGTGCCAGCAGCTGTTTCAGTGGCGGACGGCCGGGTGGTGATATGTGTGGGTGGTGGATGCGCAAGACATACCAGTGTGGTGTCGTGTGCTGGGGGAGGATGTGGTGACTCGAGTCTGGCAGCCAGCAGCGGGAAGTCGCCAACGCGTCGAGAGTAGTGGAAAGAGGGTCGACAACAAAGGGTTCGGGAGCACGGGCCGCACTAGCGTCCCTCCTCAACACGCGAGGTCACGGGCTTCCGGGACTAGTGCCTGCCCTGACAAACGCTCCGTCGTCCCTTCTTTTCATTCACCCACAGATTCTCCCGTCCCCTTTCCTGATCCACTGCACCTCTCGCACCTCTCGCACCTCTCGCACCTCTCGCACCTACGTGTATACATATACGGTATGGAATGGTCCCGTCAAGCAGACTCCGGTCTCACGTGACAGCGCACCGAGCCGCGGTCGGTGTGTTTACCTTACGCGAAACCTTCCGTCAGCCGAATGACGTTGACAGCTGCCCAGTTCCTCGCCCACGGATCGCGGCAGCAAGACCCACGGATTCTCTATTCCGGCAATTTGAGGTCGACAAGAAGTTGGCACCGAAATAATCTCCTCGAGTCATGCTGAGCGTGTGCTTTGTTCTGCAACCGGCCGTCACGTTCTTCACATGTTTCTTGTTGACAATGCAATCTCTCCTTTCCATGGTGTCCTGTAGGACTTTGCCGCGGTGACTTTCCACCCTAGCGCCAGCCGCAGCAAGACTCGGTGCTCATGTGACCATTGCGATGCATCGCGATGGGGCTTGGTAATCCGGTTTGCCGGCCATTGTTAGGCTGCGATGATGCGGCTTTGACGTCTGGCCCCTTCACGCATTCCATTTTCTACGCCAGTGCATTCTCTTTGATCACTTGGCCAACTACGTCAGCCATACAACACCTCTGGTGCAAAGCCGAGCTTAAAACACCATACTATAACATGTTCCTGTCGCCCAGTCCGTCAACCATGTCGCATGTTACAGAATTACAGCCCTTGATCCATTCCGCACGGCTACGCACAGCACATCGAGATCTATTTCAGTGAGACTGGGAAGACTTGCTCACTCTCCGCGCACTTCCAACTATTACATCGAAGATATCGCGCACGACATCGAGATATCGCGCGGCCTTGGCGATCGATCACAAGCGACAATGGGCGCACCTACCACCGCGACAGAAACACAACAACGCCCCATGGTTCTCTCCGCCGACAAGCGGAAGATCAGCTACCGCAGCAAGAATGGAAATCTGTTTACTCTGGAACTGAAGAATTCCAAAGCCGAGGACAGCCTGCGATCATTGAAAAAGAAGTACGATTCCAAGATTCCGCAGGATGTGCCCAACGGCGAGGATGCGGCCAAGGACAATGGCTCAACGCTTTGGCCTGGCCTTTACGACACGATTGCCATGTTGATCGAAGAGTCGCTTGAAGTGGCGTGTTTCGGACCATATGACGAGCCACCAAAATGAAAAGCATCAGCCACCGTCTTCATGACTGCAACATAGTCCACGAAACTTGGACGATGCGCAGTATTGCAATTCCAGCGGCGAAACCCGAGCCGCAACAGCTGAATCCGCCAACATAGTCGATGCCAACTCGGACTCCGACTCTACCTACTGCTAGCTTTTGAGCGCGCGCGCATAGCGATAGCGCAAATCCTTTCAGCTGTGTTGGTCGCATCACGCTTAGACACTGCCGTGCGCGTGCATCCACCAGTCTCGTGCAGAGGAATAAGCACGAGCGATAACAGACGTCGACTGAGCTCGGCGCCGCCATCTGGCGACGGCATTACGGGTGCAACGCAAATTGCTGCGGACAAGACTGCCTTCAACCTGGCGGTATCAAACCTGGAGTGAAATGATGGATAGCGACAAAGAATCGAAATCGTAGGATCTCACGTTACTCAAACAACACTAGAATCAATACCTGCGAAGGAATCTACCTGTGCTCGATTACCTTTCTTCCCCTTTCTCTCGCCCTCCGCTTCCGTGCTCTCCTGTTGCAAGTTGTGATGGGCTACTGATTCTTTTCTCTTGGCACGCGTGCTCCTTCCTGATGAAGCAAGCAGAACTCTGCAAGTGAACGTTTCGATGCAAGCATATGGAAACACCGACTGCCAACCCCAAGTGGCAAAGAGCGAGGTTTGGCCGAGACCAGCCCTGGCCTTAGCCCACGCGAGCTAAACCGACAGAAGCCGAATCTTACGTGAGTGTATGGTGAGCGATGACAGGATCTATAAGGAACAAGCACTGTTGCTGCTTGCACACTCGCAAGACTAGTATCGAATCGAAAAATTCAGCATGTCGATCTCACGTCTGGCGAATACGTATACTCTTTCCGGATACAGGGAACAGATTCTCGCGAACGCTGTGCATCTCTTCCCCAAGTTGGTCGAAGGCAATTTCAAACCAACACAACCGGATGAAAGTACCAAAATGCAGAATTCAAGAAGTCCATTCGACGTCGTCCTCGTCTGCAAGAATGAAGGCACTTGGAGTAACAAGACGAATTGGAGGGCTCATTTGGTTTATTCGGGAAGCAGAACTGCTGCGTCGGGATGTTTTAAGACTTCGGAATTGCAGGCTCTAGGGTCTCTATTGAGTGTGCTTGGGGCTGCGCTGAGGGAGAAAGGGTGGGAGGTGAAGAGAAAGAAGGCCGTTGGGGAGGGAGAGGTTGATGGGGCGTTATTGGAGGAGACGGACGAGAAGGCTGAGTAGCGGGTCTGGTAATTGTCAAGAGATGAATTGCTCCAAAGACCCCTTTTCACATGGGAAGCGCTGCCAGGCTGCTAGCCGATGGTGCAACGGTCTGCTCAAGACGTCTTTGGGTCGTCCTTCGCTGCTGTCGACTACAGCAAACGCGGACCTCACACGAGAACTTTCCCTCCACGGACGCCCTCAGCCGAATTTACGGGCGATTCCAAGCCAGTTCCACCACTCACAACAACCGCAGACAAACCAAGGCCCTCGATCGCCATGTTTGGCACCACAAGCATTCAGACCTGCGCGAGCAAATCTTCGGTCCGTCCTCATTCGGTCTTGTGCGAATATCTCGACTATCAACTCCACATCACCGGCAAAGGCTGCTATCCTCTTTGCCCAAAATGTCGTCTCCCGGTATGCCAACGGAGCCTGATACCTGAGCGAGATCTTCGACGTCTACGTCTCCGGCACCAACCCGGGCATGCGGAAAGCAACATTGGGCTATGGCACTCGAGTTTACGGACCGGCAGGTCGCTGTTGGAGGTCCTTCCTCCTTTGGAAGCAGCTATACTCGGGTGTTGAAGGGACTGCTAGATCGTTTGAGTAGCAAGATCGATGACTCGAAAGGCAAAGGAGGCTCTTCTGCACCAGCAAAGGCTGCCAGGTCCACTTCTTCATTACCCACAGGCGGAGGAGGAGGAGGAGGAGGAGTAAGGTGCGCAATACCAACAAGCAGCATCTGAGCCTCCAGGCTATCGGAATAGCTGCCACCTGGTGCATAAACATCCGCAGCTACGTCTGGAATATCTGCGTCTCGAAAGCAAACTGAGTGTCTGACGACTACTCGGCAAATGAATTGACAGCCAGTCGAGAATCAAAGCCACCACTAGAAACTTGTCATCACTTATCCCTTCTCTGCGTGTATTTCCGATGTCGGATGGGCTCCGGCCATCGAACAGAATCATTCTGATCATCATACCAGCATCGCAACTCCTCCAAGAAGTCCCAGACGCACAAGACTGCAGCTCCAGACTGCTCATAACCACTCAAGAAAGCGACCAGAACAAGTTTCTCTCGCCATCATGGTCCATTCCACAGATATGCAGGGCCTCCGTGACCCAAGTCCTCCGTGAGCCGCGCCTTCAAGCTAGCGTCAAAACGATTACGATCGCTGATCACATGGTCAGTAAACGCTTCAATCCTCTCTCTCCCTCTCTCTAGCTTGAGAATCTATACCCGTACACTCGACGAGATTTTCGAAGTGGTGCTCTCCATCAATTAGAGAACAAAAGCATGAGCAATTCCAAGCTGTGCCAATCTACGGCAGCAAGCCAGCCACTGGATCGCGAACCTGCCGGGAGAGCCAAACATATGTCTCTGAAACGGCCTCAGATGCTCTGATGAAGTTTTTTGTGTGGACTAGGGTAGGATATTGAAAGGAAGGGGAAGTATTCGCAAAACTTTTGTTAGAGGAGGAGCAGGAGGATCTTGGAAAGAGATGAAAAAATTTGCCGAAATAGCCGGCTGTGGGAAACCTCATCAGTCCAGAAGTCATCGCGTTTATTTTTGTTTTTCGAGAAGTTTTTGGGATTGGACGTCGAGAGTGAGTCAGATTTCACGGATGCCCTTGGCGGGTTGCACGTGGTTTTCACATGCGATGACGTCAAAATTCAAGACTATGTTCACATGAAAAGCCCTGTCTATTGCTTCCAATTGTCTCGCGCTGATCGTCGAGGATTTCCTCCCCTGGAATAAGGCCACAGTGCAATGTATCCGGTAAGACTGCCAGAGGGGGCGGTTGGGTTGCTCAGACATGTTTTGCACCAGCCGACGACACGGAATCATGGGCAGACATTCACATTAACCTTTTCGCTTCGAGAGTGTTCCTGCTCTACAGTTAGTGGAATACCTCCTGTCGGTACAATCTTCTTGAGAAAAGAGTACACCAGCAGCCATATCAACAACATTGCCAGTCAAAGCACGACTTCCACAGCCGTCGATTAAGGAAGTCTCTGAAGACTTGCGGAGACTTCACTCACGCGCTATGACGGACGTTTCGACCCTCGTCATGGCTTTTGCAATTGGAGGAGGAGGAGGATCCGAAGAAGGAGCTCGACGAGAGATATGAACATGCCTGATGTGGATTGGCTCGAGTTGGAGCTGAGTGAGAGGTGCATCGCATTTTGCTTTGACCGGATACATTATTGGGCGTTGGAAAGGTTTGTAGTCGTCTCTTCAGGAAACAATGTTCCTTCTCGCAGCGAGAAGACTCCTGCTTGCTGTTTCGCTGAAAGGAACAAAGGCGACCTTGTGTACATTTAAGCCTGCTCTCTTGCTCATCAGTTGACTTCCGTATCAGTTTCTCGTAGAATCATTGGGTACCATGGCCTCTCCTAACACCGCTGGGAACTTCCATTACGTTGGTGGGCGTATCCAGAGCCTCAGAGAGCAAATCATCGGTTTGTCAGACCACTTTCTGTGTTCCAAAAACCCTGCTAACACACTCGTCATAGCAAATGCAGCCTTCGCCTTTCCAGGGGCCGTACAGCAACATCTTGACTACTACCGAATTGACAACACACCACCGGCAAAAGTCTTTGACGTGATACTTGTCCAGAGACGGCAAGATAGCTTTCAAGCCATCCTCATCTACGGCCTCATAACGAAACGTAATTTTGTTGCCTGCGGCACAGACGACAACCCTATCGCGGAGATGGCATTGCAGTCGCTGCTCGACACAGTCTCACAGGCGGTGGGACGGAACATGGATAGTGATTTCTTCAATCGCGGGACCCTTGAGCAACAGCCCAATGGTGGAAATATCGACAAGTCCTTGGTAGGCGCGAGACCGGCGTTGGGGCGCGGTGAACACGGAGCTGTCAGAGGGGTGCAAAATGGTTAGCTTGGCAACTAAAATGCTTACTGCGTATGGAGCGCTTCTGGATTTGCTCTTAGTTTTGATCCAGGAGAGCATGGTGATGAAAATTCGCTAGAATCGCTCGTTCCTGCGTGTCGTGCAGTGCGTCTTGGGAAAGAGACCAATATCTCGATATCAAACAGCGTTTCACTAGCCCATCTTGTCTACCGCTGGACAAGAGTAGCAAGATTCCGAAAAACATTTGTTAGCACGGAATTGCTAGAAACGATGTGGTACCGAATAAGAATACCCTTGGCAAGACGGGGCGACTGCGAGTACGGAGCCTGAGAACACATCGCAAACCTCGTCCATTCCCAAGTGTATTGGCAAGTCTTGAGGCCACAGTGGGTTGGATAGCACAGATGCAATGGTAGTGCGCTCCGGGATGATCTCCCAAATTACCACGGCAGGAGATTCCGTGTCCGCCCACCTGGTGACTGCCTTGTTAGTCTCTCCATGCACAGGCAGTGGTGGCCGAGCGAAGGAAGCGAAGTTCGCTGATGGTGTGCCTGGGGAGGCGCGTGTTTCCAGGCCGACAGGTAGATGCATTTCAATTGCATCTTACACGCAAGAAACCGTACACTTCCGCAATTCCGTCGCGTGATGTCGTCAACTGGAGGTACTCCGCCTACGCTGGCGACACCTAGCCATCAAAGCGATCGAATCCTCGGCTTTCGAGAGCAGATTCTCGGTGAGTTGGTGCGCTCGTCGCTCACGGGTAGGTCTGCTGACCGAACGCAGCCAATGCAGCAGTCGTATTTCCATGGGCGGTTCAGAGCCACATTGACCGCTTCCTGCTCGAGACCACCAAGCCTCAAGATGTGTTCGACATCATTATCGTCCTTGCAGAGAAAACTCTTCTTCGAGCAATCCTCGTCTACGGACCCATCACGGCCCGCCAGATTGCTGCCCAGGGCGCCGGCGAAAATACCACGGAACAAGCTTTGGATTCATTGTTGGCGCTCCTCACGGCGCATTTGGGTATTTGGTTTCAATGGCATAAGCTTCCGCCTACGGATGGCAACGGACCCAGTATCAAGATGCCGCCTGCTCACGGAAGCAACTTAAATGGAGCAGCGAGCCCTCAGCTGGGACAAGGCACGGGCGCGGCGCAAGCATGCCGACGAGATTGAGCGTATGTCTGGGTGAAGCCATGTCGAAGAGTTGATCAATGCTGGAGTGGCCACGAAGATGTAGCCACATGGCACGATGAAGGCGGTGGGCCGAGTTCCCTGTTGGGGGGCAGCAGATGTATCGTTTCGCCACAGTTGAATTTGGTTCCGCAGGCGATCGTGATGGTCAATCCGTCATCTCTTTCCAGATCCAGCATCTCAATGGACAAAGAAGACAATAGGCGGAGGTGACGATACAATAGCTGGCAAGAGCAGGTATCCCGCGCGGGCACTTGAAGAGTCTTGGCAACGGCCGCTCCCGCCTGACCTCGACCTCTTGCCCTGTCATATGCTATCTACCGTCTTGTCTTCACATGCGATACCACTTATTAATCTGCAGCCTCTCCGCCATTTCTGGGCTATTGACTGGCCGGACGACGGAGACGCGACATCAGATAACGATCTGACGAGCGACGTACCGGAGACGAGCCACAACGACCCCTCGACCACCAACCAATTGCCTATTACCTATTCGTAACTTGCGCCGCAACCGGCGGTCCGCTCCTCAACTCAGCACGCACATGACCACTTCACTATTCCACTAGGTCTTCCCCCGAACCAACTCCAATATCTGCCACCCGACAACATCTATCCAACATCCACACCACCAATCTACATCAACCAAGATGGCGCAGGCGCCAGGCCAACCCGGAGGGCCGCAACAGCCCCCAATGATCAGACCCGAGCAAATTGAAAAGCTGCCGTTCTTGAACGATCAGCAGAAGGACCAATACAGGAATGGCCTCATGAATCTGTGGAACACCTTCAATAGCTCTGCGCCTGACAGCGACCAGCGCAAGCAGGCTGAAGATAAGATCAGGATCGCAAGTCAAAAACTCATGAGCCAGCTGAGCCAACATCGCGCAAGTCGCCCTGGCTCTGGAAGTGGGCAGAGACCAAATCAGCCACAACAAGGCGGCATGCAGCAAGGACCGCAGATGTCTCAACAGATGGCACAGCCCAATATGCAGCAGATGCATGCTCAAGCTCAGGCGCAGGCTCAAGCCCAAGCACAAGCCCAGGCTCGCGCTCAAGCTGCACAAGGCGGACAAGTTGGAGCTGGAGGACAAGGCGGACAACCGATTCAGCTCTCTCAACAATCTCAACAAGCGCTGGATTCTGTCAACGTTTTCAGACCGGCCAATATGACACAGCAGCAATATGAGACCCATAGACACAGATGGCGCCGTGAAGCAGTCCCACTCCTCGCTAGGCGCGATCAGATCATGAGAAATGCGCATCAGTTGAGCCAGCAAATTAGCCAGCTCAAGCAGCAGAATCGGGAAATCCCACAACAAGCCATGCAGCGCCTGGAAGAGGCGAAAAAGAATGTGGAGGCCGCGAACGCGAGGTGGGCTAATTGGAAGGCTCAGGGTGAAGGACATGGGCAGCAGCACCAGCAAGCCCAGCAGAACGGCATGCAGCCTCAGGCATCAAACCAGCAACCCCAGCAACGCCCACCCACACAACAAGGCATGGACGGTGCCCAGCAGCAACAGCAGTCCCAGCAGTCGGCACAGCAGCAACAGCCCGATGCAAACATAAAGCCGGCCAATACGGACCAGCGAAACTCGATCTCTCCGCCCCAGCCCCAGAGCGGCCCTGTGCAACAGCAGGCACAAACGGGACAAAACCAGCCAAACGGCCCCGGCCAACAAAACATTGGCCAACAACAGCAACAGGGGCAAGCGCAACCTCAACTCCAGCAGACTCCTCAAACCGCGACACAGCCTCAACCTCCGCAAAACTTTCCTCAGCAGAACGTGCAACAGCAGCAGCGACCGCCTCAAATAAACACAGCGCAGGCTCAAAACGCCAATCAAGCTGCATCTCAACAGCAGGCGACATCAGCTCCCGGTGGACCGAACAACGCAGGCCAGCCACAACCTCAGCGACCGCAAACGCTGAATCAGCAACAAGCTCTTTCACGCGCGGCAAGTGAATATAACTCGGGCCAGCAGCAAGCTCAACAAGCGCAGCCTCAGCAGCCTCAAGTACCCAACGGACTACCATTCAACCAACAACAACCCAGCTCCGCGACGCAGCAAAACACCCCCACCTCAGCATACCCGAATCTGCAGACTACCCAGACGAACAGCGCCAACACAAAGTTCCCGATTCCGAAGACACTGCAACTCGACCCGCGTACGCAACAGCCTGTCGCCGGACCCCCTTCGCGTCCCACACTCGGCAATCAGGGCATGATGTACAACCCAGGTGTTGCGCGACCACCACCATACACACTCGAGGGCGAAGGCGACCGCGTCCTTAGCAAGCGCAAGCTCGACGAGCTCGTGCGCCAGGTCACCGGCTCGGCGCCGTCCTCTGACAACAGCGAGTCGTCCTCCATCCTCGCTCCGGAAGTCGAAGAGTCGATGTTGTCCGTCGCAGACAACTTCGTCGACGACGTCATCACGTCCGCGTGCCGTCTTGCGAAGCTGCGCCCGAATCAGACTCTCGACATACGCGACATCCAGATCGTGCTGGAGCGTAACTACGGCATTCGGATCCCGGGATACAGCCTTGACGAGGTGAGGACTGTGCGGAAATTTCAGCCAGCACCTGGTTGGCACAGCAAGATGCAGGCGATCCAGGCTGGGAAGGTTATGGGGAGCAGGTAAGACACACCATACCTACTACACCGGCATTTTTCAGCTAATATTCTTTCCTTCCCTAGGGATCCTTAGGAGGCATCCCGCAACAACCAGAACCCTACCGACGGCGCCACACCCGCTACGGCCGCTTCGTCTTCGAGCCATCCGCCTGGTTCTGGCAGGAAGCGCGCCACCACCTCGGCGCTGGATCACGATATGGACGAGGAGCCGTCGCCCGTCCGTAAGAAGGCGAAGAAGACGGCGCCTGATACAACGGGATAGCAAGCTACTACGCCAATAACGAGGTCCGGGGTTCTTTCACGTACTTGCAAGATCGAAGGGGAAAGCCAGAAAACTGGCTGTTTGTTGGTTGGTTGTTTGCGTTTTCCTTTCTTTCTCGCGTAATTTTGGAAGACTCTTGAGCGAGGCGTTGCTGGAGAACGAAGAAATCGAAAGAAATGAGGACATGATTCTTCAGAGCGCATCGATCATCACGAAGGGGGGATAATATCCTGGGCGGCATCGATTTTCATCCCTTGCTGCTGCTGCCACTGCTGCCGCTGCTGTATGTTCTTCTTCTAATCCCATCACAGCAGTTTCAGCCTGTCTAGATAGTTTGTGTAAACTTATTTGGAACACAAAACAACACAACAACACCACAACAACAACAACAACAACACCACAACAAGAACAAAATCTCTAGAAAACTTTTATCTTTTGGTATTCGGTAAATTGGTTGGTAACTTTTGGTTGTCATCGGCACAACCTAATGACCCGATGAATTTCTCTTCCAGATTCCCGTCCTCACTCACGAGACCCCCTCCACCTTCCAGACCTTCACGGCAGCATCGGCGCCCACACTCACGACCTTGCCCTCTTCATGCCAGACCACACCGCCCACGCCTTCCTTATGCGCATTCAAGGCTTTTACCCTCTTGCCCGGGTCGGACAGGCTCCAGACCATGACGTTCGTATCCAGAGCGCCGGAGACGGCTTTCTTGCCGTCGGGCGACCAGGCGATACAGGTGACGCGGGCGGTATGCGCGGACCAACGGTTGGTCTCGAGAGTCCAGGCGCCGCCCGAGGAGGAGGAAGCAGAAGAGTAGACGAAGATTTTGCCGTTGCTGAGGCCCACGGCGAGGTGAGAGCCGGAAGGGGAGAAGGCGAGGGTTGAGATGGGGGAGGTGGCGTCGGTGAGGGTCGTGAGGGAGTCGAAGGAAGTTGGGGAGCCTGCTTGGAAGATCCGTACGGTCTTGTCGTCGGAGCCTGCGGCTACGATCTCGCCGTGCGCGGTGATGCAGGTCGGTGGAGCGGGGAGTTTCTGCTCGGAGACTTTGGAGCCTTCCGAGTAGGCCGTGATTCCGGAAGCCGTCGCTACGAGGGTGTGAGGTTTGCCTCCCACCGTAGCGACTGCGACGCCTTTTGGTTGGCCTTCGGTTTTGAGAGCGCTGCCCAGGTACGAGGATTGTGAGGAATCGATGGTGCGGAGAGTGTCGTCCCAGCCGACGCTGTAGATTCTTCCATCGGAAGAGGAGGTGGCGATGCCGGAGATGTAGTTGGAATGCGTCTCGCCATCGATGAGGTCTGCTGCGCCCGTCGTCAAGTCCCACGATCGCGAGCGGCCTTCGTAACTACCCGTCCAGAGAGTCTTGCTGTCCGGTGCCGAAGCCGCAGCCGTGATGGCTTTCTGATGTCCTCGAACAATCTTGACGGGCTTCTCGCTGCTTTCCTGGAAGTAATTCAAGTTCCCTTCCAAGTCCACCGAGATGATCAAACCGTCACTCCGTCCTCCGGGCCACGTAACACCGACCTGCTGATCCGGCACACTCACCCCTTCATCCCCACCCATCCTCCAACTCTTCGTACACTTCCCAGCCTCCACATCCCAGATCTTCACCGTCTGATCCCCACTACAAGTGACCACCTTCTTACTGTCCCTATCCCATCCAACCCCAAAAATACTGCCCTTGTGCTCCCCCGCTCCTCCCATCTCCCTGATCGCCTCTCCCGTCTTGCCATCATATATCCAAATCTTCCGATCACTGCCCACAGTCACCAACACCTCCCCATTCGGCGAAAACTGCGTTCCGTAGATATACTTGTCATGCTTGCCCCTCACGCTCGTGTTGAACGTGAACGGCGCACCATGATAAAACACCATGGACATATCATCGCTCCCCGTCGCAGCCCGCAGAGGTCTCTGCTGCCGGATACTCACGCAGTTGATCTGCTGCGAATGGCCCGAAATCTCGCCCACCGAATTGCCGGAATCCGCCGTGATGCAGTGTCCGAACCGCTCCTTGCCGTCGCCCACGGCGATGATGCGTTGCGAGTCTCCATCCCAGGCGATGTCGTTGATCCGGCCTCCGATGATGTGATATTCGCCTTTGGTGGTCTCCGCGCCCGGGGCGTCCCAGACGCGTACGCTGCCGGAAACGTCGCCCGAAGCGACGTAGAAGCCCGAGGGGGAGAAGCGGGCGACGGTCGTGGGAGCGGTGTGTTGGGTGTACTGCTTGGCCACCGAGGGCTGGTCGATGGAGCGGATGAAGATGGATTTGTTGCTGGCGTAGGTGATGCGTTCGCCTTTGGAGTCCGAGGCGAGGGGAGTGGGGGAACCGCGGGTGGTGGTGGGAGAGGCGGCCCAGATGGTCTCTGTGCAAAAGGCATTAGCTGGCGGAATGGTGCCTGTCGTGAACGAGGAGCTATACCTGAAGTAATTGACATTTTTCTCCAGAGGTTTGCGTGGAATGGACGCGAGGAAAGCTTTGTTTATGAGCTCTGTTGACTAGTACTTCTGGCGGTGGAGGGGAGATTCATTCACTTGGAAACGGGCGCCCTGCCGGCTGACGTAGCACGCGGCGGAGCTTGGTTCACAGGGCTTATGCTTGCCAATCCATTCCATATATTTGCGTGCATCTATATACATCACGAAACTAGGAACAAGAAGCAACCTGAATGCGCTACTTGGATATGTGTGTACAACGAACTACTAGACTACTATGTACATGCTCGGTACAACACAATCATCGTCATGGGGTATATCGGCCTCTATTTTCCATCATCGCCAAAGTAGTGCGGCATTACGGCGGGGTGGGTGGCATTACCAACCACGCTGCCACCGAAGGTGAAGTAGCCAGACGCTGTTCAACAGTCAGTAAAGGGAAACATCCTTTCTCACTCCTCTCGGGGGGAACTCACCATCTACAGCAGGCAGGGCGGTGATATCCTCATAATCACCCATAACCCACACGCTCTGCATGCCCATAATCATATGCTGCAAGATATGGCAATGGATCATCCACACCCCAGCATCGTCGACTCTCAATCGCCACGCTCGCCATCCCATTCGTTCCCCTGAAACCGTCTTGGATCCGTAGCGGTAAAGATTGGTTGTATCCCGCTTCACGGGGTGGTAGTCCTTGAGCTTCATTTCATTCGCCGTGGCGTTATAGGTTCCGTTGCCGCTACCGATGTCGTAGTAATGACCTCCATGGGCGTGGAAAGGATGGTAATCGACAGCGCCGCCGTTTTTGACAAGGGATCCGGTGTTATACAGAATGATTTCGAGAACCTGCGCAGGAGAAAGTCAGTAACTGCCAATGGGTATTGTGATGTTTCGGACTACGGCACCTCTCCCATCTTGGCTGGGAAAGTCTTGGTATACGGATCCCAGCCGTTGTTCGCCAGTGCAGCCGTGTAGTTGGGGATGGCAGAAGGTCCATGCTCGTAGATGGCGACCAAGTAAGGCAGATCACCTGGGTATGGAACGGTAGTTTCATTCCACTGCAAACCATTCAGATGCCAGATAATGGTCTGCTCGGTGAGTTGGCGACTGTCGATTTCAATACGGCGAGTGACTTGGTCCGCAGTAGGGAAATTGTTCTCGTAGAGCGGCTCCAGCGCGTACTCGGCCCAGTCATAAGTGGCGTTGGAAAGGGTGAGCGGTGGCTTGGCTGGGGCGGTGGTGATTGACGGCTCGTCAGGGCGATAGCGAAGAACTCCATAACCACGATAAACTGCTGGACGGTCTTTCGTCTCAAACTGGATGAGGTAATCGGTTTGATTGCCAAGTTCGGCCTGAGATTTCGCCTTGAAGAGTGCGCTGAACCGCTGACCGGTCGAGACTTGCATGAACTTCTCGGTATGAGGCTTGGTATACGCGCCATCGGCTTCGATGATCGTGAACTCGTCATGGCCGACAATTCCCAGTTGAACCATGGAAAGTGCCGCACCTCCAATGAAGCGCAGACGGTAAGTCTTGCCAGGAGATACGTTGATGACGGGTAACTTGCAGCTGCCGTCGCCGGCTTGCTCTCCATCGGCAACGCCCACTCCATTGATCAGCACAGCATTCACCTCGCCAGGCCACACGAATGGTGTCGACAGCAAGTCCGTCTCGATCGCGTGGTCGGTCGCGTTGAAGTAGTCGCTCAGAAGGATGACCTGTTCCTCGTCATACTGATAAGGCAGGGGTTTGCAGTCCTCGACAATCAAAGGTCCTGACGCCGACACGGCTTGGAAGCCAACATGTGAATGATAGAAGTAAGTGCCGGGCTCGTCTTCCGTAGGATGGACCTCGTAGTCAAAGAAGTGTTGGCATGGTATCGGCCACTGACTTGCTTGAGGTGTTCCATCTGCGAAGGGTGCCATGCGCTGGCTGAGTCCGTGCCAATGCATCGTGGTGTTGTAACAGTGATCTCCACCCATATCGTTGTAGACGCGGACCCAGCTTGTCTTGCCAGCGGGTAATCGCAGCTCCGGCCCGGGTAATGTTCCGTTGACCAGGACCGATGCGCGTGATTGGCATCCCACGGTGATGTTTTCGTATGTGACGTGCAGTGAGAAGTCCGGTTGAAAAGTCTCATCGTGTACGCGGAGGCCTCCATAGTGACCTGGCGCGCCATGCGGACCCTCTCGAGGGCCCCAAGCGAGCACCTGTGTGGCGGCGGCGGCGGCGGCGAGGACAGCGAGAGCTGCCCTCGTGGTGACGACCATGTTGAGGGATGTGAAGGAAGGAAGGAAAGAAGGAAAGACGAAGACCACAGGAGTGGTGGCAGTAACGAAGAGAAGACCACGAGAGCAACACGGCATTCACCAAGGTCACGGAGGACTCGCTTTACATACTGTAGCAGGCTGATGAGCGTCCTCACACAGCGGAGAAGGCTGTTGTCTTGCCGAGCATGCTGGCCAAGACCAGGGTGACAGCGAGTCGGATAGCACACAATTCGCGGTAGTCGCCGTCGAGATAGACTTCCCATGTGCTAGAGACGCTGTAGCCTGTAGGCGTCCTCCCCACGGCTCATCTAAAACGCTCGAGCCGCGCAGGCCCTATCGCAAGCTTGCACCTCCTGGGTGGGTTACGGAACGAGATGAAGGCTTGTGGCGGGTCATGCGCGGGTGATGCTGTCGAGCGACAACGAACGGTAAACGTTGGTTGCTGCTGGAGTGGATGGTCAGCGGGCAACGCAGTTGGCTGCGTACAGTAGTACATGTACAATGCTTCCATCTTCTGACGCAAAGAGGCAATCGCTGAGCTAGGTAGCGGAGCTGGGTGCAGGGCGGGAGCGGTGTTCGTCATGGCAACCGAGTCGAAATGACATCAAGAGGCAAGCGCGAACGGAAGCTCAAGTCACAGGGCGGGCACGCTGTGCAAGGATGAGGTGAGAAAGTGATCCTGGCAGTGTCTGCGACATTGCTACATTGGGCAAAGCCGCGAGGCTCGAGCCTTGGTCGCGTGGTTCCCATGAGTATAGGTACGGTACCTTTATTAGCACAGTTAGGCTTTTTAGCTGAGCGGATGCCGGAACAAGCTTTGTGGCGTCTGCGAGGCGGAATGCTCCACAGACAGCTCCCTCGTGTCGAAGATGTCGGTAGTAAGGTAGGGCGTGTGACGGTCGGTCGGTCATGAGTTCCAGTGCCGCCGCGACAGCCGTTTCATTCGCCGTTGATCCCCGTCGCACCGAGAGTCCGGACTCGTGTTCTCGTTTCGCCCTCGCCATGCCTCGCCATGCCTCGCCGCGCCTCGTCGTGGTGGCAGTGCAGTGCAGTGCAGTGCAGTGCAGTGGATGCCGCAAAAACCGCCGAGCAAGTGAGACAGGTGTGGCCGACTGTCTCTCGTGTCGTCGAATCCGATCAAGGCGAGAGAAGAGAGAAGAGAAGAGGAAGGGAATGGGAGAGCGTAGCGGGCGGGTCTGGCGTTGGTGAAATGTGCAGAGGTGAGCAAGTTTGCGGTGAATCGAATCGTGTAGCCACGGCGCGGCGCTCGGTCGTCTGGATACTGTACAGTACCTGGTAATGAAGGGGCCGTCGCTGGAAGGTTGCCGTGCCGTGCGGTGCAGGAGAGGGGCTAGACGGGCGTGTTCGTGTTCTGACTCGGTCTCGGAGCTCAGATCAGCTCGGTAATCTGGGCAATCAGACGCCGCGCAGCCAGGTCCACCCCTCCAGTACTACTCCAACTCTTCATCAATGCTATGCTTCGCTTCATCAACAACAATGCCTGCCTACGTGGTACCTCCTAGCAAAGCCAAGGTACATGTACCCTTTCCTTTCCGCCTAATAATAAGGTAGCCCCGCCCACCTAGTCTGTGCGCTGTGGCTCGGAGACGGCAGCCGGAAGATTAGATTCTCGTCACAACCATCAGTCGTGTCACGATGCATTTCCACGTGTTTCGATGGCGCAGCTGTGATGAGGCCGCTGTCTATATCTGTGTATACATATAGTCTGGGCAGAGCATGCAGAGAATCTGTCGCGTGCAGACGTGGCGCTGATCGACATGCCCACTCGCTTCCCGATCGTTAAGGCATGATCAAGGTTCTCGCTTCACCTTCACTACCACACTACCGGCAGGCTCCACCTCACTCTATTGCGACTTCTCCCTTCAACCTCCGCAAGCACCGGGCACGAACATGAGGTGGAGGTAAGGTAGATGACGGTGTCTACAAGTACACCCGAGGAGCTCGACGCATGCGTAGACATTCCAGTTGGGCCTCAGCGTGACCACCTGCAGCACTCCGGACATGTGGAAAGACTCGAGCACAGCCTCAGGCACCAACGGCAACGGCAACGGCAACGGCAACGGCAACGGCAACGGCAATGGCTGTCTGCCACATGGAAGGCACTCCTCTACATCTCAAAGATGCCAGCCGCACTTCCATCAACGCAATACATGTAATCAGTGCATCACGGGCACCTTCGTGATCCAATACACCCTCTTCCCGCGGACCAAGGACAATGGGGGGGAGCTTGGGCGAAAAAGTCCCGTTTGCCAGGCCACAAGTGAGCTTTCAATTGTAACGACAATAGCATGTGTACGCGCTCCCCTGGGACAATGGGATCCACAGCAAACTCGCCCTCCAGGAGCAAGTATAAAGTGACTCTTCAGCGCACTCTCTTCTCTTCTGCTTCAACCTTCTCAGCACTTCCTCGCAGCGACTTCAGCGACTTCTACACATTTTCAAGAACGAATCAGCGCCTCTCCGCCTTCAGCAGCGGCGACAACAGAGACGCCAGTATACCCACTACACCAGCATACACGCGACCCATCCTCAACACCATGTCTACCATCACGAGCTTGTCTTCTTCATTCTCAAGAAGCAATGCGAGCACTCTCAGTGCCAGTGACTCCTCCGTTCATGGTCTGCGCGACCAGATCTTTGGTACGTCCGATTCCTCAACACTCATTCAAATCATCTTGCTGACTTACTACAGCCAACGCTGCCGTTGCATACCCGCACATCATCGCCACAAGCGACACACCTGACAAGGCCTTCAACATCGTAAGTCTCTAGCTCTCACCTGTCACCAAATAGCAATCCTAACTCCACTCGTCCGCAGGTCGTCCTCAGCGACAATGTGTCGGGAGAGAAGCATGCCAAACTCCTTCAGAACAAGGCGACATACCATGCCATCGTGGCAACCGGTACTCCCTCTGGAACCGTGGAGCAGGCTCTACGTGCTCTACTCGAGGTCACCAGCCAAGTCTTGGGCTGGTACTCGGACACCTTGCTAGGAGAGATTGAGCACGCCGAGGACTGCGCTGGTGGAGCCGTCGACTTCCTCATGGTCGAGCAGGGCTTCCACTTCGCTGCCGAGCAGCGTACCTTGAACGGTGAGTGAAGCGTGATCTTTCCGCAGCAGCGAGCAGAACAGCACGTGAGCAGCTTTCTCCTCACCTCTTCAGCGAGGCGTCTTGGACTGGGGGCTGGCAATTTCGGTAAGCAGCGCGGCTTGGCTCTTTTCACGAGTCGATGGAACGATCCAAAAGCTACCGTGAGTGAATACATCTCTCTTCTACTACACTGCTCCTCTCCTTCACTCTCGTCACTTGCTCTCGTAACGTTTCTTCGCCTTACTGCCAACCACTCTCTTATCTTCGAATAAATCTCTCCTCCCTCCAAACAAATAACATCCTCTCCACTCCCGCGACGACCAACGTGGGAAAAAGCTCCTCCGTGCCTCGAGAACCCTTCCCCCGAACGTGTTTCCATCCTCACATGCTCTCACATCCCTACCATCCGCCCCGCGCACACTCTTTCTCGCTCCCTCCCGCCCTTCGTCAAGGATTCCCCATTCTTGACATCCTCCGGGCTATCATATCTGCCGAAACCCCTCTCCTACCCACCGAGCTATCTGCGCAAGAGAGGTAAGGTAGGTAAGGCAGGAGGTATAGGCACCCCACCCCCTCCTCGAGTGTTGCAGAAATCTTTCTCCCCCGCTGCTGCCTCCCCTTCCATATCGCCGATACTCGTCATGGAACCCCGGCCGGCGCACACATCTCTCCCACTTCCGGGCAAGAAAACCAGGTACCTCCCTACATAGTAGTAGGGAGCGGAGCATACAACCACGTGTCGAAGGCAATGCACCACCACCATCACCACCAGCCACACTGCCACACTGCCACATCACCTACCTACCGTACCCTACCTTTCCCCGCACGCCTCCTCCTCCTGCCCCTGCTGCCCCCCCCCCTTCTCATCTTAATCCCTACAATTCCCCAGGAAATCAAAAAAAAAAAAAAAACATGCTTCTTCCTTGCATAGGTTCCCCAGAGAAGAGAAGAGAAGAGAAGAGGGCGGGGGAACAGAGAAAAAGAATCCGAATGAAAAAATGAGCGCGTCATACACGGCCGGCCCCCCCCCGCCCCCCCCCGCTACCTAATATCTCTGGCCTCTCGCGTCGTCAGCAATTGCTTGTTGTTCAGGGGGGAAGATTACACTACTGTTCCGGTCCACGCGCGCGCGCGCGCGAGAGAGAGAGAGAGAGAGAGAGAGAGAGGGAGAGAGGAGATGACCCGTATCACATCACGCGGACATTTGAGTTTTCCTTACTCCCGCGCAGGGATCAGAACCATATACCATACCAATGATACCATACCCGTGGAGAGAAATCTTATACGCGCTTGCCGAGCCCGATATTTTATTGTACAACTCACACAAAAAAAGTCTCCTTCCTCTGCCGAAATATGTGTGGTGATAAAAAGTACAGCTTTTTGAAGGACTTGCGCTCCATTGCATTTTCTTTCTTTCTTTTCTTTTCCTCTACCTTACCTCTATCGACCATTCACCTTTGAATTACCTTCTTTTCACAACCGGGCGTCATCCAGATTCGCGCTGCCATCAATAGCGCCGTCTCCATCTTCCATGGCGCCTCCACCTCCGAAGCCCTCATCCAAAATCTCCGGAATCATCTCTCCTTCCCCGACAATCTTCTTCCCCCCCTCGAAGAGAATTCGCTTCCATCCTTCCCGCTGAGTGTCGTCTTTGACAAATTCAATGGTCGGGAAGTAATGTTCGTTCTTCTTCATCGTCGCAACCCAAGGCACGTTGTCAAAGGTCATGACTTTGAGGCGGAAGTAGGTGTTGTTGGGGATCTTGTTGACTTCCGTCAGGAAGGATTGGAGGTCAGGGGTGGGTGTCCTGTTGACTGCCATGATGAAGTTGGTAGGAGCGAGGCCGTAGGCGTATGACGGAGAGCCGCGGAAGCGTGCTGACACGTATATGTCGGAGTGCACTTTGCTGATCTGCTGGCGTACTGCGTGGTGAGGGCGATGTAAGACGGCTCCGCAGAAGACAATGATGTGGTCTGTTTCCAGCTCTTCTGTTGGCACGGTGGGTACTTCGAGCTCAAGCTGTTCTCGTTTCCGGACAACGACAGCTTTGAGGGTTTCATTGTTGTACATGATATCCAGATCGCTGACGCGGGTGATGAGGCGGTCATTCAGCGTGAGGAGAATGTCTCCTTCATGCAGTCCATTACCGCTACCAGCATCGACTTTGCGGACCATAAAGAGTTGGTGTCGTTCTGGATCGTCACGCTCGACCCGTTCAATCCACTCTTCACTCACCCCCATGATGCGGCATTGGCTCATCTGCACCGTCTGCGTCTCCATGTTGAGAATGCGGAGGTCGGGCTTCCTGCCGCTCTTGATCTCGTCGATGACCGGGAGAAGAGCGGGTGTGGCGAAGCCGAGGTGATACTCAATGTCCTTACCACTGTGGCCAGTCCGCTCACCAAGGTATGTCAGCCACAGAGCCTGGACTGTGCCGTCTTCTGAGATGAGCACACCGCTGCCACATTGCCCGCTAAGCGACGTGTCGACAGTGATGGCATCCAGATTCACAGCACGATAGCGTGGTGTCGCGGCACTAGCAGGAATAGCCACAGTGGTGATGTCTGTCACGGCCGTCTTTGCCACTACCGGCCGCAAATTCTGGTTGAACCCGAAAAATATGGTGTTTTCTCCCTGCTTGATGGGTTTGGTAGCCAACTTGGCACTCTGAACGGGTGCCTGTACCAACCTTGGGTCGTATTGGATGATCGCATAATTCTGCAGAGGATGCAGGAAGACTACCTTGCCATCCACGATGATGGAGTCGGCAATGGTCACGGAGATGTCGCACATGTCGTATGGGACGATCGCACGCGAAACTACCACCAGTCCTTTCTCGGCGTCGATGACCAGCCCAAACCCAATCTTGCGAGCCTTTGGGAAGCCGTCAAGCTTCATGGGCAGCATTGTGCTGACCCTCACAAATGACTTGATGATCTCGACCGCACCAGGATGTTGCGCTCCCTCCATCTTGATGAAGTTTGCTTTCCGAGGCCCCGGTTCTTTTGGTGCTATGGGCTCCGCGAGATCTGTGAAGTCCCAGAGTCCAGTCTTGTCGTTCCGTACTGCAAGTCGCATACTCTTCGACCAATGCCTATCGACAAGCATGATGCTTGTATTTAGTGTGTGCATGTCGCGAAGGTGCTTGTATGTGACGACTACGCGACTCCGATCTGCGATGGCCTTCATGACTTCGACGAAAGTATCCAGATCAGGTGTAGGTTTGTGGTCAATGGATTGGATGAGCCAGCCGTATTCGGAGCCCTCAAAGCGGAATGAACCCGAGGCCTCGCAGCAGTAGACGCCTGCATCTTTCAGTGCAATGGCGTAAAGGCGAGCCTGTTGGTAAGAGAGGTTGTGGAACGCGGCGCCTGCCACTGAGACAAATCGATCAGGCGTGATCTCGTGCAAGTCGCCAACGTCCAGCTCTACTTCGATATCGTTCCCGCCACGCTGAATCAGCAGTTTGACCTTACCGCCAACATTGCTGTCCAGGATGTCGTCCAAGCGCACGAACTGGGTGAGCAGCTCGTCGTTGACTTTGAGCAGCACGTCTCCCTCCTCGAGCTTTTGATCTCCAGGCCCTTTTGGCAACACAACCTCCGCCACAAGCATACCCGTCTCTTTCGGGAACTGTTTCCGTACCTCGCTCTCCCAATTCGACGTCAGGCCTAATCTTCGGCATTCGTCGAAAGCCTTGAGTATCCACTGGGTCTGTATCGTGCCTCTGTCCACGTGCTTTCCGTCTCTTATATGTTGAAGAGCTCGCAATGGTCGGTCAAGCGGGAGAAAGTAGTCCGTTGCCGCTCCGTCTGCTCTGCCGCCCGCCTGCAGTGCAACAGCATATCCGTCGATGTTAACGACCGGGGAGCCTGATGATCCTCCTGACGCAGCTGCCGCAGCCTGGATGTAGTTTGTGTTGAAATCGCTGTATCCCTCGCCGTACTCTGGAGCGTTTCGGTCCAATCTCGAGATGACACCGGACAGGATGCTCAGCTTCTCTCCTGCATCGTTACCGACCACTCGGATCTCCGCGCCGACCTTTGCACACTCCGGTTTCAGCTCTAACGAGTCCAGCTGCATGTATTTGATCGCCTTGGTGTCGAATCGAAGGATACCAAAGTCGTGGACGGGATCACGGTAGACGGGGTAGACATCGCACTCCTCGTGGTTGTCGAAGATGCAATAGCCCCAGAATGGCCCAGCTCCCACCACATGGCGGTTCGTGAGTATGTATCCGCGCTCCGAGTCCACCACAAAACCCGTAGCCTCACTTGAAATGGCACTGTCTGTGTCGAAGGAGCAAGTCTGGCAAAAGTGGATGCTGACGACGTTCTTGACCACCTTTTCAATTGTAGCCTGCCATTCTGCTGTATCCGCGCCGGCAGCAGCGTGTATGACCGAGGCATCGTCTTCACGCGTGGGCGAGCCATAGCCGTTGGGAGTGTCTGCGGCACTGGCCGTCACACCATTGCCGAGCGACTTGTTGCCATTGTCCATGGGCGCTGGGCTCGGTCTGCGGACCTGCTTTGACGGGCGGTCGCTGGAGTCTGAAGTCGGAGGATGCTTGCGCTTGGAGGTAAAATTAGGTTGGTCCATGTTGTTGGTGAGCGTGCGTGTGGCTTGAGTCAAATGCAGTTGCGAATGACGAAAGGCGGCAGGATTCGCTGGTAGAGAGATGAATGCTCGTGTTCCTGCAGGCGTATGCGGTAGAGATGGGATCGATCTGAGACGAGATGCAGCGACAGCGCACAACAGCGGTGTACGTGTTGGAGGGCGCAATGCGCGGCGCAGGGAAGAAGGCTGTGAGCACGATGGTGAGATTGCAGAGGTGGTAGCAGGAGGTGGAGGTGTAGAAACGAATCTTCCGATCCAAGGTGAACTGTAGTACAGACTGCTACTTCGATGGGTAGTCAGGCCCCACGCAGCGTCGCTCAGAGCAATGCGCATCCAGCAGTATCAAGCACCGACCGAGTGCTCTCGCGTCCCAACCTGACCTGCGCGTCTCCTGAGTCCTGACAGCGAGTGGATGTTGGGAGACGGGAAGCACCTGCATCGAAGGGGAAACGCAGAATCTGAAGCACAAGCACGTGCAGGTGGGAGATGCGACTTCACCTGCTCCATCTGGCAAAGCGCAGAACCTTCAGCTCGGTAGTCGGACCGAACGGCAGACATCGCCGAGCCGGGCATCATATCACATTTCAGCCTCACATCTCCCTTCACCTGCATCGTAATCCGCGGAGAGTTCGCCAGCGTCGCCGTCGCGGATTGGGAAGACTCGCTGGGCGCTGACATGTGACGGCTGGCGGCGGCGGCGGAGGTCGCAACCTGCACGCTCGCGGCGCCCGACTGCGACGAGAGGACAACAGGCTGCTGGGGACGTTCTTCGGGCCACCCGCGATATTGGGCATCTGGACCTGACGCGCGCCGTTGGACTTCTGGCGCTGCCGGGTTGGCGACTCGCATGCGCTCGAATGTGCCGGCATGATGGCATCTTGCGACAGTCTGGACCCGGGAGAGGCCGCGCGATGGTTCGTCAAGAGAGAATCGTACTGTGTATGAATCTTGGTGCAGCAGCAGCAGGCATGGCATGCTGAGTAGCATGAGCAGAACGCTCGCCTCTATATACTGCTCGCAGAGAGTTTCTCATCGCGCATACTAATGTCGCAGAGTACGGCTTTGTCAGGCGCGCGCCCTGTCCCCAAGTCTCGCGCTCAGCGCTGCGTGCGTGGCCCCATACTGGAGTTCTTGTTGTGAAGAGACCGCGGAGATATGCAGTCTCACACTGTCCTGCTCGTCAGACCAGCTCTCCATCCTCCTCCGCTGGCTCCGGCTTGACCTTAGCGCCGTCGTCGGCGCCCTCGCTACTCTCCTCCTCGACCTCTGATGGAGCCTTCTCGTCGTCCTCATCGGCGCCCGCAGTGACCTTCTTCTTCTTCTTCTTCGGCGTCGCGCGCGGCTTCTTGGCCTTCTTGCCAGAATCCTCTCCGTAGGTGGCCTGGGCGGTGCGCTTCTGCAAAGACGGATTGAATCAGGAAGAGGCTTCTGCGGAACGAATTGAAAGATTCGTACCTTGCCCTTGGATGCTGGAGTAGCTGGCGTAGCCGGAGTAGGAGTACCTGGTCCCTCGCCCTCCTCGCCATCGGCGGCCCCCTTCTTCGCCTCGCGCACCTTCGCCTTCTCCTTGTCGAGCATGACCTGGCAGGCCTTGCGAGTGCGACCCTCCGGAAGCTCGAGTTCACTCCATGGGATTGGCTTCTCCATCTTCTGCATGATCTGGAAGATAAGGCCGAGCTACACTCGACATCGTCAGCTCGGCGCATCGACGCAAGTGGAGTCATGGATTACCTTTTCCGTGTCAGTCCATCCTTTTGCAGCAGCGGACATCTTGTCGGTGTTGGATGGTGAGTGTCGATGGAGGTAGGTGGTAGTGTTGCGTGTGTCTGAGGTAAAAGAGGTTGGGAGCTAGTGGGGAGTGTCGAGTACTCGAATCTGCTGGGGGTGGAGAGTGAAGTAAGAAGAGATCAGGATAACGAGTGCAAAGGCATCGGGAACCACGAACCTCAAAGCTCACCTCTAGGCTGCAATGTAGGTGGGTCCTTTTTCTTGGCTTCACTTTCCTTATTGGGGTTCACTGTCACATGTCAGAAACAGCTCTGTCGAGCGGCGTTCTCTTGATTTCCCTCTCACATGCCGACTGTCTAGTCTAGCCTAGTCAAGCACATGCTTCTTACGAGAAACGCAATCTCTCGGTCTCTTACGTCAAACTTAAGCCCTTTCCTCTACAATCTTCCAACTCCAAATCAACAACACGTACAAAAGACACGCTCAACGCTAACTGCAGAAATCAAGCCGCGCCACCATGTTCGCGTTCCGGAATCTGTTCTCCTCAGACAAGCCCAAGCGCCAGGCTCCAGAGCCACCAGAAGACGAACGCCGCAACAAGCGCCCTCACACCGAATCCGACGCCGCGATTTCGAGCACCGCAAACCAACTCGTTCCACTGGTGTCTCGTCAGGAAGCTGCGGCATTTTGGACACAGCCACATCGGTTGCCAGAGCCTCAGGACTTCCCAATTCAACCTGACGCAGCCATCACCAACTCGAACGCCAACGGCTACGAATCTGACGAGGATATCTTCCAAGATGCGCCAGGTGGTGACTCATTCATCACTGACGCGCAAGAGAGCCAGTATGAGCCTTGGGTGGATGAGGATCGTACTCAGAAGCCGCTGCAGCAGCCAACCCAGTCGGCAGTCGACTTCGTCGCCGAGGACGAGGATGGCAACCCGCTCTACGAAGACTGGGCTATTCCTCCTGGTGCGGACCTGCAGCAGCACGGTCATGAGCAAGTGGGGGACATGAATGGCCAAGAGCAAATCATTTCTGGCAACATCAATCAGGCTGGGGCCACGGAATTTGGTGGAGCTGGAGATGTCATGTCTATCAGCAGTGACAACGGCCAGGCCAACTTCAACGGAGCCGATCAGCGCGGAATTACGGGTGCCGTCGAAGAGGGCATCTTGGGCTGGGATGAGACCGGTCTGACTTTCGACCTCCAAGATGCGGCAGCCGCAGCCGCAGCAGCTCGAGATGCGAATCTCGACCTCTTCGATCTCACTCATGTGGCGGATCAAAACCTCGGCTTCTTCAATCAGGAGTACAACGGCCAGAACTTCCCACCAAATACCGCACGTCCCGACGCCATCGGATTGCAAGACGACGATACTCCACAGTACCAGGCCGTCACCAAGGAGCACGCTGCAGGAGGCGAGCCAGGTGAAGAGGTACCGCAGCCTCTTGACACTGTACTCGGAAAAGCCCAAGGCGAAGAGCAAAACCCAGAGACCAACGAGACCGACGCCCGGACCAACGGCATCGAAGGCGACCTCTTCGCCACAATTTTCGGCAACCAGGAACACACAATCTCCAACTCGGACGACGACGACGACGAAGAAACCACCCGCCCCCGTCGCCGCCTCTCCACCCCACCCCTCCCCCAACCAAGCAAACCCTCCCCACCCAAGCAGGCGAAGAAACCCACCACCACCACCACCACCACCACCACCGACGCACCCCTCCGCCCGGGCCCGGACCTCGACCGAAACCTCTCCCCCCAGCTCCGGGAAATCTACAAATTCCACGCCCGCGTCTATCCCTTCCTGCAGAGACTCCCCTCGCACCACCTGAATGCCATGTCCCTGTCCCCCCACAGATACTGGGTCGCCGTGCTGCTGGAGGGCAAAGTCCACGCCAAGAACATACGCAGCGAGAAGGATTTCATCTGGATCAAGGGGTCCCGGTATACGACCGTGAAGACGGTGCGGGAGAGTTACTTGACGACCATGTTCTGTGAGGAGCAAGGGTTGGAGATTCGACTGGGTGGTGGGGAACGCGTGGACGAGTGGGATGTGATGGGGGAGCTGGATTATTTCGGGAACCACGTGGTTTGTTTCAGGGCTGTGAGGGTTGCGGAGGGCGATGTGAGGAAGGGGGGTTCGAAGACACTGGTGCCCAAGTTGATTCAGGAGGTGGTGGAGATTGATTGAACGGAGAACGCGAGATGAGGATGGCAAGCTGGGGGGCAGAAGGGCGAACGACACGAGATATGACTGGATCCAGGCGAACGACCAGAATCGACACCCACGAACTCCATGAGCAACAACAGGCTCCACGATTCAACCTCCTCCACCAAAATTCCATTCACGAACACCACACAATTACGACCTATATTGCATCAAACAAGATGACACCTATCCCCCATGGCCTATTTCCCTCAGCAATCGAAAAAAGAGCGAGCGACACGACAGTATTCAGATAGCAGTATGTATTGAGCATGTATCATTTGATTCCCCGAGCTCTTGTCCAAAAAGATTATCGCCTTGCCGCTCTTGACGCAAAAGTATCCGCTGTATTTCTCTTCTTTCTCTTCTCTGCAACGCAGCTCTTTCTACCTAGTATTCTTCATCCAAGATGTTGAATTTGGATGGATCGTGGGCAGTGCAGCTCGAAGTCGGCGATGTCGATACGGATGGACTTTGGCTGAGCAGAGGGCGTAAGTCGAACAGTGTCGCCGTGGTGGTAGGTTCTGTGGGCAAGTAAGCCGGTCGTCGCGGCCTCAGATGACCATCACAAGTGTCTGTGCTAGAAAATCAGCGGGCGTCACCTGGCCGGAGCAAGAGCCAAGGAGCAGAGCTATCAAGAGAGAAACAAAGAGTCATACATTATTGAGGGCTTGTCGAGAACTAAAGTGTAGGTGCTCCAATGCAATCAGGCAATACCAGCCTCCCTGCCGTGTTCCTCCTCATTATCCTCCTTCTCTGAATCCGTCAACCCAGGCGGATCAAATGCAGCGACGCTACTTGCAGTCAGCAGGGTGCGTCGACTCGGTCTCCTCGGGATTGCGGCGCTCAAGAGGCATCGGCACGAAAGTGGCCTCGGCTGGAAAAGCTGTGGCCGGCATTTCCTCAATGTAAGAGCTGATTTCCGTCGGAAGCATATCTTCGGCGTCGATGATCACGTCCTCGTGCTGGCTGTCGTGGTGGCAACGGAAGCTTGACACCTCCTTGAAGAGATTGGGCTTAATCTGGCTGAGGTCCTGGATGCCGTCTGCGCCAACTGATTTGGTGCTCTTGCCCTTGCATTTCTTGTCTTCGAACAGCTGGCAGGCAAAGCCACTGGAAGCGCGGACGGATTTGGCCTTGTCGTCGAAGCCTCTCTTCTCAAGGTCGTCAACTGTGATGGTAGTCAGTGGGGCACAAGGTGGTTCAGAAGTCGAGAGTGACTTACAGCACTCGCCCAACTCGTCGGCACAGGCCTTTTTCAGCTCGCCGAGGAAGTCGGTATCCTTGTACATGAAGATGCAACCGGCGCTGGTGTTTCCAGGGGCAAGTGCAGGGAGAGGTGTGTCGACGTCGGTAGTGGATCTCCTCTCATCAGAAGTCGTCCAAGTCTGGTTGTCCATTGTATCGCGATGGCATCTGAAGCTCGAGACCTCCTTGCCAAGCTTGGGCTGGACTTCATCGAGGTCTTGAATGCCGCCAATCGAGAAGAAACGCGTGCTGGAGCCACCGCAGTCCTCCTTTTTGTAGAGTGCGCAGGTGAAGCCTGGGTAAGCGAAGGCAGACTTGGCCTTGTCGTTCCAAGACTCGGAAATGTCTTTGATGTTGGCTGCAGCAACCGACGGTCAGTGTCTTCTCGTCGGGCGTGTGAAGGGTAGTACCTACTGCACTTTTCATCCTCAAAATCTGCGCACATGGTTTTACTTTCACCGTCGAAATCCGTCTTCGAGAAGAGCTCGACGCATGCATTGGTGGTTGGGGGTGGGACTTCGGCATCACCTGGAGCGGTGTGGTCGGTCTCGCCAGTGGATCTGCCTCGTTCGTGGTGTCCGGCCTCGTCTGGCCAGCACTTGAATGCCTTGGCCATCTCGCTGAAGTCCACTTTGTCGCCGTGAATGCTCTGAGTGGTGCTCAAGTCAGAGATGCCGTGATAGTCGATCTTTGGCGACCTGGCTTGATCTTCACTGCAGTTGGTGTCCTCATACAGGTAGCAGGCTGAGGCGGACGATGCGTTGGCAGACATGATGTCTCCTGACATTGGACTCGGCAAGGAGTCTGCATCACGTCAGTCGCAAGGTCAAGCTTTTACAAGGTGAGAGAGGAAACTTACGGCATGTGCCCCTCTTCGCGCAGTACTGCTCCGAATTGCCTTCGAAGCTGACATCTTTGTATATGCTGATGCAGTAGTTGTGATCCTTCATCGCAGTCATGTTCAGAAAGGCCGCATCGCGAGAGTGAAGTGCAGGTGTGACAGGGGCTTTGGCGGCGAGCAGCTTGCGGAGTACAGCAGCCTTGTCAGAGTCCGTTCGCTTGAAGCACTGGAAGCTCTTCGCCTTGTCCTCGAAACCGATCGCCCTGAGGTTGCGGCAGTCCTTGGTCAGGGCCCTGGATTGCGAGCCTTTGCACTTCTTGTCTGACCAGAGGTGGCAGGTGAGTCCGTCGCCGTCAAAATCGAAAGTGGTGACCTTGCCGCTGATCTGTTTTGGAAGCTCATCGACTGCAAAATGTCAGTGAAAGAAGCTTTCCCACAGCATGAGCTGAGGACTCACCGCATCTCGGCTGTTCCGAATCATTGGGCGTGAAGCAGGTCTTGAAGCAGTCCTCGGAGTCATCGTCGACGCGGCAGGCTTCGGCACAGTATTTGAGCTCTGGCTCTTCGGGGTTTGTGCTGTTGTCTGGGCAAGTGGCGCCTTTGGGTTCGAAGCACTGGAAACTCTGGGCCTTATCGTTGAAGCTGATGTCCTTCAGGTTCTTGACGACGCCAGAGAAGGCCTGAGATCGGTCGCCTCGGCAGTAAGTTTCCTTGTAGAGGTAGCACTCTAAGGATGGATCGGAGTGGACCGAGCTGACTTTCTTGTTGAGGTTGTCCGGGAGTTCATTCACTGCAAGCGTCAGGAAGTGTCATGCAGCTCACTGAGGAATGTAACTTACCACACTTGTCGGCGGTGTTGCAAAGCGTTTCGCAGTCGCCCTTGGCCTTGTTCTTCAGGTCCTTGTCACGGCAGAGAAGTGCGCACATGTTTCCCTCGTCGTCAGTCTGAGGAGCAGGAGGGATGATGTCGAACGGCTCGACCGGTACGAGCGTGACAGTGCTGACGGGGCTGGGCTGCACAACGCTGATAGTACTGGCCGCCACGACGCTGGAGTTCCAGTTGTAGCACTTGAAGCTTCGCACAGGATTCTTGGCGTCGATCTGGCCTTGTTGGTAGGGCGTCAATGAAAGCGTCTGAGAAACATTTCCCTTGCAAGCTCCGTCGACATCGCTGAATGAGTCGCAGTGAATTGCGTTGTTGGACCAGATGGTGATCTTGTTGTTGACAGATGCTTCAGGAACGGAAACTGGACAAGGTCAGATCAGAGCTGGAAAGATACAAAGCTTGCGAATCAACTCACGGCATTGCTCAGTGTGGTTGCAGTAAGCATGCTTCCAAAATGGGTAATTCTTGCCCGGCTCGTTCATGTCGATCTCGAGGCAAGTCGGGCCAGAAGCATCGCCGGTTGGTGCGTCGCTGGTATCTGGAACAGCTGTGACAATGGCACTGGGCGGCTGGGACACCACGCTGACCGACCCCTGGGAGCCGGACCAGCAGCGGAAGCTCTGAGCCTTGTCGTTGAAGTCGATGGACTTGAGGTTCTCGATGCTGCTCTTCACGACTTCGGATCTGTCTCCAGTGCAGGACTTTTTGCCGTAGAGGTAGCAGGAGGCGCCGCGGCTGACCTGAAATGAGGAGATCTTGCCGCCGATGCTGCCGACATCAACTGTGTATTGTCAGTGAGAAGGTCTTCTGGAGGAAGAAGGATGGAGACTCACCGCATTCCGTGGCATCAGCAAAGGCTTCCTCGCAATCGCCCTCGAAATTGTTGTTGGTGCAGAACTGAAGGCGGTAGCTGGTGCCGGACGCAAGAGAGGCAGAAGAGGATGAAGAGTTGCGTGGAGCCTGGGGGGCAGCGCCGACGAACGCGGCGGCACCGAGCAGGCCACCCGCGATGAGGTACTGCATGCCGGTGGTGGTTGTCGACAAGCGGTGAAGTGTGAAATGTCTCGAACAAGCAGGGATGCTGAAGATGAGCAATGCAAAGTGTGATGGATGGATCTGCCGGCGTGTCGATATCGGATGTGGATGGATGATGAGAGGAAGAGAAGAAGAGAGGGGAGGCGAAAGACGCAACCAAATACTTGACTGGAGCCAAAGCTTGGGCCCTGTAAACAATGCAGCGGGCGGTGCATGGCCGTAACGCAGTCATGAAGGAAGGGACGTGATGGTCTTGCCGCTGGAGAGCGATGTATCAAGCAGGAGTCGCCGTGACGCAGGCAGGCGAGGCCCCGGGGAAGGAAGCTGGAAGCCAGCATGAGGCAGTCGCGGTCACTGGTGGTAGTCGCTGCAAATGGAAGCGACTTCTTGTAAGGTATTTAGCATCGGCCCATCGAATAAGGTACATGTAGGTATGTTGGCAATGACATACCGATCGGATCGACCATCCCTGCTGCCACGATCTCAAGGGCGGCGGTGTCGCTCTGTCCATGTTCGGAAGCCTGGGTACGTCCGCCCTAACTTGGAAGGTATGTGCATCATCAGGAATCTTGAAATGTACTACGGCGGCTTTGGTGTGAGTGATGTGAGAGCAAGGAAAGAGTTCTTGACTGGAACGCTTCACGTCGTTCAAGCCCCGGTTCTTCAGCTTTCACATGACAATGATTGGCCGGCCAGAAGCTGTTTCTCTCGCAACATATGTGAGCTTCAAGCGATTTGCTTTCATCAGACGACGCCGCCTCCAGTGGCAGTAGAGCAGTTCTGAGGCAGTAGCGGAACAGCATTGCAAGCACTTGCACCAGCTTCGACTGGCTTGCCAACCAGGACTCCCGTGTAGCAAATGTACAGCACGTCAGCCGAACATATATCGTCCGAGACTTGTTAAACTCACAGATGCGCGGGATTGACACCCTGCGGCGTCCCAACACCGCCCACTCCAGGCCCGATCGTAGACTGATTACATTGCTACATTCCATCAGTATATCGCCCCCCGGCTAAGGCCCAAAGCTCAGCGATACCTGATCATCTCCAGCACCACATCGGTACGTCTCCTGAGGTCCGAACGACTCCAGCGCCTAGTACTCACGACTATGGTGCAAGTATCCGCAACAAATGGCGCAAAAATCGCTGACCGGGTTGGTGTAAGATCCCAGCTTCGAGATAGATTGGGAAGAGACAAGATCGAATGTGTCAAGATTGGCCATGCCGAGGAGTTGGCTTGAGTTGCACCAGGAAAGCAAATGCCTCCGCCGTTTGGAGTTGCTCGTGCCCTTCGTGCAATATCTTGCAATTTTTCGGAAGCGCAGGTTATGCAGACGCCAGATCAAGGCAATGGTCGGTCTATGCAGCGCCAACTGGGGGAGGAAAATAAGGTGTAGTGCCGAGGGAGAGCCAGGGAGCGCCAGCCACAGTATTTTGTTCCTGAGATGCGCCTGGTTCGCACTTCGGGAGGACGACGACACGTTGCAAAATCAGAGGCGATAGCACAACTTTCCATGTCGGATCAGGTCGCGCTGGCAAAAAGCTCAATCTCGGAACCTTCGCGTATGTACATTCTCACCTAAGAGCGTAATGAAGCGTAAGGCAGCTGACGGCGAACCTCGTGAAGCACAAGCTGCCGCTACGATAGCCTAAATCTGTCGATGAGAAGAGTATATCGACCTGCGCATTTTGGCTCGCCCTGGGTGAAGCACAGGGCGGAAGATCTGGAGAGTACTGGCGTGAGGCCTACTGATGGAATGTGAAGCTTTGTGTACGGTTCCTATACTCCTGTCCGGTGACTCTCCTCATACGCAGTCAGCTGTCTTTGCCAACGGAAATGCTCGCCTTTATCCACAGGCCCGCGTTCAGGATGTGTCATTTCATCGGTCTTTTCATATCAGACACGGCACAACATTCATCTCGAGCGCGACACGAAGGACCTCCATTATGGGAGCTCGGAATCGCCGCGCTCTATGGCCGTGCCCTTGACAACGAATAGTATTGATCGCGAAACTTGAGACGCGCTGATCACACGGTGGAAGCTGGAGCGGAACAAGCGCAAAAGAAGGTGCGTATGTGTTCAGCTGAAAATAAGAGGTGTGAGAAAGCTCGAGAAGATGTTAAGATGGTAGAAGACGAGAAATCTGGAATGAGTGTCTTCGGTGAAATATTTTCCCGAGCGCCGCCCATGGTCGAAGGACGGGACCTCACCCTTCCAACGCTTCCGGGACACACTGCTATCAATCAAGAACTGTATGAGCTGCGTCTGTCGTAAACATGCATCTGCAGATGAATGCGTTCGCAATGAGCCACGCACAGCCCTCTGCTCCTCCGCTCCTCAAGAGGCTTCAATATCCGAACTTCCTGCCTTTCGAATTCGTCACTACAGCATCATACTGGACTCATCCAGACGATGACCTCGAGGCGACTCATACCGCCGCGGGCATCCACCACTGATCTCATGCAGAGTGAAGTGACGCCTCTACGGTCCTTCTGACATTCTTGACGTGAAATACCTCCTCCTCTCAGCTTTTTCCAAATCAAATCCGCTACAACCTCGCTCAACCGTCAAGTCAATCATCTTCCGATCTCCAGCCTCCCTCCCGAAGAGAATGTCATCCACCGACGCAGAAAGAGCCGCAAACTGGGAAGACGTCGGTGACCAAAACAACCGCGGCGTTGGAACGGGCACTGGCCCCGACTCCCCAGAAGAAGTCGCTGGTCATAAAGAGAAGAGCAAGCTCAGCAAGGCTGCAGATGTTGTTACGGGTCCTTTGAGAGGTGCCGCTCAGGGCAACCCAGGCAGCTCGGAGACTGCCGATAGATTGAGGGAGGGCTTGAAGGGAGGCAGTAAGTCGCTACAAATAGCCTGCAACGAGTGAGATCTGACGTGCGTTTGTTTTACAGATCCAGCAACTTGAGCGCCGCCTGTTGGCGATAACCTAACGACCTGATGGAACGTATGTAGAAGCGCAGGATACAGATGATTCTTCTGAGGTATATCAATCTGTGTGTTTGATGCGCGGCGAGATTCTCGCCGTACCGTAGACACCAATATTTTCGCAGTAATACCCGCCGACGTTTTCTCTCGTTTTCGGCGCTAATATAAGTCGAGGGTAGCTTCATCTTGTCTTATTGAAACAGCCGTCTCTGAGATGTTTTTTCTCCCTAGTGCAAAAAGACGGCTGCCTACCGCTACAACACCCCCAATTTGCCGCCTCCTCTTGATTTCATTCACGCCTTCTTGCCCGTAGTTCTGCTCTGTTAAGCTGTCTCCAAGTTTGGTCTCCTTCTCTTTCCAGGAATGTCGGTGCCTCACGGTGGGCGCGTGTTTCATAGCAGCGAGCTGATGGGAACTGAATTTGGGTGGAAGATCACGGTAAGAGTCTCGACGCTCTCTGAACGTCAAACGCGCGACGTGCAGTCACACCCAAAAAGTCGCGACCTTCTTTTCTCATCTGAAATCAAACCAAAACAAAATTAAAACAAAAAAAATGAGGCCCGTTTCCGTAAGCCCATTTTTGTCCCGCCTTATCCCGCCCGAAAACTGGTGTTGTGTTCCAGAAACGCCTGGGCTCAGCCATTCTTGCTTGCGCGTTTTTTTTGATGTTTGAATTCGATCCCGCCATATCCCGCCCGAAAACTGGTGTGATGTTCCAGAACGCATGGGCTCTTCCATTCTTGCTTGCGCGTTTTGTTTACCCTCAAGTACCCGCTCTCAAGAAACGCTCAACTTTGCAGTCGAGGCGAAGAACCGAGTGAGCTAATCCATATTTTGTGCACGGTTGCTTTTGTTAAGTGGCCAGCGCTGACCTTCATATATATACATTGAGGGGTGTCCACGCCGAGGTTCTGCCGAAGCGAACTTGGGGAATTTTCATGTGCGCTGGATTTTCCCACACGTTCTACCACGGCGTCCTCTCGTAATAAATAGCTACGGTTTTTGGCGTGCTTGGTTCGTATCAGCATTAGAGCGTCCTTCATAGTCTTTTCCGTCGCATGAAGTCCATGGCGATGTGTACCGAGCGCATGAGGAAGACGAGAGGCCATGATAAGCGCAACCAATCGCGATTGGAACCGCCGAGCAAGCAGCTACAGATTCGATACAGCACTTGAGCGGCAAGTACTCTCGCCGGACGAGACCAGTGACGATCAATCTTCATACCCGAACCCGTTGTCTTGTGTTCCTTCCTCAAGCATGTGCTGTGCCAGACATCTTACGGCAACCACGGCCGGCGCAATAACCTCCGAGAATGGCGTATTGCTGGACAGTGATCTCCACAATGCCTTCAGACACGTGTCAGCCTAGTTGTAAGGACGATTGGTCTGCACCAGCCGGAGAGGTCTCTGCCAGGGGCTATAACAAATTCCAACATCTCTCTTATCGCTTTGAAGATCCAGTACTGTAGCTCGTGCCTTCGACTATAATTTTGGGAGGCTGAATGACAGCAGCACGCATGCTTCGCCTTGCGCCACATACGGTCGCCAGTGTCCAGATTTGCTTTGTTCTAATAAATGTGGCACTAGAATGCAACATTCAATGCTCCGAGGAACAATTCCACTCGTAACCGGACAACGCTGGCCCGCTTACGACCCGATCGACTTTCAATGTCAGATTTTGCCGTCACGTACGCGTATTCCAAGGTCTATCGGACACACAGAGTTCCTGGCGGACAAATTGGGGCTCCAGTAAGCTGGAGCACACGAGTTTGGGTGCTGTTCACAAGATTGATTCCGTAGAATACCGTCCAGGCCCATCCAGCGAAAGCTGAACACGCAAAGGCTGACGAAGTGTCCGCGGCGCCGCTTTCGGCAGAGCATCGACACTGGACGTACGAAGACCGCGGACGCGGAGAAGCTCGGTGAGGTTCAAAGTGCACAAGTCCAGTGAGGAATAGTCGCCGGGCACATCTCGGATCTCACTCCGCTGCTTCCTCCCTAATTGAGCTCGATTCCAAGACATGTTTGTGATCATCTCGTGCTACGATTGCCGTTCACTCCCAAGCAAGATCGTTTCTAATAGTGAAGTTTTCCCTGAAGAACGAAACGTTTGAGTGCGTGAAGCCTGACTGGCACCGTAGCAGGTGTAGTAATCGTGCTGGCCGACCTCTGAGATCGTGGATTTGACTTTGCGTATGGCTATCGGATTTTTCCGCGAGTCGTAACGTAGATATAGCCAAACGAGGAAGATATCGTGCAGAGCGGTATCGACCAAATCTAGACCATGTTGCATCGGAACTCCAGAACACGACCGGGCTTAGAAACCCCAGTTTACCCAAAGGCTACAACGTATCTCCAGCAAGTGGCGCGTATTCTCTCATAAGCCAGAGGCTACTTCGTGCTCAGATGGTCCAAGTTACTCGAACTGAGTTATATGTACCGGCAGATGTCCATGATCCTCTCCAGGTGAGCATATCGAAGCATTGGTAGGAGACGGGACCAGAATGGGTTGCACAAGATAATTTACTATTTCTGCGTACACGGCTCCGACAGACCCAGGCCAGATCAAAGGCAACGATGTGAATGATAGCTTTGATCGTTTGTTTGCGAGGTCTGATGACCGTGATCATGCCTGTGAGAATTTCGCAAGAGAAAGGCGGGATGTGAAGTCTTTCACTCCCGGAAAGCGATCTTGCCTCAGGCATGCAACTTGCGTGACTCAGCACCCGAAACAGATGCTTGGCGCTATCATGCTCCTTTCTTCCTTCCTCGACAAGCTTCATCTCGCCCTCCCACGACACAACATCCCTCCGACCATCACCAGCAACATGTCTCGCAGCGGCGGCACCACCCTCTACGTCACGGGCTTCGGCCACGGCACTCGCGCTCGCGACCTCGCCTACGAGTTCGAACGGTACGTCCTGCGGCAATGAACGGGCTTTACGATGCGGCGATTCATCCTCGAGCGACGCCTTACCCTCCAAACTTCCCGCCCCGAGTCCCCACTTCCTACGAGCGATCGAGCGTCGCCTTGACACGTGCATTCTCCTTCACCATCGAGCTCTCGAGCCCCAGCGCCAGCAAAAACCACTGTGCCTCCTAACGATCGCTACCGAAGGACTTGCTATTGACAAAATTTGAAGGTATGGACGCCTCGTCCGCTGCGACATCCCAGCTCCACGCACTGCGTCCAGCAGACTGTAAGACATCAACAGCACGATCATCTACACGCGCGGTATTCTGACCCATCAACAGCTTCGCGTTCGTGGAGTATGAGAGTCGTCGTGATGCTGACGATGCTTACCATGAGATGCACAACAAGCGCATTGGCAGGGACGATGTCTTGAAAATTGAGGTAACGCAATACCACACCTTCAACCACTCATTCTCTGCTGACCGTCTCTCAGTGGGCTCGCACACCACCATCGGCTAGCTGGCGCTTCGACACCGGCCGTGACGGAGAGCGCGGAGGCCGCGGCGGACGTGGCAGCGAGCGTCGTGAGCGCAGCCCTCGCCGTCGCTCTGTTTCTCCACCACGTCGCCGCGACTACGACGACCGCGACCGCGATTATGACCGTCGTGACCGCGACCGTGGCGAACGCCGGGAGAGAGACCGCTCCCGTACCCCAGAAGACCGTGATAGAGACCGGGACATGAAGGACCGCGACAGGGACGACGATCGTGAGCGTGGCGCTGACCGCGGCGGCGAGCGGGGCGAGCGGGACTTCGAGCGCGAGAACGGCACGAACGGCGAAGAGCGCAAGGGAGAAGAGCGCGAAGAGGAGACTCGTCCAGCTCACGATGACTTGGACACGGCTGAGTGAACTCTCCTAGCTCACTGTGGCAGTGACAAAGGACAAGCAACAGCACCAAGGTAGGTGCACCTGTCAGATTGCAGAGGGGATTGGTTTGAGAGTCTTGTGGGACATGGAGTGTACCAGTCAGCATGGCGACTTTCCTTGACAGGCAACACAGCAGTACCGATCGAGCGGCGAAACGAATCGACCGTCCTTCATACCGTTCCCTTGCCCTCGTCGGCACCGAACCCCATCGTCGTCCGATCTCGGCACATTCCCCATCTCGCGTCTTCGAACTCGGCCCGTGAACCCGTCCGCCACGACGTCGTCCTCCCGATTTACTCACCACTCCACCTCGCACGATTGGCTCGACACGTCCCCTGCATCAATTCGATTGCTCACCCTTTCAAGCCCTTCCACCTACAGGTAAGATATCAGAGCCACATCCCCACCGACCCTTGTAGCGTGATCTCTGGAGTGACTGCGTATTCTTCGTCAGCTTGAAAAGGCACAAATGTGAAGTTGAAAGTGGACGTGGTGTCGAGTGAACAATTATATAGAGCTTGTACCATGACATTCTACTCCAAGTCTTCGGGTCTCTTGACCGGACTATGAGTTTGTCCGTCTCGTAACACGCCATTTCCTGCTGTTCCCAAGGACAGTGTTCTGCCATGCACGGCAACGCCTCCGGGCTCCACATTCGTTGCCAGTAGGCTATCTCGCATCAGACCCGCCGTCTCCGTCGTGCTATCCCTCCCTGCTGCAAAAGTATCCGGGTGAGCAATGTGTCCATTCTCGGCTGCAGCTTTCTGTCTCTTCCCATTTGCATGATCCGTCTCTTCTGCTCCACTACCACCACTACCACCTCCATTATCTTCTATAGTCCCCTGCGCTTCTTTCCTTGCCTCCGATCTCATCTTGCTGTATTTCAACCAATTGTACCCCGCAATACTCGCGATGGTAACCACCAGGCCGCTCACGTTGATCGGACTCAAGGGGTCCCCGAACGAGTAGGAGGCGGCCGAGATGGTCAGGACTTCTTTGAAGATGCCGCAAACACTCAGCGTCACGACTGAAGTTCGTTTGAGGAGGGCGAATTCGGCTGCGACCATCATGAAAGCCAGACAGCCGGGGAAGAGGATGATGACGGCTGTCAAAGGGGTTCCCTTCGCGGTGCTGAGAGTTTGGAGGCCTTCGAAGACGGCCGTCGGGGTTTCGATCGGTAAGGCGAGGAGGAACAGGACGAGGAACATGGAAGGCGTGAGGAAGAAGATCGAACTGAACGGGTTGCTGGTCGCTGCGTTTCGGAGGAGGAGGATTTGTGTCAGACTCCATCGGAAGCCGGAACAGAAAGAAGCGCTCATTACGAGCAGGAAGCCGAGGGCGTTGAAGGAGGCTTCGCCTGCTACCATCATGATGACTCCGAATGTCATGAACAGAATCACGGCGCAGAGTTTCCAGGTCGGTGTTTCGAGGCGGAAGAGGAAGGCGAAGAGGAGGACGAAGGCCAGGACGGAGGATTTGCACATTGTGAAGAAGGTGAGCGTGATGAAGCGGAGGGAGAAGTTTCCTAGACCGATGTCGAGGGCGGTTGCGGTTCCACAGGGGGAGATGCGGGTGAGGTAGAAGGACCTGGTCATGAGCGGCTTCTTGATTGTGGATTTTGGTTCGTGGTCGATGGTTGTGTTGGTATCGTGGCCGTTGAGCTGCGAATATGAGCCGTGGCCATCTTGATCGCCCTGGTCGGCATTGGGTCGAAAGCGCGGGATAATCCAGAGTACCAGACTCGCCAGTGTGAATTGCACCAGCATGTGCACGCTCGTCGTGAAGAGCGGGAAGTGGAAGTCCAGATTCTCCGAGCTGAACATCCACTTGTTGTAGACACTAATGGAGATGGAAAAGCTGTACCACAGCCCAATAAGCAGCGCATTGATTATAGTATCCTTGATGAAGCTGGCCGTCATGACCTGGTCTTCCGCCTTCTGAACATCGTCTCCCGGCGCAACCCTCTGATCCAAGCGTTGATTCCTGCTCTTCCGTCTCCTTCTCTTCTTGCGCTCCGCGTGTGTAAGTCCCGTCTCTTCGTCATCCGTCAATTCCTCGTCCGAGTTCAAGTCCTCCATCTCCATATCATCGCTCGTTGTCGCGCCAGAGAGATCGGATCCATACGGTTCCTCCGGAACAGGTTTGTCTTCATGCAGAGGGGAATGTCTCCTCACATGTGACATGGAATGTCTGGCGCCCGCGCCTCCGAAAACCAAAGATCCGCTCCGCCGTCGGGTATGTGAGGGAATATAGCTGTTGTTATTATGGGAATTGTTATGCTCCATCTTGGAGCGTCTCGGTCTGTTTTGGGCGAACCATGGGGCTCACCCTTGATGAAGGTACCAAGGATTGTCGCGAATGAGAAGGCGATGTCGTTTCGAGAATATGAGAGTGTCCAAGAGGGCGAGTAACGGGGTTGTAGAGTACAGTGGAATGGCAGTGAGAGCCCGAACCAGGCGGTAGGTGAGATGATGTCTGTCTCCTGTCATGTGCCGGCCCGATCATCCAGGGTCCTTCGGGCCGACGGACTGGCAGCAGCTACCTTGTCAACAGGCACTGTGGTATGGCAGAGATGATCATCTGAAACTACAGCAAATCTATACCATCATCACTGGATTGCCATGATACCTCTTTCGATTACCGACAGATCTGCCGTCCGCCCAAGGTCGACCTAGAATACAGATATCTACATTTCAAATCAAGTGTTTCTGCCTCAGGCTCCAATTCACCGCGATCTGAGACATGCTCACCTCCGCGACGCCCGGCTGAGATTGAGTTCAGGAGCACGCACCGGAAAACTTGGAACTCACATCCCACTTCACCTTCCTTCTTCCTTCTTCCTTCTTCCCCCACATCACCATCACCATCATCAGGCTCGTTCGTTCCGTGTCGAGAAAAAACAATACGATTACCGACGTCTATATACTCTCTCCAATAAGCCCTATCCCCCGCGGACCCTCGGTATTCAGTCGTCAAAGCAAATGGGAAATCACCGTGGATAAGGTATCTCGTGCTCGCCAGCCACGCATACACTGCCCCGCTTCCGATCGGGAGCTGGGCGCAAAGAATGTGAAAACAAATAGGTCTCCTCATCCGGATCCACTTGCCGCTGCATTACATCCTCATCAACCCCTCGACCGTCTCGCTCCAGTTCTCCTCCCTTCCCATACGATCAACCAACACCACAAGCTCATCAAGCGTCCTCTCGGCCTCTTTGAAGCTCAGATGCTCCGCGTCCCAGCTGAAAGAAAGCGCAACACTCTTCTTGTCGTCAAGCAGGAACCCGGTGATTGTTAGCCCGTTGTCCATCCGGGTCAACATTTCCTGCAGCATCAGACCCTTGGGACTTTGAGCTGTGGGGGCAGTTGGAAGCCAGTTGAAGCTCTGTCTTCGGATCAGAGGAAGGATGGACTCGGCATCACGCTCCCGTTCTGCGAATGTGCGGGTGTCGTCTGCTGAGAGAGGATCCCGGAGGCGATCGACGATCCGAAAGAAGGGTGTATGAGCAAAAGAGCTGTTCTTCTCTTCGTCCTTGGTAACTTGTTGCATAAGCGCCAGCAGCGATTTCGATCTCCCCACCGGAATGCGGTCGAGCACGTATTCGGTCGTACAGCCCGAGATGTCCAGAGGATTACCATTGTACGCCTCCCGTTCGAGAGCACTATAATCGGAGGAGAAAGGCCACGTACGAGCGGCGTTGATGGTACCGAAGATGGCTTCCTTACCGCCGGTCTTGCAGATATTCATAACTGCAATCGCAGTCTTCACAAGCATGAAAACCGGCACGTTGTGTTCGGCCTTGAGCTTCGCAATGTCGGCAACCTTGACCATGCGCCGGATACCTTTTTGCGCTTTAATCTTCTCCGCCTGGGGAACGAGGCGCTCATTCTTGCGCGCACTGGTGCCGTCCCATCTGGACCAGCCAGAGTCCACGCCCTTGAACCATTCCGGAGCCCTTTGAGGAGGCCAGTACGTTGATTCTGGCAGCTGACTAATGCCTTGGTGCTTCTGAACCCAGTATTCGATGCCGTTGTTCGCTTCCAGGCCTTCGCGATGGTCAAAGAAAGCCGTCGCATAGTCTTTGAACTGGGCGTGAGGAACAAGATTACCTTCTCCTGTGAGAAGAGTAACTATATCCTCAAGCCACACCTTTGTCATGCTCATGTCATTGACGGAATGCGAAGCGACCAAGACAAGGCCCGATGTGCCATCATCGAGTACACGCGCAACATGAAACTTGACAAGTGGTCCAGGAGCGCTGGCGGTGTCCAATACCGGATCGTCAAGCAGAAGCTGATTCAACTCTTCCTTGGTCTGCACTGCCCAGCCCGTTGTGATCGAAGCTCGGAACCATTCCTCGGATGAGCGAACCGTCACCAGCAGCGTCTCGCCGTCTTGCTCCAGCGCGATTGATCGCATTGTGGGGTGGTAATCTAGGGATAGCTTGATGGCAGCCTCCAGTGCATCGACATCGACAGGTGCGTGGTAGCTGAAGCGCAGGTTCCATGACGAAAGACGAGACCTGTGGCAGAACATGGCGTCCCAGTCTGGCAGTGGCACGACATCTTCCACGTCGTTCCAGCCGAGACCAAGCGGCGAGAGCAGTTCAGAGGCCGCGATCTGTGTGCGAGCGAAGACTTCTTCATTCTCCCGAGCGTGTGGCGTCTCTTGCAACGTTGGTGGACCTTGGCGCTTCGGTAGAATGACCACGGAGCTCTTTGCTGGCCTGGAGTCAATGAGGTCTGCCATACTTTGAATCGTTTCGCAGAGCTTGAAATGTTCCACGGTGATGTCTCGGTCTAGCTCTTTCTTGACAGTGCCGGAGAGCTGCATCATCATCAACGAGTCGGCGAAAGACTCGATGAGTGTGGACGGAAGTAGTGTATCTGTCCCACTGATCATCTTCCAAATGGCAATGAGAGCGTCCACGGTCGAGCCAGACTTGTCCAGGCCAGCTCCTTGCTGTGCTTTGATATGCTCTCGCACAGCCTGGGCCAGCTCAACTTTGCGCACCTTACCAGAAGCGGTTGTCGGGAAGGCATCCAGGCCCAGGTCTTTCGTGAGATGCAGGATCATTTTCGGGGCAAAAGCTGCACCAAGGTCGCGAGTAACATCGGCTTTCAGGTCAGACGTGTTTGCTTCGCGTCCCTCACGCGTTGTGATGACTGCAATTGGAACTTCGCCAGCCATCTCATCTGGTGCACCGACAACTTGGGCCATGAAAACGTCTTCCTTCTGGCTCAAATAATCCTCGATACTTGCGGGAGAAATATTCTCGCCGCCGCGAATGATCATGTCTTTGTACCTGCCCGTGATCCGGATGGCACCGTCACTATCCATTACTGCTTGATCGCCGGTCAAGATCCACTGGATACCATCTTCGTCCTTGTAGAAGCTGTCCTGCGCCACCCGGGGATCCATGTACCCAGAAATGACTTGCGGACCACCATTGTGAAGCTCGCCAAATTGGCCTCGTTGGACGATGTTCCGAGTTCCGGGCTGGCAAATCTTTTGGACTGTATTCCTGACGGGACGTCCGGACATGACCTCTCCATTGCGCACAACAGAGCCTTCTTGGACACCCCAAGACGCCGTTCCGGGGCTTTCTGTCATGCCATAGCTGGCTGTCGTGGGGACCTTCAAAGCTGCTGTGCATGCGTCGACCAAGCTTGGAAGCACACCAGCGCCGGCAATGTCGATGCTGACAAGCGTGCTGAGATCTGTCTTGGCAAAGGAAGGATGCGCAAGAATCGCTTGGGCTGTGGTCGGTACCAACGCCATATGAGTTGCTCTGAACTGGTCAAAGCATTCGAGCGTCGCTTGCGCCTCGAAGTTGTCAGATGGAAGAATGATCATCCCACCCCGAAGCCAGAGGCCAAGTGACCAGCCAATGCCATAGGAGTGGAAACCGGGCAATTGCTGAACAAATCTATGGCTGGAGTTGATCTGTTGAGCATCCATGCATCCCAAAGCAGCGTTCAGGCATTGGAAGCTCGACAACGCGCAAGGTTTCGGCAGTGATGTGGTGCCGCTGGTGAAGAGAATGACCATCGTGTCGTACGCGTTGACCACGTCTGGAGTATCTGGCGGCGTCGGATCTCCCGACATTACACTTGCTAGAAGCTCCCATGGCTGCGCGGTCTCTCCGCCGACGTGGGATAAAGCGATTCGGATTGGGATGGATGACATCAATTTCTCGGACAGGCTCTGCTCGAGCTGGCTGGCGATGTGTAGGTCTGCGCTGACAAGAGCGACCGGGCCGACCAGGTCCAGCATGTGATTGATCTCCTCCGTCCTGGTGACGACCTTTGGGTTGATGGGGACGAAAGGCGAGTGCAGGTAGGCCGACGCCCAGTAGAAGAGGGCCCATTCTGCTTGATTGTTGACGAGGGCGGCAATGGGTCTGCGGTCGATGTGTGCCAGTCTGTTGAGTGCATTCGACAGCCGTCGCGCTCCTCGGTCGAGGTCGGCAAAGGTCCATTGAACGTATTCATTGTCGTTATGCTGGCTGCCCACCCAACGGAAGGAGCTGGGAGACTGGTGCTTCGCGATGAGGGCAGTCGCGGTCGGCCTGGCGTTGACGATTTCCTGCCATAACTGCAGGTGAGAGACATTCTGGCTGCCCACGCGAGGCCCGTATTCGATGGAGAGGCCGGTTTCACTCATGTTGCCCAAGGGGTCCGGCAGTGCAACGCAGAGGTGTGAGGTCAGGCCAAATGGAATTGTACCGACAGCGGGAAGTTGACAGGTCTATGTACTGCTCGGGCCCGCGGTGCTGAAATCGTGGAGGTGCGCTACTACGGTATCGCTACAGGCGCGCTGGACGGGGGCCGGGGTGCGCTTCTCGTCAGGGCATAGTCTACAGCTGGACGGTAGCGAGTGAGTAGGTGGTTGAGGGCTGTGAAGGCGAAGGCGACGGCAGATACGGGCGATACAGACACGGGCCCTCACCGCTTCGGGCGCCGGACGACGCAGGCTACGCAGGCTAGTATTGCATCGAGCGACCGCCTGTGCAGAATGATGTCGCCGCCGAAGCTCGCCAAGCCTCGTTTCACGAAAAGAGCTTTCTGCTACCGTTCCATCACAGCGCTTGCCTGCAGGAACACGGCGGGATCGGTGCAGCGCGCACGCACAACATCGCCTCTCCCACCCCACTGTGCCACCCCATCAGACGACCCGCAAAGGGCGCAATTCCGAGGACCCTGTCTCACGCAAGTCACGGTGCGTGCCTGCGCGCTACAATGCAGTGACACGTCCACCGTGGAATGCGCTGGACGCCAACGGGAGCGCCTCCATCATTCAGTCACCATCGCTGCCAAGACCGCCTCGCAGCCAAGTGCCGCCCGCGAGCCGGGGGTGGTCCTGCGAATCAAATCTCTATCAAACCGCGGGCAGGATTTGCGGCGGCGATGCGAGCTGTCGTTCGTGTGTAGTGGATCGCCAGAGTCGACCGCGGATCCGCTCTGGTGCAGGCCCCTTAATCTGGCCCGATGTACCTACGATTGGGGTTCGTCTGTTTGAAACTTGGCTGGACCGCAAGGGTGTGCATCTGTATGCACGATGAGCGCAAGGTGGATGGCGGTAATCGAATTCTGGTTCCGTGAAGTGTGCAGCTGTGCAGGGCGACAACGGAAGTGCCTATCTTTGGTAGCACACTAACACGGTTTGCAGGGAAGTTGCTCCATCATCGCCAGCTTCCGACGTTCCCTGCCGCTAGCTGCAGGAACATGCAAGGAGGCTGTGGAGGCTGTCACGGAGGCGCTTTTCCCAATATCAAAAAGCATCCTCCAATTCCTGGGGAAACGAAACCGCCCTTGGCGTCACCACCAATGTCATGCCGCTGCACGAACGCCCTCCGCAGCCGCCCATGAGGCTGTCACCGCCATGGCCATCGTCGTGCCGGTACACAGACATCACATGCTCGCGACTATGCCGTACCGGTCGAGACGTGCGACCACCACTAGCCAACATGCAGTAATTGATCCACACTTGCTCCAGAGAACTAACGTGTCACCAGCAGCTGTGAGCAGCATCGTGTGCTAAAATTACATCTGCAATGATAGCCCTCTAGCTGCGCATCATTGTGTAGCCGACGAGCTTCGAGGACTAATGTAGGTCTGAGACGCTCTTCTTGAACCAATCTTTCGTCCTCTCCGTATCTGTCCCTATCTGTGCTATCGTTTCCAGTCTTTTCATCCTCTTTCGGCAAGACTCGTTCTCTTCACCTTCTCGTTTGAGCAACCCTCCAAGAATCTGGATCCGCTCTGCATTCCGACTTCCGATCCGACGCGTTCCGCTGTAGTTCAGCTCGGTGAACATTTGGAAAGCAATCGCCAGACAAGCACGTTCAGCCATTGAGCCCTTCAACACGCGTCGTCAGCAGTTGGGACGAATTGGCTTCCATAGCGTTGAGCGAAGTGAGCGAGCGCCTGCAGAGCGGCGGAGACCTTGTGACCTTCCAACGTGAAGCAGCAGCCGGGCCCTCAAACTTGACCTCAGGCCTTCTTGTGTCAGGCTTCCACCAGTCAATCATGGCCTGGCGAGAATCTCCCTTGCATTCGCCATCTACATCAAACTGGCAATCTCACCATCGCGAGTCGGTCGTGTCAAATTTCAGTCGACCTACCACCCAAGATTCCTTTCAGCCCTACGTGGTATCTGAGTCCGCCGATTTATTAAGCAACAAGCCAGTGCTGCCAAAGGTCTCCCAGAGTGGAGGCACCAAAACACCGCGACAAACGTTCCTGTCCTCCGGGACGTCCTTGACGTCCCGCCCAATATCGACAGGCTATCACCCAGGCTTCCCAGGTCCGTACGCGCCTGTGCCTTCAGACTCGCAAACATGGCTGGAAAGCTCGAACACCACCATTGCAGAGAAATCAGACCTCCAAGCATTTGAGCCCAAGGCGATCCCTTCCGGACCTCCAGGCGGATTACCTCCCGATGGAGGCCTCACTGCCTGGCTGCAAGTCCTAGGCGGCTACTTCCTGTTCTTCAATACGTGGGGCCTCATCAACGCCTTTGGGGTCTTCCAGACCTACTACAAATCCGACCTCATATCCGACAAATCCAACTCCACCATCGCCTGGGTCGGAACTCTGACCAGCTTCCTCCTCTGCGCCTCTCCCATCTCCTGGGGTCCCATCTTCGACATCGGCTCACCGCGCCTCCTCGTCCTCTTCGGCTCTTTCGCCGTCGTCTTTGGGATCATGATGACCAGTCTCTGCAACGCGTACTGGCAAATCATGCTCGCGCAAGGCGTCATCTGCGGCATCGGAGGCGGAGCACTCTTCATCACCGCCACCTCCGTACTCCCCTCTTACTTCAGCCGGAAACGCGCTCTGGCGATGGGCATCTCGGCTTCCGGCTCTTCGCTCGGAGGCATCATCTACCCCATCATCTTCCGCTACGTGCAACCGACCTTCGGCTTCGGCTGGGCCGTGCGCATCATCGGCTTCATCGCGCTCCTCACCCTCTCGATCCCCTGTCTGGTCATCAAACCACGCGCCAAACCCCCCGGAGGAGGCCGCCTCCGCAAGATCTTCGACACGAGGATCCTCAAAGAAGCGCCCTTTGCAATGATGAACCTCGCGACGTTCTTCGGCTTCGTGGGCCAGTACATCCCCTACTTCTTCATCGAACAATTCGCCTCGCAACACCAGGAAAGCGGAACCACAGACCCGGCCTTGACCTTCTGGATGCTCATCTTCCTCAACGTCGGCTCCATCCCCGGCCGCATCCTCCCCTCCCTGCTCGCCGACCGCCGCTTCCACCCCTTACACGTCCTCGCCTGCACCACCGCCGCCGCAGCCCTGCTGGCCTTCTGCTGGATCGCCATCCGCGCCTCCACCGCCGGTTTGGTGCTCTGGTGCCTCCTCTACGGCTTCTGCAGCGGCGCTTTCGTCTCCCTGCAGGGCGCCGCCGTCGCCAGCATGACGCGCGACCTCGCCAGTATCGGCACGCGCTTCGGGGTTAATATGTTTGCCGGCGCGCTGGGGATTCTCATCGGGAGTCCCGTCGGCGGGGCTATTTTTCCCACGAGCTGGGCGGGGGCGCAGGCGTTCTGTGGGGGGTCGTTGGCGGTGGCGGCGGCGGCGGTGGTGGGGACGTATGCTTTGTGGAAGAGGGAGGTGAGGCGGAAAGAGATGGTGGGAGGGGATGAGCTGAGCTGAGCTGAGCGGAGCGGAGCTGAGGGGCTGAGTCATGCATGATGTGAATTGATTGATTAATTGGGGATACGGGGAACAAACGGTAGAGGATTCAGAGAGAGAGAGAGAGAGAGAGAGAGAGCTGCACACACACAGCAAAAGGGAATTTTCCGGGGGAAGATGTAGATGCGAACACACATTAACGTATAATTTGTCCTTTATACTTTTGGATGGTTCCTATGACCGGGAGAGGGGGGGGGGGGGGAGAATGAAACCTCTCGCACCGGGCAGACAGAAAAGGGGGTGTCCAGCACCTATCGAACCGAACAGAACGCAGCAGAAAGCCCAGCCCAAGAGGTAGGCATTGATTGTTTCCAACCTTCAATTGGGGGTATCACCTCTCCATTCCTTCCGACATTCCGACGTTCCCACGGCAACTTTTGTGGAACGTATCACAGCTTTCTGCTGTGCGTCCCGTTGCCCTTCTTTTCGTTGTGCCCATCTCTCGCTGATCCATTATGCCGTTCCCATTTGCCCCTCGTAACGCCTTCGCTTGTTCAAACTCATGGTAAAACACAAAATGCCCGTACATGGTGTGCAGTTCATTTTTCCAAAAAGGTCGACGGGTGGTGGTGGTGGTGGGGGGTATTAGACGAAGTCGTCGCGTCTGTTGGTTTGCTTCGTCAAAGATTGTTCCTTACTCTCTCTCGGTTCCTTGAGAAGGGGCTTCCAATAACCCAGAACGCGGATGGGTGCGTGGATGGCAATGCTCGTCGCAACGGCAGAAAGAAGAAAGAAAACGGGAAGGAACTCACCTATACCCACTACTCCTCCTAGTATTCTTCCTTCTGGGAGGCGCACCGATACTGGAATGCTCCTCAATGACCTCGACGATATCATCGCCCTCCACTCTCCTCTCCGTCGGCGGAGCTCGCATCTCATCGACCAAGACGGTCTCGCGTATCCGACTCGGCTCCCTCGGCGGCGGAACGTTGTCCCTCACAATCCTCTCCTGCCGGATCACCCGTTCCCGTCTCGGACTCCTGCTCGCCATCTCGGTGCGATGACTGCGCCGCGTGGTGCCCCGACTGCGCGATCTCCTCCGGACGACGACATCTTCTTGCAAGGTGGTGGAGCGGATGAAACCGCTGCCGGAGGAGAGGATCCAGAGGATCCAGAGCAGGAGGAGGAAACCGGCTACGCTGCCAAGGATGATTCCGGCTACGGCGCCGGGGGCTGGGCCGGAGTCGATACCCTGGTATTGGGTGGGGATCGCGATGATGCGGCCGTCACTTTGGCGGGATTGTAGGAGGTGTGGTATTCTCTTCAATATGCGATGCGATGTGTCGGATAGGGTGTGCATTGCTTCGGTCGCGGCGTCGCGTAGCTGCCGGGAGTCGAGGATGCGGCTATCGGATGTGGAGGATGTTGATGTGGCGGCGTGGCGGGGAGTGTAGAGATGCGGGAGGAGCGGCATCTTGCTCGGGCTTGAGAGATATGGCTCTCTCGGCCGCACAGGTGTTGTCGGGCGGTGTGTGTTGGAGCGGACGCTTTGCTTATTATTATGCGTTATGCGTGTGTCGGCGTTGCGTTGCGTTGTGGGTGCTCGTTGCTCGGCCAGCTGAGTGTGGAGTGGTGATGCTTGTTCGTCGGGGTCGGATCGGGGGCAGCTCCTAGATCCGATGATGGATAACGCCCAGGACAACGAGATGCAGCGATATACCGGATGGTCTCGAGATGTGTGGTGTAGCAGAAGGTGGAGCGTTTGTGGAGGGGGAGGCGGAGAGTGAGAGTGAGAGTGAAAGTGTGCCAGCCACGAGGAGGCGACGCGGCGCAGACAACAGACAACACAGAGAGGCTGGAGGCTGGAGCGGGAGACGTCACGTGAGTGTATCATACGCTGCTGGAGGCTGACATGTCACGTGAGGGTGGCTGGTGGACACAACTCTCTCATTCGCGCATCAAGCTCCTTCCCTACATCCCCACCGCACCCCAACCTCACTGCATCCCGCCGCCCTCCCGTCCTCTCCCACCCCCCATCTTCCACCATCATACCCCCCCCACCCCCCCCTCTCACCGCCCCCATCACCGCCCTCATCATCACCATCATCATCATCATCATCATCATCATCATCATCATCATCACCGCCCCCTGACACGTGACGGAGCCTCGCCTCTCACTCTCCCACCCGAAATCCGTCATCACCTCCACCAACACAACCACTCCGTCCTCGTCGCCTTTGACTGGTCCTCCCTCCAATGCGACATGACTTGGCGCCGGGCGGGCGAGCGTGAAACGCTTCCGGTCAAGCACCAATGACCGTGAGCCTTGACCCTGCATGGTTATTGGCAGCCGCCACCGCCCGTCACTTGCTGTGAGAGCGTTTGCAGACAGCTTGACAGGCCAGACTCGACCTCATCTCCCCAATCAATCAATAAGACGCTCAGAGTCGTGCCAGGTGTTTGAAGTCGTACTCCGTCCCCGCAAACGCCTCGGCGAGCAACTCCTGCGCCTCCAGAATAGGCTCCACGGACGACATGCACTCGCTCCAGACCGACGGTATGCGGAACTTGGATGCGTCCGACGCTTCGCTCTCGCTATCTGTTGTCATCGTGCGCATCGTCTGCTCGATCCACACTGCCACCCGGGACGCCCTCTGATCGCTTGTTTCGTGACCTTCTCCCGAATTCGTCGCCATCATCCAAATGGCGGCCCACGCTGACTGGCGGTAGTGGCAACTTCTTGCTCAAGAAACGAAGTGGATGGAAGATGAGCTTGCTCGCCTTGAGAACTTGCTTGGTCCTCTCCAGCTCACGTCTCGCGGACTCTTCCCTATCTATAACGACTGCTCCCACATGTCTTCGCCTACTTGCAGCGCATTGCGGGCCCGACTTACTCACATTGGAAAGGGCGTACCCGTTGGAATCTGGCTGAATGCGGTCGATTCGCAAGGCTCTCCGGCTCGAAACGCTTGGAGACGCTCATCACCAACCGCTACGATCGTCTTATGCTGTGGGGAAGATGTAAATCGGACACCCTTCGACCGGCCTGCTCACCAATACCCGAACACTGGCCGGTTATCCGTGTCTACGCCTTCCGTCCTGGGGAGCTTTACCCGACCACGATTCGACTTCGGGGGAGACATAGGGCGAGACTCCGAATCAGCCGGGAGGTATCTGCTTCCTCGTGCGCAGCTGAGATGGTGGTGTGAGCAAAGTAGCTTCGACAAAACGTGGTGAACGCGTGGGCTGCCGCCATGGTTTGAGACGAATCTCAAAGCAGCCAAGAACGGGCGAGGGGCGGCAACAACTCAGGACCACGGTCCGTCTTCTCCCACGGCCCGTCTCCTCCCTCCTCATCCACCACCGTGTCATCCTCATCCGCCGCGATGAGTCATGAGTCTGGTTGTCCTTATCGAAGCTTGTTCGGCAATTTCTCAAACTGGAGTCTCGGGTCCGGAGTACATGCATCTCTAGCACTTGGCGCCAAGGACCGAGAAGCATTCTCGAAGTCAATGCTTGTTGCATGCCCTGGCCTGAGTCTCGTATAGGCTTCTAGAAGCCACACGCCTGGCTTCGATGCAGCTGGATCCTCAACAAGGGCACTGAAGAGACCACAATCTCGACGATACACTGCAATTCGACCGAGTCACCGCCGGTGGTTTGGTGGACGTGAGAGTGTGAGGATGGTCGTACGACCGGCCAAGTAGCAATGTGCTCGAAAGAGAACGGAGCAACGCGAGCCATCACACTGCACGACGCGAAACATGCAGCATGATGGCATCCGCTGAAGTGGTCCATCGACGTTTTCAGATGGGCCAAGAGGGGCCAAGAGGCCCCGCAAGAGAATATGTGAGCTGCCTGTCTGCAAGCAGTGGCCCTCAACGGCCGCGCAAACCAGCTCCAGAGAGAGAGAGAGCCGGCCTATCTCTCAAGCCGCACGATGAAGACACATCTCAGAAGAGGTCCCAGGTCATGCCATTGTCTCGCAAGGCATGTAGAACACATGTAACTCAATCATGGCCCCCTCTCGGAACGTTACCGCACGTGCTCTTATCCAGCTTCGAACGTTGCGTCTCGAAGTTGTGCGTGGCAAAACACGAACCATGAGACTTCAACACCACGGGTTTGTCGTCGGTCGATGTGGGCGAGCCGCGTCGCATATGAGATCACTGCTAGCCTCGTCAACTCGCATTCTCGCACTCTCGCACTCTGTATCTCTTGTGGAAGTCTCTGTCCACTCTGAACAACACGGCAGTGGCACGGCATGACATCAGGCCTATCGGAAGCTTCGCGCAGACTTTCGTCAACTTGGCCATCAGAAACCATCGGGCAGCCTGAGGATGTTTTCAAGAAGGACCGATAGCGCTCGAGTACCAGGGACAAACAGCCTGTTTCGTCAGATGTGACAGCCCAATGATCGCATGGCTCTGACGTTGTCTGTAGGGCTGCACGGGGTCAGGGACGAGGTCAGGGACGAGGTCCTACGGGAAGCGAGACAGGGGCG